GGAGAGGTGAATAAGCGAAGTGTGGGGAATCTTGCGCCCCCGCAGTCTCAGGGAAAGAGCAGACGCGGAAAAAGCCAAGCCTAAGCGAAAGCCAAAGCATCATCAGCAACATCGGTTTCTGTCCTTCCCATTAGTATCGCTGCCGTTTGTTTATTTTTATCCCCCTTGTTCTTCTTTGTTGTTGTTATTTTTTTTCCAGGGTCCCTCTCGGTCACACACATACGTAAACATAACAACACGAAAAAAACATAGATCTAAAAAGGAAGCGAGGGTGTTGTAATGAGCTTTTTTTTTATTCTGTTTCTGTTTCTGTTGTATTTTCTTCCCGTAAGGAGGTGGCTATTGTTGTCTTGTTCACTCTCACCAGATTCATTATTCAGCCTGTGTTTGTATACAGTGATCCCCAGGCAGATACATCGAGAACGAGAAACAATGAGCCGGTGAAAGAAAAAAAAGGACAGAAAGGCAGCCACCATGGATGAAAATGAAAGAGGGCTCTGGCATTTCTCCCAGTCCGGATCCCCCATCCTCTATTGCAAGGAGCAGAAAGAAGGGGAAGGAAGAGAGGAAATGAGAGAGGCGTGGTGAGGATGCTCTCACCATTTCTCACTCCCCTGTTTCTTTTCTCCCAGGCACAAACACGTTATTACAACCCGTGATGATCAAAATTTTCTCTCTCTCTCTCTCTCTCTCTCTCTCTGCTTCCGTTATGCATGTCGCCTCTCTCATAAACATAAACAACACCAAAAACAAGTGTGAGCAAACAACAACTAACCAACGAGGGTTGGCCTTGGAGGGGAGGAAAGAGAGAATGTTTGTTGGGGTTGGAAAAAAAAGAGTAAAGGTTCAATCTGCATCTTGGATGTGGAGAAGAGAACGGAAGGTCGACTATTCGAGATGGCAATTGGGTGGGGTGCAAATTCTCTTATTGAATGAGAGGTCACCCAATGGTGTATCCAACACCATGCAAAAAACATTACACCACCATTCACCCCGCCTCACATCCACATCCACATCCACATCACATCCCATCATCCCATACCATCCTCATCCAATGCCTCCATGCATATCCAATCCTTTTTCAGTAGCTCATTTAGTACTCAATTGAATGCAATGATCCATGTACTCCATCATCGAACCCTTTCACCCTGCCTTTCTCCCTCAGCGCAATTCGCCTCACACCACTCCCCTCCCCTTCCCTTCTCCCTCCCTGCCGCCTATCCCCTCTTTTCCCAGTTTTTATTTTGAATATGTATGTATTCTTTCTTCCCCCTCCACAAAAAAGAGTTGATCCTGTCGCGATCTCGGTGTTGTTCTCCACAGTTCCCTCCATGCCCTCATCCCGCCCTCCGACCATCCCCTCTTTCTCTTACTTTTCTCCCTCCTTTTTTTTCTCGTTCTTTCTCCGTCGTATGGTCGGACGCCTTTTTTTTTTTTTTGGGTGAACTACATTGTTGTATCGTCATCCCAATTTGTTGTGATCAAGTATGAGAAGGAGAGGGATAGCAATGATGAAGGAAGGGGTGGCATTGAACTCAGATTTCTCGTCTGTCCGTCGGTCGTTCGATCCACATCCCTTTCTTCTTGCCCCACATCTCTCTCTCGTTGTTGTTGTTTTCGCGTTCTGATCTCCTTTCTCGTCCCTTCCCTTCTCTGTCCCCTAAAAACACAAAAGCAGCAAGAGCTAGAGCAAAGAGGTGGACAGGTGGACCCTTTTGGGAGTGATGAGAAGAAGCTAAGTGACAAGAAAAAGGGCGCCTTCTTCAAAAGAAGATGTGATATTGCCATTAATTAAAAAAAAAATGGCGATGGACGGCTCTCTTAACTCATCGACAACAACATCAGTTAGAGAATAAAGAATAAAAACAAGAAAAGCTAATAAAAAAAGAATGGACGCATCTTACAAGGTCACACAGATCCCGGTCAATGTCTCGTCCTTGTTTATGTTTCGATGTAATCCAATAGTTTAGTTGCTGTTGTTTGTTGCTTTTGTCTTGTACAAGCAATCAAGTCATTAGGACACAAAACTCTCTCTTCTCTGTTGTTTGCCTCGGTCGGTCGGTTGGGTTCGGTCGGTCGGTGTGGGTTGTAGGTTGACCCCACCAGACTACAAGTGTCCCTTACCTTATACTTCTAGTGATGTAGCCAATTGATCGCTTGCGAACACAAAAAAAAGGAGTGACAATAGCAAAAAAAAAGAGAGATGTAAAAAGAGAAAAGAGGGAAAAAAGATATAAAATGTCGTTGAGGGACAAGGCCTTTGTCCAGCTTCCCCTTTTGCCGTCCCCACTCTCCTTCCCATCCCCCTTCCCTCACTTCACCGCCCATTTTTTTTTTCTGTTGTATTTTTTTCTTTCTTCTTCCGCCCAGCCCAGCTCCTTCTTGTACTCTTACTTCCTCTTCTTTTTCCCTTCGTCATCTCTTTTCTATTTTTTTTGGGGTTGTTCATCATCTTTCATCAGATCTAAATCAGTCAACCCTCAAAGAAGAATAATAATAGGCTTCTTTCTCTCCTTCCCTCCTCCTCCTCTCTTCCCTTCTTTCTTCCATCCTCCTTGTCCTACAGAACATATTCCTGTTGACTCTTTGCCTTTCCTTCCTTCCTTCTTCCTTGCCTTCTTCCTTGCCTTACCTTCCTTTGTTCATAGCCACACTCAGTCTTATACTTTACTTGTATCAACATTATACCCTGTACTTCTACACCTAAACCTACAACGCAACGATCCATCGACTCAACAACCCCCTTTCCGAGTCTCAACAACAACAACCATTGCCCGACACTCAGGTACGCATACCAACTCAACTCCTCCTACGCGGAAGGGTCTTGTTTACTCACACACATCCCGCTCTCATCCTTCCTTCCACCCCCCACTTCCTATCCACGCTATTTCCACATCCACGTTACCTCTTCCCCTTTATTCATCTTCTTCCTTCTCCACCAATTCCTCCCGTCGTTGTCGTCCTTCTTTCCTCCCCTTTCTCTCTCACTGTCTCGCTTACACACACACACTCTCTCTCCGAGGCCTTTTCTTTTCATCAAACTTCTCCCACTCACGCTTCCCTCCCGCGCGTCTTTCCCACTCCATCAGAAACACACAAACAAACAAACAAACAAACAAGCAACAACAACAACAACCTGACTCCTCCCCACCGCCCGCTTTTACCCCAATTGCTCTCTGGATTCCCCCCTCTTCCCAAAACTCCAATTGATCTACTCGATCCTCCCACCCTCTTCCCTTTTTTTTGCTCTCCTCTCCCCCAAAGCTCACCACCATGACTCTTTTTTTTTTTCCCCCTTTGTTCATACTCAGAACAATGTTTACCAAATATATGTTCCTATGCTCTCGACTGCCTGTGGAGAGATGGGGTGAAAAAAATAGGGTACTGTAGTTGAGAACAACAACATAAACAAAACAAAAACAATTGGAGATACGTCCTTAGAAAACAAGAGCAAACAAAGAAAAAGAAGGAAGAAAACACGTCGGACTACGCGTATTGGGCATACCACGCCATATCATTGGGGCTGCTTCGTCGATGGCATAAGAGAGACACCAAAAAATACAATCGCCGCTGTCTTTGTGCATATTCCGCCAGGGGTGGGTGACAGAGGACAGAAAAAAAAGTGCGAGTACTGAGAGGAACACAAACTCAAAGATGACGCCCTAGCATCACCCAATGGATGACTCCTATGGCTTGCACTCTGTTATTTTTTCTCTCTTTATACCTTCACTCTCGATCTCATCTCTCGTTTGTGTCTGTTCCTCCGAAAAAAAGAAATCAATGCCTACAGAAGAAGAGCAAACCTTGCTTCCTTCCCTTCCCTTGGAGAGAGGGAGAGTCAGATCAGCGCCCAAAAGGAAAAAGTACATATCCCTTTGTCCCTCTCCTTTACTCTCTCTGTCGAGCTTTCCTCCTTCCGTCCTTCCCTTCCTTTACCCCTTTATTTTTCTTCTTGCCTCTTTTTTTGTGGGGGAGAACGAACTGCACGAGTGGGCTGGACACCACAAAGTAAACAGCAACAACAACAACAACAAAGCAGCAAGGGGTAACTTGAGCTATGTCAACACGTCTGCTGTCGTTTTTTCTTTCTTCTCATCCCACCCTCACATCAACATGTTTTTATGCTGATGAGCACGGCTTATGCTGTTATGCCAGGGGGTGAATACATACAAGAAAAAGAAAAGGAGAACAAATCCCAAAAAGACCATATCTCTCCACATCCAGGCGCATACAATGCATGCTCACCGTACATATTACGACTAGACGCATACACAATGCCCCCTCTGTCTTCCTTCTTTCTCCACCTACCCCTTCTCTCGTCCCTGTCCCTTTGTCCCTTCACTTCCCATTGTTTCCCTTCACTCCCGGTCTCGTCTTTCCCTAGCATCAAGGGTGCGGGGCGGAAGGACACTGGACTTGGACCGTGGGTTTTTTTGTCATCCTAAGCACCCAAATTCTGATGGGGAAGTGTTGCACACCCGTTCCCGTCTCGACCAGCCTCACTCCGCCAAGGAGGAATGGATATGGTCGGTGTTTGTGGACCCTTTTGTATTTCATGGTGGCAGTTCCCTTTTTTCTTCTCTTTCCTTATTCTCCTTCCTCTCTTTAACTTCTTTCATTCTTTTTTTTCTTCTTTCTACATTGCACTCCATTGCATAGCAACTTTTTTTCTTGTACACTACTTAATACCTAATACTCTAATTGTAATAGCCCACGTTTACTCACACATACTTGCATACACTCTCTCTTCACTACTCCTTCTTTCGTATGCTATCTACATCTACAGCGACTGTCTCATCATCTCACACCCAGAACCCTTCGACTCCCACAACACCCGCATCCCTTTCCTTCTTGTCGCCAACCACTCACGGATCCTACGACTATTCCTCCTTCACCAACCCACAACAACGACAACATCTACAGACACGCCTGTACTCCCGACACACACCCACCCATTTTATATTTGTAGCCTCCGTTAGTCTTTTCTTGCACACCTCGGTATGAACACTGCAGTCAAGTAAGTCATTATTGTTTATTATTCAGGCATTATCAATGAAATTGATCAACAACGAAAAGTAACTCACACACTGCCAATCACATCCGGTGTTGTCCGAAACCGATAGAGTTGCGCTTCGTGTCCGCCCTTTGACGCTACAAGAGCAGATCAGCAACTGTTCAGAGTGTATATCCTACGTCCCCAACGAGCCCCAGATCGGCATCGTCGGCTCAGACAAGTCCTTCACATTCGACTATGTCTTTGATGAAGAGTCAAACCAACGCAATGTCTACGAACAGTGCTCAAAGGAGCTCGTCGAGCGGTTTATCGAAGGGTAAGAACTCTTCTGGTTAAACATCGTCTTCGCGACAACATAATGCTCTCTCCTAACAACATCATACGTTATTGATTCGTGCATGTAGATTTAATGTCACTATTCTGGCCTATGGGTAAGCGAAATAGAAGAAAAACATTGGATCTGACCACTGCAACCCTTGTTCATCGTCATTCCCCCTGGCGCACAAAATCCATTACGGCGACTAACTATTCTAACCCCAACAAATACGAACAACTACAGGCAAACGGGAAGTGGAAAGACATACAGCATGGGAACAGGACTTCAATACCAAGGCAACCCTGACCCAGGTAAGAGCGATGTCCTCAGTTTCTTTCTTGTGCGCACGAACGGGAGGATGAATGTCTCACTTGGACCCATAGAAAAAAATATATGTGAGATCGTCGATGCGCCCAATTCGGGAAACTAATTTCGGCTCATTGTTTACTTACCTCCACAATGCATTGTGCAACCTGCATTTCCTCTTTGTTTTTCTACTATTGGTTTCATGTAGCTATTGTTCCCAGGGCCGCACATGAAATCTTTCAACTGCTGGATGCCCAAATGGAGAAAGACCCATCGATGGAATACCAAGTCTATGTATCTTTCCTGGAATTGTACAACGAGGAGTTGATTGACCTCTTGCAGACACAGCCACGCACCCGCAAGGACACAATCCAAGTTCGCGAGGATGGCTTTGGTGGTATCTCTTGGCAGGGCGTCAAGGAGCAACAAGTTGCTACTGCCCATGAACTTTTGGAGTAAGTTTGTCGTGACTTTGGTTCTCGCAGTAGTGTTTACGATTAATTTCATAACGGCAGATGATCTAACCTTCACCCTTCGTCTTTGACATTGATTAGCTGGTTGCAAAAGGGATCACTGTGCAGGACAACAGCAGCAACAGACATGAATCAGACATCCTCACGTTCGCACGCCATCTTCTCTGTCATCTTGAAGCAACAGCGCACAGATGAGCCCGACCCAACGCCAGAGGGCGAGGAAGAGCACGCACCAGCCGCCGCCCCTCTTAAGACCCCTCATGAGAAGCCTCTCAAGAAGCTCGCCTCCAAGTTCCACTTTGTCGATCTGGCTGGTTCCGAACGACTCAAGAGAACGCGTGCAGTGGGAGACCGTGCCAAGGAGGGTATCTCGATCAACTCTGGATTGTTGGCGCTTGGCAATGTCATCAGCGCCTTGGGAGACGAATCTCGCAAATCGTCTCATGTGCCATACCGCGATTCAAAGCTTACTCGTCTTCTTCAGGATTCTCTCGGAGGCAACAGCGCGACCTTGATGCTTGCCTGTGTCTCTGGAGCCGATGCCGATGTGAACGAAACCATCAGCACACTCGTCTATGCCAACCGCGCCCGTAACATCCGCAACCGTGTCGTCATCAACCAGGATTTCAGGGATTCGACTAACTCGGAGATCGCACAGCTGCGAGCCGAGATCAACCGACTCAAGATGGAGAACGGCTCCTTTAGAGTCATGGGATCTGGACCCGCCACTGAACTGGATCAGCGCCGTGCTGCAGAGGAGATGCGGTCACTTCGAGGAGAGGTCACCCGCCTTCGTGAGCGCCTGAGGGAGAGTTCTTCCGAGCTCTGTGATGTCTTGGCTGAGCGTGATACCCTTTTGGTCGAGCGCGAGGTGACAGGAGATGCCGACATCGAGGCCCACCCCATCATGATGACTTACCACCACACCGTGATGCAGCTCAAGGACCGTCTCATTGCTGCAGAAGACCAGGCACTGGAGCTCCAAACTTTGTTGTCGCAGAAGCCTCAATCGGTCTTTGGTCGCCGCCCCAATGGACCTAATCGTCAGAAGGCACCCTCACCCTTCAAGAGGAGAGTCGAGCCCATGACGGATGATGACCACGATGCCGACGGTGAGCATGAAGACGGCCACCACCGCAAGGACTCATCCCCTCCTCGTGGCCGCACCTCCAAGCGCAAGAGCAGACAGTCCTCCCGCGCCGTCTCTCGATTCGATTTTGGTGCCGCAGCCGCAGCTCTCGGTATTGAGCCCTCCAAGCTCCCAACCAGCCCTCCAATTCCTCAGGTTGAGCAGCTCTTGTCCTCTGGTGGAGCTTCGAATTGGTTCCAGAGTCTCAAGACCACCGAGAACCAGCCCCTGTCGGCCCACCTCGACTACTCTTCGGCTTCTTCGTCGCTCCCTCCTCTGCCTAACGATTCGGACTCTTCCCACAGCTTCTCTCGCCGTCGCCGCGCTGGCCGCCACGGATCCGGTGGTGTTGCCGAGACTTTGGACAAGGCCAAGGAAGATATCCGTCGTGGTTTGTTGTTGCTCAAAGCCGAGAAGAACGGTATGGGTATGGACATGGATCTCCTCAACATGTTGGATCCCACTGCCCCCATGCAGCTCCGCCCCAGCCCTGCCTCGAGCCGTCGTCGCGGCTCGGCGACCTCGTCCTTGTCCTCAGGATCTAACCGATCTCGCTTCCAGTCCACCATGCCTACCTTGGAGGATGTCATTGGTGTCCGCAGCCCCATGTCGCCCATGCGCCAGTCCTTCCCCTTCCCTCCTCCCTCAGTTGCCTCGGGTACCTCGTGGAAGGAGTCGACCAGTCCCCAGGACCAGAAGGTCTTTTTCGAGGCCGAGCAAAAGGCGGCCGAGACTTTGGCCAATGCCATGAAGGCCATGAACCGCTTCAGCTTCCCTCTCTCTGCCTCGGATGCTTTGCATATGAACCAGCAGCAGCAACAGAACCGCCTTGCCGCTGCCATTCAGCAACAGAAGGCTGCCGCCGTCGCTCTCCCCGATTCCGATGCTGGTTCTTCTTTCGATTCAAGCTCTATCCATGGTGGCTCTTTCCATGGTGGCTCTCACCGTGCTAGCTCTCACCGTACTGGCTCCAACCGTCCTGATTCCCACTCGTTGCAATCCCTGCATTCTCTTGCTCTTAGCTTGACCAACCCCGATACCAGCAAGGCCATCATTGGCCCTTTTGCTGCCGCCGCCGCTGCTGGTTCAGTTGCTGCTGGTTCATCTGGTTCCGGTGGTTCTCAGTCTGGTGGTTCTCATTCGCTCGAGTCCCTTCAGTCTCTTGCTCGCAGCTTGACCAACCCTGACGCCAACAAGGCCATTGCCGGTCCATTCGCCGCTGCTGCCGCTGCCGGTTCAGCTGCTGCTTCTGGCTCGGTCATTACTGTCCCTCTTCCTACACCTGTTGTTCAAGTTGTTCAAGCTCCTTCTGTTGCCGCTGCTCCTGCGGCCGATAAGCCCAACTATGACATGATGTTGAACGAGGTCCAGAGTGGAATCGCCATCAAGGAGGAGCTTGTCCACCAGTTGGAGAAGGCCGAGGCCGAATACCACCATATGCGCGATCAGTATGAGGAAGAGATCCGGGCTATGGAGGATAGGATCCGTGATGCTGAACATGATCGCGAGCGCGAGAAGTCAACGGAAAACAAGGCAAGTTTATTACCCTTCTCCTTGTTTATGCACATCGATCTCTCTTTTTTTTTTTTTTTTTTTGCTACTACGAGCTGCATCTAACCTTTTTACTGCATTTCTCAATCTACCCCTTGAATATTCAATAGATTCCTGGCTCGGTTAAGGTCAAGTACGAGACCAAGATCAAGCAGCTTATGGCCGAGCTCTCGGACTTGCAACACAAGTACTCTGAGGTCTCCAAGGTCGCAAACGAGAAGCGCACCCTGGCCGAGAACCAATTGCGCACCCTCCGTGTCGCAGTCGAGACACTCAAGGCCGAGAAGGTGAGGATGGTCAAGCGGATGAAGGAGGACGCTGAGCGCATCAAGGAGATGAACGCCGCCAATGATCGCGAGATCCAGGCTTTGCGTCGGTCCGAGAAGGCTGCCCTCGAGGCTCGCAAGAAGGCCGAGCGCGAGATGGAGCAGCATCAACAGCGCGCCACTGCTATGCTTCACCGCAACAGCAACGCGAACGCCACCAACGGTGCCAGCACCCAGCAGGCCAAGGTCATTGGGTTCTTGAAGAAGCCCCAGACCCCCAAGGGTATCACCAAGACTGCTGCCAAGCGCCCTACTCGTCTTAACGGCCCCTCTGACAGAAAGGATGCTCAGGCTTCGGCCATCCCTGCTCCTACCAAGGCTGGTGCCAAGGGACCCGGCTCGATCCGCTCCAAGGTTGCTCAGAAGAAGCAGGTCATTGACCGTGCCATCTACGGCTACATCTCTGGCCAGCATGCCATCAATGTCATGGAGGACATGCTCAAGAAGCGCGAGCGTCTGAAGAACGAGAAGCAGGAGCTCGAGGCTGAGAGACTGAGGGTTGTTCAGGCCCAAGAGGAGAGCGCCATTGCTAACGGCAGTCTCCTGCTTGACTTTGCCAGCGAACCCCAGTACATGGATGACCGTATCACCATGATTGATGCCGAGGTTGCCTACATCAACGCCCGCATCCGTGCCCTCCAGGCCGAAGCAGCTGCTCTCGGCTTTGTTACCGCCATCGAGAAGAACCACCAATACAGCGATGAGGAGACTGGTCTGGACGGTACGCGCGACGAGGAGGAGTTGATGACCAAGTTGATCCGCCAGGGTATGGCCGAGGATGCCATGGGTCTCCCTCCAGGTTCAGGCGCTAGTGTTGCCTTTGAGTCGTCGGTTACGATCCTGCGTTCGATGGATCTGGGTGAGTCGCGCGAGTTCCTCGAGATGTTGTTCGAAGACATGGTCACCGTCCGTGGTCACGAGAACGGTCTTCAGGTCCAGGTCTCCAACCAAGAGAAGGTTATCGAGGAGCTCAAGCGTGCTCTTCAGGCCATGCGCCAGGCTGCCGTCGGAGCCACCCTTGGCTACGAGAAGCGCTGCGATGGCTTGGAGCAGAAGTTGCGCCTCCTCGGCGGATCTTCTGATCACCTTAACGGCGCCGGCAACGGTCGTCGTGCTATTGGTGATGGTTCGTCGGAGGATGACGAGTACGATGCCGAGGTTGCCCGCCTTAACCGCGCCGCCTACCAACAGCAGCACGGTGAGTCTGAGGAGGAGGAGACGATGAAGTCGCCTATCCTGAACCGTCAGCAGTCCAAGGACTCGCTCTGGACCCCTGTTCCTGAAGCAGCCCACCCCCGATCTGGCTCCGCTGCCGCCGAGGCCATGGATGTCAAGGCCAAGCGTGCGTCGACCATTTTCGATCAGCTCTACGAGGATGCGATCAAGACTTCGGATGAGGCTTCACCCAAGGTTGGTGGCACAGGAGGCGAGTTCTCTCGCATCTTGATGGCTAACAACGAGCAGCGTCGCGTCTCCTGGGCCGGTGTTCCTGCCTCGCTGGGTCTTGGCAACCAGAGTTCGTCGCCTGCTCAAGAGTCCAGCAGCACCAACAACAACAACCCGCATCATCAGTTGCCTCCTATGCCACCATCGCGTCCTGGCCTTGCCCGCTCCAGTAGCACTAGTGCAGTGAACACTCGCGGCAACGCTCATGGCAACGAGTCTGCCCATCAGCGCAACACTTCGATGTATGGACACCGCAGAGCTGGAAGCACCAGTGGAGGAAGTGCTCAGGCTATTGCCATTAATAACGGCAGTGGATTGCACCGCAACGCCAGCATGTCCCGTCTGTCGAACTCTGCGCCCAACCACGGCAACGATGCTCACTTCTACCAACAGCAGCTTGCTCAACAGGGCCAGCATCTCCAACAGAAGGGCATCTATGCCTCGACCGCCTCGAGCCGTCAACATGCCGAGACCCTCGCTGCCCGTCGCAGCTCTACCCCGATCTCCAGCCCTGCGATCGGACCCAAGTCGACGGCCCGTCCTCGCCTCAGCTCAGGATACGGCGCCAACAATGCTGATGCGCCTCTGCCTTCGCCCATGCAGAATCCTCGTCGTGGCGGTACTCCCCTGACCATCCAAACCGGTTTCCCCAACGGCCATCCTCCTCAGCATACCTTGCGCCATGCCAAGAGTCATCAGCAACCCTTGAACAGTCAACGTCAGAACTATGACAGCCGTCGTGCCAGCACACCCAGCCCCAGCCCTGGAAAGCGTCTCTCTCGATCTGATTCTGATGGCGTTGCTCTGGCGAGCCAGGGTAACCACATTCGCAGTCATACTACCAACGCCGGTAACGGCCGTCCTTTGAGCCGCATGGGTGCTGCCAACATGATGACCACCACCGCGACCGCGACTAACCTGGTCCACGGAATGGCCTCCCCTGGCTTAAACGCTTTCAACAACACTTCAGCTGGTGCAGACGGTCATTCCGGGTTCAATGGCCATCATGGACAGCATGAGGTTTACAATACCCACCACCACAATGGCAGTGCCTCACGTCGAATCAGCGGATCTTGGGACGATAACCAGAACGTCTATGAGCGCCTGGCCTCAGTCCACACACAGGCCAGTCAGGCCCGTCTGTTGGCAACCCGCAACGCCATCTATACATCCGGTCCTGCGGGCGGGAGTATGATGAGCACTGGGAACATGTCCAGTATTGGATTCCACCAGATCCAGCAAGCCGGTGGACGTTCAACACCTCAGATGAGGATGAACCACCGCCCCTCGATCGACGGCATGATGTCAATGGCCGCTGTTGCTGCTGCCGCCGCCGCCCATGCCAATGGGGAAGGAGCTGACTCGGGCTCGTCTTCGTCGGTCACCAGTGCTTCTACCACGACCTCGACCCTCACCACTGCAACCAACTCGCCTACCCATCACGAGTCGTCTGGTAGCAATGGACATGAGGGAGAGAGCAGTTTGAGCCAAGTATTGGCCAAGGCCGAAGTTGGCACTGTATTTTAATAATAATAGCCCCCCTTTTGTGTTTTCTGTGAATAGGTTTTTTTTTTCCACTTCTTTCTAACCCATACCCCACCCCCCCCTCTGTACTTTTACAAAAAACTCTTTATTGCCTAGTTATTTTTATTTCCTGTAGTTGTTTTGTTTCTTTTTTCTTTTGTTTTCGCATACAATACTAATAACAATAACAATATCAAGCGTTTTATTTTTCTTCCTCATACTTTTTTATTCTCAGGCGTGTGGTGTTGACTTGTTGATGATATGAAAAAGAGTAGTGAAGGGTCAAGGATGGAGATCGAGAGGGCTTGTGGACTTGCTTGTGGATCTTGATAGCACCAAACGAGGAGGGGGGGAGGAGTTATTATGTTATTTATGTTCTGATGTTCTGATGCAGCTGCAGTCTTTCACGGGCTATTGAAGGAATGGGCCTCGGTTTTGAAATCCTTCCTTCATCAAACGGCATGCAGTTTTGCTCGCGAGGGAGGGGTATGTGGGTATATGTTGATTGGGGACGAGAAAGAGGGAGGATTCCCCTGCGTTTTATGGTACACTTGTAGTCGACGATGTCATGGATGACGAAGGACTAAGAGACTCACGCCTACGAAAAAAAAAATATTCACCCTTTTCAACCACTTCAACCTCTTTGACCTCCACTTTTACCCTCTTCACCCTCTTCACCTCTTCAACCTCTTTGACCTCTCCATGTAAGCGACTGTCCCCCCCCCCCCCCTCCCCGGCCAATTTTACAGTCATGGTGGTTCCTGCAGCATTATTAGCATACTGTCAAAACTGACTTTTGTCTAAAAAGCAAAAGGGGGGAGGGATGGATCTTTGGCGATGGCTGCTGCCAACTACACTTCTGCGCGGACACAAGCAGAAATCAGTAAGCTGTTGAGAGTAAAGAAGACAGCAGGGCAAAGCGCTGTCAACGACAATTCAAGAATCGATAGCGACAGCTAATAGGGTAAGGAGACGGAAATGAGCTGATAATGAAGAGACAGCGGAGATGACTGGCGCGTCAAGGACAAGGCATGGACGGAGGAAAATCAAACTCGGTGGTTGAAGGCTCTGGTCGGGACTGGAGTAGGTGTTTAGAAGATGCAACCGTCAATTAAAGAATAGCGCAGATGTATCATGCTCTGTCGGTCATTGGGCACGGCATGGACACTCGGGGTGACCCCCGATGCTTCCTTCAGGAACAAGCGTGATCACCGACGAATTATCAGATAGCCATGGCGATGATGATTCCCATGATAATGAGCAGGATGAGCCCAGTGATGACCGGCAAGAAGACGACAACCTGGATGATCAGAGAATGGCAGGATCGTGAACTAGGAACTTCCCACTCAGAAACTAACAGGAACGGCGTCTCAACAACAATTTATTCATGCATGGTGCGTATGATCATCGAGCGACGAATATTCAACAATCCCTCTACACCCAACCAAATTGTTTCTGCAATCAGCAAGTCGTCTCACACAAGACGACATCAGCGCATTCTCTGAGTACCATCCATGAACACATTGAATCAACCGCGCCGATGTCTTACCGACCACAACTACGCGCCACCACTGGACCCGAAGAATCTGGAACCCAAGAAGGATAGTATCGCGGCCAGGATACCTGTTGCAATAATCGCATGTATGTTAATACCCTACAGGACAAAGTAGGCCACCCACTTCCAGGCAGTGATGAGGCTATTACTCTACTCTGCGGGGTGGTTCAAGATAATCATCAACAACTTCTGGAAACTTTATTTGTCTGTTTCTTACACTACAACGATCCATGCTCGTAATTCTATCAATAGTCGAAAGCCGAGATTACCATGCATTCTCTATTGGCCTCAACACTGCACCGAACTGTGTCTACGTGTGCAAGCGCGTTTTTCTTTATTGCAGGACTCAGCGATGATTAAACGAACAATCTGCTTAGCAACCCTCGTTTCTTCTCCACCTGAACATTGTCATCTTGTCTATCCAACCTGTAGATTTTGTTACGTGCATTAGCAAATCCTCCCTTATCTGCCTTTTTATACCACTTCAACGCCACAGCCCTTGTCCTTGAGAACACCATGACCGTGTTCGTATAAACCTCCGATATCGTGTTGGGCTTGAGCGAATCCCTGATCCGCAGATTCAGAAACCATTCCATAGCCTTGGCGTAGTCCTGGGGTCACGCCTCGGCCGTCGCGGTAACTGTGACCGATGTTGGTTTGGGCATGGGCATGATTGTGTTCGGCAACCTTGTGGTACCATTCCAATGCTTGGGAAAAATCCTGGGGCACACACCATGGCCGCCCTCATACATACCGCCGATTCTCTATTGTGCCACGGGGGTCTCCTTGATCGGCAGCCATGAGGAGCCACTCCATTGCTTTTGAATAATCCAGATGAACCCCTTGTCCGTGACTGTAGAAATAACCGATGTTAGTTTTGGCCGAGCCGTTTCCTAGGTCGGCAGATTTGATATACCAGGCCAGGGCTGTCGAGTAATCCTGCTTGACGCCGAGTCCGTGATTGTAGAGAACGCCGACTTTGCGCTGACCAACAGCATAGCCTTTGCTCGGCCGCCCGGAGATACCAGTCCACGGCTGTCTGGTAATTTTGGAGAACACCTTTGCCATCCTTGTACATGTCTCCGAGAGCAGCCTGGGCGTCCTTGTCTCCGAGACCAGCACTGATGATAATGTGAAAGAAATCCTTGGGGGACGACGGTCGTAGAGACTTGAGGCGCTCGGGGTTACTGTTTGTTGCCGCTGTCGGAGGATGTTGGCGTTTGAGCGTATGTTGTGACTGTCGAGCTGTCGTCCTGAAACGCCTGCGGTCCTCAAGCGCCTTTGAACGAAAGAGGTTTGTCGATGTGAGAGTAATTGTATGTTGCTGTTTCCTCAAGTCCGTGGACAGGGTCCCGTCTGACAGTAGTGGTGATGGCAATATTGGCGGTGGGGGCAAGGCTCGCAGTGAGTTACTCCTTTGATCGTTCCATGACCATCGACTGAGTGTGCGCGACAATGTGGGGAGGACTGTCGATGTGCGTATAATTCTCCATTGCCGCTTCTACGTGACCACCAACCAGGTTCCTTTTGATAGCGGTGGCAGTGACAGTGGTGTTGGAAACAAGGGTAGAGATCGCGTTGTTACTCTCTTGAGGGAGAGCTGGCGGTGTCTTCTGAAGAGATTCCACTGAGAGGTCCTTTGAAGGCGGCGAGGATGTCGTTTCACAAGATGATATCTTTGCGAAGATACGTCTGGATGACAGGCAACGTGAAATATACCGGACACGGCCGGCGCACTGGCTGAAGTTTCGTTTTCGAATACCTTGCGGATAGCTTGGACGTGAGGGGGGGAGTCTCTTGAGCTGTCATGAGTGTCGAGTTGCCGGAAGTTGTTGCTGGAAGAAGTGAGGTTGGTCTGAATGCAAAGGTGCAGTGATGGAAAAAGAGAATGAGCGGGGCGAAGATGAAACGAGAGATGACGAAGTCAGCAGGCGAAAAAAGTCAGAGGCGGTCCGCCTCTTGTGTTCTGATTGGTCGACGCTTGATAGTGCTATATCACAGATAGTGCCATATCACATTCAGGCACAATTAGTCTTCTTTTTGTGCACATACTTTTTTGTCTTCACCCTACTCGTCTTTTCAATCTCTTCATTCTCTTCAGTGCTCATAGCGACAACACCGAAGGAGATGGACTTCTTCCTGGTCAACACCCTCGTCCAAAAGCATTGGCCTGGATAATGGCAGACCTGGAACCATTGTGATTTGAATGATGGTTTTATTTTCATTCATATCATGAACAAGTATAGCAAGGTTGTACAGAAAGAAAGGATTACGAAAAAAAAAATTAAACAATAAGAGAAAAGACTAATGCAAAGACGTAAAGAAAAGGGTGTATGTGGAAGGGGAATAAGAGTTGGCACCGAAGCAAGGATAAAGAACAAGAAGAAAATCACAACTATGAATACAAGGAAGAAAAAGAAACGACAACGACCAAAGAAAGGCTTAAACTTGAATACCGGCAAGGTTCAAGAGTCCACCAGTCCACTGGCGGGCAATATCAAACGTCGACGCAATACGAATGACCGTCAACGCGAGCATGACCAGCAGGACGGGCACCCAGAACAAGAACAGCATCTTGTCCTTCTTCAGTCTCTTCATCTTTTGGTGGTATCTCGCCCTCAGTTCCTGGATGTGTCTGTTCTCACCTACAGCTCCGACTGCACGCTCAGCAACAGCGGCTCCTCCGACAACGGCGCCATTGTTGACAATCTCGGTGATGATCCTGCGACCACCACGGACGACGGACGACTCGCCCACATCTGATGCAGGAGCTGGCTGTTGTTGGGGCTCGGATCCCATTGGTGGGTAAAATCGTCTGACCTTACTGAGGGGAGACGTGACAGTAACGCCGCCATTGGTGGCTGCTCCGTGAGGACCGGGGGCGGTCGACAAGGTCAGGGGATTGTAGGTGGAATCCTGGGCAGGCATAGCATAGCTGTTGACGGGCTGCTGCAAGACCGACGTCGACGAGAAGGGCTCGTGGTAGACGTTCAAGTAGCGACTGGGGGCCTCCTCAGGGACAGGGACGGCAAGAGGAATGTTGGCGCTGTTCATGGTACGGTCAGCGCCAGAGTGGAGGTTCCAGAGCTCGTGCGAAATAGCCTGCTCATCCAACATCTCGTGACCAATGGATCCATTACGTTGATGACGGAAGGGTTGCTTCTCGGACACCTGCTCGGCGTTGGCATCAGAGGCGGGAACCTCGGCCTTACCGCTAAAGTTGTAGGGCATGTAAGTTCCAATGTTGGCGTTGAAAGCCTGGATCGACGTGGGCATGCTGGGCATGTTCATCAGGAAGGCTCCCTTCTCGGGCAAGATGTGGTTCAGGGACTTCAAGAACTCGAAGTCGAACGCGGGCGAGGAAGACTGGATCTGTGTCAAGGTTTTCTGAAGCCAGTTGGTAGCCATCTCGTTGGCCTGGGCATCCTTGGGGTCCTGTGGAATGGCAGCCGCCATGGGGATCAGGCTGGGGGAAGAGGGAGCCTGGAAAATCTCCGCATTCTCCGACTTGTTGAGCACAACAGTCTCCTGAACATCCTCCTCCTGTTCCTCTCCATCCCAGAGACTGGACTCGTCCGACGACTCCTCCCCAATCCATTCGCCGCGATCCAGCCAGGCAATGTCCTCAATCTCTGAACCAACAAAGCTATTCTCATCAAACGAATCCTCGCTCTCGTCTTCCTCCTCCAGTGCATCGCTCTCAGTCGCAAAGTGCTCCAGCCAGACACCACTGTCTTCACCATCCTCAACGTCGCCCAAGGCCAGAAGTTCCTCGTCGACGTCCGACTCGCCCTCGGCCTCCTGTGCGGACTCGTAGCCGGCGTCCTCCTGGGCTCCTGCATCGACCCAGCTGTTGCTAGTTCTCAAAGCCTGGGTCAAGTCAATCTTAGCAGCCCCCTCGTGCAATCCAGCCAAGTCAACACATCCAACGCCGTGAACGCTTCGCAACATCACATCAGCACCCTTGTTGATCAAGACCTTGGCACTTCCTGCCTGACCTCTCCAGCAGGCATAGTGGAGTGCGCTGTATCCGTTCATGTCCAATGCGTCGACCTCAATATCAGGCATATCAGCAAGGGCATCCACCAAACGTTCGAATCCCTTCATGGCTCCAAGATGAAGAAGGCGATGTCCAGTGTCGCGTCTGGCAAGGTTGATAACGTTGTGTCCGTTGGGGGGGAGCTCCGAAAGGACGGTGAGAAGAGTCAAGATCCTGTCCTCAAGACCAGCTTGGAACTCGGCATCGGTCTCCATATCGCCAAACGACAAGATCAAATCCCTGACAAGAGTGCTGTAGTCGAGTGTGTTTTGGTGTTGTTGGCCTTGTTGTTGCTGTCCCTGCTGCTGCTGTCCCTGCTGCTGTTGGCCGTTAGCGACCTGACTTCCGACGATGCGCAGGGCAATGTTCCTGGCATCTTCCAAGCGACCAGTCATCTTCAGCCCGACAACCTGAAGAGCAAGCTCCATCAGTGCCTTGTCGCTCTCATCGACATATGTGAACAGCATCATCTCATTCATGTCTCCGGCCTGGGGCAAGGTGATCGAAGGATGCTCCTTAAATGTGACAACCGTTGTTCCTGGCTGAATTCTGGGTGGCAGAATGCAGATCAAAGTATTGGGCGACCAGAACTGAGTGGGGAGTGCTGGGGTCGAATCAAACATGGCTGTGAGTCCTGCATAAAAGTTGGCGCCCAATACTGTAATCTCGATGCCTCCGAAGCAAGGTCCTTGGTTAGGGATCAAGCGCGACATCCTCGGGACAATAAAGCCAGGAGGGACCATCGCAAGGCTGGATGTAAGTCCGAGAATTGAGGGTAGAGGTGATGACGAGACCAAGGCGGGGTTGGTGACGAGAGGGTTGATGGGAGAGGCAATGGCTGCAGTTGTGGCGGGTTGGGCAGCGGATGAGGCCAAGGGATTAGCAGCACCTGTTGGTCGCTTGCGCTTGATCGGCCCAACGCCTCCAGAGGTGCTTGTGCGGCGGGTGACGGGTGTAGAAGTGACAGTTGCTGAGCCGTTGAATGCCTCGGGGAAAAGAGCCTGCTGTTGAAGTTGCTGGAACTGCAAATGCTGTTGTTGAAGCTGCTGTTGTTGATGTTGTTGTTGTTGACGCTCCTGTTCCTGATGGAGCTGGACATGCTGTCTAGATTGCTCCATAGGCGACATGGTAGCGGCTGCGAGGGAGATAGGGATATCAACAAGTTGCTCGGGGACCATTCTATCATTGTTGGTGGCGTAGATGTAGCTGTTCATAGAATGGAACTGCTGCTGCTGCCCCTCAAAGGACCCAGGAGGGTACTCGGGTGAAGGCGTTGTCTGACAGGCCATTGACACACGATCAGAGGGAGAGACAGGCGATGAAGGCGAGGGAACCTGGCGGGCATCGTCGCCGTGGGAGAATTGCGAGATCATGTCGACAATGGAGAGGTTGTTGGGGTCATAGTGGCCAATGTCCATTGAGACCTGGAGAGGGGAGGGCGAGGCATTGGACGAAGCGGAGTCCATTTCGGATTCTTCAGACTCTTCCTCCTCATCATCATCGTCCTCAGGAGTACCCATGTCAACCTCACTCTCAACTTCATCACCAGGAGACAATGGTGAGCTTGGGGGTGTGAGGGTGACGAGTTGGTTGGTGGCGCCGGCTGACTTTTTGGTGGAAGATTTCTTGGTTGGGACGGCACCGGCCTCGGGCTTCTTGACCTTGGATGCCTTGTGATCGTCGGTGATCATGATGGGGGGAGAGATGCCAACGGCGATGACATTGTTGGCGTAGTCGCGGAGGACAAACTGGATGCAGAAACCCTGCTTCTCGCCGTGATGCCGGCAGTAGCAGGTGATGCGAGTAGGGAGGGTGAGTTCGCCGGATGTGAATTCGGCGATTTCTGTGCAGTTGAAGAGGAGAATTTTGCGCTGTTCGAGGGCCATGACCTCGGGCTCGTCGTCTTCGATGACAGGGGTAACAGCAGCGCCGACCTTCTTCTTGCCAATGTTCTTTTTGCGTTGGGCTCGTTTGCGTTCGCGGAGGACGCATCCTGTGCAGGTCTGGATGATTTTGGACTTGTCGCTTTGGCAAACGACTGCGGCCTCGAGGCTGAGGCATGTGCCGTTGTTTAATGCGTCGTACACCTCAGGGCCTATTATTTTCAGTTGGGTGGAGATGGAAAGGAGTGCAAACAAAGGATTGTTAGATGCGAATGTTTGTGTAATATTGCGGGGCATAGATGGAGAGGGTTGTTATAGTTTGTTGTGGATATGTTTTGGTGATGAAATTTTTATTCTGTTTGTTGGGACAAAACAGCAGAGAGAACAGAGGTCATCTGCCTTCGGGCAAACAAAACGTGCGAGGTGGTGGTGGTGTGGGCCAATTTTTTTTCCTCTTTCCACTCCGCCCGTTTGGCTGGGAGACAATCATAGTCTCAGCTACATGCCCTTTTCGAATCCACAGAACAATAACAAGTCCGAGGCACACATAAACATAGAAAAGAGGGGGATACGTACCGACATTCTTGGCGTTGACAGACTTGTTCTTCTCTTTGGCGACCATATACTCCGGCAGCTTGATATGTGTCCATGCGCCAATGCGCTCGTTGTTCTGGTTGACCAGCTGGATGCCGAGCTTGATCTGGGTCTCCACCCGGGACTTTGCTCCTTGTGAAGGGACGCCCGTAATATTCACCCGCAGACTATTTGTTATATCAATTGATAAGGAAGTGGGGGGTATTCCGTTAGCCGAGAGAAGGAAGTGGGGTCCGAGTGTAAATGTGTTTTGGGGTACATAGCACAACTGCAACGAAGAAGAGGGGGCTGCTGTTGCTGCCGTCGTTATGCTGAAGGAGTTGAAGTAGTTGTTGTGCCGTACCCATTCTGTGACATCATGTGTGTATGTGTGAGTGTGCTCTCTCGGTCGACCGTTCTAGTCGGTTATTGCTGTTATTATTGTTGTTCCTGATGTGGAGAGAGTGAGTGAAGAAGGGGAATGTGTGAAAGGCAGAGAAGAGGAGGCCTGAAGACTGGATGCGTGTGTAGGTGTGTGTATAGTGTAAAGGAAGGGGATAAGTGTGTGCAGTTTGAAGGCGTGAACCCCAGAGAGTCGTAAGAGAAAAGAAGGGAGAGTGAAAAATCTGTGGGGTGGAAAGAGAGAGAGAGAAAGTGTGTGTGTGTGTGTGAGGGTGGTCAAGGTCGGTTGGTGGAAGGGAAAGGGAAAGGGATATAGGTCGAGGTAGAAGGGGTATAAGTTTGGGTGGTATTGGTGGAAGATGATTGATTGATAGAGAAGGATGAGAGAGGGTGAGGGTGATGTGAATGGAGGGAAGAAAGAGTGGGCAAGGCAGAAGAGAAGAGAAGAGAAGAGAAGAGAAGAGAAAGAAGGGAAGGGAAGGGAAGGATGTGTGGAGAAAGGTGTGAGGAGAGAAGGAAAGAAAGGAAAGAGAGTGCAAGAGGAGCCATGGAAAAGACATTAAAACTTGTTTTTTGGGGGCGCCTGTCTGTGTGTTGTGTCAAAAGCAATGGAAGGGCTCACGCTGCTGACTGTTGTTTGTTCACTTTGCATCGTGGCCACTGTCCATCTCACCGCTCAAATTTATTCTAATCGCCGCCCACTTTGCCCCAGCGAACAAACATGATCAACCCCTTCTCTTCTTCGTCCTTTGCTCGCATGTTTTTTGTGTTTCTGTATCTCTGATCTTCGACTGTCCCCCCATTCATATTCACCCACACCACCGACCATCACCACGATCGTCCTCATTCACTCACCCCCCTTTTTTTTTTTTTTTTTTTTTCCTTTCTCTGCTTGCCCACAGATACAACTGTCCCATCTACCCCACAAGATAACTCAAATCAATTCAACCCTCAGTTTTCTTTCTTTGCCATGGCTCGAGTAACCTTGCAGGTTCTGGCTCCCATGCAGTTCCCACCTCGTGGCCTGAATAACTTTTCCAACTAGCCCTTTTCTTTTTTTTTTTTCTTTCTTTATCTTCGATCAAAACCAAAAAAAAGAAAAAGAATGAGCTGACTCTCGATCATACAGCGTATAAAGTGAGTGGAGGGAGAGGGAGCTTGAAATTTTTGGCTCAGTCCAATTTGTTGGGAACGCACTGCAACATGTGAAAGGTCCCTTGGGGAGAGTGTCTCAGCCAGAACCAAACCAGCCAACAAGCAAACACCGAAAATCGAAGGATGGTGCTGCACAACACACGCGATTGGAGAGAAAACTATTACGTACACATGTCGCGCCACCAATCGTTTTATTCTTCTTTTTTTAGTTGTCGTGAATATATGCCTGAACTAACCAGCTAGTAGTAGTTGCCTCAAAGCAACCCGGTATCTCTCCTTTTTCTTTCTCATCTCCTGCTTAACCAACAGTGCCAAAGACACGCTATCAAAGGATTTTCAAGAGTAATATAGTAAAGCTGTTAGCAAATAGTCTCAGAGAACAAACAAGCCATAAAACGAAAAATATAGGAGTTCATAGTCATAGAACTTACGTTATGTCTGGCAATGGATGGTCCGACCTCATCGTACTCAGCCTTGGTGTGGCAGTAAGAGTGGAAATCTCCCTAATAACATAGTTACGAAAACAAAGTAAACACTGATAAGTTCGCATGATCCAATTGCTCACACTGTTCCTTCGATAATCCTTCCCGACCAAGGACAAAGCAAGGAACAAGAAACGTACTGTAGAGGCGAGCAAGGAGCCTCCGAACCAGACAGCATAACGCTGCTTCTTGTGGGAGATAACGTTGACCTCCATGGGAGTAGCATGCATCTTGCCTCCCGAAAGAACCTCGCTGCGCTTGATACGAGTATCTGCAATACGCTTGATATCACGCTGCAAACGCTTTCCAAAGTTCTCAAACATCGTCGATCCTCCAGACAACACAATGTTCTACGTTGTTTCAATCGAAACAGAAAGAATTAGTTGTTGCTCAGTAGTAGTCCCTTCAATATAAAATTGACAAGTTGAATACGAGTTACAAAGCAAAACATACCTTGTAGAGACCACGACGGACATCAATGGGCGAGGTCTGGACAACAGTGTCGACGACCTCGGGGAGAGGAGTCAAGTAGTCTGAGCTGGCAATTTCTGGGTTGAAGAAGATCTCCGGTGCCAAGAAACGTTCGAAGCCGACATCAACAGAGTATGGCTAATAGCAATGGAATGATGAGAGTAACAATCGTTCTATCAGCATTGCGTTCCAAGCATGGCGCCATAGAACACCTGTATCCAGATCCTTTCAACTGTCCAATTGAGCAACCCAAACAGGAAAAGTACCTTGCCGGTGACAGAGTGGACGCCTTCGTACTTCTTAAAGTACTTGTCGCCCTCCTGGTCGTACTTCTTGAACTCCTTGACAATGTCGGGGCACACATACGAGTATTGCTCCTTGATCCTCTGAGCCACAGTCAACGAGTCCTCAGCAGGGATCATGTTCTCGCCACGCTCACGGAGCAAGTTCTGAACAAACGAGGTCAGATCACGTCCAGCAATAGGGACACTCTTAATCGAAGATCCAATGACATATCCCTCAGCCTAAGTGTCCAATGAAGTATAAAAGTAAATACATGTCAAGTTACCATTGATCAATAGCCCAAATATCCTTCGCACCAACAACAACGAATCGAGAGAAAAAAAGGGCGCGAGAAGGGAAAAGCACGTACGACAGGGATGACGTGGGTGACACCATCACCAGAGTCGATAACGGTTCCGGTCAAGGTCTGCTCATTGACTTTGCTCGAGGTCCAGGAGGCAGCCAAGGCGAGAACAGCCTGGACAGCAATGTACAACCCTTGAACATTGAAAGACTCGAACATAATCTCGGCAGTATTTTCACGGTTCTCGGGAGGGTTCAGTGGGGGCTCGGTCTATTTCATAGAGAGACAAGTAACAACAACGCATGAGTATCCTGCTTTCAGTTGATGGGCCTGACTGTTCCTCAAAGAAGCTGGTTGTTCCTGAAAAGTGACGGCAAAATCGTCATCATCCTCCATGACCTGTTCTCCAGGGACTCACCAAGAGGAAAGAGTGATCCTCAGGCTCGCAACGAAGGTACTTGAAGATACTCTGCTCCCAGTAGCGCTCCATGTGGTCCCAGTTGTCGATCTGACCATGGCGAATGGGGTAGTTGAGGGCGTAGGTCTTTGAGTTGGCGACAGCCTCGTCTCCGATATAAAAGTCCAGATCTTCAATTCCGCGCTTGGAGGCGAGGTTGGAGCTGGCGGACGAGTTCAGGAATGAGGGCTTGGAGGGGACCGAGGGTGCTCCCGAACCAGCTGAACCTCCGTCTCTGGTGGCGATAACTGTGGGCTGGATAAAAGATGGGTCATTGTTTCCAGCGAAACCCATCTTTGTGAAGCTGTTCAATACAAGGTGGATAGGCGAGATAGAGGAAGGGCATTGGTGAGAAAAACGTCACGAAAGGAGAGGGGTTTTAAAACGACACGACGATAAAAAAAAAAAGGGATGTGGACGGCTGTAGACACGCGTTCCCCTACAGAGTCGACTGTTGCGTGAATGTATGGTGAGGACAACGTCATCGTGAGGATGTTTTGTCCAAGGGTCGGCATGCATTCGTGTGTGTCGCCTGCTGTTCGTTTTGATGGTCGAGGTGAAGTTGTTCCCCGAATAAAAAAGTGTGGAGTTGGCGAGGTGACTGTTCCGCCAGGCACGATGGGAGAAGCTACATGATGGGTTGAATGGGGAGGGAGGTATTTACCCTGTACCGTTGTCGATAACGACAGGAGCAAGACGCGACATTGTGGAGAAGGGAGGGGAGGGGTGAAGGGAAGGAGGAGGGGTGAGTAGGGGTGTGAGGAAAGGGAGGAGGGATGGGAGAATAAAGAAAAGGAAAAGAAAGAGATGATTAATATGAAGTCATGGTCAGTCTGTCGTACACTTGTATAGCTTGCGCTCTGCGGCTATTTTCTCCCACCGTTCGTTGGAGCTCAGAATTGATCCTCTCCCTAATCAATTAACCCAACCCCTTATTTCCAAGCACAATCGTGTGACGTCAAAATGGACTTCCCGCAAAAGGTCTTGTCTGCGAAATCTAATTTCCAGACAAGATCATTCCACATCCCACAGAAAACGAGGTGTGCGAGCAACGTGACTGTGATAGTGCTTTGTTCTCTCTCTCCTACTCGTAAACAGAGCAGGTGGTGGTTTGTGTTTTTTTTCTCCTCTTTTTTTCTTTTTCTCTCACCCCATCCCTTACCCTTCACATCCATCGATTCAACATGAGCAAGCCCACCGACAAGAAGAAGCTTACCATCGCTGCCCAGGAGACTGAGGACTTCACCGTCGCGTAAGGATTTCCTTCTTTCTTCTATTCTCACACTTTCCCCCTCCTTCCTTACGCATACTCGACAAACAACCAACAAAAAAATATTCCCAGGAACCTGGCTCGGTCCGCCCGTTAAGACCCTTACGGGAGCAGATATTCACCTCCCATTCACACGCTCCCTCCTGTTCCCTTTCCGTCTCCTTCCCCTTCTCCACACCCCACACTCCACACCCTCGAAATACGACTAACCCAATTGAACTCGTAAAGGAAAAAAAGAGCAAAGGAACTAACAACAAGACTCGTTTGATTCAACCGAATAGTAACACCGATGTCCTCACCAAGTACAAGGCTGCTGCCGATATCACCAACCGTACGTGACGCCGTCTTAGCAATTGATCGCAAAGATCGCAATTCTGGACTGTATTTCGCGCTTTTTTGATTCTAAACTGGAGGACAAGAGCCTGCTCAGGAAACAGAACCATGCGGATCGAACTAGAGTCTTACCTTCTGTCATTTTTTTTGTCTGGAACGGAATAGGTGTTATCGCTCAGATCGCTGCTGCTTGCGTTGATGGTGCCTCCATCTTGGAGCTCTGCTTGAATGGTGACAAGGCCATCGAGGAGGGTACCAAGGCCGTCTACACCAAGGGCAAGATTAACAAGGGTATGTCCTTTCAAGCTTTATTGAAGTTGACCTCCTCATTTGCATATACTGCGGCTACTTGAAAACTGGACAGAACAAAAACTAACCAATCGCGACTTTTATCCGTGACTTCCGTGTTTCCTTCTAGGTGTCGGTTTCCCCACCGCCATCTCTGTTAACAACACCATCTGCCACTTCTCCCCTCTCGCTGCCGATGCTGAGGGTCTTGTCTTGAAGAACGGCGATATGGTCAAGGTGTACGTTGCTTGGTCCTCTTTTTCTTGCTCACTTACGCGTCTTTTTTGGCAAATTGACAGCACAGGACATTTTTCAGGATTGCACTAAACCTTAATCAACTGTAGCTAATGGCGTTTTTTTGTTTTGGATACCTATTAGTGAGCTCGGTGCCCAGATCGATGGATACGGTGCTATTGCCGCCACCACCGTTGTTGTCGGTGCCTCGAAGGAGAACCCCGTCAAGGGCAAGCAGGCTGATGTCCTCATGGCCGCCCACCAGGCTGCCGAGGCCGCCGTCCGCCTGATCCGCGCCGGTAACGCCAACACCCCCGTCACCGACAACGTCCAGCGCATTGCCACCGCCTACGGCTGCAAGCCCGTCGAGGGTATGCTCTCGCACCAGCAGGAGAAGAACGTCATTGACGGCAAGAAGCAAATCATTCTCAACCCCACCGAGGGCCAGCGCTCCGACTTTGAGAAGTGCACCTTTGCCGAGAACGAGGTCTACTGTGTCGACATCATGATCTCCTCGGGTGAGGGTAAGATCAAGAACAATGCCTCGCGCACCACCATCTACAAGAAGACCACCACCAACTACTCGCTCAAGATGCAGACCTCCCGTGTCGTCCTCTCCGAGATCACCAAGAAGTTCGGTCAGTTCCCCTTCAACCTCCGTCAGATGGACGATGAGCGCAAGGCTCGCATGGGTCTCCTCGAGTGCATCAAGCACAACGTCGTCACTGCCTACGATGTCATGGAGGAGGAGAAGGGCGAGTTTGTTGCCCAGTTCTTGTTCACCGTCTGCGTCATGCCCTCCGGACCCCTCCGCATCACCAACACCCCCATCGATCTCGAGACCATCCAGACCGAGAAGAAGATTGCTGATGAGGAGATCCTTGCCCTCTTGGCCACCGAGATCAAGCCCAAGAAGAAGAGCGCCAACAAGAAGAAGAAGGCCGACGCTGCCGCTGCCGAGGAGAAGAAGGAGTAAAAGTAACATCATTATTTGTTTTCTAGACAGTTTTGATCGAGGATTTACGCATAAATTTTCATAATGGAAAAACATCAAAAAATACCATTTCTTTACCACTCTTGCTTTCTTTGGTTTATTTTTGTTTTTATTCTGGATCACAATCGTGAGTTAGCAGGAGAAAGTAGTACACGTAAGGACATGAAGAAGGAGCATTACAACGAACGAATGCGAAAACAAGTGAGTAGACAAACCAAGAGGAAAAAGCAGCGACAACATCGCTCGATGGAAGAAGGATCTCAGTGAGAGGACTTGCTGGCCCAGAGTTCGGCGATAATTTCGCCAAAGATGGCAGTGCACTCTGGGTGAGCAAAGTACGCCTCCTGAGTCTTCTTGTGCGAGATCTCGTCCATGTTGTTCTTGACCACATACTTGACCAGAGCGTGTCGCATCTCCTCAAATAAGTACCCAGTCCGGAACAAGAACGGGACCGCCCACTCACCACTCAGTCCTTGGATGATCCTGGACCCCGCCATCTCCTTCAGTTCCGCAATACTGTATCTGTCCGCAATCAAGTACACGTCTTCCCATGTCGGTTGATGTTTGACTGTCGGGCAATCCTGAGTCAGAACAGTCGGCGCATTCCAGGGACGAAGTCGACCAAGGTAAAGAAACTGGATCAGCAGACGGAAGCAGTGAATGTCGCTGTCCTTGATCTTGATCCGCTTGACGCCCGGTCCACCCTCAGCAAATGAGCTCGAAAACATGGTCTTGAAGTAGTCATACTGCGAGAGGACAATCTTGTGCGCGCCTTGGGTCTCCACAATCGAGGTCCTGGATTTGGTCGTTGCCGATGGGGTGGTCAGAGCATTCGACATGTTGTCCAGTGCCGTGTAAACCTGCTTCACACTCGTCATAACCTTTGTATCAAATTCGTCCTCATATGCCTCATCGTCGTGAAGATGCCATCGTAGTCCCCGATCTCGACCCCGATCCATGCCTTGTCCACGGTCCACACCCTCTGCTGGCTGTCCAGTAGACTCTTTATGGAGAAATGATGTCAAGGAAGCTCCATCAGTATCCTCGGTAGTCTGCTCAGTTTTGTCCGTAATTGCCAACTTGGCCATCTCCGATACTCCTGAATCACCAGTATCTTCCTGTTGATACACCTCGTCTTCAGCTTCGATCTTCTCGATAGATCCCGTCTCCGAGTCAGATGTTTCAGGCTCGAGCTCGAACTCTGCAAAGGATTCCAGCGAATCAAATTCAAAGAAGACGTCATAGCTCGAGGGGTCGTCTAGCATCTTGCCGAGGATCGAGTCGCAATGGTCTGTGTAGGTCGTCGATGTCGTCGAGTTAAATTTGATTCCTGTCTTTTCACTCGACAGTAGAACGTCGACACAATAGCGCCCCTCCGCATTCTTCACCAGCGTCGTCACTGTCTTTGGCCCTATTTGTATGAGAAATTGATTATGGAGGCAAAATCATATATGGTTAGTAAGAAATGTTCGCGAAGGATGAATAGACGCATATTAAAGAACTCCAATACTTACAACTACAGTGAACCTGGCGGACGCTGGGCCAAAAGACTGCTACCGATGTTAGCTTTCTCTGGTCAATCGTGAACACCGACACTGTCTGAAGCCAAGACTGATTGTTGCCCTTGTGGTTTGTTGCGAATTCCAGGGTCATCTTGAAAGTGTCAGGTGTTTGTAGCAAGCTGCACTGGAGCGTATCCACATCGCCCTCCCGAACTCGAAACTGCTGCGTTAATCCTGTGCCCAACAGGATCGAGATGTTCTCGGGTGCCCACTCAAACCGGAACCGGATCTCCTTGGTACATTGCAGCTGCGGCGCCTGCCTTGGGAAGGATGGCGTGAATATTGAGGTGGATGTAATTGCAGGTTGAGTCGTAGCAAGGGCCAACGCTGGCCGAGTCGCAAAGTTGTTGAAAAACCGTCCTGGTCCTGGAGGTGTGCCTGCCGAGGCCGGCCTCTGCGATGCTGCTTGGTTCCCGAAAATGTTGGTTGTGTTTGTGCTGACGTTAGTTCCCCACAAGTTGGAGGATGTGTCCCCGAGTCTGGCCAGAGTGAAGCGTTCGGCGGTATGCGTTGTCGTGGTCGTGGTAGGAACAGCCGGCGTCTGCCCTGCTGCTGATCCGGCTCCTATGATCGGTGTTGTTGTTGTTGTTGTTCCTCCAGCTGCAAACAAGGGCGTCGCCGTTCCTCCACCAACAACCGCCGTCGTTGCTGACGCAAGAGTCAAAGTTCCCGCAGCAGGCGCCCCAAAGATCAGTCCCGTAAACGGTGCGTTCGCTCCAACTGTGGGGGCAGCAGTGACATTCACAGCAGCAGAGGTTCCGTTAATCCAAGTAGGAACAGTCATCGCTGTAGAAGAAGAAGTAGCAGCTGCTCCTACAACAGCGGCAGAAGTGCCAGTCGTCATCGTTGTTGTTGAAGGGGCAGCTGTTGTTCCAGATGCAGCAGCGGGGGTGACGCGAGCAGCGACAGTTGCTGACGATGTGCCTTGGCCCATAAAGGCGAATGCCGGAGTGGTTGTCATGGCTGTTGATGTTGTGTTGTTGCGGGATCGAGGCGACTCGGCGTTTCTTGTCAAAGGATTGGCGGTAGGTGTGTTGGACCACATGTGAGGATGTGAAATGAAAAGTGAAGGACAGATTGGAAAAATAGGTTCAGAGCTTTGGAGCAAGAAATGGTGGCGCGGAGAGTGCTCTAGTGCAGAACAATCGCACGTGATGGATTGTCTTTTTTCAACGTGTTCTCGCCAGGTGCAATTCGCCCTTCAGACAAAAATGCGAAACGTACCAATTCTTTTGTTGATCTTTTGTGTGCCTCATGGCGCCTGCTGACCATCAGCTCTCAACCCATGTCACTGCTGTATCTGAGCACCGCCCTCTACAAAACTTTTCTTCATAACGCTCTTACTTTGCACTTAATGCATTAATCTATTATTGCAGTATAAAACACATAACTACTTTTCTTTTTTTCTCTCTTTTACATTTGCGACAGCGTTCTACAAACGTCAATGGCCATATTTGGACATATTCGCATTCGCTTCCTTGAAGTTGGCATCTTAGATATTTTCACCAAAGAACTGGACTTCATGATCAGATTATTTATTACTGCTTAGAGTTGTTTTTTCTCGATCTGAAAAAAACACGCACTGACGCCTTGATGTTAACTATCGCAGCAGGTATAAATACAATGAGAGAATGACCAAACGTGCACAGAGAAGTATCCAAGTAGCGAAACTTGATGAAGCAAAGGTCAGGGGGTGTTGAAAAGAAGACACTGTGGCTATCAAAATAAAAACTGCAGTAAGGGATGAGTTTACACATCTGGAAATCCCAACATACGCCAACATGTTAATGGGCGGGCATACCTGAAAATACTAATCCGAGCGTCCTCCTAAACATCTTCCTGTCAAGATTTCGATTCGTTATATTGCGATCAACTTTCTCTACTCTCTTGAACTCTAGAACAATGCACCAAAGGAAATGTATGGCATGGCCGCTAAGGATGGGAAAATCTTCTTCATTCCAATCGAGGAAGAAGAGAGCCTGGAATGTCAACGCGTGGACATTCATGACGAAGGACGAAGAAAGAATCGAAGGACGCCTGGCAGTTGCAATAAAGACGTAGTGAAAGATGGCTAGATGTACGATGTCTGCTAACAAATGTATCCTCTTTCTGGATAAATTAGATGCGAATGAATGAAGCGGAGCTGCGGATCCTCAAGTTTCAATGTAAGCGGAAGAGAAGAATACTTGATGATGTATGAAGTAAAGAGCGCGTAATACTCAAAAACATATCCCTGTAGGACAAGTGGGACATATTATCACAGTTTTAAAGCCCTGATCATTGTAATACGCAAGAGCGCTGACAACTGATAACATCGTAACAAGCCTTGAGTTGAATCAGCCACTGGAAATCACACATATCTCGCATGCCATTGCGACTGAAGGACACGTAAGAAACACGATAAGTTGTGGAGAAAGTTAAAAAATGACAAGAGACGTAATTGAGATAGAAGTAGTTGAAACTTTAGTGTGTACGGTCAAAGTGATCTGAAAATCAAATGGGAAAGACTCTGTCGCTTAGATATGTAGTGCGACAATAGAAGAGATCAAGAATGCCAATACTAAAATGGTTGGTATGGATATTCTTATTTTCACTGACAGGAACTGTGTAAAAAGACTATGGGCGTATGCATTTGTGTCGCATGCCAGCTAGATTGATAGATACAAAAATGTCACGGAATGGGATGTGTAAAAACAAACAATAAAAAGTGAACGTGAAAGCACCGAGTGCACCAACCGCTCATCAATCGAAAAGATGGAACTGTCCTCCTATCTACGACGTGTTGGGTTTGCGACCAAGCCGGGGTCTGTGAGTAGATGTTGCAGTGGGTGTTGTTGTATATGAGGTTGTGGATGTAGTCGATGTAGATGTAGATGTAGATGTTGCTGTTGCCGTAGATGGTGTTGTGGATACTGCCGTAGATGTTGTTTGGATGCTGCTGTGGGAGTTTAAAGAAGAAAGATTGAGCTCGGCGATGACTTGAAGGTCCTTGAGTCCAAAATGAACAGCGGCACCCCTGAGCTCGTTCCAGGTAACATCTTTGAGGCGCCAGGGCGAGTCTTGACCCAGGGGGCGCCAGTTAACGGAATCTTCAACCTTGCCGGCAGAGTCTCGCCAAACCAAAGAGACCTTGTTGGTGTCACTCAAAACAAAGCGCGTCGCGTCAACAGTACGGTTAATCTCGCCGATGTAGATGTAATACAACACCACGCAGATGGTAGCCAGGGAGATGGTGTCAACCTTGATAAAAAGCTCCTTGGAAGCGGCGCCAACGGACATTCCTCGTACCGCCCCTGCCTCAGTAATAGCAGTGTCGACGGAGAGGTTGCTCGTAGACTCCAAATCAGAATCGACATCCTCAGCAGACTTTGTGTCAGTTATAACTATGTTGCTAAGTGACTGAACCGTGATGGCATCTTGAATCGCCTTGGCAAAGGACGCATGCTGTGAGAGAACAAAACGATGAGCCCAGAGACCAATGCTGGAGCACAACTTATCGTGGGTGGAGATGAAGCAGACGTCGACCGAGCTAGGATCCTTGAGTAGCAAAGAGATGAGGCTCTTCTCCCTGGACGCAGAGTTGGGCTGCGGCACCGATTTTGGCTTGATAACGCATACAGGGGCAGGAGCAGGAGTTCTCCTGAGTGACTCTGCCTCTGTTGAGAAGACCACATCAAAGTCGTACTTGTCTCCTATGAGGACAGACTCCTCATGAAAACTTACTAGAGGATGATAGAACGAAACAAATGAAAAATGGCGTGAGCAACATCAGGCGTCCCAAAAATGGCTTTCTTTTCATATCCTCTATTTATTTTCTCACCTTCCCTCAGGTGCCTAGCCTCGTGACAGCGCCAGAAAACCTTTTCATACTTGACAGGTATGACGATGTCAGCACGAGAGATGACATGCATCGACAGAAAATCGATGAAGTTTTGCTTCTCCGGCCGATTCCAAGTGATTTCCATCAATAAGTTAGACCTATCTAGACCTGATCGTCTTAAGATCACGTTCCAAGCACCAACACTCCATCCAGCTCCTGCCCCAATGACAATATTGTGTGAACTGCTCATGTTTGTGAGGCGGGGTGAGAAGACAGAGATAGTCATCTCGAGCTGACTTGAAGCCATGGCGGGCGGCATGGTTGACGTGTAAGATTAAGTTGAGGTGCTGTTGTATCGCGAGGTTGTTTGGTGTGAGGAGAAAAGATGGAGGAAAAAAAGGGAGGCTTCCTGACCATTTCTTTTTTCGATTTATCAATGCATGAATTGTGCGTGCATGTGAAGGATCGCAAGGGTTGTCACCCAAGCATCTTTTATTGGTCTCATGTGAAAGAACAAAAAAGATACTACGAGGTAATAAAAAAGGTAGCGTGGGAACCAGTCCGTCACCGTTGTTGCCGTGCGATGGCGCACTTGGCCTACTCGTTGGATAGAAGACTCTGCTCGACGATGGTCTAGGGGTTCTCGAGTCCATAATGGACAGCGGAATACTTGAGCTCCTTCCAGGTCACATTCTTGAGAAGCCAAGGTGTTTTCTGGTTCAGAGGGCGCCAACCGACAGAGCCCTTGGTCTTGCCTGCAGAGTCACACCACACCAAAGAGGCCTTGTCGGTTTCGCTCAGCACAGCACGATCGATCTTGTTAGTGTAAGAGGAAACACTGAGCCTCCCAAGACCGATGTTGGAGAAGGCTTTTCAAAATCGAAGGTGAAGCAGGCATCGACCGTGCTAAAATGCAACATCAAAGGAAAGATGTCTCTCCGTTTCGACGCGGGAGCCACAGGTGCGGAAACGGATGGGGGGTTGGCAAGGTCGTGGCGAGTTCGACGTCTGTGGAGAAATATTAGGTCTAAGTCGCACTAGAGGTCGTTGCAAAGGAAAGATGAATGATGTCATCAAGATGAAAGAGCACCAAAAGCGGCAACAGAACAAAAGGCCTTTATGATTCGTGTGATGACTCACCTTTGGCGTGATCGACTGCAAGGTGCGCACACACGTAACATTTGCAGTGAATAGAATGAAACCTGACAGGGGCGTTGAAAGGCTGCAAAGTCGTGTAGCGGTAGGTCATCGCCACGGTTAGATCAGTAGAGCTTGTGCGTGTCAGCATCACTTTCCAGTTCTCTTCTCCATCGTGACCCGGATCCGATGGCGAACGACCGTGATTCGGAAAATAGTATGATAACAGGGCAAACAGTGTTCTTAGTCATCTCGAGGTGGAGCATTGCAGTGGCGGAAGGCATGGGTTGAAGTCGCAGGAGTTGAATCGCTAGCGGAGTAGGAAGGTCAAATACAAAAGAGAAGAGTAGAAAGAAGGATGAAGTCCCTGCGAGGATGTGCTGAAGGAAAAAAAATGGAGGTAGAGTGGAGCAAGTCAGAAAAATAAGAAAAAATGCCGAGGATGACAGCGTTGAGGTTGCTGCCCGACAGGGGCTGACACATCCATCAGTTGATGCGATACAAAGTGAATAGATGCTCAGAGTCCAAGTGCTGGACTGACATTTCAAATTCACAGGCGCGCGAGTAGTCGGGAAGGGGCGCGTAGAAAAAAAAAACACAAAGTGTGACAACAGGCGAAAAAAAAACCTAAAATTGATGTTGACGCGTCTTGACGCTGGGCGTCGAAAAGGCTAAAATGACACGTCGAAGTGTGCTCACACAAGCTGCTTCTGCTTTGGAATGATTTTTTTTCAATTGATCTTTTACTTGTGAATTTCCAAGGATGAGATCTTTTGTTTGTCAGCCACCACACCTGGGAAGTGACAGCTGTACACGTATGACAATGCACTCATTTTACTTCACCCTCTCCAGTTCTTGTTCTACTTTTAACACATACTTTTCTCAGCCAACTTCTTTGCTCTCATCTCTCCACTCAATCATATTCTCACCAACACAATGTCTTCTCGTCTTCTCCGATACTTTGCTGGATCGACCCTTCTTCGCACCCAGTCTGTCCGTAGCATCGCCACTCCTATGCGAGGCACCATTGCTGCGCGGTCTAATATCCAAATCGCCGCTGCCGCCGCTGGCCCCCTCCAATTCTCACATCCACCTCCCACTCGCTTCCTGATCCCCAGATCCCCCATTCGCCGTGCATTCGCCGCGATCTCCAACAAAAAATTACCTCCATGTGGCAAGCACTGCACCTGCAACTATGACGCTGAAAAGGAGTCCTTGATCTCGGCGCAGCGTTGGACTATCGTGTGCTTTGCTGGCTTGGCTATGTCGTTTGCGGTATTTTATACTCGGATCTTGTTAGAAGGTATGAGTTGGTGTTTTTTTTCCCCTGAAGAACTGTCATGTTCGTTTGGGCTTAACGCTCGTTGAGATACATTCGTCTGATATTTTTTTTCATCTCGTTCCTTTGCTTCTTTCGTTGTCTGTAGCATCAATGCAACCTTTCTCGAAGAGAAAACGGTCCAGCCTAAAAGTGACCCCAGGCCCCCACTGCTACCGACTCGACTACTGAATAGAAATCCTAAACCGAGTCTGTGAAAAAAATGAAGAATAAGGCGCTCTTCGTTGTTTTTGTGAATGGCTGGAAAATAAAAAAGGCGTGCTTTCATTCCGTGGTGCTGAAAACCACACCTACCTCGTCGGCTCTTTTATTTGGGGCATCCGACTATCCCTGTGGTCCTTCTTTTTTTGCTTTCCGAAAGCAATGACGGCGAAAGTTATGCCATTGCAAGCCATGCTTGCTACCGCCTTTTCTTTTTACACCTCTACCCCCCGCCTTTTCATATACCCTTACTTCCTTCACTAATCTACTCTTACCCAAACTGTCATGTCTTATCACGCTCTCAGACTCCTCGTTGACTCGACTCTATTTCGCAATCAAGTCATTCGAGGTATCGCCACTCCTTTGCAAGGTATCATCGCAGTTCACTCTCAGACCCAGCTCGCTATAGCCACCGCCTGCCCCCTCCATACCCCATCTGCGACTCCTGCTCGCCTCCTAATCCCCAGATCGACTATCCATTGAACCTTCGCCATGTTCTCCAAAAAGGAGACCACTATATGCAGCAAACAGTGTGCTTACAACTGTGAGGCCGAGAAAAAGTCCATAATCTTCTTGCAGCATTTGGCCGTCGTGTGTGTTCCAATTATTGGCTTATCCTTTGCGGCAATGGTGTTCTAACACTTGTTAGGATGTTATCGTGAATAGCTCTTTTAGTTCCCCCAGAATTGACACTCCTATATGTGTTTGAAGCTGCATGAAAGGCATATGTCTAACCTTTTTTTCGTTTGGTTCCTTTCTCAATCCGGACAATGTCAAATTCAACACCTACGGAATAAAAAGATGGCTGCGTCCCGCCATTGACACCAGGACTGCCACTGACAACGAGTCGAACACCTAGTAGAGCTCATGGACTGAGAAAAGAAAAAATAGAGTGGGTTCATGGTGCCAAATGACCATCTCCGTTTCTTTGTAATGAAAACTTAACCTCCCCTCAAGCCTGGCCTTTTTTTTTCGCTTGGCGCGTCCAAGTGGTTCCTTTTATGTCCCGAGTCAATGACAGCAAAAGGTACCAACTGCAAGCCTTGATACTTGGCACCTCACCACTTGTTACGCGCTGATGGGTCATCCGAGAAAGGAAAAAATCGCTCAATCCACACCTTTTTTCAAGCACTATTAAAAGACACCTTGATCCACTCTTCACTTTTCTCACATCTTTCTCTCGCCCTTGCGCACAAAAAAAAGTCCCCATTTTCAGCATGTATTCATCATTTCTTCGCCAGTTCCTCCGTCTTGGTCTTCTTCGGGCCCAGTCCATTCAACCAACACCCTCGTTTCGTCTCCAAGCTCTTGCTCGTCCCTCCCCTGTTATCTCAACTCTGGCTTTTCATCGCACTCTACAAACCAGCGCCACCAGGAAAGGGAGGATGCCACGAAATTGCTGTGCCTGCAAATGCGATGGTGATTGCGGTGGAAATTCTTTTCGGCTATTTGGTTGACGGTAACTGTCACCTCATTCTTCGTGTACCTGGTTGGCTCTGTGTCTTTGCAGTTTCTGGAGGTGACCCCGTAAGGACCATGCTTTACACACGTCCTTGTGTTCTTTACAGATGTGCATTTGACGATGCCTGACAGATGTTTTATTTTCTCTTTTCTTTTTGTCAGTGGGAACTGGATCGTCCTCACCAATGGGGAAACTGGAGTCAAGATCACCAGCGCAGAGAATGAAGTGAATGTCACCTCATATAGCAACTGAAGGTTGAGCCGCTAGTCCCTCAAGCCAGGCACAGATACCAGATAAATACACAATCTATTTTTCTTATTCTTATGTAGCCACTATGCATCATCTGTCAATGTAGTGTTGGGAGTTCCTGCGCGGCACTGACGTGAACTAGGTCGATGACTGAAAGAGTAATAGAAAGCAAGCCTTGCAACACTTGCACCTCAGCCGAAAAGGACTGAGGTCTACCTATAAAAGCAATGTGCATGTTTTCTTTCAGCAGCCACCTCTCTTCTCTCACACATGCATGTACACATCATAACGACACCTTTCTTTCGTTCACTGCTCCAGTTGAGTCTTCGTCGTACTCAATCCGAACAATTCATCATCAGTTCACTTCGAAGTCTTGTAGCTCCTTTTCGACTCACCAACCCTGCCATTCGTCCTCTTGTTTCTAATCAAACTAACCATCAAACCACCATCACCAACGCCGCCGCAGCCGGAATTTCGACCCCAAAATCTGAAGGCTTACCAACCTACCTCCCCTGCGCGTGTTACACCAATTACAAAGAGATTGATATAATGTGGAAGCAGGTGTGCACAGTACTCAAATTTGGATTCTACACCACCGCCGGCATGTGCTCTTGCCGTTATAAAAACACAATGTAATGTGTTTTTCAGCAGTAAGCGCCAAATGCCCACGAAATGAAAAAGGAAAAAAAAAGGATAGAAAAAGCACCCAATCGGAAGTTGAAAGCTCACGCGACAAGGCCTGCCCGTACTTTACTTGTCCTTGTTCTTGTTGACTTTCTTTGTTCTCCGAGCAATGATGATGGTTGGGATCCGAAAATAAGAATGCTAAGCCCATGCGTGTCTTCAAAAGGAGCAAAATTTACGACCTCTTTACCATGTACCCGCTCACCCCACATTCCCAACAAACAGACAGAAAAGCGCGACATTCGCTTCCATTGCTTGCTCATTATTTCACACAAAACATAACCCACGTCCTTCCCGTGAAAGTACCACATATACCCCCCAAACACACACAGCACACTATTGACCATGTCCACGCTTATCCTCAGAAACCTCTCCCGATCAAGCCGACTCCTTCGCACACACCCACTTCGTGTCACAGCACCAACTATCACCACCACCCCTCTCCGTATACAGATGTCAAGATCTACCGTCCAACAACTAACCCCTGACCACCGAGACGACTACTAAGACAGCCCAAAAAGATATTCCTCCCTGTGGCGACCGATGTACCTGCGACTACGAGAACGAAAAGAATAATAAATCGTATCGGTGGTTGAATATCACCATGATCTCAATGATGTTCTTTTTGTCGACGAAGACACTTATTGAACTCTATGACATGTAAGTGGCTCCCGATCCTTGGGGGGGGGGTTTTTTTTGGTTGATTTTGATGATTTCAATTATTGTGCGACCATGCTAAAACCTCATACCGTTCTTTTCTTCCCCTGATTTAGAAAGACCAAGCCCGACGACGATGACATGGACACGGCATCTGAAAGCGAGGCCTCTGAATCGATATCTCAATAATATACATGGTATCCTATCACCAATACTGCATGTTCTTTTTTGTTCGGCATGGGTGCTAAACGGCGTGAAGGGGTTATGGAAAGAAGATATTTTTTTCAGTTTAAATCCCCTCAGCCCTGAAATCATTATTTTTCGTTTCCACAATTTGCGTTAAAAGCAATAGCGGGTGGGCCCTGTTGATTGATTGTATGTTTTGCTTTGGGCGGAGTGGATTCTTGGGACATATTTTCTCTGAGGGAGAGACATCTTGGTGGTAGAGAAGAAGAGAAAGTATCAGCAATTGCTGGTGACGGCGGTGGTGTGTAGTGTCCAAGGTGCGAGAGAAAAATGATAACAGTGAAAAGAAGAGAAGGAAGGGTGGAGAGCGAAAGAGAAGCGAAGTTTGGTTGTGCGAGTAAAAAACTGGAGGAGAAAGGAAGCAATACAACCCCATTGTTGGCTTGGACCGATTTTTAGTTCCTCGATTTGATTTCCAATCCCCTCCTGCCTTCCGACCCATATATGAATTGCTCATGTTGTGATTGGACCTATCGACCTTCATGCCTGCCATCGAAATCAGCATGATACATTTTTTGATCCTATTAGAAAGTAAACATCGCCCTCACTGCCCGATTATTCAGAACTAATGCAAATAGCAAACGACATGTAGGCCATTGTTTATACTTTAATAAAAGCTGGCTCCATATTGGCGCAAATAGTAAAGACGTCCCAGTGCCTCCATGTGTCCTTGCCTGCCCGCTTCCAAATACCACTCCATCGCGGTCGTAACATCCTGCGGTACTCCATCACCGTACTCATATAAGCCTCCGAGGATGTACTGAGCCTGGCTGTGGCCTTGTCTGGCAGCCTTGAAAAACCATCTTGATGCCTGCGAGTAGTCCACAGGCGCACCGTGACCGTTCTGGTACATGAGCCCAACGCTGCATTGCGCCTCCATGTAATCTTGATCAGCAGCCTTGCGAAACCATGTCATCGCCAGAGAATAATCATGACCGTCGTAATATAGACAGCCGATGTTGTGTTGGGCAGTCGCGCTTCCTTGATTGGCCGCCTTCACGTACCACTCTATCGCCTTGCGAACATCCTTCGCCACTCCGCAGCCGTCTCGGTAAAGACCGCCGATGTTTTCCTGGGCGTCTGGATGTCCTTGGTCAGCCGCCTTTAGGAACCACTCCATTGCCTTGGAATAGTCTCTGGCCACGCCGTTGCCGTCGCGGTACATGCCACCGAGGTTACTTTGAGCGAAAGAGTCGTTTTTTTCGGCGGCCTTGTAGTACCAATCGATTGCTCGTTTGTAATGTCCTGGTACACCTTCACCGTAGAAATAAAGGTTGCCGATGTGGGTGTATGAGTCCACGTCTTCTTGAGCAGCTGCCTTCAAATGCCACTCCATCGCTTTGAAAAAGTCCTGAGAGGTGCCTTGTCCTTCTCTGTGTAGAATACCGACGTTACTCTGGGCTCCCGCATCTCCTTGGTCGGCGGCTTTGAGGTTCCAGGTCAAGGCTGCAAAGTAGTCCTGTGTCACGCCCAAGCCATAATGGTACATATAGCCGACTCTGCGCTGACCAATAGCATACCCTTGATCGGCAGCCCGGAGAAACCATTCTATAGCCGCTTGGTAGTCCTGCTGAACTCCCTCGCCATCCAAATACATATCGCCAAGAGCGACCTGAGCTTCCTTGTCGCCGAGATTTGCATTGATGCTCGTTTGAGTAAAGTCACTGGATACGATCGACGCAGTTTCTTGCACGGCTACTGATTGTGGTTTGTTGTCGTCTTCGGAAGATGTTGGCATTTCGACTGCTACTGTTGGCGTGTCGTCATGTAGCCATTTCTGCGATTCACGGGCAGATTTACTGGAAGCAGGGCTGTCGATATCTAGGCCGTAGTCCGCTGCAGCATCTTTTAAACTAGAAATCTGGCCCTGTTCCGTAGTAGAGGTAGCGTCGGTGATACTATTGTCTGTGTTGCTCCTCTGTTCCTGTGACAACTCTGGTGGTGGCTCCATGACATTTTCCTGAAGTGAGGCAGGCTCGGTGTCGATAGCGGTATCTGGCGCAGAAACTTGATAGGGTGGCAATCTAAATAACGAGGCGATGAATAAATAAGGTCAGCGTAGGAACGATAATTGAGTCATCAAGACATAACTCCGTTATATACGTACAGGTCCAAGTGGAGGTCGTTGGTATGGGCTGTGGGTCTTGGAGCTGAAGCGTCAGAGGAGTCAAGACTGTCCCTGATGTTAAGGCGGTCTACTCGGAGGTCTTGAACTTCGACCTGTTGCATTATTTAGTCGCTGTTGGATTGTTCTTGGGAGGAGAAGGGTTGGACTCGGACGTTTGAGGCGCCGTAGGTGGAGTGATGGAGAAGGATGAATAACGGAAATGAATGAGGGCAAGAGAGAGCGGGATGAGAGAAAAGAGATGAAGGAAAGAAGTAAAGAAGGAAAGAAGGGGAGGGCTGAGAAGAAAAGAGAGCATGAGAAAGACGAGAAAGAACAGAGGAGCAGCTGCGGTAGAGCTTGGCCACAACATTAATCAAAAATGGTATCCAGGGCGTGAGACTGGGAAACTCACCAGTGATCAAAAATTGGACGCCATCTAATCATTTTTTATCATCCCAACAAAGGACGCAGTTGCACGTTGTATACTCCCTAGAGTATTTTGTGACACTTCGTATATATACTTCTGTGCTAGGTAGCGTGCTAACGGTTACAGAAAGCAAGACATGTCAAAGGAGATGCTGACGGGCGGGGGATGAGGAGTAAAAGCCCCTGTTGTTTGCTCACAGTTCAAAAGAAATAGGATCCCTGTCGGTGCAAATACGCAAGGCGGATCTGTGCCTCCGAATGTCCCTGCTTGGCCGCCTTCATATACCACTCCTTTGCTGCATTGATGTCTTGGGGTACTCCGTCTCCATACTCACACAAAATTCCAAGGACATACTGCGCGCTCTCAAACCCTTGCTTGGCGGCCTTCAGAAACCACACCGACGCCTGCGAGTAGTCCACAGGTACACCGTGACCGTTCTGGTGCAAGCACCCAATGCCGTGTTGTGCGTCCGGGATGTCTTGATCTGCAGCCTTGAGATACCACTCCATCGCTCGAACGTAATCCTGATCCACTCCTTGTCCGAAGTCGTAGAGATAGCCAATATTATATAGGCCGTCTCGGTGTCCTTGCTCAGCCGCCTTAACAAACCACTCCCTTGCCTTGGAATAGTCCTGGGGCACTCCTTTACCGTCGTAATACAGACAACCGATGTTGAAGTAAGCGTCTGCGTATCCTTGGTCGGCAGCCAAGAGAAACCACTCCATCGCCTTGGAGAAATCCTTCGCCGAGATTGGCATTGATGCTCATTTGAGCAAAGTCCGTGGTGATTATGGACGCGGATTCCTGCGGTGCTTGCACCTGCAGTTTGTTGTCGACTTCGGAAAATGTTGGCGTTTCGACCGCAACAGCTGAAATGTCGTGCAGTAATTCTTCCGTTTGTTGAACTGATTCACTGGAAGCAGAGTTACTGATATCAAAGCTGTTGTCCGCTGTGACATCATTTAGACCAGAGACCTGGTCTTGTTCCGTAGTAGAGGTAACGTCGGTGATGCTGTTGTCTGTGTTGCTCCCCTGTCCTTGTGACGACTCTGGTGGTGTCTCCATGACATCTTCCTGTAATGAGGCATCCTCGGCGTCGACAATGGCATTCTGCATCAATCTAAAGCAAAGAATGAAAAGAAAGGAGTAGAAAGGTCAGCGCTGGCACTTTATTCGAGCGAGCAAGGAAAAGCTCTGTGCTATACGTACGGGTTCAAGTGATCATTGGCAAGGATGGTGTTTCCTGAAGATGAGGTGTCGTGGGAGTCACCTTGTGGCATTATTTAGTCGCTGTTGGGTTGTTCTTGGGAGGAGAAGGGTAGGGCTTGAAGAAGGAGGGAAAGAATTATAGTCCGTGGAGTGATGGGGAAGGATGAACAATAAAAGGCTAGAGGAAGTGAAAGGAGGATGAGAGAAAGAGACTGACAGGAAAGAAAAGTAGATGGACTGAGAAGTGAAGAGAGGAGAAAAGAATAGGAAGGGGGTGGCGCTCAGAACTTTTATGAGCAGTTTCCATTGGCCGTTGATAAAAGGGTTTCCAGGGCATGAGAAAATGACACTCTTCATTCCAGCAATGGACGGAATTGCACATTGTATGCTTCCAAGAATACTTTTTTGGCACTTCTTATATATTCTTCTGTGCTAGGTAGGTGTAGATGGTTGCAGAAAGCAAGACATGTCAAAGGAGATGCTGACGGCCGGGGATGAGGAGTAAAAGCCGCTGTTGTTTGCTCACAGTTCAAAAGAAATAGGATCCTTGTTGGTGCAAATAGGCAAGTCGGGTCCGCGCCTCCCAGCTCCACTGCTTGCCTGCCTTCAGATACCACTCCATCGCTGTCGTAACATCTTGCGGTACTCCATCACCGTACTCATACAGTCTCCCAACGGCATACTGAGCCTCGTCGTGGCCTTCCTTGGCAGCCTTGAGGAGCCACACCGATGCTTGCGAGTAGTCTATAGGCACACCGTGACCGTTCTGGTACATGAGTCCAATGCTGTATTGTGCCTCCATGTAATCTTGATCAGCAGCTTTGCGGTACCATGTCATCGCCTGAACATAATCCTGTTCCACTCCTTGTCCGTCATAGTACAAACATCCGAGGTGGTACTGCGAAAGTACGTTTCCTTGCTCGGCCGCCTTAGCAAACCATTCCCTTGCCTTGGAATAGTCCTGCATCACTCCCGCACCGTCACGATACAGTCCACCGAGGTTATATTGCGCGTGTTGATCGTCCTGTGCGGCGGCTTTGCTGTACCAGTCGAATGCTTGGGAGTAATCGTGCGGTACACCAAGACCGTCGTTATACATATTGCCGATGTGGTTCTGTGCGTCTGCGTTTCCTTGGTTGGCACCCAAGAGGAACCACTCCATCGCCTTGGAGAAATCCTGCACCACTCCTTGTCCGTATCGGTAGTTGTGTCCGATGTTAGTTTGGGCATAGGAGTCGTTCTGTTCGGCAGCCTTGTGGTACCGCTCTAATGCTTGGGTGAAATCTTGGGGAACACCAAGACCGTCGTTATACATATTGCCGATGTGTATGTGCGCATCTGCGTTTCCTTGACCAGCGGCTATAAGGAACCACTCCATCGCTTTCGAATAATCCAGAGGGACTCCTTGACCAAAGCGGTAGCAATAACCAATGTTGGATTGGGCCTGGGCGTTTCCTTGGTCTGCAGATTTGAGATACCAGGTGAGCGCTGTGGAGTGGTCCTGTGTGATACCGAGTCCATGATCATAGAGGACGCCTACTTTGCGCTGACCAACGGCATCTCCTTGTTCGGCGGCTCGGAGGTACCATTCCATAGCGGCTTTGTAGTCTTGTTGCACTCCCTTGCCATCCTTGTACATGTCTCCAAGAGCCACCTGAGCGTCCTTGTCGCCGAGATTGGCATTGATGCTCGTTTGGGTAAAGTCCGTGGAGATGATGGACGCAGACTCCTGCGGCGCTTGCACCTGTAGTTTGTTGTCGACTTCGGAAGATGTTGGCGTTTCGACCGCAACAGATGACATGACGTCGCACAGCAATGCTTCCGTTTGTTGAGCCGATTTACTGGAAGCAGAGTTACTAATATCAAAGCCGTTGTCCGCGGTGTCATCTTTTAGACCAGAGACCTGGTCTTGTTCCGTAGTAGAGGCAACGTCGGTGATGCTGTTGTCTGTGTTGCTCCCCTGTCCTTGTGACGACTCTTGTAATATCTCCATGACATTTTCCCGTAATGAGGTGGCGGTTTCTGGCGCAATTTGATGAGGTGACAATCTAAATAACAGGGCCATGAATAAACAGTGTCAGCGTAGGAACGATAACTGAGTGATAAAGACACAATGCTGTTATATACGTACGGGTCCATGTGTGGGTCGTCGATATGGGTTGTGGATATCGGAGCTGAAGCGTCGGAGGAGTCAAGACTGTCCCTGGTGTTAAGGCGGTCTACTCGGGGGTCGTGAACTTCGACCTGTTGCATTATTTAGTCGCTGTTGGATTGTTCTTGGGAGGAGAAGGGTTGGACTCGGACGTTTGAGGTGTCGTAAGTGGAGTGATGGAGAGGGATGAGCAACGAAAAGGGATGAGGGAGAATGAGAAAGGGATGAGAGAAAAGAGATGAAGGAAAGAAGGAATGGGCTGAGAAGAAAGAGAGCATGGCATGTTTTTCGCACCGAAGAAAAAGAACAGGAGAGCTGCGGTAGAGCGGTGCGCCTGTTACTCCATCGATCAAAATGATTCCAGGGCGAGACTGAGAAACTCACCAGCGATCAAAAATTGCAAGTGACATTCTCACTACGCTTTTTATTTGTTTCCTGACCCGTCGCACTTGGCAGATTTTAGAAAACCCTACATTCCGACACATATACCCAATATGTACACAACTGCATTTCTGGAAGGGAGCCTGCTACAAAAGTAACTTCAATAGAAATAGGATCCCTGTTGGTGCAAACAGGCAAGGCGGGTCCGCGCCTCCCAGCTACACTGTTTGGCAGCCTTCAGATACCACCCCATCGCTGTCGTAACATCCTGCGGTACTCCATCACCGTACTCATATAGTCTCCCAACGATATACTGAGCCTCTTCGTGGCCTTGGTTGGCAGCCTTGAGGAGCCACACCGATGCTTGCGAGTAGTCTATAGGCACACCGTGACCGTCCTTGTACATGAGCCCAGCGTTGTATTGTGCCTCCATGTAATCTTGATCAGCAGCTTTGCGGTACCATGTCATCGCCTGAACATAATCCTGTTCCACTCCTTGTCCGTCATGGTACAAACACCCGAGGCGGTGCTGGGAATATGCGTTTCCTTGCTCGGCCGCCTTAACAAACCACTCCCTTGCCTTGGAATAATCCTGCGTCACTCCCTTACCGTCACGGTACAGATAGCCAACGTTTGCCTGGGCCTCTGCGTGTCCTTGTTCAGCCGACTTAATAAACCATTCCATTGCCTTAGAAAAGCTCTGCGCCACGCCTTTGCCGTTACGGTACAGACATCCGAGATTACACTGGGCGTCTTGATCATCCTGCACGGCGGCCTTGTTGTACCAGCCGAATGCTCGGGAGTAATCCTGGGGCACACCTAGACCGTCGTTATACATAGTGCCGATCTGGTTCTGTGCTTTTGCGTATCCTTGATTGGCAGACAAGAGATACAACTCCATCGCTTTGGAAAAGTCCTGAGTGGTGCCTCGGTCTCGTCGGTACAGATGGCCAGCGTTGCACTGGGCTCCTGCATCTCCTTGGTCGGCGGCTTTGAGGTTCCAGGTCAAGGCTGCTTGGTAGTCCTGTGTGACGCCCAGGCCATAATGGTACATATAGCCGACTCTGCGCTGACCAATAGCATATCCTTGATCGGCAGCCCGAAGAAACCATTCCATAGCCGCTTGGTAGTCCTGCTGAACTCCCTCGCCATCCAAATACATATCGCCAAGAGCGACCTGGGCTTCTTTGTCGCCGAGATTGGCATTGATGCTCGTCTGAGAAAAGTCCGTGGAGACAATGGTAGCAGATTCCTGCACAGGTGTTGAGTTTGAGTCGTTGGCGTCGTTGGAAGACGTCGGTGTTTCGACCTCAGAGAGAGCTGGCTTGTCGTCGCAAGACAATTTTTCCGTTTGTTGAGCAAGTTCGTTTGAGGGATGACTGTCGATAATAGAGTTGGTATTTATTGTAGCCTCTTGCAGATCCGACGACTCTGGCGGCGCCTCCATGACCTTTTCCTGTGACGATATGTCCTCGGCGTCGACGATAGTATCTTGCACTATTCTAATAAAAAAAAATAGAAAAATATCAAACAAAAGGTTAGAAAGGTCAGCGCGGGCACCATACTTGAGCGAGCACCATACTTGAGCGAGCAAAGACACGAATCTGTGGGATACGTACGGGTCCAAGGAAGCATCGGCAGGGATGGTGTTTCCTGAGGGAGAGGTGTCGGGTGAGTCAAGACTCTTGCTGATATGAAGGTGGTCAACTTGGAAGTCTTGGAAGTCGTCTTGCAGCATTATTCGGTCGTTGTTGGTTGTTCTTAAGGGGAGAGAGGCTAGGGAGGGAAAAAAAGAGTAGTCGGTGGAGTGATGGAGTAGAATGAACAAAAAGTCAGAAGTTAAAGGGAGATGGGAGAGAGAGACTGACAGGGAAGAAAAGTAGAAAGGCTGAGAAGTGAAGAGATGAAAATAAAGAGGAGACAAGAAGACGAAGGTGAGTGGCGCAATGCTAAGAAAAAAATAAGAGCGTTTTCCACTCGCCGTTGATAAAAGGGTTTCCAGGGTGTGAGAAAAAGAAACTCATCGGTGATCAAAAATTGGACGTCGTCTAGTTTTTTCTTAAGAATATTTTTGGACACGTCCTATATATTCTTCTGTGCTAGGTAGAGCGCCGACGTTACAGAAAGCAAGACATGTCAAAGGAGATGCTGACGGCCGGGGATGAAGAGTGAAAGCAGTTGTTGTTTGCTCATAGTTCAAAAGAAATAGGATCCTTGTTGGTGCAAACAGGCAAGGCGGGTCCGAGCCTCCCAGCTACACTGTTTGGCAGCCTTCAGATACCACCCCATCGCTGTCGTAACATCCTGCGGTACTCCATCACCGTACTCATATAGCCTCCCAACGGCATACTGAGCCTCGTCGTGGCCTTCCTTGGCAGCCTTGAGGAGCCACACCGATGCTTGCGAGTAGTCTATAGGCACACCGTGACCGTTCTGGTACATAAGCCCAATGCTGTATTGTGCCTCCATGTAATCTTGATCAGCAGCTTTGCGGTACCATGTCATCGCCTGAACATAATCCTGTTCCACTCCTTGTCCGTAGTTGTACAAACATCCGAGGTTGTGCTGAGAAAATGCGTTTCCTTGCTCGGCCGCCTTAACAAACCACTCCCTTGTCTTGGGATAGTCCTGTGCCACTCCCTCACCGTCACGGTACAAACAGCCAACGTTTGCCTGGGCGTCTGCCTGTCCTTGTTCCGCCGACTTAATAAACCATTCCATTGCCTTAGAAAAGCTCTGCGCTACCCCTTCGCCGTCACGGTACAGACATCCGAGGTTATACTGGGCGTGTTGATCATCCTGTACGGCGGCCTTGTTGTACCAGTCGAATGCTTGGGAGTAATCCTGCGGTACACCATGACCATTGCAGTAAAGATTGCCGATGTGATTCTGTGCATCTGCCTCTCCTTGGTCGGCTGCCAAGAGGAACCACTCCATCGCCTTGGAGAAATTCTGCGACACTCCCTCGCCGTAATAGTAACTGTAACCGATGTTGGTTTGGGCGCAGGAATCTTGCTGCTCGGCAGCCTTGTGGTACCATTCCAGCGCTTGGGAGAAATCCTGGGGCACTCCAAGACCGTCATTATACATAATGCCGATGTGGGTGCGTGCATCTGCGTTTCCTTGACCGGCAGCCGTGAGGAACCATTCCATAGCTATGGAATAATCCAGAGGGACTCCTTGACCATAACGGTAGCAATAACCGATGTTGGATTGGGCCTGAGCATTCCCTTGGTCTGCAGATTTGAGATACCAGGTGAGTGCTGTCGAGTGGTCCTGTGTGACACCGTGTCCATGATCATAGAGGACGCCTACTTTGCGCTGACCAACGGCATCTCCTTGTTCGGCGGCTCGGAGGTACCATTCCATAGCGGCTTTGTAGTCTTGTTGCACTCCCTTGCCATCCTTGTACATGTCTCCAAGAGCCACCTGAGCGTCCTTGTCGCCGAGATTGGCATTGATGCTCGTTTGGGTAAAGTCCGTGGAGATGATGGACGCAGACTCCTGCGGCGCTTGCACCTGTAGTTTGTTGTCGACTTCGGAAGATGTTGGCGTTTCGACCGCAACAGCTGACATGTCGTGCAGCAATTCTTCCGTTTGTTGAGCTGATTCACTGGAAGCAGAGTTACTGATATCAAAGCTGTTGTCCGCTGTGACATCATTTAGACCAGAGACCTGGTCTTGTTCCGTAGTAGAGGTAACGTCGGTGATGCTGTTGTCTGTGTTGCTCCCCTGTCCTTGTGACGACTCTGGTGGTGTCTCCATGACATCTTCCTGTAATGAGGCATCCTCGGCGTCGACAATGGCATTCTGCATCAATCTAAAGCAAAGAATGAAAAGAAAGGAGTAGAAAGGTCAGCGCTGGCACTTTATTCGAGCGAGCAAGGAAAAGCTCTGTGCTATACGTACGGGTTCAAGTGATCATTGGCAAGGATGGTGTTTTCTGACGAAGAGGAGTCGTGGGAGTCACCTTGTGGCATTATTTAGTCGCTGTTGGGTTGTTCTTGAGAGGAGAAGGGCAGGACTTGGAGAAGGAGAGAAAGAAGTGTCGTTGGTGGAGTGATGGAGAAGGATGAACAAAAGAGTAGGATGAGGAAAGGTGAATGGGGGATGAGAGGAAAGAGAGGATAGGAAAGGTAAGATGAAAAGGCTGAGAAAAAAGAGGAGGAAGCTGTTAATGTAAAGTACTTCATTGATCAATGATTTCCAGGGCGTGAGACTTTGAGGCCCATCAGAGATGAATATTTTGAAACCGCGCCACCCTCGTGGAAGCGAAGAGGTGGAAGGCGGATGGCTCTTGTGTTGTTTTCGAATTCCTTTGCTCCCTCATGCCTCAATGTCTTCCTCACCCTCTCCTTCAACTTCCTGTTGTCGAGCAGCCAACCCAACGGCGAGAGCGAATGTGACCTCGACCTCTTCGTCTCAGGGTTCTTCTTCATCAGTTACAATTGTGGCCACGACATCATCATCATCCACCGCGACATCCTCTTCCTCCATGGTGAATGTTGAGGCCTCCTCTTCACCTTCTGGGTCTAGGTCCACCTTTCGCGTCACAACAACTTCGCAGGGTGATACAGTTGATAATGGCGATCCCTCCTCCTCAATAGCTCCAGCACCAGCTGCCTCACGACCATCGCGATCGGTGCCGCTTGTACCCCAGCCCGCCTATCGGTTTATATTGCACTTTCGACAAGGCGTACGAGGGAACTACAAGCGCAAGTCTATCAACAGTATCCCCTCCACTGTCGCGTGGACCTTCAAGAGTGGACACACTTTCGACGTCCTACTCGCTCTTATTAGGACCTTCTCCCGTGTACACGCACCATTGATTTGGCCTCAAAACGATCTTCCCGACATCATGTCATCACCCAGTAAAGGCGCAAGACTACAAGGCGCTGTGACTCTGAACGAGGAGAACTACCTGCAGACAACCGACAGCTCATGGAGAGCATGGACAAGGTCAGGAAAGCACGGTGGGGTTCTTCAATTGATTATATACATGGCCGAGTCTGTCGCTCCTGGTGCCCAGTCAACGTCTTGACGAACAGGAGGACGATGTGCAGTATCTGTCCAAACTATCGATGCCACTGCTTGGGAATAATATCGTTCTTCCAAACAACAGCACGTCTCAACAAGCCCGCCAAGTGGATAATATTTCACGTCGGGTGCAAGAGAAGAGTAGAGCAGGTGAAGTAGAAGGTTTGGAGGACGACGAGTTCGTTCCAGTTCGAGTCAAGGTGGATTTGGAGGTCACCGTTAAACTGCCTAGACAGGACTTGGCAAAAGTGCTTGGTTTGCCTCCAGGGCTCAACCTTTCTTCTTTCAACTTTTTTGGTCAAAATCATTCAGGAAATCATTCTCCAGATACCCCAAAAGAGACCATTTGACTGATGATGGCGACGATGAACATTTCATCTCGAAGTACTCCTTTCTGCTCGTACCCACAATGGGATAAAATATTGACAGCAGTGGTTTCTCCCTTAATACAGGCCAGCAAGGCAACATCAAGCACTATTTCCGGGAAGTGGGGGAAAATCAAATTATCATGTCGTTCTAACCATCTCTTCAGTTGTGAGAAACCGACCCCGATGGGGGTTGATCTGTGGTGAGTAGGCTGTATTTCTGGAAGAAAGAGTGGGAAAGATCTGACATTTAATAGAAATAGGATCCATGTCGGTCCAGATAGTTAAAATGTGTCTGTGCCCTCGGGTTTCCTTGCTTGGCCGCCTTCAGATACCACTCCTTTGCCGCATTGATGTCGTGGGGTACTCCATTTCCGTACTCATACAAGCTGCCAACGACACATTGAGCTCCCTCGTGCCCTTGCTTGGCAGCCTTCACAAACCACACCGATGCCTGAGAGCTGTCCACATCTACACCATGACCGCGTTGGTAAAAGTCTCCGACTATGTATTGCCCGTCTGCGCTCCCGTTTTCGGCTGCCTTGCGATACCAAACCATCGCCTGAGAAACGTCCTGATCCACTCCATCACCGTCCTCATACATCTGCCCAACTATACACCAAGCCTCCACCATCCCTTTTTCTGCGGCTCTGATGTACCATTCCATCGCTTTGGAATAGTCCCGTGGCACACCTTGACCATAGTGATACAGATCAGCAATGTTGAAGCACGCCTTTGCTTTTCCTTGTTCGGCTGCCTTGACGTACCACTCCATTGCCTTGGAAAAGTCCTGATCCACGCCTGGACCGCCAAGGTACAGACAGCCAATGTTATGTTGGGCTTCGGGGTCTCCTAGCTCGGCCGCCTTAACAAACCATTCCATTGCCTTGGAATAGTCCCTGTTCACTCCTTCGCCGTGGTAGTACAGTAAACCGATGGCGACTTGAGCGTCTGTGTGGTCTTGGTCCGCCGCTTTGACATACCACCTCATGGCCTTGGAATGGTCTAACGTCACTCCCTCGCCGTAACGGTAAGTATGGCCGAGGTTGGTCTGGGCGTAGGGCTCGTCTTGCTCGGCCGCCTTGAGATACCAGTCGTATGCCAGAGAGTAATCCTGTGGTACACCCAGGCCGCCGTTATACAAATTGCCAATGTGGTTCTGTGCCCCGGGGTTTCCTTGATCGGCAGCCTTGAGGAACCACTCCATCGCTTTCGAATGATCCAGAGGAACACCTTGGCCGTAACGGTAGAAATGACCGATGTTGGATTGGGCCTGGGCGTTTCCTTGGTCTGCAGATTTGAGATACCAGGCCAGGGCAGTAGAGTAATCCTGCGCGACTCCGTATCCGTAATCATAGAGAACACCGACCTTGCGCAGACCAACGGCATCCCCTTGTTCGGCGGCTCGGAGGTACCATTCCATAGCTGCTTTGTAATCCTTCTGAACTCCCTTGCCATCCTTGTACATGTCTCCAAGAGCCACCTGAGCGTCCTTGTCGCCGAGATTGGCGCGGACCGTCGTTTGATTTAAGTCTCTGTAAGCGGCAACAGTGGCGATGGTGTTGGGAACAAGGACTGAAGTCGACTTTTTATTTTGCTGAGAAACAGTTGGCAACGCTTCCTGAAGGGACTCCAGCGACAATTCCTCTGACGGCGTCCTGCTCGACATTTCAAGCTGGGACAAGTTGTTCTCGGCATTGTCCAATTGAGCTCTGACAACAACATCCAACGTAGCTCCAGGGACCGCAGCGATGCAAAGCGGGTTCAGGCTATTCGTAAAATGGGTTGGAATACAATGTCAGAGGATGGCCTGTATCAGAGACAAGTCGAAAATAATGGTTCCGATAAATAAATGTAGACGACAAATTTACATTTGGAAGTCCAGTCCTTTGAGGAAAGGTACGATCATAGTTCCATAGCGAACATGAACAACGTCCTTGAAGGCAGCGAGGATGTCACTCCACAAGATAATGTCGTTGCCTGAGGAGACGTCAGGGTGACAGGCGATGTGAAGGATATTATACGTTGCTGGTGGTTGTTCATTGGCTGCGCCCTCGTTTTTGTCGACCCTGCGGAAAGGCTGGGTATGAGAGTGTGTCTCTTGGATGGTCATGAGTGTTGGTTAGACAGGTAATGTTTGTTCAGAAAGAAAGGGGATTGATGTGAACGACAGATGACACAGGAGGTCCGGGGTGATGAGTCAAATGAAGAATGGAAAAAGGATGAAAGACGAAAGGGATTGAAAAAAAGGCACGGTTGCGACAGGGGGCGACTCGTGACATCTGTTTTTGATTGGTCGATTGCCGTGTTCCCTGGCGCGTTGTTTTGGGTCAACTATTGCGACAGAACTCACTTGTTCTCATGATATGTCAGACATGTCGCACTTGCTTGCCTCCCTAGCTTTTCTTTTTTCGTTTCTCTTCTCTACAACACTCCTACACAGCCCCTTGTTTTATTGGCTTTTATCCCACAATACGCTACCAAAATACTAACCCGCAGGATTCCCTGGCATTGAGAAGACACCATAGAGTCTTCTCCTTCCAAGAGGCAACCCCAAACCAATATGCTCCAAGAACTGTTTCCCCTCTAGTCGCTAGACAAACCATCCATGAAGATCGCCAATTCGCACATCTGTCCCATCTACATTTTTTTTTCGCTCGGCATTGCCACCTAGGAGATCCTCTGCAGATAAGCAGGAACGATAGTTCTGTGGGTCAACCAAGGTCGGTCATCGTTATTGCCTGCTTCGCTTTTGCTACTGCGCATTGTCCAGCAAACCCCTTACTAAATCGCAAGAACCTGCATTATGGTGTAGCTCACATGTCCCTTCCTCCTCCAATTGTAGTTGCACGCTACTCTCAAATGCTCGTATTCTTTGTTCTCTCTGAGGAGTGATAGAATGCTTTGATGATGCGAATCGGCGGGAGATATTTCATCCCTCTCACACCCACAGCCATAAATTTACTCAATCGCCGAAAAGTATGCGGGTAAGTCTGAGCGGCAGGAAGGAAGGGGTAGGATGGAAAGGGCGTAGAGCCTACAATTTGCGCATCGCGTTATTTTAGCTATCTCTCTTCCTTCCTTCTCTCATTCACCGAAAAAAATGCCTCATATGGTGAACAGTAGAGCGAAGATGCTGGTTCTGTTGTACTGTGAGTCGCCGCTTGCCAATGTTGATGAAAAGGCGGGTGGTGTCTCAGGCTGACTAGTGTTTGGCGTTGTGGGGAAGAGTGGAGTGAGGGAGATGTGCCTATCTATTCCCACTGGAGTGGAAAAAGATCCTCGTTCACAATGTCTCCTTCTCTCCACTACGTCCCTCAACCGAAAACTATGTGCATTGAATTGAACATGCAGAGTTCAAGAATGAATGGCTCCTTTGGACAAAATTATCCCCCCCATCGTATCATCGTCTACCCTTGACCAAATTAGCGGTTGTGAAGTAAAACGAAGACGGTCAAAAAATGGAAGGGATAAACTCTAAAATAATCCTTTGTGCGGCTAAACAATGATGGATGATCGGAACCGGCCCGCCCTGTCAATGCGCCCATGGTTCCCTCCCCCTTTCCTTTCGCTTTACTCCCATTGCTTTGCATTGGTGGTGCGCGTGAGAAATCCGATCGCATTCCCGCTGCTGTTGCTACTGTTGACCTTATTTGCGTGTGTTCTTTTTTCTCTTCATGCGAGTAATGCAATGCATGATTTCTTTGCCCTGCCATTTCACAAAAAGTAGGACCCAGGGCACAGACGACAAAATCCATCCGGAAATTGATATAGCCGAAAATACAGAGAGGACGGACCTTGGAACCCTGTCGAACTTAGTTGGGTACTAGGTCTCTTTTTCGTTATTCCAGGACGGAGAAATAGAGATGGACATGGATGGTATGGAGTGTTACTTTTTCCCACTTTATGTTTAGCATACCTTGTCGTTGGATGTAGCATGAAGCGAGTGAGTCAGCCAAACAATGACCTCCTTTCCTTCTTCCCTTACTCTCCTGTCTTTTTTCCTCATTGGGTACCCCTCCTTTTTGTATAAAAGTGACCTTGTCGCCGTCTTTTTCACACACTCTCTCTTTTTCTCCACACGACCTCCCTTGTCTTCTTTTTTCTCGTCCCTCTCAACTCTCAAGAACAACCAACAACCAACCACTATCCCACACCACTCTGTCAGAACCATGTCGACAGCCCCCACCTCCACCGCAACCATGGGCTTCACCTCCACCCTGCTTCCAAAACTCCTAACCCTGATCTCCCAAAACTCCAACCGCAGAAAACTCCTCCTCGCCATCATCCTCTACACCGTCTACAAATACCGTCGTTCCGTTCTCTTTGTTCGCCCCCGTCCCGACCTCCCCGGCCCCCCTGGTCTCCCATTGATCGGCAACTTTTGGGAGATGGCGACGACCCCCACGGCGGTTTTCCATCAATCGCAGGAGCGTAACTTTGCAAAGTACGGAAGGGTGTACACGATGGCGATTCCTGGGGTGGGGAGGACGATTACGGTCAAGGATCCGGAGATTATGGATCATATACTGAAGACTCACTTCTGGAACTATGAGAAGGGTACCAGGTCGAAGCAGACCATTGGTCCTCTTGCCGGCAATGGTATGTCTCCCTTTGTGAACGCATAACGAAGGCAATACAGGCAGGTTATGTGTCGTCAAGAAAGAAAAGAAACGCTAACCTTGTTTTTGTTGTCCCTGTGGTCTCCGCTTCTTGGCTGGATTAGGCATTTTCACGGCGGATGGAGAAGTAAGTTTTGTTTATGCTCACCTTTTTTCAGTTTTTCCATCTCTTTTTACCTCGGCGTGGGTACATGTCTTGTCCTCCACACACATTCTCATACTCACCCCTCCATCCTCTCTCTTTCCGCTTGGTCAATCAACCTGCAATTTATCACCAACAGCATTGGAAGTGGCAGAGACAGTATGCGAGCAAGATCTTCACCGTCAAGGCATTCCGTCAATATACCAACGACGTTTTTGTTCAGGAAGCCCAGCGTGCCATCGACTACATTGAAACCTTTGCCGACACCGGGAAGGTCGTTGATCTTCAGCGGCTCTTTTATTGCTTCACTCTCGGTAAGATTTTCTTTTCTTTTCATTTTGTTCGGCATCTTCCTCCTCCTCCTCCTCCTCCTCCTCCTCCATGATCCTTCGATCGTGTGCAGAACTGTTTTCTCCGGCAATAGTATCAACCCGGTCCTTGAATTCAACTATGCTCACGAAGAAATTAGCACCATAATGCGCTCTTTTTTTTTTTTTTTTTTTTTTAATCACCTATTGTATCTCACCAAAACATTTCCCATCGACCCCTTTACTTCATCCAAATAGATTCGTTTGGAGAGATTGCATTTGGAGAGGTATTCAATTGCCTCGGCGACCCGACAAAGGATGTAAAGTTCGCGGCAGCATTCGACAGACTCAACCACAACTTATCTGGGCGCTTCTTCTCACCCACCTACAAACTGGTCGAATGGTGGACTGGAACTGACAAGCTGATCACTGAAGACCGCACCATCATCCGTGACTTTGCACAAAAGATTATTGACCGTCGTCGTCGGGAGCGTCAGGAACAGGTTAAGGTGGATGAGGGCAAGAAGGATCTGTTGCAGTTGTTTATGGATATCGGGTCCGAGGAAGGTGGTACCCCTTTGTCGGATGATATGCTGGTGGATAGCGTGTTGAACTTTATCATCGCAGGAAGAGACACGACCGCTCAGGCATTGGCATGGACATTCTACCTCATGCACCGTCGAGGAGCTGACCCCGCCATCGTCCAGCGGATGCAAGAAGAAACCGACTCTGTCCTCCAGGGCGGTCTGCCCACCTACGAGACCACCAAGCAACAAAAGTTCGCCGAGGCCTGCTTCAACGAATCCATTCGCCTGTTCCCCGCTGTTCCCAGGAGCACCAGGATCTGCACCCAGGATGATGAGCTTCCCGGGGGCATCAAGGTGCACAAAGGCGAGCGTGTGAACTGGAACACCTATGCGATGGGAAGGGATGAGAAGATCTGGGGTCCTGATGCAAAAGTGTATAATCCCTTCCGATGGATGGAGATGAAGGAGAAGCCGACATCTTCAAAGTTCCTTTCCTTCCACCACGGGCCACGTACCTGGTAAGTTATATTTCTTTTGTGTCTCTTTCTTTCATTTCATTCCTTCATTCTTCCCTAATGTCGTCGATCGAAGTATAAATTTCCTTGGCTTTCACTAACAAGCTAGCGCTTTTTATTCTCTTTTGCTCTCTCGTAGCCTGGGCCAGGGATTCGCAGTGACAGAGGCGGTGACACTGATGTCAATGTTCTTCCAAAAGTACACCTTCGAACTCGAGAACCCGGACCAGAAGGCGAACTACATTCCCTCCCTCACCCTCCCCTTGGCCGGCGGTCTCCGTGCCCGCGTCAACCGTCGCACCGATTAAAATCCTCCACCTTTTTTGCTTTTGTGCCTAGTACATAGCCGCCCTTTCATTCCGCAAATAATAAAATGTTTTGAACAGACAACTTCGTTGAGATACCATTTTATCGCCTGGCCATAATCCTGACGCATACCTTTGCAACTTCATACAAAACGCCAACGCTGTACCGACCTCTTGAGTTTCCTAGATCAGCGGCCTTGCGGTAACACATCATCGCCTTGGAATTGTCCTGAGGCACCCACGGCCCGTTTTCATACAAGTTGCCGACATTGATTTGGGTGATAGTGTATCCCTTCTTGGCAGACTTGAGCCCCCCCCCCTCCTCCATTGCCTTGGTATAGTCCTGATCCACGCCTCAACCGTGTTCACACATTTTGCCGATCGTGCAATGAGGATGTGTCAGTCCCTTTGGTCGGTGTCTCCAAGAGCTACCTGGGCCCATGTGTCTCCATAATTGGCGTTGTTCATGGTCTGAGTGGGATCGAAGGTGGCAGTGGCAAGAGAGAATTCCTGCGGCACACTTGGTGGAAGATTGCTGGTCAACACGCTGGGGACAGCGAGACGATCGATTTTGCGGTTCGCCAAACTCAGTCACTCGGATACTTTCCAATTCTACTTCTCTCTCACACCCTCTCTCTTTCTCTCTCTCTCTCTCTCTCTCTCTCTCTCTCTCTCTCTCTCTCTCTCTCTCTCTCTCTCTCTCTCTCTCTCTCTCTCTCTCTCTCTCTCTCTCTCTCTCTCTCTCTCTCTCTCTATCCAATTTTTCTTTTGGTTAATCACCTGCAAATATCTCCTAGCAGTTTTTTCCCTTGCAAAACACAGCCCTCACAATGGCGAGGATTTGGGCATTTCTCTCAATTCCCGTCAACCTGGTGCCCTTTTGGTCGCAAACAACCCATGAAAGAATTATCCTACCAAAAACTCAATTTATGCTTCAATATGCTCCTGCACCCTTTACAAAGGCAACATTGAAGTGGAGAAATGGGAACGTATGCGGCGCCTTTTACCCATGTCTTTATAATTGTATATATGCTCTAGGTTATTATTATTATTGTTATTATTTTTGAAAAGGACAAATAACTGACAAGTTGTAGAGCTCGGCAAAAACAGAAATATGACATTGATGGTCAAGTTGCCTTTCTTCACAATCACAAAAACCGTTACGAAAATCCCAAGAGTCTCTTGTTGGGACATTGCTTGCATTCAACAACCTTGACGAAAAAGTAACTGCATGTGCAAGATTACAACATTCAATGAAAGCACCATTATCAAATCTCTTGAGATTAAACACAGCATAAATAACTACTAGGTTTTTCTGTTGGTTAACCTTTGGTTGTGATTTGATTTTATTGCTAAGCCTGGGGAACCTCGTGGGTGGCACAGTGAATGCCTCCTCCTCCAACGGCAACGTAATCAATATTGATGGCCACAACCTTTCTGTCAGGAAAAGCCTTCTGCACAATGTCACGCGCATGTTGGTCGGCTTCTTGGTCACCAAACTCGGGCATGGCGATGCCTCCATTAGCAATATAAAAGTTGACGTAGGAGGTTAGACCGCCGTTCTTGCAGTCAAGGCCGATTTTCTTGCAGCGCTTGATGTCACCTGGAGGCAGCTGGCGAATCTTGTCCGGGTTGGGCTCTGGCAGCTCAATGATCTTCAAGCGGCGTCCTTTGGCATCTGTGGCTTGTCTCAGGATCGACATGGCCTGTTCATACTGTCCGATCCAAACCTGGGACTCCTTGTCATCTTTGGAAGCTGGGAAGGGGTGACTGACCATGACGATACCGGGCGCAACAAAACGTGCAAGACTGTCGATGTGAGAGTCGGTAATGTCGTGATCTTTGACACCCGTGACCCAGATGATCTTGCTGATATCGAGCTCGTCCTTGAAAACTTGTTCGATCTGGTTGCGCGACATGCTAGGGTTGCGGTTCTTGTTGACGATACTGCTCTCAGTCATAAGCAAGGTGCCTTCGCCATCGGTCTCGATCGATCCGCCTTCGGCAATAAGTTCGGAGCGGAAACCAGTAATGTTGAGGTAGTCGAGCACATTGGAAGCGACACGGCCATCGTTCTTGTGATACTGCTTGCCGCCCCAGCCGTTGAAGTTGTAGTTCACACCGACTAGCTTCTTGCCATCGCTAAGGAACAAGGGAAGGGTGTCTCGAGCCCAGAGATCGTCCACTGCCATGGGAACGACGACAACTTGCTCGCTGCCAAGCATGGCCTTGGCTTGGTTGATGTGGCTTGGAGGGGTGAGCATTTGGACAGGCTCAAACTGAGAGATGGTATTGGCAACGCGGGCGATATCCGACTGGACCTTGTTGTTAAGAGATCCCCAGCCAGTGGGCCATGACATGAATGTGGACTGGTGGAGATCCCATTCGGGTGGGATATAGAGGCCGTGGGTACTGGTAGTTTGTCCCATGTTGGTTGAGGGCGGAAGAGGAATGATGTTAAAGGTTTGGAGAGAGAGTGTATGTGTGACAAGAAGGAGGCAGTGGGAGAGAAATGTGAGTATGAGAAAGTCCATTCCTTTTATGCAGTTGAGATCGAAACCATTGCTCCAGGACTGTTGCCCTTGTGGCTGTTCCGACCCTCTGGCTGTTGTAACCCTAAGGCGTTCTCCTACCAAAACATTCAAATGGACTCAGAACTAAAATTACTCCAAGTCTGTCAACGCTTGATGGCGTGAGGATGATGTTGGAAATAGGGCGCACGCAACAGCCTTGGGCTTTCACCGCCGCCGAGATATTGCAGAGGAGAATAATTTTATTTAATTGTGGCGTAGATAGGAAAATGCGCCCGTGACAACATATTAAGAGACAGAATACTTGCCTGACAGCAGCACAAACCCGTATATTACTTCTTTGGTATCCCTTCGTCCGTCATTAGTCATTGACAGACTAGGATAAAAAAACTATAGTTTCAATCTATAGAGGTTATGGGCTTTGCGGCGACGGTCTTGCAAGGGAAGGGGGGCGTCCGAGATGCTTAAGGTAATGCTTGCCGATGATAGCAATGTTGTGCGCACCCACCAAGTCTCGGTGAATCCACCGCCTGCATTTCACACACGCACAGGTTCTCATCGAGGGCTTAGCAAGTCTTGTCGTCTCACCCTTGGAAACGCAGGTTGGGCACATTGTAGATGTAAGATATTCATCCACTAACGCTACCTTGTACCCAAGGGCCATGCTCTATCAATTTTAAAAAGGACAAATGAATTAATATACTTGTGTATCCAGATCGCCATGGTATTGAAGGGACATACGATACTAGTAGATACGACCACCCGTACATCGTCTTTCTACTCTCTCCTTTCTCATTATTACCTTCTGCTGTAGTCTGCGCAAGAACGTCGTGTGGACCGATGTAAGGTTGAACCCTGTCCGAAAAGTCGCGTTTCCCAACGCGAAGAGGACCCTACGCCCTCCCATTGGGTTACTCTTCAATGCTTCTTTCACAAGTCGGAGCACGCCTGCCACCGCCATGTCCATCTCTGACAACTCTGCCATTCTATGTTGGTATACGGCCTTCTTCCAGTCCGACGATGAGTAGAATCCATGAATGATCGGTTCCAACTCGAAATACTGCCGTTGCGCGGATTTGAGGGCGTCCTCTGAGTCGTATTTTGTTGAATGGAGCGCATTCTCAAGATCATGCATCGAAGGTAGAAAAGTTGCCCTGTTCTTGTCATCCGTCTTCCTCGTCCAAAGGCTCGCGTCGACATTATCTGCGGGACCGGCTGCTGGGTGTTGTCGCCTCCATTCCTGTTCCCATGCTCTGAAGGCGAGTGTTGGCTGATACAGTGATGCGCGCTTTACCAACAAGTTGACCACAGTTTTGTCATCGAGACGCACACAGAACGCACCGCTCACGACTTCGCCTGGATCGATGCCAATCACCGCCACCGACTCCAAGTCTTGACCGAATGCTTCAATTATCGACTGTCGGGTTGGGTACTGGTTCTCGATACGTCGTAGAAACTCCTTACGACCCGGCGCCTGCCGACTCTTGGTGAGGTCATAGGCCAAAAGTTGTAGCTGATGGCCGTCCGTGCGGATGAAATTGTTCAATGCATACCGAAAGGAAGACTGTGCGCCTTGGATGTGAGGAGGGGTCGGCAATAGTGGGGGGTTGGAAGGCGGCGGCACTGCAGATGCTGAAGACGATGACGACGATCCGGCCGAGATGGATGCATTGTGTCGGGTTCGGTAATAGTTAATTCGATCTGTCAGGTGTCGTGCAAGTGGTCCTTGGTCATAGATGGTGGGGTGGGCAGCCTTGAGTTCACTCATTGTAGCACTTCGTTTCCCGTATGTTGTTTGTTGTTTGTTTGCGAGCCGAACCGTATTTCGATCTCCAATGAAAAGCATCTTGATGAGGTTCCCGAATGACGTATTGACTTGTAGGTTGGCCCAGTCGTGGCTATGAGGGCTGCCGCTCCAAATCAATCCGACTTGACCTGCATCTCTTCCCCAAAGGATACGCATCAGTCCCTCCTCCCTAATGTCGATAAAGCTGTCTGCCATCTTGGACTGGGTACAGAAACGTGGTCGGTTTGCCGCTGGAAGTGCCATGAGATAGTTCCAGCATGATCGGATGTGTCCAGGCTGATAGACAATTTTTTTCGACTTTTTCCTGGGGTTCTCATCATCGGCATCATCGTCTAGAATAGTACCGTCATCGTCTAGAGTAGTGCCGTCATCACCAGGTTTGTCTTCATCCTCCTGTTCGACTTTTGGAAGTAGGGCGGGATCGAACTCCAGCTTCTCCATCTATTTTATTGCAAAAAGAAAAAAAGGCACAGTATTAGAATATGCAATACACTCTCTCCAATTATCAAGGGCGCTTCATCAACGAATTGGGCGATTAGTACCTTTGTGCGTATAGTCTGTGGGAGCTTCTTGTAATGCAACTTCATAGCCAAACAGATCTTGGGCGCCAGATCATCGATGACAACACCGAGGGGTATGCTGGATGGGTTAACAGCCTTGAATCCCGGATGGAACCCCTTGAAGGCCGCAAAAATCGACACTGCCTCCGCCTGTGCTTCCTTCGACTTTGGCTTGTTGGCTGTAGGTCCTATTGCTTTTGTTGAATCTCGGAGAACAAACGACAACAGATTCCCAATAACAATCTCTGCCCAGTCTGAATCCAGAATATCCTCCAGAAAGGACGTCGGCGGCGAACTAGAGAGTAGCTCTCCAAGGATCCGCATTTCGAGCATCTTGTAGACAAAATGCTTGGCAGTATTGACGATAGACACAGCCATATCAAGTCTCTGAGCAACCATGTCGACGTTCGCCGGGGTGAGATCGGTAGCTCGTTTCAGGCACCCCTTGACTGATCCAGTGGTAAGTGTGACAGTGGCGAAAACAGACTTGAATGACTTCTTCAGAGCAGCATAACCAGGCCTGTCCTGGTGATAGTCAAGATGCTTCTTCTTCTTCTTTTTCTTGGCTACAGGGGCAGTGATAGCTTGTTCGTTGGTGGTAGCGGGATCCTTTGGCTTGTATGGTCGAGGGGTTGATGGTTTCAGACCAGACAATTCTACGTCCTCGACGGGGCTGGCGTTCTCAAGGTTGACCGTTTGGGGTACGTATCGATCTGCTTGATCCGTCCGGGATCGGAATCTAGAAATAAACGCGCCAATGTTATGAAGAATAATATTAGTACAGAAGCAATAGAAGTCAATACAAGTGGCTGGATATAACTGAAGATGACGCTAAAAAGTACTTACTTTGTCCTCTGCCATTTCTGCCTTCTCCTTGACCGGGCGCGTGAGCCATGGCGCATTTCTTGTTTTCTACTCTTTTTGTAGAGTGGAGGTGCTTGGTCGATAATAGGTGTGGGCGCTGATGGTCCTGTATGTGATGTTTGGCTCCTTGAGAAACGCTCCCAGTTGGTCTTCGCCTTTTTCATCTCAACTTCCTGAATGATAGTCGTGACAAGGCTGTGGATATCGGGTGTGCTGGAAGTCGTTTCGGTCCCACCCATAGGTAAAGGATGCTCGGTGCACATCACGAACGCCTGAAGGGCATGATCGAACTGGCTGTCTTTTACGTTCTTCTGGTACTGAGTTATCCCGACCCTGTTCACGGACCTTTTAGCGTGTTTCTTATACAGTTGCATGTGTTTCCCATATTGGAGGTAGGACTCCTCTGCGATCTCCTGGAGCTTGTGGGCGCTGTCGTATACAATCTTCAAGTACTGAATGACGTGGTGTTTGAATTGTCCAAGTCGCTCCTGGTCGCTCAATCCGTCGAGTCCGTCCAATGTAAACGTCCGAACAATGTCAGCGTTCGACACCAAGCCATAGTAAGGAACGCCGTCGGTATAGTCGTTTGTTGTTAAAATACCAAGAAGAAGAAGGTGGGCTGGAGTGGGGAGCTGGTGTCGATCCATAAGGTCCTGCTTCTGGAATGTTTTCCACTGACTGCCGACAGGAATAGTGATCGATGTAGAGGCCTCATAGACCAACAGGTCAGAGTCTTTGGTGATGATTCGTACATCCTCCGGCTTGACGGCATTATTGAGACAACGGGCAATACAGCAGTCGGCTTGGTGGGGGCAGCGACATATTGTCCACCCCAGATTCTGAAGAGCATCCAGCACTTGTCTCGCGGCATCGGGTGGTGCCCGATAAACAGACTTTAGACGCCGGTATAGCCGTTTCGTCCCTTTGATCTTGTCTTCGTCGTAGTCCTCCATGAGTTTTCTCATCCGCGTTGTTAGATCACGGTCCCGTTTCTGATGGGCGTGCTCTTTCTCGACCGAACGGGGACCGTCGGCATGGATTGTTGTGCGCCCCTGTGAGACTTTTTTCATGAGGATGTCGTGAATAACCTGGCCTATGTGGCCATAGTCCTATTGAAAACACAAAGCGATGAGATAGTATTAGGTATATTTCTTACAGCAGCTTTGTCTTTGCCGGTTGTATTTGAAAATCGAATGTACTTACAATGCCTTTGTTTTCGGTACGTGTTGTTGTGAGAGTACCATTGCTGTCGAGAAAGATCTGAGCTGGTCCTCCTTGCAGTAGATGTTGGACCTGTGTCATAAGGTTTGTCGGAACCGAGCCAGGAGGGATCGCAACAAACGCAGGACCGGTCGATGTACTTGTGCCTGAGGGAGCTCCCAATGTGAGGCGAGCATGTTTGATGGATGGACTCCCCGACTCGGTCCCCTCAGACCCAGATGGCGAATGTGGATGTTTTTGTTCGCCTGGTACGTTGGTAGCGACAGTTGTTTTTAGTGAGTAGTGCAGTCGGGCCTGCCTGGCTTCGATGCTGACGGTTCCGTAAAATGCACGCGAGTTCAACAGGGCGAAAAACATCGCCGGAAAGTCCACATGGCATGTTTTTTGGGTGAGATCTTCCTCGATTCCGTCGGAGGCCTCCTTGATCCATGAAGGAAGGACACTGATTCCCATTCTTGAACTATGTTAAGAAAAGTGTGAGAGCTAATGTGAGTCTTCTTGCTTGATAAGTTGTGAAAGGGTATAATGAGTACTGTTCGCAATCACATCCAGCATCGGCCTTACAGAATGGCTGTTGTGGGTTGCTTCGAAAGGGTGTGGCGAAGATATATGTAAAGTAGTATGTAGGTGGATGTGGAGGAATAGGTGGATGTGGAGGAGAGTGTGAGATGTGAGGTGTGCTGAGGAGAGTGTGGTTAGAGAGGAAGAAAGAAAGAGGGAAGAAGGAAAATGGAAGCGGGATTTTATAGGAAAAGTGGGCAGTGGAAAGGACAAAGGCTTACATGTCGAGACCACTATCACTCAATCATCACACACAAGCGATATAATCTATACCATTCAGGAACAAATCGCCAAAACAAAAGCCCAAAAATAACCTGACATTTCCACGATAACTTGCTTCATGCATACCGTGGATGATGGTCACCATCACAAACACCTTTTGTCTCTTTCATATCTCCTTCATGTCTCTTTCATGTCTCTTTTTGGTTCTCTCATTGTCCCTCTCTTTTTTCTTTTTGCCTCTCTCTCTCCCTTTCTCTTTGTTTCCATATCATGCAGCAAGAAACCGTTTCCACAATAACCTGCCTCATGCATACCGTGGATGATGGTCACCATCACAAACACTTTTTGTTCTCTCATTGTCCCTTTCTTTTTTCCTTTCGCCACTCTCTCTCCCTCTTTGTTTCCATATCATACAGCAAGAAACCATTTCCACAATAACCTGCTTCATGTATACCGTGGATGATGGTCACCATCACAAACACCTTTTGTTCTCTCATTGTCCCTTTCTTTTTTCCTTTTGCCTCTCTCTCTCTCTTTGTTTCCACACCATGCAGCATGAAGTCACCAAAACAATAACCCAAGAGTTTATTGTGGAAATGGCAGGGCTATGGTTTTGCTTCAAAAAAAACAAAAAAAAGGCCTGTTTTATTCGTACCTTGGGTGATGGTCAACATCGCAAACCATATTCTCGTTTTGCCTCTCATTGTATCTCTGCTTCTCTTGTTGGCCCTTTGAGCCCCTATTATCTCTCGCCCATATACAAAAGTACACACAGTAAACAAATAACGAACCTTAAGTCAACCACACATTTGCACACTCATCACTCTACACTCTCCTGGAACAATAGCGTCAACCATATCCGCCTTTATCAAGCTGACTGAACTCGTCACGACGCCAATCTAGGCCAAGTCTGCAACGTCCGCAAATTTCTTTGAGCTCGAAACACTCCCCAACATCAACATCCACCATCAAGATGTCACCATCACCTCCCGATGTCAGCCCCCAATCAACGGACGGATCATTAACCAGATTGTGCTGCTCAAACGTGATGGGCGCACTGAGCGGGCGTATTCTGCCCGCCCTAGTCATTACTAACCATCCTTCGTCCCGCGACGCCAAGTATGCAACCTCCATCCGAACCCAAGGAGCGCGCCTAGAAACTATCGCAGACCTCGAGGACACTTATGGTCGTCGAGCTTGCGAGAGCAATCTTTGCTTCGTAAGTATATCTGAGAAAGTGTCGAATTCTGTTGGATGGGCTACGAATTCGTACCCACCTACCGTTCACCTCTGCTTTCGGCAATTCTTTGCATCTTTTGCAGGACCAAGAAAAAGCCTGAGAGGATATTACTCTACCTCAACAGAGTCTCGGAGGGTCAGTTTGTGCAAGCCCACCAAGTCGAAGTGGATGCCATTCGGTCGGCTTCCAAGAAGCTACAAGTTATGTATGCTCCCAAGTGCCACTTTTGCCCCAAGGCTGCTAGGCCCCAGGTTGTCCAGGTTATGCGAAAATAGGCTTTGTCCTAGTTCCGTTGAACGCGCCATGGATTTCTGATATCGTCACGTGACTTTCACCAGCTGACCATTCAAGATCCCAAACCCCAAGCCCCGTCTAATGTCCTAAGCCTCGGTCCAACATCCAAGCCCCGTCCAATGTCCAAGCGCCGCCTTGGTTCCTTCTGTTCATTCGGCCCTTAGCATAAATAAACCCCTTGTTCCCCTGTCTTGTTCCCTAGTCTGCAATAACTCACTTACATCTGTCCCCTGCCTTACTTCTGCACACTCTTCTTATTCCTTCCTTTTCCTTCATAATAAAATATAACAAAAGCAATACACATTCTTCCAAGTCCTGTCTGACCATTGCACCAAGATCACGTCTGTCGTAGTCCAGAAGCGCCATCACAATCTCTTCTTTCTAATGCAGAAGGGCCAGGCCGATCGATCGGGAAACTGTCCACGCGGAACTGTGGTCTACACTGGCATTGTTCATCCATTCCAATTTGATTTTACTTCCAGTAGCAAGCGGGTCTGACTGGAACTTCGAGACCTGCCCTCCACAACGTTCTCTGCGATGGGAGCTGATTTACATCGGACGGTCTCCAGACTCTAACCTACAGACTATGCTACCTGTATGCTCGATGCACTCGATCCGTCTCTATGGTTTCTGCGGAGTACTATGCCCACCTGGTCGCGCTGCGAGCACGTTTCCACCAAGGGCGTGAATTGGAGCAAGGCCACGCCTTCGGAAGGATTGGGTGAGTCGATTACCTACGCGCCCGTAAAGCAGCAGCTTCAGAAGGGTATGTTATATACGAACCGTGCTAAGACGTTGAAGAGATATCTACATGGCAGAAAGCTGACCCTTTCGTATTGCTTTGCTTTTTCTGGTGATGTGGTTTATGTGAGCCCGGCCCTTCAGCCATTTGCTACCCTTGCTTGTCTGCAACCGCACTCGTGCGACCTCCCTTCCCCATCGCCCACAATACCGATTGGCTTGTTTTGAACTACATTTCGATAAAAAATAATGCAAGTTAACGATGGGTGTCCGTGAACGTTGGCTGGTTGTGACCACCGCGTCCGTGTATTGATTTTTATTTTTTTGCTTTATGAGGAAGTGAAAGAATTATAAGATGCTTGTGGAGACAAAGAGCTTTTCAAAAGGCTAAAACCAAAAAAAAGAATGACTGTCCACAGTGTTTTAAGCGTTGGCGAGTTCAAGAAAAAAAGAAAAAAAAAAAGACGCTCTCTATTCCTCAAGGGGTTGTTGAGATCAATCAGTCTTATCATAAGCGAGGCCTGGTTCCACTGTTTAGTGCGATGGTCCCTCGTGATTGTTCGACTCTATTAGCCGTTGGCTCGTCGACAGCCCTTATTAGCCCTCTGCTTGGCCTCCCGGATCTGTCGCTTAGCCTTGCGCAAGTCACCATGTCCCCAGATGATACTTAGGACTGCACAGGAAAGGAGGTACCCGACATAGGCGACCATGCTGACCAACCCGACGCCGCAGGCAACCAGCAGCGAGACTCCCAAAGCTGGGAGCAGGAAAACCAAGCTGAAAATTGCGAATCCTACCTAAACAGAGATAAGGTGATGATTGGCACATGTAGATGATAATGGGTTAGGGTAGGGAGTTTCGGATCAGTTTCGTCTATCAGGCTTTGGTATTCGAGTGCGTATTATCATTGTCATTGTGCCAAAGAAACATATCTCACTTCAACAATGGTAAATCCAATCCCTCCAACGACCAAGGACCCAAGGGTGACAAACCCCATGAAGCCCATGAAGCAGCCCAAAGGAAAAGCCGACATGGCTCCAAACCCAACGACCCCAATCTTGACACTGGTGGGAGCTTGGACATATAGATTCTTGAGGTATCCCGCGGGAGGGAAAACATAGTGCTGGACTATACCCATCTGGTTGACAGACTCCAGTGCCGATTGAGCTTTGCTGGCGACGATCTGGGGGGTTTCATGGGTGGCGTCTCGGGCTTGGTCGACTTGTCGCTCGATGTTCGTTGTGGCCATGGTGGGTGTTGGTGGTAACTTGCGATGGTTTTGCTGGGGTGGCAGTGACTGGAGGAGAAGGATGTGTGGGGTGAGGCTAAAGCAGCGGGATTGCGTTGAAGAGACAGACTCGGGTGGTGATACTGGTGCGTGAAGGGATGTGGATAGAAATAGTCAAAATGGAGGCGATCGTTGACCGTGTTGCAGTTGAAGGGGTGGAAAGAGCAGAAAGTGGGAAGAGGAAGTGAACATGAGAGCTGAGAAAATTATGGTTACCTACGATATCCAAGTATTACTTGCATTGAGGGAAAGTGATGAGAGATCGGAGCATTTCTAAAAATCAAGTGCGATAGAGGCAATAGATGCGTCGTGTTGAGACATTACGCGTTGATTTGTTATCTTTAGAGCACGATAAAGAGAAAGGCAAGATAGAATCTTGAGGGCGGAGAGGCAATAAGGAGATCACGAGGACTCTCGTCGAACCTAATCTGGGATGGCTGTGTCGCCAGCAATCGCTGTATGTCTTCAACGAGAGTCGACGAGCCGGAGCTGGAGGGGTCGGAGGCGTTTGTTAGAGGAAGCAGTGTCGGCGATGTCCTCATCCTCGACGTCAACTGCTCGTTTTGGACTGCATGAAGCCTGCTGTGTAGATGTTGTTGTGTGAGTAGACATGCCCGCGTCATCGTCGTCGGTTGCTCGCTTTGGGCCGGATGAAGTCTGCTGTGTCGATGTTGTTGCGTGGTTAGACATATGACGTCAGGCCGACTTTGCAACGAACTGCGCCGTTTCATGGAAACTCAGCGCGTTCACCAACGCAAAAAACATCGATGATAAGTTGACTTCGCATCTCTTGGTCTGATCTTTCTTCACTCCGTCTGTCGCCTTGATCCAGCGCTCTTCTTTTTTTCCTTTCTGTCTTGGAGTCAATTTCATTTATGGAGGTTGATTCAAACTCTCTTATTTTGAGTGAGAGGCGTCTGAATTGTCCAAGGGTTTTGACAACATTATCTTTTATGAAGGCTCGGCTCTGAGACTATTTTATCCACACTTATTGTTCTGCCTGTCCATCTCGCTGACGTTTAAAAGTGAAGGAAAAGTGATAGGAAGATAAGTTGATATGGAAGTTCCTCTCGTGGTGGTTCCTCTTTTTTTATGTGACGGAGTGGGTGCTCTCTGTGTTTTTTTTGTAAATATGGAGAGGACCCTGCTCGCAGAATCAATCGAAGGGATAAATTTCGACCACAAAAGCGGTCGAAAACAGACGAAGGGATAACTCTTCCCATTCTTTAATATCAACCCCTTCCATTATCCTGGGCCGGAATATGTGATGATTGTTTATACATTAAGAGAGGCAGGTAAGGGATGAGAAAAGTAAAAGTATGAAAAGAACGAGGGAAGAGCAACCAAGAAAATAGACCAACATATATAACTGGCTTGTGGCAACCAAGCAACTGTTGCCTTTTGATCCTTCAATGTCGGCTCTTTCAATCCTGGCCTCATTAGAATTTCAAGTCGCTTCACCGATGTGCATGCCGCACAACTGGGGTAAATAACCACCATTTATACAAGGTGTCGAACATGCACAATATCCTCAAACGCCTGCGGAACATCGTCCCAGAGGAGGAGAGGCTTTTGAGTATCGGGTTCAATGTGATACTCCACGTACATAATGTCATCGGTATTGGTGAATGCGAGAGAAAAAGGAGGTTGGCTCTTGTTGACAGAACGAAGTGCTTGGACCTGCTCCTGCTCCTCTTGTTGCATTGCGTGTTTTGGTGTGGTGATGTCGTGTTGGGTTGATGTTGGTTCCAAGGGTTGATGCTGAAGGAAGGTGGGTGATGAATGTGTGAATGTGTGAATGAGTAAAGCAGAAGGAAAGAAACAGATGTGCGTGAGAAAGTTAAGTCTAAATCTTCGTCATGCATGGTGTCAGTGATAACAAAAATTGATTGGACAATTCAAACGCACAGGCACCATCATGTAATTCACTCATTATGCAGATGTCGATATCTTTTTGACCTGCTATGAGATGGCTAACGTGTGAGAGGAACACTTGACGAAAGAGTAAACCGTTGGCGTTTTATTGCAATGCCACGCGAAGAGGAGGACAAGAAGAGGCAGAGGGGGGGAGACAACACCAAACAACTGAAGCACCATCGTTGCATGATTCATTTTGCTGTCGACAAGGTATATGAAGTCAACGAAAGTAGACACTTCGTCTACCAGAGGAGTCAAGTGGGAACAACAATGGCAGCAACAAGTTAAGAAGAAAGAAAAAAGGGACAACTTCTCTCTTTTATGGTTGCACTTAAGAACAACAATGAAGAATAAGCGACGATGGAGTGGACGAAACAAAGGAGTGGACCGTTGGTAACGCAGCAAAAACAGGGCCAGTTTGTCTCAACCCGTCATGTGCGCGCAGACATCCTCATCCTCATCTTCATCTACAACAACAAAACTCCTTTCTTCATGGCCTTCTTCACCCTCTCCCGCCATCCTCACTGCCTCTCATACAACATACCAACTATGACTTTGATCGTGTTCAGACACCTCACACGTCCAGGATCAATCACGATTTCGTACTATCAAGTCCCGTCGAAGCTATTCGCTGTTTTGTCTTCCTTGACCTAGCAGAAAGCCCTACTAAAATAGAAAATGCTCGGCCAGTCGGCGTTTTGCCAAGTAGCTCGCATTTCCTCAGCTTTCCTTCCCTGGCCTTCATAATACTCTTGCATCTACCTATCCCGCCGTCCGTCTTTCCAATCGATGTTATTCACCATAGCCCAATCGAGCCAGCCTCATCCACTTTTATTTTTCTTCGGAGAGACGATTGAAGTATAGCAGGTGGAAGATATCTCGCACTCAACACACCGCCCAACCGTTTGCCCAATCGCTGTGGGGTAAAGATAGACAGAGAGGAGAGGCGTAGAAACAATCATCTGCAAGTCGCGTTACTGTTGTGAGTCTCATCTATCCCTTCATTCATCGCCATTCGCCAAAAATGAATAATGAAAAATGTACTTCTCTCGGTATGATCGATCGAAAAAATGTAGGCAAATGATCTAAACCTTGCGGCTATAGGATGGGATGGAGAGAATGATGAGCCGAACATCGAAAAAAGGCTGGTTCATCAATTACTCCTCGCCATCCAGACGGTTGTCTATTTTTGTCAACGTTGAAAGGCGAAGGGTGTCTCAAGCTCATTAGTGTTTGACGTTCTTGGACAGAGGAGGGGGAATTGGAGTGGAGGTGCGGCAGATAACTTTCTATCCCACTGGAGCAACAGTGCCACTCTTGCTGCCTCGCTCGTAGTCTTGGATCCCAAGGGCGCATATCCGTAATGCCAACATGGTGAAAGGAGTGAAAAAGTGAGGTAAAGAAATGGATGCTTCCGAGATCCTCTCCACTGGCAAAAACTATTTCTCCTATCCCATCATGATCATCCATTTTCTGACCAAATTAGCAATTGCGACAAGGGAAAACTCTAAATAAGGCTTGGAGTGGGTAAGCAATGGATGGGAAAAGGGAACAGGGAACAGGAGAAGGATACCCTGGCTCAGAATTTCCGGTCCGTCCATGTCCAGCTTAATTGAGAGTGTGGGAAATCCGATCACTTACAGCACCTGCACACACAGAGAAGCATTAAAAGGTTGTTCGGTTGGTTGACCGTATTTTCATGTGCCGCTGGCCAATATTCATGCAAGTTTGTGTTGTCGTTTTTTTTGTTCATCATTTTACCCTTTTATCCTTTTTCCAACAGCTCCTCCCATGTCGTAACGAAAGTAGACAAACAGGAGGTTGCACGAGTCAAAGGTCACAGAAAACCGTCTCCGGAAGTTGATAAAGCCGAAGGACCTAGGACCATGTCAATTGTTCACCTTGTGAGGACAATAACGAAAAACTCAATTGCGCATTTAGTCTGTTTTTGTGCACATGCGGAGTGGGGAAATGATGGCAGGTGGGAGTGGAGATAGAGATAGATGAGAGCATGGATGGGCAAGTCGACAAAACCGTCAAAGGGTCCTTGTCGAGTCCTACTAAATACCGGCAGCAAAACCCTCACCACCCACATTTGTTTTTTTTTTTTTTTTTTGTCCAGAGATACATGGATGGTGCTGTCGAATCAGTTTCTTTCTTTGTGTTCACTTTGCTCTTCTTGTGCTCGGCTTCTTTTTTCCGCCATTATGCTTCACCCTGCTCTTGGTTGAGCGCCACCTCCCTCCTTTTTTGTATTTAAAGGGACCCAATCTCCTCCCTTTTTCTTTTCTTTGTTCTACCACTCAATCGCTCCTCTCTCCACATTCGCATCTCACTTCTTTCTTTCTCTCTCACCAACACCCTACTCTACTACAACAACAACAACTACCACACCAACATGTCGACGGTAGCAAGCGCTACCCCCACTGTGGGCTTCACCTCCACCCTACTCCCAAAGCTCCTAACCCTCATCACCCAAAAACCCAACCGCAGAAAACTCCTCCTCGCCATCATCCTCTACACCGTCTACAAATACCGTCGCTCCGTTCTCTTTGTCCGCCCCCGCCCCGACCTCCCTGGCCCCCCTGGTCTCCCATTGATCGGCAACTTTTGGGAGATGGCCACCGTCCCCAAGACGGATTTCCATCAATCCCAAGAACGCAACTTTGCGAAATACGGCAGGGTTTATACGATGGCGATTCCTGGGGTGGGGAGGACGATTACGGTCAAGGATCCAGAGATTTTGGATCATATCTTGAGGACGCATTTTTGGATCTATGAGAAGGGTACTAGGTTTAAGGAGACCCTTGGGCCTCTTGTTGGCGATGGTGAGTTGTCTTCTGTGTGAAAGCATATGGACATGGATTGACGGCAAAAAGGTTGTTTGTAATCTTCTTCAAGGGAATGAACAAGAAACACTAATCTTGTTTGTGTGTCTTTTGTTGTTTATTCGAAATAGGCATTTTCTCGGCGGATGGAGATGTAAGTTTGATATCTCAGCATAAGTACATCTATCCGTCTCATCCCACACACACGCACACACTTCATCTCCTCTTATTCACCCATCCTCTCCATCACTCTCTTCCTCTTCTTCGTTAATCAATCCATAACCACAACAGCACTGGAAGTGGCAAAGACAGCACGCAAGCAAGATCTTCACCGTCAAGGCCTTCCGCCAATACACCAACGACGTCTTTGTCCAGGAAGCTCAACGTGCCGTCAGCTACCTCGATAAGTTTGCCGACACCGGCAAGTCCGTCGATCTTCAACGTCTCTTCTACTGCTTCACCCTTGGTATGTCTTTCTTTTCCGTCATCATTTTTGGTCCTTTGTTCTTTTGATCCCCTCGATCGTGTGTGCATATTTTTTTTTTTCGGGAATAGTGTCGAGTGGGTGCTAAATTTTGCAGGCCATATGCGCTAACGAAAGCCCGCACAACCTCTTCATGCCCTTCCCCTCTTCTTCTTTCCCCATCGCATCCCATTCAAACTGAACACCCACTCCCTTCAACCACCCACCCATATCACCAACCTGAACAGACTCATTCGGAGAGATCGCATTCGGAGAAGTATTCGGATGCCTCGACGACCCATCCCAGGACGTAGAATTCGCCGCAGCCTTCGACAGACTAAACCACGGCCTCGCCGGTCGCTTCCTCTCCCCCGTCTGGAAACTCGTCGACTGGTGGACCGGTAACGATCTCCGCGTCGCGGCCGATCGTGCTATTGTCCGTAATTTCGCACAGAATATCATTGATCGCCGTAGGAGAGAAAGAGCGCAGATGGGAAAGGTTGATGAGGGGAAGGATGTGGGGTTGGGAAAGAAGGATCTTTTGCAGCTGTTTATGGATATCGGATCCGAGGAGGGTGGGACACCATTGTCGGATGAAATGTTGGTCGACAGTGTGTTGAACTTTGTCATCGCCGGGAGGGATACAACGGCTCAGGCCCTCGCGTGGACATTCTACCTCATGCACCGTCGAAATGCCAACCCTACCATCATCCCCCGCATCCTCGAAGAAACCGATTCCATCCTCAAGGGCGGTCTGCCCACCTACGAGACCACCAAGCAACAAAAGTTCACCGAAGCCTGTTTCAACGAATCCCTTCGTCTCTTCCCCGCAGTTCCTCGAAACGCAAAGATCTGTACACAGGATGATGTGTTGCCAGGCGGGATTAAGGTGTACAAGGGGGAGAGGGTGACTTATAATGTGTGGGCGATGGGGCGAGATGAGGAGTTATGGGGGAAAGATGCGAGGGAGTATGATCCATCTAGGTGGGAGAAGATGGATAAGCCTTCTTCGGCAAAGTTTGCCGCTTTCCACCACGGACCACGTACCTGGTAAGTTCTTCTTGTTTTTGCTCTTTTTTTCATTTTTGTCCTTGGCACCATGTGCTTTAGTGCGGCCTACACATACCCGTTTTTCGACGATCAAAAAAACAAAAAATTCCTTCTTCCCTCAAAGCGCTAACAAACAAAACCTTCCTTCTTCCTACTCTCTCCCTCTACTACATAGCCTGGGCCAAGGATTCGCGGTGACAGAAGCAGTGACACTGATGTCAATGCTCTTCCAAAAGTTCACCTTTGAACTCGAGAACCCCGATCAAAAGGCTACCTACATGGCCTCGCTTACCCTCCCCATGGAGAACGGTCTCCGCGTCTACGTTAAGCGTCGCACCGATTAAGAAGGAACAAGGGAAGACTTTCTTGTACAGTACACTGTTACCCTACCTTTTTTTTTTCTCAATCGCGCCGCGTAGGGGGGGGGGCTCCTGTTTCGCCTACTCTCTTGAACGCATACATAGTATACATCCTTTTCTCAAAATATAAACATTCAATTGAAATTATCTCAACCTTGCACTACTCATACAAAAGCACGACAAGAACAGAAAGAAAAGCATCAACGAGGACAAGGAGGTATCGATTACGGAACGACAAAATTGTATTGTAGTAATAAAAGTCTAAGAAGTGTTTTTTTCAAATGTACAGCTGTTTTAAAACCTCATCTTTCCCTCGTCCATGTGGGCATTGGTTCATCCCCAACCCAGCCCATCCATGCGTCCAATGCGTTGTTAAAAAATGCAAAAAAAAATATAACAGAAAACAGTCAACAGTCCCAACCAAACTCAACCCCACACGCCAGCGAACCCCTACCACTCAGTCAAAGACTTAAACGGGGATGTTCAACAACATGTTGTTGCCCTTCTGGTTGGGCAAGTAGGTGACGTTCTTGGCATGAGCCAAGGTGCCGGCAATATCCTTCGATGCCTCAATACGACGGAGCTCAATCAAACCAGCACCGGCCTTCTCCAATGAATTGGAAATAATCTCGGCAGCGTGGGCCTCTCCCTCGGCTCTGATGATCACAGCGCTCTTCTCCTGCTCAGCCTTCTCGACAATGAACTTTGCGCGCTCTATTGGTACAGCGATGCAATATGAAAAGTGATTAGAATGTTAACCTATGCAAGAGCCTCATGGATTCCTGGTTTCACATTCACAAGTCCTCTGCACCACCCCGTTGAAAAGTAACCCAAGTAACGTACCGGCCTCCTGCTGAGCAATCTGCTTCTGCTCGACGGCGTTGGTGAAATCGCGACCGAAGGTCATAGTGGTCTAATAGCAGCAAGCACAAACAAACGACGAATTAGTCGACACATTCATATGCATCCTCAAATGCGCAACCGCAACTTCCCACCACAAAAGCAACGACGAAAAAGGGAAAAGAAAAACTTACGATGGAGACATCCTCGAGCTCGATGTGGAACTCACGGGCACGCTTAGCAAGGTCCTCACGGATCTTGGAAGAGACGAGCTCACGCTGGGTAATGAGCTCACCAGCATCAAACTGGGCAACAATCGACTTCAACACCTCGTTTCCGATAGAGGGCAACACACGCTCATCGTAATCCATACCGAGTCCCTGGTAGATCTGGGACAGGTTCTTGACCTCAGGGCGGTGGAGGACACGGAGGGTCAAGGTAACCATCTGCATATCCTTGGATCCAGTGGTGGTCGAGATGTTGCGGGGCTTGGTACGGACATCGAACTGGATGGCGCGCTGCAACCAGGGGACCAAGAAGTGGGTTCCCTCGCCAACGGGGTGGGGCTTGACTCCGTCAATTCTGTCGAAAATAACGGCGCGGTGACCTCCCTGGACTATATTGTGAAAGTGAATGAGGGGGGTGCTTGGTTAGGTGATAGTTCCATGGGACAATCTGTTTTCGTTGTTGTGCTCATGGTTCCTGGCAAATTATGTTGTTTTTGAAAAGGGGTCCGGTATTGGTTCCTGATATGACATTGCCAAGGTCGATTGGTTGTTGTTTTCGGGTATTCCCTGAACTTGGTTTCGTGTCCTGTTTGCCGCCCATAGCACTCCCTTGCAACTACTACTCCTCCTCCTCCTCCTCCAAAAAAGCGTCCAGCTGCAAGGTCCTTCAGTGCGCACTCCTTGAGTCAACTCCTCCGAACCAATTGTTGGGAAAGGACAAAAAAGGCAAAAAAAAAAAAAAAGTTGAGGTTCGTTCCTGACTGCGAAAGCGAAAAGCGAGGAAGAAAGGAAAAGGTCGAGGATGTTGCCGGAGGAAATAAAAGGTTGTGGTCATCAGTGATCCGATCCACTCCGTCAGCGTGTGCCGACTTTAGCATCGGGCGAGTTGGTGAATGCCCCCCGCTGAAGGAGAAGGAAAAAAAGGGTTCCGAGTGTGACCCGAGCGCAACTGACAAGAGAGCATTCTCTGTCACTTCCCGTTGTTTGCGTTGGCTTCCGAAATGACCTTCTCTCTCCGAGGGAGAAACAGGCGCCAAAAGAAAGGCAAAAAGAGCGCCGCTTGTGCGTTGCCGTGTCTGTTGCGATGCTGAATGTATTCCCTTGGTGCCCTAACTTTCCCTCTCTCCGAGGAATGTGATCTGATCTGTTATTGTTGTAACTACTTTGTGAAGAACGTGAGATCAGTTTGTCGCAATACGTACCATCGTACATGGAGTACTGGAGGAAGGAGACGACAGCACCGACGGGGATAGCGAACTTGGAGAGTGTTCCCAGAATGGCAGACATGGTTGTGTATAAAGAGGTGTGAATGAGAGTTGTAAAGAGAGAGGGAGCGGGTGATTCCAACAAAGAAAACGGTCGACAAGAGTGCAAGCGCTGACTCGAAGCTTCGACTCGCCGTGGGTGTTGTTTGGGGCCCTGTGAAGCTGATCGAGGAAACCCTTAACTGCACTCGCAGTCACCTCGTTGCAAAAGGAAAAAAAATGAAAATCACATGACCCTTGGATCGTTGGTGAGTGAAATGAAAAGAACTACCATAGTTCCATGGTCAGGTTATTCTTTTATTGTGACAATTGAGAAGGGAGAAGTATGATACAGAGAGGGTGACGTTAGAAGGCTCAATTGTGTGGGTATGAGTAGGGGGTATGAGAGTCTGGAAAGCAAACAATCAGGGTAGTGATCGAGGGGGAAAATGGCGTGGTGGCACCTAAGAGTGCACGCCATAGTCCCACACAAAGACAACACCATCGTCCGAACCGCTCACAATACGTGTATCCCCAAGCCCAACACACGTAACAGGGCCGTCATGGCCCGTCAGCGTGTACAGACACCGTCCGCTCTCCGTGTCCCACACCTTGATCGTCCTGTCCAGCGAGCCAGACACAATACGCAGCTTGTCAAACGCGAGCGACCACACTCCTTCAACATGTCCAAAGAGCGTGTTCAGACACTCGCCCAAATCCGCATCCCAGATCTTCAGCGTGTTATCCAATCCACCCGTCACAATAATTGGCATCATGCTCCGGGTCTCCGTATCCGAAATGACATCGTTCAAGGGTGATGGAGGCGCATTCTCGACAACTCCCGACCGATTGATGGTACACACGGTTCCGTTGGCTCCCTGTTGCGAACTGCTGTTCTGTGTGCTCTCCTGGGGTCGCTTGCGGATACGGTCGGCGATAATCGAAATCAGAGCATCTCCTGATGTCTGCAGGCACTGAACACGTCCGACATGTCCCTTAAACGTCCGGAGACACGTCCTCGCAGCAATATCCCACAACTTCACCGTCGTATCGTCACTGGCCGACACCAATAGGTTCTTCTTGTAGATCTGAACCTTGTTGACCAGATCACCGTGGCCTTTCAAAGTCGAACACTCGCCCGTTGCAAAGTTCCAGATCTTGATAGTGGCGTCGGCGGATCCAGAAGCGAGGATACGAGAGTCGAAATCAAGAGTAACCACGCCATCGGTATGTCCCTGGAGCGTGCGGATGCATTGACCCGTGTGGTAGTTCCAGATCTTGAGAGTGCGATCCATCGATCCTGTAATCAGCTTGGCCTCGTCGAAATGGAGTGCGCGCACACAAAGAGCGTGCCCAGTGAGGGTGCGGAGACACTCGCCCGTCTCAATATTCCAGACCTTGGCAGTGTTGTCGTACGAACCGGTGATCAAGAACGAGTCATCAAACTGAAGACACATCACGCCGTCGGTGTGGCCGCGGAACGCCTTTAGTCTGTAGTTGCGCTTTCGCCAATTTCTCTCCACAATCAGACGCTCTGAATAAATCTCCTTCCAAGGTCTCTTGGTGACCTGCTCCGTGGGCTTGACTGGGGGTTCTGGTGACTGAAATAAGGGCGCGGAACGCTTAGCTCCGGACTTTGATGATGATGAGGATGAGGGCGACGGTGAGCGAGAATCTCGACGGGCTCGCTTCTGGGACCGGTCTGCATCTGCTTCGTTGTCGTTATCGTCAGGTGCGCTGCGACGTCGCGTTGACCAACCGGAAGATGGTGTAGAATCCGTGGGTGACAACGAAGCGGTGGAAGTTGGAGGCGAGGGATGAGGAGGTGTGGTTTCGACCCTGGTGCTTCCGGCGCCATGTCCGTGCGCATGTCCGTGTCCGTGTCCGTGGTCGTTGTGATGGTGATCGTGGTCTTCATGATCGCTCTCATCGGCTGTGTGACCATTGGCATGCGATGTCGCTGCTTCCCCCTGGACCTCTTGGATCTGCTGTGATTGGACGAGCTGTTGTTGCTGTTGGTATTGTAATACTTGTTGTTGCTGTTGATGTTGATACTGGAGTTGTTGTTGATGCTGATCCAATTGCCTCTTTGACCTGACTTTCTTCTTTTCTAGTAGAGGCAGACCCCATCCGCACTTTGTGCACTTGAGGCCAATGTGTTGCTCGCACATCCGGTGCCAGACCACATCGTCATCGGCAAGACGCCTCCAACTCTTGCAGACCTGGGCAGCGTGGCAGAGAGAAGTAGCGTCAAGATATGAGAGGATGCGGAAGGCGATTTCGGGAGGAGTGATCGACAAAAAGTCAATTTTGAGGAGAGGCTGAAGATGGTTGGAGAGGAAGGAGAGCTGGGGCACACAACATTGGGTCAAGAGGCCGCTGAGGACGAGCTGGCGATGGCTTGCTGGTGCAGAGCCGAAGAGGGACCAGATGTGAGAGATAATCTGTTGATCCTGGCGAGGCAGTCGTTTGATATCCTAATCATAGAAGAGGCAAGTGTTTAAGGCGGAAGGGGTTAGTCATTGAAACACATGTATAGTGCAGCGAGCAGTGTACACAAATAAAACAAGGCAACGATCTGTCTTGTCCATGCAGCTCCCCTCTTTGTCCCTCTCTGTGCCGCCTTTGCTTATTGGTGTGCTGCTGGTTGTTGTCGGTAAATGTACATTGGTATGACTACATAACAAAGGAAGAATGAAAGGGAGCCGAATATGTTGTTTACCTGCTGGAGTTGATCAAGTTGAATCTCATCAGCGGCTCGTTTGGATCGCAAGTCTGGACGATGTCGGTAACAGAGTCGTTTCTCAGCCTTTGCAGCTCTGTGGTCAGCAGAGGACTGTTCTGACCAAGAAAGGGTTGGGAATGAGTCTGGGAGGAGATTGGCCTCTGAGGGTTGTACGGGAGCAAGATCCTCGATGGCGTCAGGGTTGAGACAGAGGGAAGGGGCCAACAACTCTGAGGTGTCTGCTGGCGATGGCGAGTCGTAGGCCATTGGTATTATTGTTGTTTGGTTTGGTTGTAGTTGCGTATGTGAATGAGAGCGAGGTGTTGGTTGGCCTTGTTTGATAAAAAGTGTGGAGTAGAGTGGAGAGAGCAAAGGAGGAGGACCGTGAGACGAGGTGAGAGTGGGGAGTGTGTCTTTGTAGCAGCAGGACGTGTGTGTATGAAAAGGAGAGTGTGGTGGTGGTGGTGGTGGTGAAAGGAGTGAAGAAGAGAAGAAATTGGTCGAGTGAGGTCTTTGTTTGTCTGTGTATGTGTGTGTGAGAAAAAGAAGTTTAATTTAACAATCAAATGGGCAAGCACACAAAATAGAATCAACAAAAGGTGAAAAAATAGGAAGCAGGCCTAGGTTGTTGTTGTTGTTGTTGTTGTCTTGTTGGTAGTGGTGCAAGTGTACAAGAGTAAAGAGCGGGAGTGCGAGAAGGAATAGAATAAGATCCGTAGGGGACAACGAGGAGAGTTGGGCTGGGATTGAATGGAGAAATATGACGATTAAGAAGAAAAGGGTGCTTTGTTGAGTGTGTGAATTATAGTAAGGATATGATGACACCAAAGGGAACTGCTTAGTGCAACGACGACGGGGGGTTAGTGTGAAGAGAGGAGTGGGTCAGGGTATCGTGTGGCATATGTTACTGTCAGTGTGAGGGGTGGAGGGAGTTGTTGTTGTTGGTGAGTTTGGATGAGTGAAGGAGAGTGGAAAGTGATGAATGAAAGGGAAGGGGATGAGTGGAGAGTGAACAAAGTGAATGCAGAGAGAGTGAGAGTGAGAGAGAGAAAGGAAAAAGGTTATTGGAACGAGAAGAACAAAAGGAACAAGAGGAGAAGAAAAGGAGAGGAGAGAAGAGAGGAGAAGAGAAGAGAGGAGAAGAGAAGAGAGGAGAAGAGAAGAGAGGAGAGGAGAAGAGAGGAGAGGAGAAGAAAAGAGAGAGAAGGGGACATGCGACAAAAGTGGGCGCATATTTATCATGTTGTGGGTCACTGACTGACTTACAGATCTGTACACCCTTGTTCGACATACATCACAAACAGGGAAAGAGTACTCAGTCCAGTAGTGCAACAGGAAGACACTGACTGGCCGAGTGGCATGTGCATCGCAACTTTTTTTTTTTTGTTTTGTTTGCAACAATCCGGGTGATACACATGGGCCATCCTCTCTCCCCTCATTCACCCTCACTCACTCCCCACCAATGCATCGAACAAACAATAGCCAATAATGCAAGAATACAAAAAGAGAGAGCCATGGGCAAAATGGCATCACACTTTGCCTCCAATGTCGCCATAACGCTCACTGCTTTTCTCTGCCGAACAAAACATTTGAATTGAAATCCTCATTGAGTAACACACTTCACCCCCCGCCTCTTCTTCTTCCTCCTCTTCCTCACTCTCGTACTCACAGTCGGCTCCTATTCTTGGGAAACACGAAAACACACTACAGGCAGGGCTGCCAAAAAAAAAAAAAAAAAAAAAAAAAAAAAAAGAGTCGAGTTCGACCCCCTTCTTCCCCTATCTCTCTTTGAAGATCCAATTAATCTCGTTCACTCAGTCCTCTCCCCTTCCTGCCCATGCTCACTGTCCTCACGTCTCTACTCTTCCAATGTCCAACGCACGCCCACAGCAAAACAAAACAAAGCGTCTGCAAACGCTCAATGCACTGCTTCGGAGATTCCGATGAGAACAGTTCCATCGTATGAACCGTCACTTTCCATGTTCATTTCACTCAGCAAACAAACATGTCCATCAGTTCACTTTCACGATAGTTTTTGTGTTGTCTAGGAACATCGGACTGGCCCGAGCAAAGCTCTCTTGTTCACTCTCGGTCTGTTTGTGTCTGAGGGAGGAAAATTATAGATGACGATGATAAAGACGATAAAAACGCAGTGAGCGACAGCGACACAAGTAATCCGATCGATAGCATCCCTTTTCATATTCACTTCTGCTTTCTTCACTTGGCTCAACAATTGGTCAAGGTTTGGTTTGCATGTTCATTTGTTTTCATTTCACATTTTTTTTGGGGATTGGTAGAATGCCCAAACTTCTTGTTTTATGATTTGTGTTTCGTTTTTGTTTTTGTGACCACAAAACGACGATAACGCCTACTTACTCATAACCCAATGCACGCATGCCTAACAACCCTTACGTCCCCGCACTGTAGAATACATTTGTGGGTCTGGCCGTACCTGTTCTCCCTCTGTCCTGGCTCTCTCTATTTGTGTCTTGCTTTCTGATGCATGTTAGGCATTATCGTGTCTTAGTCCTCCCACAATCTCACAAACATGCCCCAGCACAAGGTAGGACCAAAGAAATAAAAATCTGCCCTGAACCAACAGACGACATTCTACGGAGATAAGCCTTCGAACATCGGTTTGGACAAGAGGAAGGATCAGTTGATGGTGGGCAGTGGTAGTAAGAAGAGAAAAGTAGGAATGGATAGGCAACTCAACTACGAGTGTTTAGAAAGAGGAAAATGAAAGCAAGGGTTGCTGGGAAAAGCTAATAGGCAGTTGATCTTGCCCCCACCCTGGCCCTGCAACTCTAATGTAAACAGAAAGGGACCTAGGCATGGCAATGTCTCCTTTCCTCCAAGAGAAATCCGGGGTGAGGGAGGTGTGCAAAAAACCAAGGTGAATAGGGCCTTTCTTTCTTTCGTAATTGTTCACCTAATTCTTCGTTCCTCCGCCCTCGTCCCTCTCCTAAGGTTTTTTCCAGTTCAGCCGAACAGGAAAGAAGAACTCTCTTTTGTGTTTGTTTTCCCGTCAAGAGACAACAAGAGAGAGAGAAATAGGGATTTTGTATCCCAACTGGTCGGTGCTTTGAAACCCTTTTTCTATTCTCTCTGCCTCTTTCTCTTCCCACTCCTTTATTTGTCTCTTCGTTTTGTTTGGCGTACAACAATACCGCTTTTTTTTTGAGGGCTCAGCCAACACACAACAAGTGAATGAAAGAACAAAAAGGGACGCGTCCAGCCAATCAGAGAGCAGGATGTGACACAATCCTCAATTGCAAAGACGTGACACCATTCACTATGTGTATTATCTAGCACGCCATACGACACGCTTCCAACGCCTATTCCACACACAAATCTTCATGAATTAAAAAGTGGTGGGTGGGTGGATAACCTCATTAGCACGAGTAGGCATATTAATACATACCGCATCTCTGCATTTGTGTTTGCGTGTGCCTCTGTACTGTGCCTTTGCTCCAATCAAACAACAACAACTCTTACTTGTTTTCTGTTTTGACAGGACAGGGTTGACAGGTTTAATGCTGCTCATTGAACACCCCGCATACAACACACAAGAGGTCTACTTTGGACCCATCTCGAAGCAAGAGCATTCATTTATTATTGTTATCCATGCTACCGCTTCATTGTTTTATTCATCTACTGCACCATTACACATTTCCTCGGCAATGAACTTGGGGTTGATCCCGCCGCTCGTCTTCTTCTCAGCTACTGATACCACCTGTCCATTCTATCCCCATCCCTATCGCTTTCACTCCATTGTCGTTTCAAGAAATAACATACCACTGTACCATCCCATACATTCAGCAAATGACGCGACTTTTGAACGATCCTTGCCCAATTTGTTATCATTCTGTTGCCGTTGTCGTTGGTTTTTTTTCTCACCTTCCCGTAATGTCTTTTTGCTTTGCCATTGACCTTGAACACCCTTATCCTCACTATTCTTCCCTTCCATCCCCCTTTTGTGTCCATCCCTTCCTCCTCCATCCACCCTCTCCCCGGATTATCCGTGATCGAAGCAACCCACCCATCCGCAGCACGGCCTTAATTCTTATTCATGCTTCTCCTTTCGCATGATCCCTTTGAAGGAGAAAGTTCTCTTTCTTGTTTTATTCATAAAGGATACACCATCTTCCGGAGCTAACAAACAAGAAAATCAAAAGACAAACCCTGCCCTGGCCGTTTCGGCAGTCTCTTTCTCCTTTCTTCCGGTACACAAAAACTAACCTTGATACGCCAATAGGAACATGACGTCGAGTCAGCCTTGATTACCGAGTCGAGCGTGATAGAGAGACAACGAAGGCAGAGGGGAAGAAGGAAAGGAGGAAGGCTGGACTAGATGAGCAAGGATTTGCAGTTTTCTGCCCTAGATTGCAAATCAGGAACCAAATAGACACCATTGTTACCTTTGCTCGTTCACGTAGTCACGTTGCCCCCTCCCTTTTTTTTATCCCACCCGGTCCCGCACTGATTGCTATCAGGTTTTACTGACTTGTGTGGTCGATTTTTTTTTTCTTTTCTTTCATTTGCTGCCTCGATGAATAAAGGCATATGCTTTGACGACATCATTGTTTGTATGCTTACTTATCGTTTTTCGTCCATCTGTCCCTTTTTTTTTTTTTTTTTTTTTTTTATTGATTTGTAAAACAGTCATGATGGCACCTATTATTGTTTATTGCATGGGTTGCCTTGCCTTGCTTTTGTTGCATGAAAGAATAGCCGATCAAAAAAGTCAACACAGCTGTCTACCATTGCTAGCATGAATGGCTTATTCTGTTCGGACTAATCATGTCTACTTTTGTTTTTCTAATCTGTTATTTTGCCCTCCACTCGCTCGTACCGTTCGCCCCTCCTCTCTCTTTTTCAAACGATAAATCTTTTTTTTCTATCAATCATTGGGGGGTTGACGAAGGCTAGGACAACCGCTTCCTTTTCTCACGCGTTTTCGTTATCTTACAACATGGGAACTCCATCCTCTTTGTACACAACGATCTAGTACTTTGTTATCAGTTGAGAAGGCAACAAACAGAGTAAACAAGCCAGAAAAAACCCCCTTTTGGAGGAAATGGCGCGTCGAGAGAGAGAGAGAGAGGGGGAGAGGGAAAAAAAAGGCGACTCAGGAGAGCGGAGAGAAACAGAGGTAAGGAAACATGGAGTATGGAAAAAAAAAGTGGGGAGGTCTAGACGTAAGGCTGTGTGTGCATGTCGTCGTAGGTGTCGGAGTGATCTTTGCGGGATGTCTCTCCACCCAGATCTACACACACACGCACATACACACACACACACACAAGCACTCTTTTAAGACAAGCTGAGAGAGGGGGGGCTGCGCCCGTTTCTTGTCGTAAAGTTCCCTTGGCACACGTACACACGTATGCACGTTTTGGAGAGTGAGTCGGAGATGACCAGACGGACGACAACGACAATAAAAGAAAAAAGAGAAGAGGAGAAGAGGGGGGTGAGTGTACTTCTGTATGCATAGTCATCAACATCTCTTTTTTTTTCTTTCCTTACACTACCTGCAGCAGCAGTGCAGTGTCGTAGATGCTGCATCATCTACAATTCCCTTTGCCTTGTTTTTGCTCCTGATTCCTTGATAAGTTGCACTTTGCTCTCCTGCTCTTTTTTTTTTCTTTTTGCTCTGCCTGTTCTCGTACGTGCCAAAACATTCACTCATCATGTCATTACTAAGCTTCCTTTCGACATTTCTCGTTGTTTTTTATTCTACTTGCCTCTCTCCAAATGATGGTTCTGAATGTTCAAAGGGACAGGATGGGGGGTGGGGTGGTGTCGAACACGAAACGAGAGGACAGGGGAAAAATTTCATCCGAAATAAAGACAAACTTATTTTTTTTTTGGTGGCGTTTCACAAACCCTTAGATAAAACGCGTCCTAATCTGATACAGGAACAAACATGCAACTCGCTTTCCTCCACTTCCTCTTTTGCTTTCAACACTTGTGAATGCACTTTCTCACACCCTTCCTGACTCACACACCACGAGAGTGGGAGTGAGATGAGAATGAGGAAGAGGGGTTGTGCATGCATGAGATGACAGAGAGGCCATTCGACTTCTTTGACTTCTAGGTCCCGATAGAGCTGTGGACAACAACAAGGGTAGAAAAAACAATTGAACGAACAAAAAGAAGAGTAGAGAGGCAAAAGAACTTGAATGCCTCGTTTGCAGAACCCAACGAAACGATGCAGATCTTAGAGGTCGACGTGTTGTCCTTTGGCGCTTGGCGAAGGGGAACAAGTGTGGGGTCTTCTATCATCATCATGGGACAAAGAGCAACTACTGTAGACACGTTGCTGATTGGCCCGCCAACCTTAAAAATCCAGGCACCATAAGTCCACTTTGTGGCGTTCTTCAGGTTAAAAAAATTATTTATTACTGTTGATTTTTGGCTTGTCTGATCCTGTTTCCTTGTCGGCGCAATTCGTCCAACTTTTTGAGCGCATTCTTGTGTCCTTGGTCGGCAGCCTTCAAATACCAATCAACCGCGTCGGGGAAGCATTCACGAATGCCGAGGCCAAGCTCACAGAATCGCCCCATCCTGAACTGGGCGGTCGTGTCGCCCAGATTGGCCGCTTTGAGAAACCACATTGTTGCTTCTTTATGGCTTAGAGGAACGCCCTGACCAAACTCGTACATATCGCCAATACAGACGTAAGCATCTGTTCGGCCTTGGGCGGCAGCCTTGAGGAACCAACTCATGGCTGTGGAGTAGTCCTTCTCAAACACCAGGCCGTTAAGATACATGACGCCCAAACGATATTCTGCCGGCGAGTATCCTTGCTTGGCTGACTCCTGACACCATCTCGCTGCTTCCATGTCGCTCTGTTCCGTTCCATGACCATTGCTGTAAAAAGAACCAAGGCAGTACTGGGCGCATGCGTCCCCTTGCATGGCGGCCTGCGTGATCCATTTGAAGGCCTGAGAGAAATCCTTCCGAGTTCCCGTGCCTAGATAATAGGACTTTCCAAGATTGGCCTGAGCACCGACGTGACCTTTGATAGCCGCTTGACGATACCATTCGAACGCTTTCGAGAGGTCTTGCTCGGCGTTCGAACCTTCGGCATAGTAGTCGCCTAGGATGTATTGAGCGTCGAGGTGCCCTTGCTTGGCTGCCGAATGGAACCAAATTATTGCACCTGAGCGGTCTTGCGGAGTGCCCTTGCCAAGGTAGGAAAAATGTCCGACGCGGAACTGTGCATCAGAGTAGCCTTTTCTGGCTGCCTTGAAGTACCACTCGAAAGCCTTTGTGAAGTCCTGTTGAATGCCCTGTCCATCGTGATAAAGAGAACCTAGTAAGACCATGGCTTCTGGGTTTCCTACGTCTGCCGCTTTGAGGTACCAATGCATCGCCCTGGTAGCGTCCTTATCGACTCCTTGTCCGTGGTGGTGCATGTTGCCGATGGCGGTGTAGGCGGCGACAGATCCTTGGTCGGCTGCCTTGATGAACCATTGCATCGCCTGGCCATAGTTACGCCAGAATCCTTGACGTCGGAGCAAGTGGCCCAAGGAAATCTGCGCGCTGAGTTCCCCTCGATCCGCTGCCTTCAGATACCACCTTCTCGCATATCCGACTCTGTCACTCTGAGAGCCGCCGTGGCCATGGTCGTATAGGTCTCCGATTCTTGTACAGGCAATGATCTCTCCATGATCCGCAGCTTCGCGATACCACTCCATCGCTTTCGAGTAATCCTGTAGTACGCCCGACCCGTCTCTGTACAAGTCACCCAAGCGCACCTGGGCTTTTGTATCGCCTTGGTCTGCAGCTTTGAGATACCAGTCCACCGCCCTCTCATAGTCCTGCGGAACGCCGTGGCCCATAAGGTAGAGGTGGCCGATATTGCGCTGACCAGGGATGAATCCTTGCTGAGCACAAGTGAGGTACAAGTCCTTGGCTGCTTCATAATCTTGAGGAACACCGTGGCCGTGGTAGTGAAGATCGGCAATCGCGTTGTGAGCGTCTGGTAACCCCTGGTTCGAAGCTAAAAGAAACCAATCCATAGCCTTGGCGTAGTCTCGCAAAACGTCCTTGCCCTCGAGGTATAACTGCCCCACGCTGAATTGGGCATAGGCATGACCTTTGGAGACAGTCTTCAGGTAGCACGCCAGGGCCTTGTGGAAATCCTTAGGGTCGCCCTCGCCTCGTTTCTGCATGGCGTACAGGTTTAAGTCGGTGGCAATTCTCCAGAGGTGAATCCTGAGGGACCTTTTGTCCATATGACTGTCGTGGGTTGGCGAAGGGATAGTGATAGTCTCTGGGACGGGTGAAAGCGAATCAATGGACGAGTCGGACGTGCTTGGCGTAGGTGGTGCTGTTGCTTCGTTTGGCGCAGCTGAGTCCTGCTCGAGAACAACATCCAGAATAGCATTGGGGACTACAGCAAAGCGAAAGGGCTCAAGACTAGAGCTTAAAAATGTTAGCAGCTACTTGCAAAGTGTGTGTACTTCACGAAAGACAGAGTTCACTACGAGCAGTAGAAAAGGGGGTCAAAGGGGAACCACCTACACTTTAAATTCCTTGTCTCTCACAAAGGGAATGATAGTCGACCCATGGCGAATATACTTTGCTGCTGGAAATACCAACAACACGTCGTCCCAAAGAACGACATTCTTTCCGCTAGCAGGGTCCGCCTGGTAGTCGAAGTAGACGGGGTCTGGCTGTGAGGCGCGCGTGGTTGCGGTCGTTGAGGCAATTGGCGAAGACACGTCCTTGTAGGCGGCGCGGACTCCTTGTTGGCGTTGTTTAGGCTTTGAGCGAAAAAAATCTCGCTTCGATAATAATTTGAGTCTGTCCATAGTGGTCTTGTGTGTGAGAGAGAGGGGGGGTAAGCAAAGAAGAGGTGATAGAGAGGGGTCAGGCGTGAATGAGGAGAAGGGAATGAGTGGGATGAGGGATGAAGGATGGGGAAACAAGGATGAGCAGCAAAAAAAGGTGAAATAAGAGGGAAAGAGAGAGGCAGACAGGGGGAGAGATAGGAAGTGAAGTCGACCCATTGGCAAATGCAATGGGTTTGTTTTATGCAATTTCCAGGTTCTGGGCGCCTCATCAACAAATCAAAGCACATGATCGTAGGGTTGCATTTGATGACAGGCCCTTAACACGCCCTAACAACGAATGCTTCTAAGCATTACAGAAAAACAAACGCGGTGCATCGAGGACAAGAAGGGGAGTTTTTATGATACAGAAAGATAGTACAAAAAGAGAAAAAGATCCGTTAAACAGTCAGCAGACAGGAGGCAGATGAATTAAAGCATCTCGCTACTCTACCACACTCTTAAGCAGAGTCAACAGCAGCCTTGACGACAACTGAAAAATCATTAAAGATCAGAGCTTCTCGCTTGACAACATGATCCGTCTCATCAAAGGCAACCCCCTCCAGATACAACTTGGCCTTCTTGTTATCAATCTTTTCGCCGTGGGCCCATTGACCCATGAACCCTCCAATAAAGAGCTTTGAGTCCAAGACACGATGGCAGGGGACAGGGAGAGGGGCGTAGGGGTTGATCTTGAGGGCTTGACCTACAGCTCGGGGCGATGAGCGCAGGGCGTCTGAGAGGTACTTGTACGTCGAGATCTGGCCCTTCGGGATCTGTTGTAGGTAAGAGAGGCATGAGAAGACTACGTGTAAGTGGCGACACACACGAAGAGAAATAATGCAACAAAGAAATGGCCAAGTAAAATGAGAGGCTGAGGCGGATCAAATTACCTGGGCACAGAGGTCATAGACTTGGAACTGGAAGGGTGTCACCTTGCGGCCAGTGTGTCGATTGACAGCGTTCTCGCGATCCGCTTGTGATTTTGGGTACAAGTGAACAGCTACAGACCATAGACGATGAATGCGAAAGACGAGGTGAGTTTTGGGCCATTTGTGTCTCTTCTCCTATGTGTTCAAAACGGTGTGTGTGGCAAGTAAGAGGACAAAGCTTACTTGCTATGTCCTCGTCAATAGCGACAGGCTTCTTGGCAGGGTCGAGTGCCTCAGTGCCAACAGCGGTTGCAGTGGCAGCAGCAGGTGCTTTAGTCTTAAGGACTTTTGCCTTTGAGGTGATGAGGCTGGCAGCGGCAGCAGTGACGACAGTTCGCTTGACGGTGTTGATTCTTTCGGCTGGCATTCTGTTTCGAGAGTGAATGAAGTAAATTCGAAAGTGGATTGTGTCAAAGAGTGGAGCGAAGGAAAGAGGGTCAAACGAAAATAGGGAGAGGATTGCTCGTTCTTTTTATATGAAGGCGCAAATTGGTGGCACTGACATTCAACCACTGCGCTCACGGGGTTGACTCATTCGCTGCACTTTCGAACAAACGGTTTGTCCCACCAGCCACACCGCAGCCACAATTTCAATTCGCCGCTCACACTCTCTCTTGGTGTCAGTAGGACTCTTTTTTACTCAACACTTTTTACGCAGACCTTCTCGCAACCATGCTGAAACTCGACTCAAGGTCTGCGCAATCAACAATACCACCAACACTACCCAACAAAGACTCATCACCAAGACAACGAGTTTAATCTACCACAACAACATCGAAACTCAGTGCACAGACAACAACGACACTTCTACCACCCTCCTCTACATCACCTTTCAACAACAAAGTCAGGAACAGGGCCAATGCCGCCTGTGACGAGAAACCACGCCACCTGGGAGAGAGTCTTACTGATGCCAGAACTCGCCTTTGCATTACAATGCTTCCTGGACCACCACCACCTCGCCGACGCTTCTCGAGTCTGTCAGACATGGCACCATGTCTGGACACCATTCCTCTGGAAACATCTCTCCCTCCCTCGACCTCGTCCCCTTGCTCCCTTTTCTCCATCACGCTCTTCGACATCATCGTTCAAGCCAACAATAACAACGGCGCTTTCACAGCGTCGACACTCTCGCGGGGTCTCAGTAAGCGACAACAGTAACAACGACCATGAAGAGTTTGCATACATACTCTCACCCGCCTGTCTGGCGCCTTTTGGACATTTCGTCGTGCGACTTGACGCAACTTGGCTGACCACTTCAGAGTTATTCCACATCTCGACTTACTGCCTCCAGTTGCGAGCCCTCAAGCTGTCGGATTGCCCTTTACCGACCAAGGCCCTCTCCACCCTCCTCCAGTCCCTGAAGCGATTGAGTCGATTGTCGCTGGACATTCCCCTGCATGACTATTCTGCAGATGAAATGCAAGGCGATGATGACGAGGGTGCAGCGAAGGCAGCAGCGGCAGCAGCAGAGCACAGAGACGAAGACGAGAGGACAAGGGGTCGCATTTTCCACAGGGATGAATTGGGAGAAAACGAAATCATGAAGGCCGTTGAGATCTATGCTTCGTCGGAAACACTGGAGTATCTGGAATTGTCATTCCAGTCACCGGTCCGGATTTCGGTGGAGGCGATTTGTTCGTTGTTGAGACACCAGCGCAGCTTGAGGACGCTCAAGCTGGTAGATGCCGATATTGAGGACCCGGGGGGCTCTCGACGACGAGGCTCAAAGATGAAAAAGAAGAAGGCCAAGGACGATCATCGGAAACAAGGAGGTCAACGCGGTGACAAGCGCAACCGGGGCCATAGCAGCAGCGGAGAGGCGTCAAGTGCAGCGGCTGTGTCCTCAGGAACGGTCATATTGGTAGCGGGACCTTCAACAGCATCATCAACGGCATCGCCAGGATCATCATTACCCTCACCCTCACTATCGATCTCGGACTACGACAGCGGCGATGGAGGCGCAGAGTCACTGCCACCAGAAGGAAAGGAAACTGAGACATCGTTTGGCCTTCACTTCTTCTCAATCTCCAGCTCGCACACCTCCGACAGCAGCTTGACCCACATCCTGGAACGCTGTCCGGAACTACGAGCACTACACCTGCATTCGTGCGACACAATCACAGACCAGTCCCTCCAGTCCGTTGTCCAACATTGCCCACAACTCGAGAGCATTTCCCTCTCCAGCTGTAAAGGCCTCACCACCCAGGGGTTGAACCAATTCTTCAGCGCGAAAGGGGACAAGGCGGTGGCATACCCAGCATTAGCAGCGGCAGGAGCTGTGTCAGGCTCCCCACTTGTCCATGTCCACCTCTGTGACCTGACAGCGCTCCACGATGACACGTTAGAGATTATGGCCGTATGTCATGGACGTTCACTTCAGAAACTGGCGATTTATTTCTGTGCGTCCGTTACCGACCGAGGGGTAATTGCGCTTTTGACGACTTGCTCGCAGCTGAGGGTGTTTGGACTCCAGGCGTATGGGATGACGCCTGCGATCTTTGAGAAGCCTTGGGCCAGTTCCAAAACGATGGAGCAGTTGGATCTCCAAGGGGTCTTCAAGAAGGTTATCCTAGGCCCTGCAGGGGAGGCGGCGGCTAATAATTTCTCTATCACGGCCAGGTGGCAGGATCTCCAAGCTCGGATCGATGGATTTGCGATCACCAAAGCCCGTCTCGTCACTCTGGATCGACTCAAGAACTTGCGTCTGGCGGCGGGAGGGATCGGGAAGGAGGTTTTGAGCGGGTTTTCGAGCCCACGCCAACGGATCGAGGTTCTGCATCTGTATGGGCTTCAGAGTACACAGGTTGATACTTTACCCTGGACAGCTATCAGGACCTGTTACCCACACTTGAGACAAGTCTACTGTGGTGTGATTGGGATCATCCGGAAGAGTATCCGGGAAGAGTTGACGCGGTTGAATGTCGAGCTCTTGGCGTCATCGAGTATCCCCGACCTTGCCTTTGAGAACAACTTCGATGACTAAGGCCAAGACGTGTGTTTTACAAGGTCCACAAGAGGGGCAGTGCAGTGCATTGAGAAACCATTTTTTTTTTTTTTTTTGGCTTAATTAAACGATTTTGTGCTTGGCACATATAAGCAATACCATTATTTCTTTTATTCAATCATCCGCCAAGAGCTTTTGAAGGTCTTCTCTTTCCCGCTGCTTCTCGCTGACTTTCCGGTGTGTCACTGGAACCGGGACGTCAGGCACTTCAGGCTCCCTCTTCAAGTATGTCGCAACTATGTCATATGAAAACAAATGATCAAAAGTTCAGTCTCCTATTGTAGTTGTTAATAGGACGCAGAGAAACGACGCAATTGCGAGAAAACTTACTCTTCTTTGCGGTGGCCTCCTGTTTCGGGACCAACTCACCATCCAGAGTGAGCTGCATGGGTTCACGGGGCTCCGCTTTCACTCCCGGCAGTTTGGACTATCGCATGTTACGAAAAACCAAGCACAATTAATATCCATACTGATATACATAACGTAACGTACATCCAGAAAATACGGCTCAAGGTGTAATGGGTTACTTTGCGGAAGGCCTTAAAGTTGGGTACATTCTTCCATTTCTCCTGCAGGTCCAAACTGGGTCCCGCAATGTTCTTGAAATTCGGCATTTTCTTCCACCGCTCCGGCCAGTCATTTTGATCCGCCTCGTCCAAAATCTGCACATCATCATCATCATTCAAGGGCGATGTTTCCCGAGACCCCGACCCTTGGCCTTGTTGATCCTGCTGCTGTTCCGCCATCTTGCGTCGCTTGCTCTTGGTAGTGAGCGCCGCGCTTCGCTCCCACTGCATCAATTTGTTGGAATCACCCTTGGTTTGTGCTGGCAGACGCTTCCATCGTTCCTGCTCCTCCATGTTTTGGATCTGGCGTTCCAGCTTGATATCCAGGTTAAGCGCAACCATGTCGTCTCGGATCACGTCAAAGGAGGTTGGCTTCTTCTTCTTTCCTGCTGCTGCCCCGCGGGAGGATGGTGCAGAGAGTTGAAACGAGGAATCGTATTCCTTGACTGGATACGAGAATAATTCCTCGTTGATCCTGTCGTCGCCCTTCTTGTCCGCTGCCGCAGCCATCTCTGCCTCATCGTGATTTGAAGGATCAAATCCATTGACAGCGCTCGACCGCGTTTCATCCACCTCATCATCCTCGAACATGGCATTCATCAGCTTGGACTTGCCCTTGCTCTTCTCTGCTGGCATTGCGCTGCTGCTAGTGGTGGAGGTGGCTGTATGTATTGTTTCTCCTGACGCTGAGCCGCCTTCCTTGACTGAATTCTTTTTGGGAGAAGATTGACGCGTTGTCCGTTTATAGGGCACCTCCTGCTCAAGATCGACATCGTTAGCGTCAGGCCAAGCGATAGGAACAGGGATCTGCAGGCTGGAGGGCTGTCTAGTCGCCTTTCCCGCAGGTGTTGGGAGAGCCTGCGCTGAGGTACTGATGGGGTTGCTATGAGAGTCTGCCACGATAACATCCTCATCACCATCTAGCCCATCAAAGAAAAGCGCCATCCGGTCCATCTTAACCTTCTTCTTCACCGGTTTCTCTACTGCGCTCGCCTTGGTCTGTTGGGGTGGAGGAGGAATAGGCTGAGCTCGTGATGAAGAAGTTGATCCTGCAGTGACTGGATCTTTGTGGGTTGATCTCCTAGGCGGCGCCATCAATTGCGAAAGATCAAAAGAACCAGCTGTAGTCTCTTCAGCTTCATCCAAAAACGAAGGTGTATCCTTGCCATCTCTTACATTTGAGGCGGCGCGAGAGGTGGTGGGTCTCGTAAACGACTGCGTGCTAGCTGCAGATTCAACAAACTGTGACAAGGGGGTCTGGACGCTAGCAAGAGTGGATATCATCACCAGGGCTGGCAGCTCGTCATGGTATTTTGGGTTACAATACATGTCTGTTGATGTATAGGCAAGAGCCGACCCGATCTCCACTTCCTGCACCCATCTGTAGCCCATCCTATTGAATAAGATGGAGAACGCCAACGTTAGGCTTTTATCCGCAAAGCGAGGTAAGTCTACAAGAGTATATGGTGGAATGCGTGCTTACTTTTTCAAGATACTGGACGTATTTGAGAACACTGGATCCGTATCAACGTTCGCATCAGGCTTCAGGAAAACAGGAATCAATGTCTCGGATAAGCACTCCATGATCCTTTTTTGGGTTCTACTCGGTTCTTCCTGCGACCACTCTCCTCCTGCGCACCGAATCACTTGAGCAAGATTTTGATACTATCATCCAAATGGTAAAAGAATGGGCGTGTCGGTCAGTTTCCAGACGGATATCTAATAAAGAGACCAACTTGTAGCACTGACATAGTCAATTGAGCGCACCTTTGGCCTCGCAAGAGAAATAAAGCGATAGTCCTTGAAGAGCGTTCTGCGGGTGAAATTTGGCGCCCACTGGATGTTTGCGTCCTCGTATCCTGTTGGAGTTGGTGCAGGGTGCTCTAGCTCGATCAGTCGTGCTTCCGTTTGGCCTTTGGTCTCCCATGACTCCTGAAAGATCCTTAGCTGCTTTTTGAACCAAGTCGAGTCGACCATGTATCCTCCCTCTGCGAGAGCCAAAAATATCCTCTGAGAAACCTTGTTGTTTCCAATAACCACATGTGTTGAAACTCCTGGAACCCATGATTCTTCCACCTTAACATCTATTACGACGGAAATGATTGCAGTTGAACACATGAGCGCGGATTAGATTATATATATGAGAAAGTAATTCTTGTGAACGTAATTTGACTTACCCATTTCAGCAGCCATTTCAACGATGCCGACTTTGGATTGAATATTGAGGCCCACAGAGCAGATACTCCAGTCGACCCTTTCCAGCCTAAAGTTTGTCTTGTCGCCAATGTTCACATCCACCCATCCGCCATATCCGCGTCCAGCGACATGTCGTTGATCCTGAGTCGTCCAGAGGTGATCTTCGTCAATGATAACCTCAATATCCTTGCCACCTGCGATCCGCGTGTTGTTGACTGCTACTCCGGATTTCGAGTCCAAATCCCTGATCGTCAGTTTTGTGTGCTCTCCCCGTACTTTCTAACATATGCAAAGTGATGTAGATGTTCTTGGTCAGTACTGATCGTGTTCGCATTTGTGAACGAATTGCCATGCAGTCAAGCAAAGAGACGTACCACACTGTTCAGTGATGGCTTGGAGACGGATATAACGACATGTCGCCTGCTGACAGACCGATCCTCGCCTGCGATGTTCAGGACATCGCCTATTCATACAGCATGGACGCGTCAAGTGGCCGTTAGTATAAATTTCTTCCTTTTGCCACCTAAACTGTATTAAAAAAAACACACCAACAAGGCCCTGTCTACCTGCTACTTGTCTTCCGATGGTTACTGTCATTTCTGGCTTGAGCCAAATTCGGAGACCTAAGGAATTGCACCGTGATCGCGTCGAAGTTGGCAGTGTGAGTTTTGAGGTTCATGAATGCGGCGTTGTTACATTTCAGAGGTGGCAGTATGGTTTAAATGCGGGTGCTGTACCTGCATTCTGCTCTTGTCCGACAAGAAACCACATGGAAAAGTGAGAAGGAGTGTGATTGCGAGTGCTGAGTCCTGTTCCGTTGAGTGAGCTGCTTTCTGGATGTGTTGTCAGCAGGGTGTGATGATCGCGACGGTAGAAGAGATGTAACAAAGGTTGGAACAACGAGCGAAAAACGATCGCATGTCTTTTTCACGCCACCATTTCTGACGACCGTGACTGTTTCGAAATGCGCTCGTCTTGAACGAGACCAAGAGCATGAAGAATCCTGCTTCTTCGACTCTTTGCTCTTTCACTCCCCATTCCTCCTTCCAGCTCATTCCTTCGCCATCGCGCATTCACCCCCACAACTCCCCACTCCTACTCTTCTTACTCCCCTGCTCACTAAAGTGCTCACATCCACCCAACACCCCACCCTCGACCTCGCTATGTGTACGACGTTGGCTTCAACGCACTGTGCGCTGACTTTGAGGACATCCAACCCTCAGACCTGACCGACAGAGTCTCTCAAAAGCTCGGCACCCGTTATCTCGAGGAAACACTCCCTAGTTCCATGAAGATCATCCGGGGTACTATCCGGGGCCTGAGTCTGCGTCCCATCATATCCATGCATGTCCAGATCACGGACAAAATTACGACCATGTCAGGAACCCGAGAGCCCGTCCAAGTTCACTTCTTGTTCCTCGAGGCCTAGCCACAGACGTACATCTGGGAGGAGGCTCTCAAGCTGATGGGCATCGAAGATGCTGTAGTTTTTGGCGAGACTCTGGTTGCACCGAACGAACATGCGCGCCTGCCTGTCAAGATCAATGGATACAATGTTGATATCCCCCGTTCACCCTCAGACTCGCATTTTGCACACTTGAACATTCTGGGCGAGGACCTCATCCGTGCGTTTGGTGCAAACGTCAACTGTGGTGGCAATCCGCCCAACTTTGAGTTGGGATTTCCTTAGGGACTTAGGCTGGCGTGTTTTTTGCTTTTTTTTTGTTTCCTGATTATTGTTTGGCCTACAGTGTCCTTTGCTATGTTCCTTCCCACCACTGCTATTTTCCTTCGCTTCCCTCACTTCACCCCTCACTCCGTCTCCTTTCTCACTGCCCATTCGACCTTTGTCAGTTAAAAAGCGCCTCCAATCTCCTCCTGGAAATAGGACCGGAACTCAGGCTCCGACCGACTGCCTGACATTCTTTTCTCACATAGCGTTTATGATGTCATTGACCTTGTTGCACCTGTGCCTGATTGCGCCAGAGAGGAAGGAGACTTCGTCATACCATCATCAAATTGACCTTCTTCATCTTCACATATCTCTTTCCATCCAGACCACACACAGGCCGTTGCAAAAGTGATATCGTCAATGCCGCCCAAACCCCTACTTTCTTATATCGACTTTGAATTACCTGCCACTTGGCGATCCGTCTCTTTTAGCGACTTCCAAAACGAACATATTATGCTCCTTCTTCCTCCTCCATTCTTCTATTTTATCCAATGCTTCGCCGATAGGTCATAAAGCTTCCACGCTCACACAAGGTTGCCATTGAACTCTCATGTTATTGTTCCTGGAAGATGGCACCTGATTGCTGATGCCATGAGGAATGGAAGATCAACATGGGTTCGAATGCAACAACAACTTTTGCTCACTACTTTTTACTTCACCCCTTCTTCTTCTCCTTCTTACACCCCCTTTGGTGAGACCCGGTGCAGAGAATTATATCCCGCATGTGAGCATATGTGTATGTGGCGATATTACGAATCAGAGAGGGGGAGAGCCGAAAAAGAAGGAGGAGGGCACCACCCCTTCGGTGATCAAAGTGATCAATCAGCTATTAAAAGAGAGTGTTCTGCGTCCCAGAAACCCCTTACAAGGAAATGGATAACATACAAACACAAGCAAACAGTCGCGTTGGCAAGTGTGTCTTTAGCGCTGCTGTTGGACGTAATTGACGAGGGAACCCGACTAACGACCTGAACTCACTACTTCCGCGGCAAAAAGTGAGAGACAGTAACAGCAATACCTACAGCCTTGCAATGGGCTGTCTCTCTGTGGTCATTATTCTCGATCAAAACAATATAAGAGTATTGGTACATTGTCCCCACCGCCACAACTTACCACCAATCCTTATTTGCATACCTCTCTGGCAGTCATTCCACACCCTTCTCTCTTTTGCCTGAAATAAAACAACGCACCTCTTCTTCCCTCCCCCTTCTCTCCCTTCCCCATCTTCATTCATAGCTCTCTTCCCCATTTGCCTCAATGCTGCCGTAATGTACGGTAGCTTCTCTCCCTCTTTCTTTACTCATTCATACACGTCACAACGGCAGACAGCACCATGCTGTTCATTCATACCCTCCTCCTTCTCCTCGTTCTCTCTCCGATCCTCTTCCAGCAATGTGTAACACAAGCTGAAGTCGTCCAACAGGCCGAACCAACAACAACAAAAACAACAACACAATTGACACCGACAACAACTGACCCCGGTCTAATTGGTCTCCCAACCCTACCCCCCGAGCCAGATATAGTTGTCTACCCAGCGTCCTGCCAGTCCGAGGGGACCTGGTTCATCCAAGGTGGCTTCAATGGTATCAGCTACAACCAATTCTTCTCCCTCGACCTCACAAAAGCCTGGAATACCACCTATGCCCCATGGGTCCAATACCCCGACGCACCACCACTTTCGACCCAAAACTGCCTTTTCGCCTCCAAGGCAGACAGCGCTATCCGCTTCAATGACATCAACAACGCCTATAGCACCAACATATCCTCGTCGTCGATTCTGACTGGCAGTGCAATTGACCCTGCGGGGTCTGTGCTCGCATTCATCGGGAATGAGGACAAGGGGCCATTGATCACTGTCCTTAATATGACAACCGGAACCTGGCACTACAACGCCAGCTCAGTCGTGGCACCCATCCGCAACGCAGGAATCGTTGTCGTCGTCAACCCTCTCGACGGCCGGATATACATGCGCGGAGGACACCAACACCTCAACGCAGATACAATGGACATTTACGACCCCAAGAAGGATACATTGACTTCTTTACCGTTACTCCTCGCCAACCAAACTATTCCGAGCATTGCCAAGGGAGGACACGGGATTCCAGCGGCTCAATGGTACACTGCCTGCTGGTCGAAAAGGAGATCCAGCATTTTGTACTTCGGTGGACGCCATGGCTACACGGAGAGCTATACCAGTCCAGAGATCATCGAGTATAAGCCCGACACTAACACCTGGGCGTTGTTGCCGGTAACAGGAACGGCACCCAGCGAAAGAGAAGACGCCTGCATGGTCACAGGTTCGTAACGGCATTTGGAACTCGAGATCATCTGCTATTCTGGTTTGGAAGGGTGAAGGAGTGAGAAGGAAGGTGACGAAAGAAAGTCGTTGCGTTACAAGGCGTCGGTCTGGCTAATGTATTCCTTGTTTTACTATGATTAGACAAGGACAATAACCGGGTTGTGGTGTTTGGCGGACAGGACGCCAACGGGAGCTTGTCGGATATTTACGTTCTGGACATGAAAACACTGGCCTGGACACGTGGACCAAGCAGTGGAACTGGTCGTATTGGATCGGCCTGTGCCATGTACAACGACGGCTTCTTGACCTGGGGAGGTATGCTTTGGCACATGGAGCTATAAAGGAAATGAATGCACACATCAGGAAAGCGCGAATGCACCACTAACGTCTGTGCGTGTTTATTTTATGTCATTAGGCGCGACGGATACGTTTCTTGTAAGTTACCCCGACACCAACCCTCTAGTACTCAATCTCACAACGATGAGCTGGACAGATCGATACAATCAAAAGGGATCGCTGGATGAGGATCTTGCAACAGGCAGCACTGGCGGATCAAAGCTGGGACTCATCCTGGGTCTGTCGATTGGGTTGTTTGCGCTGGTTGCTCTGGCCGGCGGCGTTTACCTCTTTCGACGCGAGAAACGGAAAACGGTGCTGGACTACGGCAGGATTCTCAATGGGAAAGGACTGACCCCTGCTCAAGTACAATCACAAAGCTCCTCGTCACATTCTGGAACCACTCGTCCACGTGAACAAGGCCCGACCGACCCAGGACAACCACCTCGTGCAGCCCTCGTGCCAACCCCGCAACCGGCAAGACTTTTGTCAGCCAGCAGAGCGCTGAACCGGCACTCAGGAGGTCGTCACTCTGGAAGTGATGGCAGCTGGCGGGACGATATGTCGATCCGGACTGCAACCTCGGGGAAATATGTCCAGGAGACGGATGACGAGTCAATATCGCGGAGAGGCCGACGAAGGCATCAGCAGCAACAATACGATCGACCCAACTCTCGACTGGGACACAAGATCGAAATGTCGTCTATGGGGCCTCAGGGAGATGGGACGGCCGACATTGCAACCTCGTTCAATAGGCATGGAGATCCGACAAAAATCTCTCCCGCTAATCCTTTGCATGCGATCACGCCCTATGCAGCACCCTCCGCACCACCCAACCCAGATATCCGGCAGAGATGAGTTTAAAGTCGTTCCATTGCGATAAGAGTCATGCTTGACGGTACCCAGGCCGTTGTACATAATAAGCCTTTGTATATTATCTTTTTGTAGAAGTGAGAATTTTTGTTGTCATTTTTTAGAAGAGGGTGTGAGATGGGCCTAGCCCTTCCACAAAACCACACTTTGATTAATTTGAAATGGATTGAGTTGCATTATTTTTCAGGTACAGCCATTCTTTAGAGTGTACGCTTCCTGAAGGAAAGGAATTGGTACAAGGTATTGCTTATTTTTCTTGTCCAAAAATGAGTAAACAGCCTCTTCCACAACCCGGATCGTTGACCGCCTTACTCATACGCGAAAAAGGATGTGATTACAAGTGAAAGAAAAGGTTATACAAAAGCATCCAGAAATTGATTCATCCATCGTTTTATAAATGCCAATGCGATCGACGAAAAGCATTGTGATGAAGGGTGTCAGAAGAACGGCGTATGAACTTCTTGATCACGGACAGTTATCTTTATGTGGACGATAATAGTACTTTTTATATGCAAGGATCAAACAGAGAGAATGATTCCGTTGTGGAGATCGGCTGGTGTGTAAGCAGAACAGGTTGAAAGATCGCTCAATGATAAAGAAAATATTCCCTTCGTTTGTCAATCCGTCCAATGCACGGACGAGCAGTGCCAATTGAAGCTTTTAAATCCAGACACGCTGCCTGGGTAGAAGAGAACATCGCTATGAGTACTGCAGACTAGATTGAGGGACGAATGACATAGATAAAGGCGGTTGTATATCGCCACGTCTTTTTTCGCTGCTCGAAACAAGCATTCAGCATACATATCCCAAAACCCAACTGCAATTTTCATGTATCCGCAGTCACAAAACTTAATAATGAAATGGCTCAGGGACATATGCATTCAAGGGTTGATATCGAACAGCGTCTTTTGTTTGGGTAAGAAGGATGGTAAAGTATCGCAGCAGCTGCGGAAGGCTACTGACAACGGAGAAAGATTCATTGAATAAGGCGTATGCTTGGGGAGTAAAGAGGTAGAAGAAAAAACATGATGCGAATACAAAAATGGCGATTCAGACAGGATGACGTCTGTCATTCAAAATTCATATTTCACACTTGCCATGCTCTCATTTCTTTCTGCTCTTCCTCTTCTTCCTGTTCAGCACCCAGCCTTTCTTCCGAAAATTAGCACAACCGACCAAATTATGGAACAAGAGGGCGTCCCAGTTATCCAGGCACTGTGCCATGCGCATCTTGACTCTCCCAGCACCTCGTCCCCAGGAGTCATTGTTTACGTCGACACCCACTTGGACCCGTACGTGCACAACAGAGCCCTTTCTTGCTCACTCAATATAATTTCAATACTGACCTTTATTCTCACTGTATCGTTATTTAGATTGACGCCCCATCAAGTTGCTGCGCTAGATACCGCTATCGACACCGAGCCTGCCTCATTACAAGAAAATATCATGGATACACCACCAGCGTCATCTCAGGAGCAGAAGAGCAAAACCGACGACAGTACCGACAGTACCGCAAATACCATCTCGTCTATCCAACAGGAGTCGGTGTCTAGTGTTGAAGAGGCAGCAGTGGACAACGGCGCAGATATCGGCAACTTTGCTTCCAGCGAATCAGTTCGACAAACGGAAGCATTACTGTGCGACGTCATGTCAGCTGTTGCGATCGAAACGCCAACATCTTCCGAAGTCGACAACAAACTACAGGTGCAAGCACCGCAGGAGTCTGCGTCCATCATCTCCACGGACTTTACCCAAACGAGCATCAATGCCAATCTCGGCGACAAGGACGCTCAGGTGACTCTTGGAGACATGTACAATGAAGGCAAGGGCGTGCAACAAGACTATAAAGCCGCTATGGAATGGTACCTCCGAGCCGCCGAACAAGGAGATGCCGTTGGTATGTGCAAAGTAGGCGTCCTCTATGATCATGGACTCGGTATCACACAGGACCACTCCACAGCGCTCACCTGGTATCTCAAATCTGCAGACCAAGGAAACGCCCAGGCCCAATCCAACATTGGTTATTGCTACCACTTTGGTCAAGGAGTCCCTCTGGATTATTCGAAAGCGATGGAGTGGTTCCTTATAGCCGCTGGTCAAGGAAACGCAGATGCGCACATACACATCGGCAATATGTATAACGACGGTCTTGGTGTTCCCCAAGATTTCACCCAAGCATTGGAGCGGTACCACAAGGCTGCCGAACAGAACGACTCCTATGCCCAAACTAACATCGGACACTACTACCGATTCGGACAAGGAGTGGTGCAGGATTTCTCCAAGGCGATGGAGTGGTACCTCTTGGGTGCCAACCAAGGAAACGCAGACGCACAGAACCACATCGGCAATATGTATAACGACGGTCTTGGTGTACCGCACGATTACTCCCAAGCATTCGACTGGTACAGCAAAGCCGCCGCACAGGACTATCAACACGCGCAACATAACCTCGGTGGACTGTATCATGACGGTGCGGGAGTGATGCAGGACTATTCCAAGGCAAGGGAATGGCTTGCTAAGGCGGCCGAGCAAGGAAACGTACATTCGCAGTACCACCTCGGATGCTTGTACCATGACGGACAAGGAGTGGAACAGGATTATGTTCAGGCGATGACATGGTACCGCAAAGCTGCTGATCAAGATTACATGAATGCACAATACAGCATTGGGCGCATGTACCAGAACGGTCACGGTGTGCCTGTAGACTACTCGCAAGCATCGGTGTGGCTCCTCAAGGCTGCCAAGGAAGGCCACAACGAGGCTCAGTACGCCGTTGGGAGACTGTATGAGTACGGTGATGGAGTACCGCAGGATGTTACGACAGCGATGGAGTGGTATCTGAAGGCTGCCAAACAGTGTAGCTGGGAGGCGCGGACCCGCCTTGCGTATTTGCACCGACAGGGATCCTATTTCTTTTGAACTGTGAGCAAACAACAGCGGCTTTTACTCCTCATCCCCGGCCGTCAGCATCTCCTTTGACATGTCTTGCTTTCTGCAACCATCTACACCTACCTAGCACAGAGGAATATATAAGAAGTGCCAAAAAAAGTATTCTTGGAAGCATACAATGTGCAATTCCGTCCATTGCTGGAATGAAGAGTGTCATTTTCTCATGCCCTGGAAACCCTTTTATCAACGGCCAATGGAAACTGCTCATAAAAGTTCTGAGCGCCACCCCCTTCCTATTCTCTTCTCCTCTCTTCACTTCTCAGTCCATCTACTTTTCTTTCCTGTCAGTCTCTTTCTCCCATCCTCCTTTCACTTCCTCTAGCCTTTTATTGTTCATCCTTCCCCATCACTCCACGGACTATAATTCTTTCCCTCCTTCTTCAAGCCCTACCCTTCTCCTCCCAAGAACAACCCAACAGCGACTAAATAATGCCACAAGGTGACTCCCCCGACACCTCATCTTCAGGAAACACCATCCTTGCCAATGATCACTTGAACCCGTACGTATAGCACAGAGCTTTTCCTTGCTCGCTCGAATAAGGTGCCAGCGCTGACCTTTCTACTCCTTTCTTTTCATTCTTTGCTTTAGATTGATGCAGAATGCCATTGTCGACGCCGAGGATGCCTCATTGCAGGAAAATGTCATGGAGACACCACCAGAGTCGTCACAAGGACAGGGGAGCAACACAGACAACAGCATCACCGACGCTGCCTCTACTACGGAACAGGACCAGGTCTCTGGTCTAAAAGATGACACCGCGGACAACAGCTTTGATATTAGTAACTCTGCTTCCAGTAAATCGGCTCAACAAACGGAAGCATTGCTGTGCGACGTCATGTCATCTGTTGCGGTCGAAACGCCAACATCTTCCGAAGTCGACAACAAACTACAGGTGCAAGCACCGCAGGAGTCTGCGTCCATCATCTCCACGGACTTTACCCAAACGAGCATCAATGCCAATCTCGGCGACAAGGACGCTCAGGTGGCTCTTGGAGACATGTACAAGGATGGCAAGGGCGTGCAACAAGACTATAAGGCCGCTATGGAATGGTACCTCCGAGCCGCCGAACAAGGAGATGCCGTTGGTCAGCGCAAAGTAGGCGTCCTCTACTACTATGGATACGGTGTCACACAGGACCACTCTACAGCGCTCACCTGGTATCTCAAATCTGCAGACCAAGGAAACGCCCAGGCCCAATACAACATGGGTTATTGCTACCGTTATGGTCAAGGAGTCCCTCTGGATTATTCCATAGCTATGGAATGGTTCCTCACGGCTGCCGGTCAAGGAAACGCAGATGCACGCACCCACATCGGCATTATGTATAACGACGGTGTAGGTGTTCCCCAGGATTACTCCCAAGCATTCGAGTGGTACAACAAGGCCACCGAACAGGATGATCAACACGCCCAGTATTACCTCGGATATTTGTACCTTGACGGCGAAGGCGTGGCGCAGAGCTTTTCTAAGGCAATGGAGTGGTTTAATAAGTCGGCTGAACAAGGACACGCAGAAGCCCAGGCAAACGTTGGCTATTTGTACCGTGACGGTAAGGGAGTGATGCAGGATTATTCCAAAGCAAGGGAGTGGTTTGCTAAGGCGGCCGAGCAAGGAAACGCATTTTCGCAGCACAACCTCGGATGTTTGTACCATGACGGACAAGGAGTGGAACAGGATTATGTTCAGGCGATGACATGGTACCGCAAAGCTGCTGATCAAGATTACATGAATGCACAATACAGCATTGGGCGCATGTACCAGAACGGTCACGGTGTGCCTGTAGACTACTCGCAAGCATCGGTGTGGCTCCTCAAGGCTGCCAAGGAAGGCCACGACGAGGCTCAGTATGCCGTTGGGAGACTGTATGAGTACGGTGATGGAGTACCGCAAGATGTTACGACAGCGATGGAGTGGTATCTGAAGGCAGGCAAGCAGTGGAGCTGGGAGGCGCGGACCCGACTTGCCTATTTGCACCGACAGGGATCCTATTTCTTTTGAACTGTGAGCAAACAACAGCGGCTTTTACTCCTCATCCCCGGCCGTCAGCATCTCCTTTGACATGTCTTGCTTTCTGTAACCGTCAACACCTAACTAGCACAGAAGAATATAGGACGTGTTCAAAAAATAATCTTGGGGCCATGTAAGCATACAATCTAATTTTTCTCACACGAGCATCAATGCCAACCTCGGCGACAAGGATGCTCAAATGGTTCTTGACGATATGTACATGGATGGCGAGGGAGTTCAACAGGACTACCAAGCGGCCATGGAATGGTACCTTCGAGCAGCCAATCAAGGATATGCCATTGGTCAGCGCAGAGTTGCCTATCTCTACAGTTTGGGTCTCGGCGTCGCACATGACTACTTTGCAGCCCTGACCTGGAACCTTAAGGCTGCCGCCCAGGGAGATGCGGGAGCCCAGTGCAACGCTGGAAACCTTTACCACCAAGGCCAAGGCACCTCTCAGGACTTTTCCAAAGCAATGGAGTTGTTCCTCTTAGCCGCCGACCAAGGACACGCAAAAGCACAGAACCACATCGGCAACATGTATCACGACGGTGTTGGTGTTCCCCAGGATTTCTCCCAAGCATTGGAATGGTACCTCAAGGCTGCCGAACAGAATGCTACCTATGCACAAAGCAGCATCGGCAGCAGTTACCGTCACGGCGAAGGAGTGACGAAGGATTTCTCTAAGGCGATGGAGTGGTTCCTCTTGGCAGCCGACTAAGGAGACGCGTATGCCCAGAACAACATCGGCGATATGTATAGTAACGGTCTTGGTGTACCGCAGGACTACTCCCAAGCATTCGACTGGTACAGCAAAGCCGCTGCACAGGATGATCAACACGCTCAGGGTAACTTCGGATGTATGTACATTGACGGCGAAGGCGTGACGCAGAGCTTTTCTACAGCAATGGAGTGGTTTAATAAGTCGGCTGAACAAGGAAACGCAGACGCCCAGGCAATCATTGGCTATTTGTACTATGACGGTGAGGGAGTGGCAAAGGACTATTCCAAGGCAAGGGAGTGGTTTGCTAAGGCGGCCGAGCAAGGAAACGCATTTTCGCAGCACAACCTCGGATGTTTGTACCATGACGGACAAGGAGTGGAACAGGATTATGTTCAGGCGATGACATGGTACCGCAAAGCTGCTGATCAAGATTACATGGAGGCACAATACAGCGTTGGGCGCATGTACCAGAACGGTCACGGTGTGCCTGTAGACTACTCGCAAGCATCGGTGTGGCTCCTCAAGGCCGCCAAGCAAGGCCACGACGGAGCTCAGTATGCCGTTGGGAAACTGTATGAGTACGGCGATGGAGTACCGCAGGATGTTACGACAGCGATGGAGTGGTATCTGAAGGCAGCCAAGCAATGGCACCGGGACGCACGGAAGCGCCTGGGCTGCTTGTACCAATATGAAGCCGGCTTTTATTAAAGTATGGACAATATGTCGTTTGCGATGTTCACTTTGTTGTGTAAAAAGATGTATCGTACATTTCGGTGGCAGGCGTGAAAGTCGATCCATTGTATAGCGGGAGGGGAGTGAAAGTCGAATCGGTGAACTGAGAATCAACAATCGCTTCTTTCTCTTGTTATTTTTTCTCACACAACCAAACTTTGCTTCTCTTTCGCTCACCACCCTTCCTTTCAACCTTATCTTCTTTTTCACTTTTCACTTTTCACTCGCGCCTTGGACACTACATACAACCACCATCACCAGCAATTATTGACACGTTCTCTTCTATTGGTATCACAAGGCAGCAGCAGCGCAAGGATTCTCAAAAGGTGAATACAGGATAGGCCTCCTCTACCGACTTGGTCTCGGAATCGATCAGCCGCGACTCAACAGCCATGGAATGATATGCCAACGCGGCCGCAAAAGGGGACGCTTTACCGGCCAGTGCATCATCGGCTACCTGTACGGACATGGTTTCGGCGTGGATCGGGACGATTCTCAATCAATGGTCTGGTAGCTCAAAGCGGCCGGCCAAGGATATGTAGTAGATCTGCAAAAACGTCGGGAATGTGTATGTCCTCGGCCGCGGTAGGCCCAAGGATTACCCCGCCCCCCTCCTCCTGGGCGATTGAATGGTTCCTAAAGTCTGCCGATCACGGGTACAACACATCATGGCGTTTCGGAATCGGCACCTGAACATTATCTACGACAAATCTACAATACTAAGGCAATATGACAGATGAGGAACAAGGGCAGAGTATTTTACTTTCCCTCGGCTCCCTTTGCGCAACCATGATACTACTCCCTTATGGAAGATGCCAAATCGTATGAATTGCATGAACTATGTGTCATGCGATCTCCTTCTAGCCTCCTCCTCCCTTCTCCTGCTCTTCCCTCATTCACACTCTCTTGCTCTGTTGCTTTAACAATTAGTGTCGTTATCCATCTCATTGACAACTCAACAACATCACTGTCATCTTGCTTATCTTCTTCATTTCGTTCTTCCTTCCTAACCTCCTTCTTTTCCTCATTCCTTCGTTATCGTACCTTCTTGTGAACCATCATCACTCTACCCGTCAACTCCGTCACGATCACGTTCTCCAGCTTTATGAATAAGATGTTCCAGATACATCCCCTCGATCTACATGAGATTCGTTCAAGAATTGCCAGCAGCCTTGGCCTCAAAGACCTCGCGACCTGTGCGCGTGTGAGTCAGGATTGGAACGACTCTTTCACGCCTCCACTCTACAACTCTGTCGTCTTGTCGAAACATGGCCTCAGCATGGAATCTGTTGAGAGAAACAAGCACCTTATACAAAGCCTGAAGATTCGGAGCTTTACCTATGGAAGACTATCATCGACATCTGCCAGAGACAAAGTAGTTTTTAGTGTCATGGCTTACTCGACTCTGACCACTTTGGACTTGAGGTACAACTCGATCGGAGACAACGGAGCTCAGGCGCTGTCTGAGGCACTCATGATGAACTCGACCCTGACCACTTTGGACTTGGGGGCCACCTCGATCGGAGACAACGGAGCTCAGGCACTGTCTGAGGCACTCAAGGTCAACTCGACTCTGACCACTTTGCACTTGAACGACAACGTGATCGGAGACTACGGAGCTCAGGCACTGTCTGAAGCACTCAAGGTCAACTCGACACTGACCACTTTGGACTTGAGGTACAACTTGATCGAAGACAACGGGGCTCAGGCACTGTCTAAGACACTCATGATGAACTCGAATCTGACCACTTTGCACTTGGACGACAACGTGATCGGAGACAACGGAGCTCAGGCACTGTCTGAAGCACTCAAGGTCAACTCGACCCTGACCACTTTGGACTTGAGGTACAACTCGATCGGAGACAACGGAGCTCAGGCGCTGTCTGAGGCACTCATGATGAACTCGACCCTGACCACTTTGGACTTGGGGGCCACCTCGATCGGAGACAACGGAGCTCAGGCACTGTCTGAGGCACTCAAGGCCAACTCGACCCTGACCACTTTGGACTTGAGGCACAACTCGATCGGAGACAACGGAGCCCAGGCGCTGTCTGAGGCACTCATGATGAACTCGACTGTGACCATTACTGGCGTCATATTTTAGTAATGACCATGCCTAATGATCACTTCATTGAAGATAATAAACAACGCCTTTATTTAATCGTTCTAATTCAGCTACTCCACTCTACCCTCCATACACTCCTGAAGAAGTCGGTCAACTTTTGAATCTTTGACAGTTATACCGAGCATAGGTTGTGCGTGACTGGTAATAACCTAGCCAGACATCCAAAGGACCGGAAAGGGCTTGACTTGCCAATAGGGGGTATAGAAGGACCGACCGACTGTCGCAGAGAGCATGGCTGGCTGGTGACGAATCAGCAAGTCCAGGGACATGATGGCAGCGGAGGCAGTTGTTGGTCAAGGAGGTACGTCCGTTCAGAAATCTATGAAGCTCTTCGAGGTTGATGCTCGCTGCCCTTTCTGATCTTGACCTTGAACTTTGGTGGGGGTGGGGGCGCGCCGGGTTAAGAGCCTTGGCAACGTCCGCTGGCGAGTATGGCCTAGTTTTGTTTCAGATATCAAATCAAGACAACACAAAATCGTCGGTCCAACAAGACATTGTAAAAGCGTCGCTGAGGAGGGGGGGGGGGGGCCAAAATGAATGTCCGGTAGACACTATTCTTCAGGAAAAATCGAGCACTGCTGTGCAGACCCTGACAGTTATCGCAATGGTATTGTTGCAGGGAAAGAAAGGGGAAGCAATTGGCCAGATTCCCCAAGTCTGCGAATCTGATCTTTTCCCGTTTCCAGTATTCAACTGACCGCGTGGTGGGAAACTGGTCTACCTAAAGGAATGTTACAGTATTCGACATGCAAAATCGTGGCACGACTTATGACAAGAAAGGATCGCAGACGCTTTTTTATTTTCAGAAAGACAAATTAGAAAGTGTATAGGGTGGTTGAAAAGAAACAAGAGCAAAAAGACAATAGAATGGAAAGAGAAAAAAACGAACAATGCGGCAGCCAAGAAAAAAAGTAAAGAAAAAAAAAAAGTATAGTGAAAAGGTATTTCCTGCGGTTGGTTGACGCAGGGTGGTATTTTGAGATACATATATAGAGTCGAGAACGCACATCCTGTATGTCCCGACTGTGGTTCATGCCGTCTATTGATCCGTGGACTGTTTACTGGGCGGCAGCAGCAGTGGCCTTCTCCTCGGCAGTCCAGGGGTTGGCAGCCTCGGGTGCGACAGCAACGGTTGATCCTGTGATAGAGGTGACAGTGGTCTCCTGGGTCGATGAAGCAGTGGCGGTCTCAATTGTCGTCTTTGTCTCCTCGACAGCCACCGTGGTCTCCTCGACAGCCGCCGTGGTCTCCTCGACTTCCACAGAGACCGACTCTTTCCTCTCGAGCGAAGTCTTGGATGAGACTGACTCTTCCTCATCCAAAGTAGTGTCGACATGAGCGCCATGGACTCCTTCAGGCCACTCCCCAGAAGGTCCCATGTTTCCGATCGACTGCGAGGAAACACCGAGCTCCGACAACATGATGGGCAAAACACCGGCGCGGGCATAGAACATCTGGAGACGAAGGCGCAAACTCTCCGAGTAGAGATCCTCGATCGTGCGGGTCGAGTAGAGTCCAGCGCGAATGTTGCGGATGTAAATGTAAAACTCGCAGGCAGCAACGATACGGTCGCGACAGAAGCGGTCGATAAAGTTCCACTCGTCCGAGGTGGCAAGGCGGTATCGATGGGTAAGAGGGCCGGAACGACCGCAGGTCTGGCATCCGCCCTTGGGGGCCTGGTAAAGTGCGTACTGGGTCTGAAGCCTCTCCCAGAGCATGTTCTTGTTGGTCATAGAGTTGCGGGCGGGCGAAGGGGGCTGCTGGGCAGCCAAGACCATGCGCTCGTACTCCTTGACCTGTTCAGCAGTAGCCTCCTCGATGTAGCAGGTGTTGGTGCAGATGCCTTCGGTCAACTTTCTTGCCGAGATCTTAGGGTTGGATCCGAAACGCAAGCAGGGCTCAACATCCTCGTCCTGGCAATGGCGCATAAAGGGCAAGCTGTGGATCTTGGCGAGACGGACGGTCGAACTCTGGGCGACAAACTCCTTGAACTCATGCATCAGCTGTCCGTCAATGGCAATAGCAGTCGCGGGCTCCTCTGCAATGGGCTCTGGCACAGATAATTTGTTCAATCCAAAGAGCTGCTGGAGATCCACGCCGGCGCCGCGGCTGGCAGTGTCGGTGGAGGAGCGCTTACTCTGGGGCTGAGTATCGATGATGGCCTCCATCTTGGTCTTGAGCTCCTTGAGCTGCGAGGTCTCTGCAGCGAGGCGTTCCTGGGCATCCTTGAGTTCGAGCTCGAGGTGTTTACGAGTGAGTTCCAGCTGGTGACGGGCTCTGGCCTCGGAAGCAACCATGCCGTTGGCCTCTTCGAACAATGTGCGGCTGAGCTCCTCCAACTCACCCTCAACCATCTCCTTGGCATGCTGCAACTCGGCGACCTTCTCGATCTCGTCCACGTACTTGTCGTTCAGGATGGCGAGATCCCGCTGGGCGCTCAGATAGTCGTCGGTCTTTGCATCCAGTGCGTCCTCGAGATCATCAACCTTCTTGCGCAAGACCTCTGCCTCGATGGATTCTGCCGATGCGCGCTTCTGTTCCTCTTCAAGACGCACGTTGGTTTGCTCCAGTTCCTCCAAGAGAACTGAGCGTTCGTTGTGTGCCTCGGCGAGGGAGGGGATGATGCGGTCGCAGATGTTGCAGGCACGGGTGGTGAGGTCGGCACAGACTGCGTGGCAGGGACACTCTCCATCAATCAAGACTGTCTCATCCGTGTCCTTTGCAACGCGCTGTGAAGTGGTGGCTGTTTCTTCTGCTATAAATGAAATGTCCAAAGGGAGATGTGCGTTAGTGCGACGTGCCTTCTTTTGTTGTTTTGGTCCAATGGGCGTAAGCAAAAAAAGAGATATATTACTATCTCGGCTGCAAGAAGAAATTGGAGGTGGTTTTGTTGTTATGTTGTCTTATGGAGAAGGAGCAAGAAAACGAGCGAGAGCACTAACAACAAACACACAGTTGGTTGATGGGTGTTGTAGGTGAGTGGTGAGAAGGAATTGGGCGTAGGGCGAACAATGGATAGAAGGAGGATAAAATCCAATGGAAGCACAAGAAAAGGTGGAAGAGAGAGACGTGGAGGGTGGAGGAGGAAAGTTTAACCCAACGGGCTTTCTTTTTTCTTCTGTTGTTTGTACTTTGTGTATCCTTCGGGTGGATTGTCACAAGCCAATTGGATTGATACGAGTTTACAGATATGCACAACACACAACAACAAAGGAAGAATACGAAGAGTAGAAGGTGCAACAGAAAAACACAACGGAAAACTCTATCGGGTATGAGACACTCACACCCACAAGTCCTCCTGTTCATCCTGTTTTTGCTAATGCCAAGCACCTGCTCGTTGTGGTTGGTGTTTCCTTCCCTTCTTTGTCAAAGGGCATACAGATGAACAAACCCCCTTTTTGCATTTGCAGCAGACCAAGGAGAAACTGAGAATACAATGGTTTGTTGTTTTGTTGTTGTCTCCAAAGTACAGAAAAGTAAAATGAGTGCACACGGGGGACCAATCAAATCCTCCAGGCACCTTTTCTTTTTTTCCCACTTGGTTGGCGGTTTTCTTGGTTAGTTTCTCAGTGTAAAGAGAGGAGCTGTCGTACCTGAACCGTTGGAAGCGGCAGCAGCACCAGCAGTGGTAGTGGGATCGATGGGGGCAGGGGTGGCGAGGGCTGCAGTGGCCTTTTGCTGGGGTTCCTTGACGGTCTCGATCAGGTTGTGGATACGCGAGTAGAGATTGGCGATGTCCTTGGCGGTCACGTCCTTGGAGACGGGCTCGGGAGCAGGGTGCATTGGTGCCTCAGTCATTTTCTTGTATGCTGTATGTGTATGTAGGAGGGAATGAGGGAGGGAGGGGCAGGAGAGTGAAGGAGGTGAAGGAGGTGAAGGAGGAGGAGCGTGAAGGGTGTAAGAAGGGGAAAAAAGGAGGAAAGGAGATGAAAGGGAAGAGAAGAGAAGAGGACGAGGAGGATGGAGTAGTAAGTAAAAAGAGGAGGGGTGACGACAAAGAGCGACAGGTGGTAGTGTGCGTGTGATGGAGAAGAAGAAAAGTGAGCAGATGAGCAGAAAGAGAAAAAAAAAAGATGATGGTCGAAGCAGAAACGACGACTGGCAAACTGACTACGCTTGCAGGGGAATAGAAGCAAAGAGACAGGCAGAGGCACAGGCACCATCAGTGAAACACTCTAACACTCTATAAACGGAACGTCTCAACAGTTGATGGCCACGTGATGGATTGATCGCATCAAACATGAATTGGAAATAGACAGGGCATCATTATGCGGGCTAAGTTGACTCGGTGGAGAAAGAAAAAAAAAAAAAAAAAAAAAAAGGGAAAGGGAAAATTGTCCAGCAGGACTCCGGTTGAATGATTGATTGCTTGATGGTGTTGTTTGATGTCAACAAAAGGAAATCATCGGGACGAGGAGAAGCGAAGCAGGCATGATCTGATAAAGAACGATACCGCAAGGCTGTTTATTCGTTTTATTCGCGGGTAAATAAATACTGTAGTGGATTGATGGATCAACGAGCAGACGAATGGCTTAGAGAGAGAGAGAGAGAAAGAATGGAGAACGGTTGCGAAGCAATTCCCGGCCAAGTACAGTACAGTACAGTTCGCTGTAGAGTGGCATGTGCGACGAACGCAAAAATGCGCGATTTCTGGCATTGAAAACGATTTTTATTTTTCCTGATCCAAAGGCGAAGGAAAGCGTATTGCGCAATTGCTTTTAAAAAGCATAAAAGACGTTGGCTTTCTATTTTTTTCGTTTTTTGTTCACTCTCCACACTTCTCTCCTGTTTCGTCTCTCTAGTCCTAGCCCAGTGGCAAGGACTCACTCTACTCTCACTCATCGCTCGGCTCATACACCCTCTTCTCGGCATTGCCACTCTTTTTTGTTTTTTTCTTCTTCATTCTTCTCTTCATCACAAACCATCGCTCGCACTTTGCCCAAGTCACACCTCGCACATACCCCCCTCTTCCTTTCCTAGACTCTGTGCATCAATTGCGCACAGCAACAGTACAACAACAACAACGGTCTTACTTCCAAATAGCCATTCGCCCACTGTCCTTTCAGTCAAGATGGTGTCCCCAGCAATCCAGACGTACTTCAGCAAGATGAAGGGCCAACGCTACGATCCCAAGAGACTAAAATCCCCTCCCAAGCCCCCAACAAGAATCCAGGTCCTGGTCTCGACCTTTATCGGTTCCTTTATCGGCATTGCGATCGTCGCTTCCATGACCTACAATTCACAGTGGTTCCTTGACAGGAACACCCCCGTCATTGCGGGTTCCTTTGGTGCCTCAGCCGTCCTTATATATGGTGCCATTGAGGCCCCCCTCTCTCAGCCTCGTAACGTCAGTAGGTGCCTCCCTCCTCCTCCTCCTCCCTTCTCTCGCTTGCGCATTCTCCCCTATTTCCCTTTGCACTTGACCCACTTCATGTCCTACCTATGTGTCAACAAACAAACAAACAAACAAACAAACATTATTGTCCACTTGGCATATTCCATTGCGTGTTCCATCTTTTTTTTCCTTCCCTTCTCCTCTGCAGACTCTGCTTCTGTGTCATTGACGTCGTCGATCTTTGTCATTGCACTAAAACCTCCGCAATGATCCCATTCGCTCTCTTTATCCTGCACAATGCAACATTATGACAGTATGCGGGTTTTATTTCAAACATGGTTAACACGTTCGGGCGGGTAAATCTCTCTTTTGCCATATCACCTTTTTTAACTTTTTACCAACAACCCCTTGCCCCCTTTCTTCTTCTAGTCGGCGGACACATCATGGCGTCCTTCATTGGAGTATCGCTCTACAAACTCTTCAACCTGATGTCAACCGAACTCTTCAACCGCCTCCATTGGCTCCTCTGCTCCCTCGCCGTTTCAATTTCCCTCTTCGTCATGCAAGTCACCCATACCGTTCACCCCCCTGCCTCTGCATCTGCACTCATTGCCGTCACGGGCGGACAAGCGATTTATGATCTGGGCTATTGGTACCTACTTTGTCCAATAGCGCTGGGGGTAGCGTTAATGATGATCGTCGCGATGCTTGTTAATAATGTTGTAAGGACCTATCCATCACATTGGTGGGCCCCCAAGTCGAGAATTATCCACGTTGTTGATCAGGATATGACGACAACGCTTGCAGATTTTATGCCACCCGATGATGATGATGAGGATGAAGATGAGCAAGAGAAGGAGGGGCAGAAGGCGGAGAGAGATGGTGTGGCATCATCCCCTCTTGGCAATAACAACAACAAGTCTTCGACTCATCACCCCACCATCTCCTCAAGCTCGTCATTGACCTTCTCCCCGCTCGATAACCACTCTTCTCCAAACCACCCCCCAACTTCTATCACGCCACACCCAGCCCCCATCATACACACTCACACCCAGCCCCAATACGCAGTCTACTACGGCGGAGACCACAAAGAAGAACTTAGAGATGGAGAGATGCTCCAGGAACTACACAGCGGCTCCTCCTCTTCCCCCAAGGACCTCGAGCACGGTCATGGCCCTCATGGACTCATCAACCGGCGCCACTCGATTATGATTGGTCTCCGAGGGTCTACTCACCCCATTGCTCGTACCACTTCGAGCGGCACCACCGTATCCCATGTGACGGCTACGGAGGAAGAGTACCGTGCGACGATTGAGCAGCTCCAACAGCGTATCCTCGACCTCGAGTCCCGTCTTGCCGCTGTTCCTGCCGACTCTGGCGCCGGTTCCAACTGATCGTCTTAGACTGTCTCCATTTTTCTTACTTAGTTACTTATTGCCAGGTCCTGAACCGGAGGTGAGTGAGGTTGAGAAAAAGTGAGGGGAGAGTGTGAACAGGATAAAATGGGGAACTGTGAAAAGCTGTCTATTTATGTAGTTTGAAGACAAGAAGAGTACCGGGGATAAAAGGAAAGGTGAATGACAAGAAGTGCAAACAGATATAAGGATAATAACGTGTCAAGATAGAAAAAGGGTGCAAACAGATGTAAAGAGAATAACAGTCAAGATAGAAGAGGTGCAAACAGATGTTAAGGAACGATTAACGTGTATGCCGAAGCACAAATAACTAAACCTAAATTTTTCTTTTTTTCTGTTTAGGATAAGGCAGTTGGAATGTCTCTGCTTTTTTACTTACTTACCGACCCTTCCCTGTCATCCATTAATACCCCGCCCCTTTCCTTGGCATTCATTAATACCATGTCCCTTTTCTTCACTCCTCCTCACCCGTTACCTACAGTAAAACCTCCCAAAATACTCTTCAGCATGATATACAATAAAAAAAAAGAGTTTTTTATTTTATTTTTGTTGCCACTCTCTCACCCGGAGTCACCCCTAGGGCGAAAGCAGTAAACCTCCTTGCTTCACAGAGGAAAGATTGACGAACCAAGGGACATATTACGGATCATCCCTTCAACCACAATCTCATGGAAATCATTATCCATCTCCTCTTTCGTCCTCCGCCTCTCTCCCTTCTCCCCTTTCAATCCTCCTCCACCCTTGTTCTCGTCGTTATAGCTATCATCATCGTCGCTACCATCGTCGCGATCCAGAACCTGAACGTTCAACGACTCATTCGACGCCGACATCTCATCCACCTCCGCTTCCTTCTCCTTCCTCTCCTTCTCCTCACGGTACTCGGACGACCCCTGCTGCGCTTGAGCCTGCACATCCTGTAATGAGATCCCGCCATTCCTAGCAAATCCGTCATGCCCAATTCTCCCTCTCCCACCACCAATGCCGGCGCTAAAACTGCCGCGGCCATGGATACCGGGTTTCATCCTTGCCGCGATAGCCTGTGGACGATTTTGCTGCTGTTGGTGTTGTTGCTGATGTGGGGGAGGCGTAGGTGTCTCGTTGGTGCTATCGATCCTTGCGAGGTCTGCCGTCTTTTCTGAATCGACGAAGTTTTCAGAAGGTATCCGTGTCTCTGACTCTTCCGACTTTGATGGGGCTTCCTTCTCGGCGGGTGACGACAAAGACTCGCTTTTCCTGCTCTCCTCCTCCTCAGTTACCGCCGGTGCTGCTGTGTTGTTATCTGTTGGTGCGACAGGGGTGACAACAGCCTCGGTGGATTGTTCAGGCTCTGCAGTAGCTGTCGCCACTGCTCCAGGTTGTTCCGGATTTGATCGCTCAGTGACAGTTACCGTCATAGCCTCTTCCTCGTCATCATCACCGTTGGCGGTAGCTGGCGCAGGCACTGGTCGTTCATCATTAGACACGGTCGTTTCGAGTTTGGCTGGTTGTGGAGTAGGAGCTGTCGTTTTGTAGTCTCTAGACTCCTGGGTATCTGTGGTGTTGTTATTGCCGTCGTGAACTCCGTGGTGATGATGAGCTGATTTTTCTGTGATTGGGTCCTCTGGTGTGGGCTTGTTGGTGGCAGTGTTATCTACTGAAGGCTCCAATTGTTGCTTCTCACCAAAGGTCGGTGTCTCTTGATATGCTGCTTTCTTGGTATGGGCTAATGCTGGGTGCGCCTTCTCCTTGACATCTCCCGAACCGTTTGTTTGAAGTGAGGAGTCGCGTTTTGGTAACCGGTGCAAATATCTTCAGTGACAACAAAGACAAAAGACAAAAGACAAAAAGGAATTAGCACAAACATCTGACAAGAGTTATCCTACGCACCAAACAACAAATCCATTGTTTTTCTTACCCAAATCCAACATCGCAGCCCAAAAGACCTTGACCTCCCCAGTCCTCACGCGGAATAATAATGACCTAAACACATACATGCAAAGAAAAACTCCTGTTAGTTACCATCATCTAACAATTACATTTTCCTCGAACACGCCGCCACTGAAAGGATAAACAAGATGCCGTACCTCTCTGACTTCGTTGGTGTTGGCGTTATAAACATGCAAGGGCAACTCGTCATCAATGTAATCCTCGACAAGGTCATAAAGGTCTCGTTCGCCCCTCATGATCCCCAGCGGTGTTCCAATGACATAATCTGCGTGAGCACAAAGTCCAGCCTCCATTGCCGGTGAACCATGTGCCACGTCCTAAAGGAGAAGGAAAATAGTTGCAAGAGAGAGAAAAAGTACAGAAAGTAGTACAAGAGAGCATTAGTCGTCAACTTCACTGATCCTCCTCTTCGCTCCTCACGACATCACCACCGACAGCAAAACACAATGAAGAAATCCTTAAGAGGATGACCAACTGTTCCGTACCAAGATATGCCAGACGACGTCGTTGATAGTGTCAAAGAGACAGAACCGAATGCTGCATCCAATATACCCATCCTTGCCATTGTCCCACTTCTGAACAGGTGTCAATTCCACCTCTATTATTGTTGTTTCAATTTGATGCAAATAAAGGAACGAAGAAATGAGTTTGTTAGAGCGCGAGTGCATGTGTGCGAATGACTGTTCCAATAACGAACTATTCCTTCTCCCAACGGCGAATGCTATTTTTCATGCATAAGAGGCACATACTTCGTAACGCCTGCTCCCTTGTAGAGTAAATATCCAGAATCACAGGTCTGTCTTCACTCGACTCCATTTGATCGCGCAGAACCGAGTCCTCTTTGTTCTATTAAAACATGAGAAAGTAAGGAAAGGGTTAGTCTAGTCAGCAGCAAGAAGAAGAAAAGCAGGAGGCAGACGCGTTTGCGATACACAAAAAAGGCATCATTGTGTTATCACTTACCAACCGGATGCCGTTGATACCCATGATATAATCAAAGTACGGACGAAGACCAGCTCGGGCAGCGGGCGTGTTCTCCTTGACCTACACATCAGCATGCCCAGAACAACAACGAAGAAAAAAAAAAGTGGTGACTGTGAGATTGTGCTCCTTCTTCTGATGAGTAATTGCTAGAGTTCGGTCGGTCAATTCTTTTTCCGTACGAGGCAAAAAAAAAGGAGATGAAGTCGAGAGATGTATCCTGAAGGCTGTTGTAGTTGTTTACCATGAGAACATGATACCCGTGGCGGTACCTGCCCTTGTCTCCAGAAGCCGAGTTTCCCATATGTTGATGTCGTTGTCGTTCTTGTGTGGTGGGTGCGCGTTTGTTGTTTTCCTGTTGTCGACGTGTCCTGGAAGTGAATGTGTAGAAAGGAAGGAGGTGTGGAAAGAAAGGAAGAAAGAGAGAAGAGGAAGAAAGGAAATCAGAGAGAAAGAAAGGGGGATGAGAGCAACATAGAAGAAAAATGGGCTAAAGGGCACTGTAGACTATAGGAAGGGATCAGACAAGAGGGGAAGGGAAAAAGTAAAGTGAACGAGGCGAAGTGTGCCATGTCATCCCGCCCCCTGATTGGCCCAGTCCGATACCAATTCAATTTGGTTTTTTGTCTGAGTGCCCCCCTCCACACTGCAGAGCACGTGTGATCCTGAGCTTCTTGTTTGTTTGTGGAGTAAGCAAGGCAGAAGGAGCATCGACCAGGTGCGTCTAGTTCTCTTTGTTCTTATTGTGAGCAAGATCAAAAAGAAAGGTGCTTGTTGTCTCATCAATGACAGGACTTGATTGTGATAAATCAATCAGTCAACTATCAGTCTCGCCTCACAGATCAACTCATTGTTCGGGGAAATGTTGTGGTATTTGCTGTGATTTGGGTAAGCTATGAGTGACGGTAGCCGTGTTGGTATAGGATGTCCATGTTCTGCCTCGCTCGTGCGTTACCCTGGTTGTAGGCCTTGATGTACCAATTCATCGCCTCTCGCGGATCCTGCTCTACCCCATTGCCCCAATGGTACAACACCCCTATCGCATACTGCGCATTCGAGTCTCCTTGATCGGCCGCCTTCCGATACCACGCCATCGCCGCTCGATAGTCCTGTGAGACCCCAAGACCCGTCTCGCAGATGTACCCGACCCAGACTTGCGACGGCGAATGTCCTTGGTTGGCGGCCAGGATGTACGAGTCGAGCGCCTTCCTGTTGTCTTGACGAACACCCAGTCCCATTCGGTAGCAGTTGCCGAGACTGAACTGAGCCGACTCGTCACCTTGTTCCGCTGCCTTCCGAAACCACTCGACGGCTTTCGAATAATCCCGGTTGACCCCTGTGCCATCGTGGTAGTACTGACCGACGTTGTACTGGGATACCGCATGACCTCGAGTGGCTGCTTTGAGACACCACAGAATGGCAAGTCGGTAGTCTTGGGATACACCCTGTCCTTGGTGGTACATCAGACCGATCTTGTTCTCGGCCTGAGCATTCCCCTCCGTAGCCGCCAGCAGATACCATTCCATCGCCCTGTTGTAGTCTCGCAGAACGCCACGGCCCACATGATACATCGCTCCAAGGTTGTGCTGGGCGTCCGTGTATCCTTGGTCCGCCGCCTTGTGGTACCACTCTGCTGCAACTCGATAGTTCTGTGTCACCCCAAGACCCTCCTCATACATATGACCGAGCCAGAACTGAGCCGATTTATCCTCCTGGCTGGCGGCCTTGATGTACCACTCCATCGCAAGCCCATAGTTCTGGCGGACACCGAGACCTTGCCGATAGTAGTCGCCGAGGTCGGACTGGGCGGACTCATCTCCCTGCTGTGCCGACTTCTTGAACCATTCAAAGGCCTTCGTATGATCCTGCAGTACTCCCGCGCCCTTGCTGTAAAGGTAGCCGACGTTGTGCTGGCCGGATGCGTGGCCCTGGATGGCAGCCTTCATACACCACTCCATGGCCTTGGAGTAGCTCCGAGTAACGCCGAGGCCTTGATGGTACATCATCCCGATCTGGTTCTGGGCGCCAGCATGGCCGCTCTCGGCCGCTTCCTGGAAGCACTTCATGGCCTTGGCATAGTCCTTCTCGACGCCACGACCCACATACAAGATCCTTCCGAGGTTGTTGAGGGAGTTCGCATGTCCTTGACTCGCCGCCTTGATGTACCACTTCACCGCCTCATCGCTGTCCTTTGAAATACCAAGACCCTCCTCGTGCATACGGGCGATCCAAAACTGAGCCGAGGCGTCATCTTGTTGAGCGGCCAGGAGGTACCATACGAGAGCCCTCTTGAAATCCTGCGGACCACCGCGACCGAGGCGGTAGTAATCGCCAAGGTTGGATTGAGCCGTCGCATCCTCCAGATCCGCGGCCTTCGCGAACCACTCCCTTGCTTTGCTGTAGTCCTGCGTGACACCATGACCGTGATGGTACATCAATCCTAGCTGGCTCTGCGCTACTGAATGGCCTTGGTCGCCAGCCTTCTGGTACCACTCTGCCGCCTTCTTGTAGTCCTTCGAGACGCCCCATCCTTTCTCGTACAGCACGCCTAGGTTACACTGAGAGTATCCGTGTCCTTTTTCCGCCCCTTTGAGATACCACTCGGCCGCCGTTTTCTCGCTCTGCACGACCCCAAGACCCTCATCGTACATACGGGCGATCCAGAACTGCGACATCTCATGATCCTGCTCTGCAGCCTTGAGATACCATTCCATCGCCTTGCCGTAATCCTGCGAGACGCCCTCTCCCTCTCGGTAGTGGTCGCCAAGTTCGGCTTGAGATGACACATTCCCTTGCTCCGCAGCCTTCTTGAACCACTCAACGGCTTTCGAAGCACTCTCGTCAACTCCGTCTCCGTTGGCGTACATGAACCCGACGTTAAACTGGGCGTAGGCGTGACCTTGATTGGCGGCCTTGAGACACCATTCCATAGCCTTGGAATAGTCCCGCTCGACACCCTGAGCCTGATGGTAAATCATGCCGACATTGTTCTGTGCCTCGGCGATGTTGTTGTTAGCGGCCTTGAGGTACCATTCGAGCGCCTTCTTGTGATCCTGCTCGACGCCGAGACCTGCAAAGTAGAGATTTCCTAGATCTCTCTGAGCGTTCGCATGGTCCTGCTCCGCCGCCTTGAGGTACCACTCCGCCGCCTTGCTGAGGTCCTCCTCCACGCCCAGCCCCTCCTCGTACATGCTGCCGATCCAGAACTGAGCCAACGCGTTCCCTTGCTTGGCGGATTTCATGTACCACTCAAACGCCTTTGAGTGATCCTGCTCAATACCAACGCCTGTACGGTAGTAGGTGCCGAGGTTACTCTGAATGACCGCATCTCCCTTTTCCGCCGCCTTCATGACCCACTCAATCGCCTTGCTGTGATCCTGCTCGACACCGTGACCCTGACCGTACAGCATGCCGAGGTTGTTCTGGGCTGTCGCTTCTCCTTTCTCAGCGGCCTTGAGATACCACTCCATCGCCTTGGTGTAATCCTGAGGTACGCCTTGACCCTTCTCGTACATAATAGCAATCGACACAAACACATCCGAGTAGTCTAGATCTGCGGCCTTGCGAAACCACTCCATTGCTCTGGAGTAGTTTTGGAGAACACCGTGACCTTCACGGTAAAGCATCCCGATCCCGAAATGAGCACTCGCATCCCCCTTCTCCACCGCCTTGAGGTACCATTGCATGGCCGCAGAGTAATCCTTGACAACTCCTAGACCGCCGTGGAAATGGACACCGACACTCCGTAATCCTGGCCCGAATCCTTGGTTGGCAGCCTTGTACGCCCACTCCAATGCCTTCGAGTCGTCCTTGGGAACACCGTGGCCCTCATAGTACAGGTCACAAATCGCATCCTGCGCCTCGGCAAGTCCTCGACCCGCCGCCTTGAGGTACCACTCCATACTTTTGGCATAGTCTTGCTTGACTTCCTTGCCCTCAAAGTAGATCTTCCCGACCGCAAACTGGGCGTAAGCATGGCTCTTCTTGGCCGCCTTGAGGTAGCACTCCAGGACCTTGACAAAGTCCTGTTTGTCTCCTTCACCTCTCACCTGCAGCCGCTCCAAGTTGATGTGAGAGGCAATTCTGCCAATGGTGGCTCGGGCGGCTGTGTGAGCAGGTTTCTGGACAGCCGCAGAGACGGGCGGTCGAGCGACACTATTGGGGGTTGCAAGTGGAGGTCGCAGCTGGGTAGCTGTAAGAGGAATAGGCTTGGAGACAAGCGGGGAAAGAACTCTGGTCTGGGCAAGAGAGGGCCTTGTATGGTATGGGGTGCTCTTGTTTGCTGCGAGAGTTGCCTGTTGAAGGTTGGCCGCAGTGAGAGGGGCAGTGAGGGGTGCAGCGGCAGGTGCAGCGGTAGGTGTGGAAGAAGGTGTGGCGTTGCCTGTCACGTTCAATGGCGCATTCACGACCACTTCCAGAACGGTGTTGGGAAGAGCAGCAATTCGATAAGGGGAGAGACTATGGCACGAAAACACAATGTAGAAGCAATCATGATAGGGATTGGAAAAGATGAATGAATACAAGTTCTTCCTGCGCGCACAACAAGTTCACACACTGCTAAACATGCATGACATACGTTGTAAAGTCGGTACCCTTCAGGAAGGCGAGTGTACGCAAGTTGTGTCGGGCATAGATGGCGTCCTTGAACATCATAATGATATCGCTCCAAAGTACGATCTCTACAGCAGCAGCTGGGTCGGGGTGAATGTCGATGTAGAATATGTCGGCGTCGGTGGGTGCAGCTCCTGTAATAGCAGAGAGTCCATTTGGAAGGACGGGGCGCGCTGCCTGAAATCGCCCCTGTGCCTGCATATATATATATTTTTGATTGGTGCTGTTGCTGTAGTGGGGGTGGATACAGAGTGATGTGATGTAGGTGATGGAACTTTGGAAATGGAGGAATTGCGAATGTAAATGGGGTCGACAACAAAGTGATGAGTGTGAACAAAAGGAGGGGTGAGGAAAGGCGAGGTTGAAGGAGAGGCGTAGCGTGAGGAAAGGCAGAAAGTAAAAGAGAAGCAAAAAACGAGAGGATGGGTAAGTGTGAAAAAGGCACAGGGACAGGAAGGGGTGTGTGTGTCAGGTACAAAAGCCCATGGGCACATGGACATTAACCTGAACCAATAGGTTCAATAGGGAAACAGCAAGGTAAATGTGCAAAGTAGAAGAGACCATCCAATTTGAGCAGACATGGAAAGAGCATGCACAATTGGCAACAAATAAACAAAGAGGCAAACCACAGAACAACAAACAATGAGAGAGAGCGAACACCCATTGACACCTTGCTCTTTTTAACAACCATCGTCATCGTACAAATGCCGCTCAGTCAAAAACTACCCATGCACCTATTCGTCTTACCCTACTTCAACATCAGGGCCAGGATTGGGACCATGATCGGTGCAAAGCATTCAAGCATTGTGCTGTTCTAGAACCCTTCCTTCGCTAGCTTTCCTCCCAGGTACAAATTATAAGAGCACATCATGCACATGGTTCATTTCCTTTTTTTTGCACGGCTGTTGCTTCCCACTTGAGATTCCCCCAGCTTCCCTCATAATCATTCGTCCGTTATTGCTTCGCCATCAGGAGCTCCACCACTTCCTCGCCTCCTTTTTCGATGGCTCACTCTGATTTTCAATAGCAAATTGCCTGTCTTCGATCCTCCTCTGCGGAATGTATTTGTCCTCTCATTCACAATTATCCATTGTTTTTTTCCTCGCCATCAAACCAGCGCCCAATGCACAATCTATGAACGAACATTCACGATTCCATCGTCCTCGTGGGACCATTCAAACCACACGCTCACTCGAAACATCAAAAGACCTCAACAACAGACAGGCAAGAAACAACGTGGGATCACAAGGAGGGCAAGTCGCGCGTAGAATGAAAAATGAACAGGAGTAGTGTCAAGAGCCAACGTGGAGACAGTTTAAGAACAATGTCCCTCGATACACAAGAAAAGGTAAAAAAAGAAGCACCGCTAATCAGTAGAAACCTTCTTCGTCTTAATCAATGATCGACCTAATCCATCAGTGCAATTAGAATGACCATAGTTCTCCCTCTCACCTCGCTCACTCTTCAGAAGCCACCCTCCTTTTACCTTTCACTAAGTCAACAACCATTCGCTCTTCACGAACAGCGGTACATTACAGGATACGCATATCATACTGAAAAAAAGATGGCCAGCCGCTTAACCGTTTGGTGTTTATTATGATGTGTGGATAAGCCCAAAAGAAACGGCAGAGGAAGTGAAAAAAGACATAACGGCAGGCTTTGTTGCAAAACTACCCCCACTCGACCTTTGACCAGCGCTCGTCTTCATTCATCCAGACCCCTCGGCAGCAATGTCGCCACTAGGTCTCATGCGACTACTAATACCCTCAACAACAGGACAACCGCTAACATTACCACCAATAACAACAAAAATACCAGTACCTCTATTAGTACTGCTGCGGTTCCTCGTCAGAACAAGTCTGAGCCTTCAGCCGCCCCCCTCACCACCTATACGTACAACCACTCACAATGTCAACCCAACCACCCCGCTATCAATTTCTGACAATACTTATTTAACTAAATTTGTTGGTGACTACGACTACGATAACGACGATGACTACAACGGTGACGATGAGGACTGGGAGGTGAGCATGACCGATTGGGTCAACAACGTCGACGATCTCAATGCGATTTCTTCCGCCAGTAATCCACTTCTGCGACCAGGTCCTTCGACTCGCACTCAGCCTGCAGATCAACCCAGACCCATCATCGGAATAGCTAGTACCGCAGCCTCGACGGCCACGACCACCGCTACCCCTCATAGATTTACTGCTGCATTGACATCTGCTCAACAATATCCACAACAGCAAGTCAAACACTCTGTTCCCACCATTTTGGACACTCGAAGAAAACACTCTACGACTGGCTGGAACAATAACAGTGCCACGACCATGATCAACAATTGATGTGTGGTGTGGTTGCTAGAGGGAGGCGTGGTTGTGTTGTAATAAAAAAATGTGTATTGGAAAGAACAGGAGTGATAATAAAAATAGGAGAGGAAAACACACTCCCATATATATCTAACTAATCAGGCCGTGAGAAAGAACAGACAGACTGATATTATGGGAAAACGTATGGGCAGTTGCTTGTCAATCCCAGAGAAGTCAATTGTTCATTCCATCCCACGTACTGGGAATCATCAAGTGGACATGTGTCTCGATTTGCCAGTCCACCAGCTGACATCAGAGGTGCACCGTGTTTGTTGCAGAAATAGGCTGTCAAGTAGGCACTGTATTCCCCGTTCTTATTGTTCACTGTACACTTGTAAACTTCAAGTGCTGCAGCCACACCGACAAATGCCACGCAAAGAAAGAGAGTCTTGGAAAAATGCATGGTCTTAAAACTGTCAGCTCCTAGTAGTAGAAAGGTGTTAAAAATATGTTAGATAAGAATAAACGCCTCAATCCCTTAAGTACAATCCGAAAGCTCAGTCATACAGCCTTACGAGAGTCTGGCGAAGAGTGTAAAGGTGGGGGATGCGAAAGTCTTGTGGGAGTTGCCTTGAGTGTTGTTAATAGAGGGCTGCGATGCTCTTGTACCAGTGCCGGTAGTTGTTGCGAGAGTTGCGAGTGTTGAGGGTGCTGTTGCGAGTCTAGAGTTTTGAGGGAGGATCAGATGTGTGTTGGTGAAGGATGCTGAGTAGGTGCGACCTCTTTATATACGCGAAGAGGGTCGGAAAGGAAGTGTGGTATCATTTGGGCATAAGAAGATGGAGGGATGAGAAACATCAAGAGATAAGAAGACATGAAGGGATGAGGGACATCAAGGAATGAAAAGACACTAAGGGATGTGAAAACATCATCAAGAAACAACATCAAGAGACAACATAAAGGGACAACACCAAAATACATCCGCGACAACTCCATGGAATAACAAGGGGCGGCATCTGCGACAACATCTGCAACAACATCAACGGCAACACCAAAGGGTATCACCAAGGGCATGCAAATAGAGATCAAGGGCAACATCGAGGGATAACATCAAGGGACAACATCAAGGGACAACGTCAAGGGACAACATCAAGAGACAACATCAAGGGCAGGTAAAACAAGATCAAGGGACAAAACCAAGGGACAACATTTGCGTCTACTCCAAGGGACAACATCAAGGGAAAACATCGGCGCTAACATCTGCAAAAACATCGGCGACAACATCGGCGACAACACCAAGGGGTATCACCAAGGGTAAGCAAATAGTGATCAAAGGGACAACATCAAGAGACCACATCAAGGGACAAAGTCAAGGGACAAAGTCAAAATCAAAGAAAGCAGAGAAACCGAGGGCCGAAGGGCTCTTCCTATCATACTGAGATGGAGTACGTGACGATTGTTTGCCCACTAGCAGTGAAATGTAAGAGATAAAGAGAGACCAAGAAGAGAAAAACAAAAGGCATCAAGAGCAGAGAGAGAAGGTCCAAAAAATAATAAGGGATGGTCCAGGGTAATGAGAAAGGCAGAAAACAAACATGGGGGATCAAGAGTAGAAAAAGCAAGATCAGGGTCAAGATAGTTTAGGTAGTCATGGTGTGTTTATGATACTACACTATAGCACCCTTCAGTCATGCAGAACTACCACCACCATCTCCTCCACCACTAAATCTCAAACACTTCTTGCAAGGCCTACGCAATAATCACAACAACAACGACAGGTCAGAAGACCTACTATCAACGACACTTTGGAGCTGGAGTAATGCGTCTCCTATCAACACTAGACATTATAACTAGTGCCACAACCGCCACGACTGCGTTGGGTTCTCCGCCAACAGAGTCACCACCAAGGCCAGGGATGCCAATACCAGACTCCACAGCGCCCACCTCGGGATTAACATGGCACTTCCGAATTCAGACGTTATCAACACCAACACCAGTCCCAGCTGGACCCTCTGGCGGAACGGGAGGAGGTATCCCACCCCCGCAGCCATACCTGAGGCTCAGAGACTTTCTTATCCTCCTCCGGATGTTATCAACGACACGCCCCACGTACCTTTCTCCCTCCTCCTCTCCCTCTGCATCCTCATCCTCATCGACATCAACATCTCTGGCTACCAACGTCACTATTGCAAATGATGTCTTTTCTACAGCCGCAGTCACTGCCGCTGCCACCACTACTACAGCCACAACAGCCATCACAACTCCTCCTTCTCCTTCTCTTTCTCCTATTTCCTCTAAAGACCGCTCTCATTCTCCACCCACATCACCCCTCTCAAGGCCTTCAGCACCTTCTCGACAGCCCAGCGCTGGATCAGAGTCTCCCACAAGGTCCAAGCATTCGCGGTATAACCGTCCCAAATTCCCCATGCGGGGTTTCGGTCTAGTGTGTCTCTAAATCTGGTCGCCATACTAGGAAACTTGGTTGCTGTGATCTGAATACAGAAGGCGCGATGGAGACATGAAAGCTAAAGTGAGTGATGAGTGGCTTAGATGTATACTTTACACTAAAATGAAAACAGTCTCAATAGACATAATACACTAAATGTGTCGTTGTGTGCCTTATTCATCTCTTCACAACAATACACCCATCCTTCTTTGTCTTCCCTCTCTCCTCGTCTTCTGTCAGGACATTATTATTCAATAGAGGAGGACAAGAGAGATAAGAGTATGACCTTCTTCGACCATTGGGTCAAACAGGCCGTTAAAGAATAAAAGAAAAGGTGGCCAATGCGTCGTACCTGTCAACTCTTCAATGCTCACGAACCAATTGCTCGACTATAATAACAGCAGTCTGTATTCAGTAGTATTGCGAGAAGCTGCTGTAGAAAACATTGCCAGAGATAGTGCGCATCTGAAAGTCAACACTCGGCCGGATCCCAGCAACAAAGGCCTCCAACTTTCTCCAATCTGAACCTCCCCGCTGCTCCGAAAACTCGATCCAGAACAACTGCAGCTTGGGTAAAGTCGTCAACCTCTCCTTGCGATGAGATGCAGACGCGCTGACTCCATAGTGATCGTCCATCCAATCCAGTAGGTCGTCACCATGCCCAACTTTGGCCAACTCTATCCCTAACTCCTGACCTCGCTCAACTAACTTGGACTCTGCATTTGCTACCTCTGGGGGTGGTAACTCTTGGTACCGTCGACGGAGGTCATTGCGAGCGCGACGATGAACAAGCGGGTATGTCAATCCGCCCCAGGTCGATGGCAGAGCTGCTGACTTTAGCCAAGAGAAGCATTCTTTGTCTGCCCGGTAGTAACGGTCTATCTGGATCCTGACGCGTTCCAGGTCCTGAAGTCGGGTCAACAATGACAGTCCACCCGCAAACTTGAGATTCATGACCCATCTCTTGAGATGCAACTCTTGTAACAGTGGGCACATCCTGCTCAGGAATCCAAAGATGATCAATGACGTTTCGGTAGAGTTGGAATCCGACCTGCGGTAGCCCACCGCCATATGCAGTGTCTTGAGACCGCGGCATGCCCAAATGTACTGCCGAGCTATGTCAGGGTCGTCTTTCCTGATAGGTTGAGTTGATCGAGTCGAGTATCTGTTGGTTCCGTGCTTGCGATCGTTGATTTCCAGTAGCTGTCCCTGAACATCGTTCAAATCCATGTCCTCGATGTAGTAGATCGCATTGGGGGCTCGGAGGTGGACCAGGTGCTGGAACGTGCACAGAATCTCGCGCAGAGGGATCCCACCGGTAAAGGAGGTAGTCAGATATACTGGCACGATGTTTAAAGTCGTGATCCTGTTAGTTACCGCCTTCAGAGACTTCAAAAGGCCTGCATCGATCTTCTGGTCCGTGAGGTTGCACTCCTCCATGTGTGGAAAGGTGTTGAGGATGGAGATCGCCTCTGGGGTGCTCAGTCCATGACCACTACCGCGGGAGGGTGACAGGTGGAAAATCTTGAGGTTGGGGCAGTGTTGCCCGACAAGACGGATGATGAACGCGGTATAGTTGAGACTGTGGGCGCGCTGGCCATCGAAAAAGGTTGATGTCTCTCCCGGTCGCACCAGATGTTTGCATCGCAGAAGGTCCAGTCTCGAAAGAAGAGGGCTTGCTTCAAGAATTGCCCTCAAAGCAGGCAGAGCGATGGTCATGTTATGCAGACTGCACATTCGGAGTCGGGTCATTGTTTTCTGCACATTGGATTTGCTCATGATTGAAAATTCCCCCTGAGATGTTATCGCAAAGTCCTGATTTGCTGCGAGATGGGTCGACCGGTAAGGTATGTCGGCAGCGTATGTTGGTTTGACGGATAACTCCTCGAGGTTGGGACATGCTTTGAGGATCGTCAACAGATGAATAATGTCCCACCGCACAATGACATCGATCCTAAGAGTCGACAGGGTGGTAAGGGCGGGCAGCTGAGGCAATTGGACGGCAAAGTTCTCGAGGATTCCCTCTCGTAGGTGGATGGACTGCAGTCTTAGGTGCCGTCGTCGGTCGTTATGGTCCTGAACAATGCTGGATAGCATGTCCATCATTGTTGCCCAGGAGTTGAGCCGTTGCTTGGAAGTCCCTGCTACTGAAGTGTCCCCGTCGACCTTGACGATGATGTTATTAGCGGAGGAAATTCCCTCTATGATGATTCGCTCCTCCATGTCGATGTCGTTGCTGTTGTTGTCGCTGGGGGTTAGGCGAAGAATCCAGTTGTAAGAGACAGGGATGAGGCCCTTGCAGACGGCATACCACTGCTTGCAGACCAGTTGCGAAGCATCCTGTCTGCTTTTTAGGCTGAGGAAGGAGAGAATGTTTTCGAGGATTTCTGGGATGCTAAGCGCGAGTTGCTGTGAGGTTGGGGATGGCGTGGGTATGTCGTTGAAGCCATTCTTGGCGCGTAGGTGTTTCTTTGAGGAGAACAAAGAGCGCATCAGGAATGGTTGTTTTTGTGTTGGAGTCATTGCGTTTGTTTTAATTTGCTTGACAAGAGAGTTCAATGAAAAAGCGAGGGAATGGGTGAACGCCTAGCGATGACAGATGTTGATGCAAGTGGGTTCAAGTGCGGATGTTGCGGTTGTAGCTGTGATGAGGGAAAGAAATCCAAAATAGTTTCGCGTCGTACCATACTCATTAACAGGGTTGCCGTCGACTCTCAACTTGCATCCCTTTCGTCCCAAACAAGCTATCTCACCAAGAGCCGTTTTCTCTCTTTACGCGTTCCAGATCCATGTTGAAGTGGTTTTTTGGCGTGACATGAATGAATGGAGGAATCTGTTATTGTTTGTGAATGCCATGGCTTTTATTTCTTGTCGTTTCAAAAAAGAGATATTAGGAGGAGGATGTGTAGAGGAAGGTAAAGGTGGGCAGAGAACGTGGACGACGGAGTGAAAGAACAGGTGGGGCGCTTTCTCTTGTCAACTATTGGTTTCGTGTGAACTTCAATGGATCAAGAGTTCTTTGTTGGTGACAGGATGGAAGAAGAAGAGGAATAAAGCGACAATAGGACAACGGTATTGTTAGAAATAAGAAGGCGATTCACCTTGGGACCAGGCAAGGATGATCGACGATCGCCCCACTGTGTGATAGATCAGATATCTTTGACTCTTGTGCAGTCTTGCGCTGTGATAGTACCGTAGACTGTCTCTTGCTTTGGCATCATCTTGAGAGAAGGTTGAACAAACAGAGAAACCGTCTTCCTGAGATGCAAATAGGGACAGAAAAGAGATGGAAGGGATGATAGATTGGATCAAAGGAACAACGTGAAAATGGCAGGGAATGTCAGTTGGGATAGGCATGCTCACTCTCCTCTGACATGACAAGGCAGGCGCGGACTTAGACAACACTGAATTTCAATGGTTCTTCTTTTGGCAACAACGTACGAAACGTGTTCAAACCTTACTCGCTCTACTCTTTCTCTTTCTTTTTTCCCTTCTTTTTTTCAAACAAACCACTGAACAACTCAAACTGGCCCTCATCATCGTCAAAGGAGAACACTCATCAGGAACAACAGAAAAGCAAGGACAACTCTAGGCACTGCTCTTTATTTCATCTGGGATCACTTTTCTCACGCCAGCTCATACATCAACAACGACACATACACTTACGCCATGCCAGCAGGTGTAACGCTCTCACTGATCTCCTACATCGGCACCGCGATCGCCTTTGTCTTTGCAACACTTTCCCTCGGTAAGCTGGCAGCCACCTAAAACTCAGGAAGGACAGCCGCATACTCTTTCTGATGAAGAAGCGAACGATGGACATCATGAAAGGACCTCGAGAACGAACATCAAAATTAATCAGTGTTCACACCTTTCACTCTTTCTTGGTTCATTTCCTCTCGGACGCGCGGGACTCAATTCATTGTTCTTCGTGATAGCATGTGGTCTCTATTATCTGGCGGAACTGGTGGAGGAATACACCGTGTTGACAAAGAAGATCATCAAAGGCTTGACACTGGTACGTGCAAGGGCGCGACAGGGAACTTACGTCAACATGAACCAAGATGTCTATCAGCATAGGGACATAAACCGACTTTTTACAACCAGGAGACTACTTTGAGAGGATGGCCAGAACACACAGCAAGAAGACACAACCAATTCCTACGCCAACTGATTTGGTGAGAATTATTAGAGACACGCAAGAGGAGGACACAACCAGCGCCTACATCGATTAGTACGAACAGGAAAGAACAAGGAGATGCTTTCCAGAGTCACGCAGGGACGGAGCACAACTAGCATCTTCTTCATTGGATCCCTGCAGGGAAGGGAAGGAATGGGTGTTTTAGACACCCAACAAGTGAATGCAACAAACTCGTTCCTCAATGGATACCTCCAGGAAACAAGAAAAAGATCTGGAGACATGCAACAGGGAGAAAGCGGTTCTGATTTATATTCTCTCTTCACGTCGTCTTGCAAATAGGGTGTCGTGGGGCTGCACCTGATGCTGTGGATAGTGGACGGACTCCCGTTCACAAAGATATTGTTCTCGCTGGCTTGTCACATCGTCTACAGCACCAACCTCAGTAACTTTCCCTACATCAGTCTCGTAAGCATTCCCTTCTTGTCTAGCGTCGGTAAGCAAAAGTTCTCACACAACCCCAATACGTCGCAGCATCTGTGTGAAAATGGTGGCGTGAAAATAGCAGCCAAGCCTAGACCAGGAGCTAACGACGGTATGACGTTATTTTGTCTTTTTCGCATAGTCCTGGTGCTAGTGGATCATTTTATGTGGTTCCAATACTTTGCCAACAAGTATTACAGCTTCATGAGCATCGCCAGCTTCTTTGGAATCTGCGTCTGGCTGGTACCTTTCACTTACTTTATCTCCCTGAGCGCCAACGATAACGCCCTCCCAAGTTTCGACCACAACCAGCAGGACAACAAACAAAAGAAGGCAGGAATCTTGAAGACCCTCTTTGGTGCCATCCTCAACAAGAAGGATTCTTCGATACCCACGCTGGTCGAGACGCCGAAGTACACAGGATTTGGAAGCAGCTCATTGGGATCTTCGACGCACATGCATCAGAATCAGCATTTGGCGGCACCAACACCTATGGCAGGAGCACCTTCGTCAAGGCCTTCGTCGCCCTATGCGTTCAATCCAGAAAAGAACTACAATCAGCCCGATTACATCTCGCGCCCAAGTAGCAGCAACAGCAATCACGCCAACTTTGGGACGCCACGTCAACAGACCTATCAGGGAAACAGCAACACCAACAGCAACAATAACAGCCCTATGAACAGCTACACCGGCGGTGGCGGCCAAACATATGCGAGTAGCAGTTCTGTGTATACTCATTCGGGTTCGACCGTTGGCAATCGCTTCTGAGTGTGAGGGTACGCGCAACAGGACGACCAAAGCAAAACTTACAATAGCCATCTTTCATTTGCATAAAACTCAAGCACCAAAAAAATAAACAATAGTTGTGATTTATTCTCAAACACAAAAAATGGTAGGAGGGCACAGGACATGAACGAAAACTGGTTTACAGCTTGCTCTTGAAGAACCCCATCTTTTCCTGCGTCTCCTTCATGATGGCATCGAGTTTGATACCTAGCATGATGGCGCCCTTGACCTTGAACCGTCCCGTCATGAACGCCTTCTGGGCCGTGATCTTACCCATGAACAAGTCCATAAAGTCCTTGTCCTTGCACTCGACCGTCAAATCAGCCTTGAGTCCTTCAATCTTGCCCCTTTTGATTGTCGGGGGCATATTTTTCATGTCCATCGTCCAAGTGGCGACCTGGCCGGAGGCATTCTTGACCTTGATCAAGTACACCCCCCTCGTCTTGGCCACAAACTCCTTTTTCTCGGCATCGGTCATGACGTTGAGGTACTCTGCAATCTGGAGGATCAGGTAACTAGTCTCGAAGCCGTCATAGTGCAACTCAGATTCCTTTCCTGGTGCAGGACCCATTCCCAAAGACCGGAAGATGAGGTCGAGTTTCATGGCGACCATAAGAGGACCCTTGAGGACGACTTTGTCAGAGAGGAAAGCCTTGGCGCCCGAGAGTTCACCGGTGGCGAGAGAAACCAGGTCGTCGTCAGTGAGGTAAAGCGTGACGTCGGGGTTGGTGGATGCGGGGCCGGGTTGGACGAGCCCTTGCTTCTTGACCTCGGCGTTCCAGATCTTGACGTCACCTGCGGGATTCTTGAGATGGAACTCGAATATGCCGTTGACTTGTTTGACGAGCTCCTGGCGTTCTTTGGCAGGGAAGGAGTCAAGGGCTTCGTTGAGACGGGCAAAGATCTCGTCGCTCTTAAATGATGACATGGTTCGTTTGCTGTTGTCGTTGAGGTTGTATTGGTGATGTTTGGTGAAGAGAAGGAAGGAAGGAAGGAAGGAAAAAAGGAGGCAAAAAAAGCAAGAGACAAACGAAAAATCGAAAAAAAGAAGTGGGGGGGATTGAGGGGAACGGTCTTCGTTATGCATACCGGCCGAGCCGGATGGGGTACGAGAAATAGTTTCAACAAGAAGTGAGGGAGAATAGGCTCTCTTGATCGAGACAAGTGGGGTGTCAACCTTGGCGTTTGGGCCTCGTCACTTTGCTCCTTCTGTCTGTATAGCGTGTTTGTGGAGGGAGAACGCAGAACAGAAAAATAGCATGATAGCGGAACGTGCACCCCGGCCGAATCTCCGAGAGCATTGTATGAGCTGGCGAGCAAATAGAAGTAGAGAGAGGAAGGAGTGTTTTGTCACCTCTAAAAGTGGCGTTTTGGTGCCCAGCCTGGGGCCATGGGCAAACAGTCGCTGCAGTCGCTCAGCTCGCGTCTCTTTCATAGGGAGAGGGACACAAAATTCGATTGTGACTTGCACATACCCTGTCAAAAGGAGCGAGCGAATAGTGGAACCAAATAGCAGTCATAATTTACAAATTAATCTTTCTTTTTTTGGTCCCCATGATAACAATGCACATTGATTTGGGCTGTTTACGCTAATTTACTCAAGTACTGCTTAAGTGAGGAGTATAAAAGTAGGAGACCAGCGATAATGAAACAGCATACTTACCTGGCTGGATTCACCTCTGATCATCAAGGGAGGGGAATCTGGGAGGAACGTCTGCATTGCACAGCGCGGAAGTTCTCCCCAGTGAATGTCCTTCGGGACATCTCAACAGCTTAATTTTTACATCGGGTCTTGTGTCTCTTCGGGGATGTAGGGCCTTATTCTCATTTTCAATTCATAATTCATTTCTTGTCATTTGCTTTACTTTGTAATATGCCCACGTCAAGAGTACGGGCATTGCGTGTGAGCTGGAACATAGAAAGACTCGAAAGCGTCACTATTCTTACGGCTAGATACGATCCATTCCGGTGAGGTGGGGTTCATGGACACCCCAACGAGAAACCTGTTGCTGATACGAGAGAGAAGGTGCTGCAATCAGTGTTGTTAAGTGGTACGATTTTCTTTGAGTTTGGGCCGAAAAGAACGTTACGTGTTCGAAGGTATGATACCTCGTATTTGCAGATATGGTACCTCGTATTTGCAGGTACGGATGATACATCGTTTTAGCAGGTATGATACCTACAATTGCGATTACCTCGCAACGCTCTTTAAAGTTTAAACTAAAATGTACACTGGCTGCAATGAGACCAGCGGCTGTCCCTTGAATTGGGTTGCCGCCTCCTGGTACATTAAGGGGTGTACTCAAGGAAGGGAGCAAAGGTCAACTGGGTGCGAATGTTCAAGCCCCGAAGGCATTTATACAGCTCATACGATCCATCTGTCTACATTTTTTTAGGCCTGAGAAAGAAAGAAAGAAAGACAAAAGGACAGACGCGAGTACTATTTCATCAGAATGGGTTGCATCCGCAGATAATGTTCTTCGCGTATCACATAGTTCGAGGGATGATCTTCATAGAAGCACTTATTGTGATCAAGGTAACCGAGGATCCTCGCAGAATATTTATCTTGGCGTTTCTTAGATTTGATGGCGGGCTTATTGATACGAGTGATGTGACAAACATGGGGAAGAGATATGTGAAAGTCGAAGCAAGGTGGCAGAGAGTGTCTAATGTTGTCCAGTGGTACTCAGATGACAACGGCATAAAAGAGACCATGTCTTGTGAAGTAGGGACCGTTGATAGAAAAAAGAGGCCAAGAAAGGGCCTGAAAAGTCGGCGAAGAAAGAAAAAAAAAAGGGGGGGGGGAGGGGATGGGAGGAATTCACCAGTCGTCTCTGTGCCTGGATGATGGAACCATCATGTAGCCACCTTGTTACTAGTTTTATGATGCGCCACTCATCGCCAGCTATAAGAGTTTACCTTGTCCATAGCTCTCTGCCTTCATTCCTCTCCTTCTTCTCTCACATGCACGCGCCACACACACACCAAACCCAACACACGACACATTCGACCGGAACACATTCAGTTGTCGAGCCCCGTCGTTGTTCGGTGCCTTTCAGCAGCATGCTGTTCAGGATGAAAGAGGCGGTGGCCGAGACTGGCCGTTTATCAAGGGACAAGTGCTTAGTCTTGTCTAAGCATGGGCCAAAGGTCAGTTCCGGAGGGATAAAGAAGATTCGCGAGCTTGTCCTTTTTTTTCACGCGCCCGAGCATCAAAATGCTCAACTCTTTGTTGCGCATAAATGTGTGCGCTCTACCGAACTCTGCCACGAAGGAAGCATCTTTGTGTGTATACAATCACCTTGTGCAATAAAAAAGAATAGGAGCCGAGCTAACAAACTTGACAGACAAAGACAACGAGTGAAGGGACTAGGGAGCGTAGTTCTGGCAAAGTGAGAGGAGTAGAGGGCGAAAGTAGGTGTATAGTGATGGCACAGGTGATGGTCAAGATGATAGTGACGCGGGCAGGCTGGTGTTGGGATGACGAGGAGGTCGAAAATGGTGTCAAAGCAAGAGACAGTCTACGGTACTATCACAGTGGTACTGAGACCTGACTTGGGAAGTCGAGTTGAAGTGGTGTTGTGTAATGTGAAAAGAATTCACGGGGTTTCTTCTGTTCACTCTCTCTCTTCTTGACGATGTCCCAATCAGAGGAAAAGAAAAGTTACCGTTGTGGTCGTGGTAGCACAGACCAAGGCCCATGGTTTATTTTTCATTCATAGAGAAATAAAGGAGATAAGCAAGGAATCGAAGAAAGTATGCATCGATGCACAAGTTTTGTATTCTCAGCTAAACAAACAATCAAAGCTACCAAGTAAAAGAAAAGAAAGGATAGGAAAGGAAAGGAAAGGAAAGGAAAGGAAAGGAAAGAAAAGAACATGGAAAAGAAAAACATGAAAGGGGAGAGGTTGTCCTCACGCAAAACCATGATTCCCCATCGAAAAATAGCTTCTCACGACTCTATCGACCATGTTCCGCGAGATAACTGGCATAGGGTCGAACGAGAGGACAAAGCGGAGAATATCAGACGCTTCGTCTTCATTGAAATCCCTTGAGCCATGATCGGGCAGGACCAAGGGGGGTGCTCTTGACAGGAATTTCTTGTTACCGCTCTCAACAATCTTCTCGAGCGGTCCCCACACAAGACCTGAAAACCTAGATGATCGGTAGCTGGGCATGGCACTGGGCTCTGCCTGGTTCAGAATCAATCCTATCTGGGGTCCTTCCTTCAGGCTGTCGATCACCGTCTTCATGACCATGTAGTCGCCAGGCTTGATCCGTCCGATAGTCGGCTGGATAACGAAAATGATGACAAAGTGGTCCCCTTCGTTTAACGCGTCCTGCAGCATCAAAAGATGCTTGACAATGGTATCCTGACCGCCAGCAGGAGGGCAGTCGTTAATTCCAGGAATGTCGTAAAGTTGAAAGCGGATGTTGTTGAGAGTGACTTGTTTCTTCGAAATGACTGTGGTGAGTCCCGTTCCTTCAGAGTAGCCACTCTGAAATTCTCCTCCGAGGGCGTTCAGGATGGCGCTCTTGCCGACTCCGGGATTACCAACGATGGCCAAGTTCACCATGGGTGGCACCGGGTTTTGGTAGAAAGCGGATGGTGGTCTCGCCCAGTCTCGTACCTCATAATGCGCTGTCGTGTCGCCCTCGAAGTCGTTAGAGGCGGCTGCGGCAGATGGCGAAGGCATGGTTCCCTTTGATCCGTTCAAGTTCGAGTCATTGCCTCCAAATGCCGGCGTTTGATTGGTATTGAGGGAGGAAAAGGCGTTCTCTACAGTTTTTTTTATTTTTATCATGGTATTGGATGGTGACACGGAGGGAGGAGTGTAAGGTCAGGGTTGATGTAGTGGTGAATGAGAGTAAGGCGAGCGAAAGAAGTGTGCGTGGTATTTTATTTTCTTGGTGAAAACACTGTCTATTTATGGTTGAGCTCACTCCATATCAACCATACCTCGCGTTGGTCTGGCAACTGATGGGCATGGGCGAGGCACTATAATCAAACACAGGGGAATTGAATGTTGGCATTGACTTGAAATGAACAAAGTAAGAAATCTTCTGATGGACATTAAAAGTCAACTGTTGAACTGAAAAAGCGATATTGGCGAAGACATAAGAATACTGACGGGAACAGATGTTAAGGGCGGATTGATCGATGCCAACAAGCATGGATCCCTACCAACAAGAGAAGTGACAGTATTGAAGGAGGTCAGCGAGGGCGATAACAAGCGATGGGGAAAATTTCCGAATCAGTAGTACCGATAAGTTCAGGGACCGGCAAAGCAGCCAAAAAAAAAAAAGTAGATAGGGGTAACCTGGGACAATGGGGCGAGAAAACACCAAGAAGACCAATGACACGAGAATATTCAAAATGGGATGGCATAAGTACAACCGCCTAGATTATACTAAGAAAAGGCCATGTCGTAAACAAAGGACAAAGAGAGGAGAAAACATGCGAGAGTAAGATCAGAGCAAAGGCTTCAATACAGACAACAGGAGGAACGATAAACAATGCAACGGTTGCAGAAAATGGCAAAAATGCATAGCAATGCTTAGCCTAGAAAAAAGCACAAGGGTAAATAACAGACCGTGAGACCCATGGTAAATGGCGAAGTCATGGAGTACCACATGGCCAAGCAAAAGAGTGTGATAAGGAAATATATGCGAGGGTTAAGGTTTTTTAGATACGGCAAACGGGAGGCAAAACAGATGGATGGGCATTGCAGATGGAAAAATAATAAATAAAGCATAACAATGCATAATCGTCTCTTGGCGCACAGAAGATTTAGTTGGAAAGCTGGTATAAATGACGAAGAGATAGCACAACACATTACCAGGAACACACGCCCCCTCCAGAGGCCTGGTAAAAGAAAGCAAAGTCTGGCGAAGAGGATAAGTGAGAATTCAGCATGAATACTAACGATGACTCCTTTGGCGACAAGCGTAACGATGCCACAGGGAAATTCGCCGAAGGTGGGTATTGAACATGACAAACAATGAGTGACACACGGTAACTCATGGAAAAAAACTGCTGAGGTTAGGCCGGGGCCTTACAAGAACGAGGAGGACAACATCTCTGGGAGTGTGTGACCCGGGTCAAGAAGGTAGAGAGAACATTAACGATGGCGGAAATGTTGGCGAAGCTATGAGTCTGGCCAATTGGCCTAGGTTTGTCAAAAACGACACTTGGTAACGCTGACCATTGATTGAATTGACCTTTAGTGAATTACATGCGATCCCACTATAAAATGTGCCTATGCCCGCTTCAAATTCAAACAAAACTATCAGGCCTTCTCTCTCATTGTTCACTCGTTCACAGCAGCCATTCTAACAACCACTTTCCATTTCACAACATTCCACAGTTCATTCTCGATCCCCTCTCGATCCTTCTTCCTTAACATGTCACATATAGAAGGTCTACCGTCTTGCAGCGTGATCCTCATGGGAAATCCTGGTGCCGGCAAGAGCGCGATCCTCAACGCTCTCGGAGGTGATTTTGTCAGCGGATTCTCCTTTATCGTAGGAAACCCGGGCTCCTCGAGGCAAACCGTCACGATCGGAGAGAAGACCCTTGAGTTGATCGACCTACCAGGAATCGCGGATGCCGGCGGCGGGGACACAATCTCCAACAACCTCAAGACGCTACAGGACACGTTGAACGGTTGCGGACAGGCCCTGCTCTTCTTTGTCATCAAGCCCAACAACGGACGGATCGCACCTGAGGACTTTGCCGTCTTGAAGACCTTGCTCACGAAACTCTCTATGAGCCCCAGGATCGGCCTCTTTGTGACCCAAGTCAGGGATGACCATATCACCCTCCTCGACACGGAAAATTACCGCAAGACTGTCTTGCAGATGCTGAAGGACAGCGGCGTCGACACTCTGCATCTGGAAGCGAATCGATGGTCCATCTTGCGGCAGCATCAAGAGAAGGGATTTACCCAGCAAGAGAAGAGGACTATTCAAGACTATGTCTGTTCTTTTGTCCCAGGAAAAGTCAGAGTGGAGAATCTCTGGGAGAGGATCTTTAGACAGATCGTCTCCTTTTTCCAGTCACTTTTTGGAATTTGAACGACAACATGACAGTAAAACAGTAGTCTTGATTTGTAGTACGAACAGTTGGTCATAGGGGAGGATGCATGTACTCAGTTTGAACAGAAAATATAAAGCTGCAAAATGCACGCGCACACTTGCACGCTAGAGGAAACATGTCTTCTCCGCAGTGCAGGCCTTCTAGGTTGAAATAGTTTACCTTGTAGCATCCTTCCTTAAGCCAAAAACAGATCCATGTTTCAAGGATGTGCTTTATTGTTAATGTCGGTGCTGGTCTTGTGCTAGTTCATAATGTCATTATGCCATAACGATCATCTGTGCGCGTGGGGTCAACTTGGCCTCCTCCAGAGTTAGCTGCAGGGTTTCATCCTTGTAGACACTATTACGTCGATATACAATACGATGTTATGTCAGCTTCAATCATGTTTCATGGAAATCCCAAGCAAGACAAAAAAAACGACCTGATTGAAAAACTTACGTTTTGGGAAAGTTGGTCATGAGGGTGAACCCTGGTGCCTTGACGCCTCTTGCATCCAAGTTTGCTTGCACAAAATCCCGCACCCTCTGGAGGGTGTGCTCAGGTTCAAAGTCGCCACGGATCGAGGTGCCATCCAATATGCGGACCTGAATCTGACAGCTGCCTCCAGGTCCCTCCACGGTCTTGATCTCCTTGCCCTCATGGGTGCTGTTGCCGATCAGTCCTGTCTTGGCAGAGGTTGCTACAAATGCAATACTCTGGAATAGTTTCGTGGCCAGGCTAACGATGCCTGAGGAAAGGTGACCGACGGCGATCAAAAGTCGGACGTGATATGGCGCATTATCCAGATTACCCTTCTTTTGAACTGCTGGTGATGCCTTGGGAACATTGCTACCACCGCTTCCTCCGAGGGTTTGTCCGCCGCCGCTGAAGGATGAGCCTCCCTCATAGGATTTGATGTATCCCTGGATTTTGCCGACATCCGCGCCGACAACACGAGCCACCTCGGAGCGGTTCTTGAAGAAGAGGATAGTGGGCATGGAGGTGACTTTGTATATTCCTGCACAGTCCTGAGCCTTGTCTACATCGACTTTGGCAAAGATGGTAGAGGTGTGCTTACGCTCTAGTCCCTCCAGAATCGGCGCCAACGTTTTGCAAGGTCCGCACCTAGTTATAATGGACGGGTGATAACGTTAGACGATGCTGTTGTAGCAGATATTTGTCTTGCTGTGCCAACTACTCGTAAGAGTGTTTCCTGATTTCTGTGCATACCATGTGGCAAAAAAGTCGACGACGACCTACAGGAAAAAGAAAAAGGTGTGAAGATGGAAGAGAACTGTCAGCATGGTTTGGAGCTGTCCCGCAATGACTTGCGCCATGGTCGTGTTGTTCAAGAAAGATGCCGTACCAGCTTGGAGCCTGCGGAGGAGAGGGTACTGTTGAGTTCTGCCTGAGAGCTGATGTTCTTCATAGTTGTGGGTGTGTTGGTAGTTTTGAGTGTTGAGTGTGTGTGTATGGAAATGTAATGATGGAAGGTGCGAAGCGAACGGGATGTGAGCAAAATGGAGCTGTGGAATAGAAAAAATAAGGGACAGAGAAGACAGCCAAGAAGTGAAAGGGTGGGGAAGCGACCTTGCTTATTCCAACATTTCAAATCAGGGAGGGTCACTAATTAAACACCAAAGAAGAAGAATGTTGTTGGTTCCTCTTCTTCAATTCATTCACACCTCAGGACTCAAAAGCGGCCATGCCCCCAAGACTCATCGGTGAGATCATCTACCACAAGGAACAAGGACACTGGAAAACAAGACAGAGTTGTCAGCAGGAGTCAAGGAACAGGAAGGCAACGTCTCTACTACTATTGGTTTATCTTACAAGTGGATACATTCTTCTGCTACTATCCGTGAATAGACATTGGGATCAACCTCACAGACCCCATGTTCCGTGGGCTGTACAACGGAAAGCAGGCGCACGTAGGTAATGAAAAGACACATATATCATGTTAATGGAACGTATCTTTGGACCTGAATCCATGGCAGTTGACTGATCTGACAACTTCTACTTTCAAGATGATTTGGCACAAGTGCTCTTTCGTTCAAAGCGCGCAGGAGTCGATCGTATGATTGTCACAGCAGGAAACTTGAGCGACTGCAAGGAAGCACTGGATCTTGCCAAGAATCACGGTACGTGACGCTTATATAACCATCTGCCAGAGCGATGGATATGTTTGAACCGACATTTCGAACCAACAACAGCAACTGATACAGTCTTTGACGCCTTTTTCTAGACGGGTTGTTCATGACTGTCGGATGCCACCCAACGCGCTGCTCCGAGTTTGAGAGCCACCCTGATGGACCAGAGGGTTACTTCAAGGCCCTGAAGGCATACCTCGACAACCCAGAGACAAAAGGAAAGGTCGTCGCTATTGGCGAGTGTGGTCTCGGTAAGGATCAATTGTCGAAAATAGGTCTTTTGCGGCGATGCTACCACGGATCGTACACAGTGCTGCTTATAACATACGAATTATACGTTTTCTTGTACTAGACTATGACAGACTTCATTTCTGCCCAAAGGAGACTCAGCAAAAGTACTTTGAGCGCCAATTCGACCTTGCTGAGTCGACTCGCCTGCCGATGTTCTTGCACAACCGCAACACTGGAGAAGACTTTGGGAAACTAGTTACGCAGCACAGGTCGAGGTTCACACATGGAGTAGTCCATTCGTTCACAGGATCTGTCGAGGAGATGCAGCAATATCTGGATCTGGGCTTATACATTGGTATCAATGGATGGTAAGTTGAGGCACCAAGTATGCACTATTGAGTGGTGCATCTTTGGAGCATGGAGGTAACTAACTAACGCGGATCGAACTGAATTTTTATGCTGTGGTAGCTCGTTAAAGACAGAGGAGAACTTGAAGGTCGCTGTTAGTGTGCCTCTAGAGAGATTGGTGCTGGAGACTGATGGACCTTGGTGCGATATCCGCCCTACCCATGCCTCATTCAAGCACTTGTCAAAAATGACGCCAGATCAGCAGGCTATCTACAGCCCTCCTTCCAAGAAGAAGGAAAAGTTTGAGTCTGGGTTGATGGTCAAAAACAGGAACGAGCCCTGCACCATGGGGTACGTTTTGCTTTTCCTGCTAATTCATATATACGCGAGATCAATGTATGATTTCTAACTACTACGTTTTTTTCTTTTCACTCAACAGACAAGTGCTTCATGTTATGGCGGATCTACACGGCATGGACCCCGATACCCTTGCAGACATTGTGTACAAGAACACGACCAAGGTCTTCTTCCCTGACAGTGCTGAAGACAGCGTGTCAGTGTGAACAAGTGCGTGTGACTGTTGCACAGCTCGCAAATGAACTGTGCGAAAAAAAACAAAAATAAATCGACAAAGCGCGTCAACCTTGGACTGAACGCACTCACCCTCTGTTTTTGTTGTCTGTTCTTTCGCTCCACCCACCTTCCTTTCCTTCCCTCCTCTCCCACACTTGGACCACTTCCTTAATCTACCCTTCCTTCGACAATCAACCCCGCCATCTCTTCCTTGGCTAGCGCACCCAGTGTCCGAGGGAGACGAACACTCATCCTCACCCAACTCCCCCTCACACAATGGTAACCCTCTCTTCGACAACGAAAAGGAACGCCACCATTCCCCAGGCACCAAAATGGCAACCTGAATGAACAAGCTACCTTTCAAAGCACTGACACTAGGTTGTTTTTTTTGCGAATTCATAGGTGCAACCGACCAAGCTGGCGCAACGCATGAAGAAGGACGGTGGCTCCTCGACAACCAATGGAGATTCAAAAAAGCGGAAAGGCTCTCTCAACACCGTGTGGGGCACCGCCGACTTTGATGGATATGGCGTCTACGGTGTTGGCGACCACAGTGACGAACAGGACGAGAACAAGGATACCGGCAACACCGATCCAGTCCCCACTCCACGCAAGAGGAAATCTGGAGGAGCCAGTGGTGGCGGAGCCAAAATTGGTGGCGCCGAAGTCAAAACAAAACAGCCCCGGGAGGATGCCCCGTCAAAAAAACAGAAATCAGGAACAACTATATCCAACCCACCTGTCAATACGGCCTTTCTCAACTACTTCAATAAGGTCCACGTCAACGATCCCAAGAAACTCAATGAGTCGGCATCACGTTCATCAATTCCAACACCCTCACCACCTTCAGCACCACCTCGGACAGCCTCAGAACACCGGCCCACCATGTCCTTGAAGAAGATGTTTGACCTGCCACCACCGCCGAGCTCGCTACGACCAAAGGAGACGCCGACAAAGACGAATCCTCAGGAGGTTGCTAAAAAGGCGATTATCGAATCTGTTGACCTGACGGATGAAACGCCACCATCATCAGGAAAATCCAGTCCGCCTGACTCTGAACCAGCACTGCGGGGGACAGGAGAGAAGAACGACAACGTCACCAGATCCACCGCCAGCGTGAACGAACCAGGGATGGACAAGCCAGCGACAGAGATGATGGACGTGGACGACGATGCGCCAGCCCAGTCTACGCCAGTCCAGTCCAAAAAGCCCGCAACCAAACCTCGATCAAGAGCAACGACGTCCAAGAAGGTTGTCCTCAGTGAAGAATTGGAGGAGAGCCCAAAGACAACACCAGCCAAGGGATCAAGAACCAAGAAGCGGAAACCAGTAACAATAGATAAACAGGGATTAGAGACCAAGATCGATGACGCGTCTGAGGCACCAGACGAAGACCCACCCAAGGAGGATCCTCCCAAGACTCGATCGATGCTTGAGTTTTTCAAGGTCCAGCCAAAGCCAGATGTCAAATTTGCGGATGGTCCACAACACAAGGCGCCAGTAGGAACAACTATCGGCGAGGAGTCAAAATTGGCAACAACAAAAGCAACAGCAACAGAGGACGAGGACCAGAATCGGACACCGATGTTCAGTCGTCCTCAGTGCCATCCTTCGAAGCCCATAACCTCTTCGTCTTCCGCTGCAATCGAGAGCACTGTGACAACACCAATCGATGAAACGCTTAAAGAAGACATCAGGAAGGTCGCCGTGAAGGAACCAGCGCCATTGACCGATGAGGTGACATCCCCAAGTCATTCGGAGAAGCCAGCTCAGCCGCGACGACGCAGACTTGTTAGAGCCAGCCAACTTCAGCACAACTATAACGAGTCTTCGGGCAGTGATGAAGAGCAGGAAGGGCCAGTCCAGACTGCACGTCAACGACGCGCACCCAAGAAGCACAAGCAAGATGCCGGGGCTGAGCGGGACACTGACCCTTTGCCAGAGTCTGAACCAGAGCCAAAGCCAGAGTCCGAACCGGAGCCCGCTCATGTTGCCAGATCCAGACAATTTCTCAAGTCGTACTTTGGGAGCACCAGCTCTCTGCCGCCCACACCCAAGGCACCCACGGATCCCGTTCCTGAACCCAATGGCGAGTCCAAGCTCTTTGATCTCGGCGTGACACGGCCCGCACAGAAGACGTACTCCAAGAAGTCCGCCCCGGTCACGAAGAAGAAGCTTCAAAAGAAACGCTCGGCTTTTTCGGGAAGTGATGAACCGGGATCCGACTGCGACAGCCGTTCAGACGACGATCTCTCTGACTTTGAGATCAAAGTGAACGAGACGCCGGACCCCAATCAAAAGTCCATCAGTTCCATGTTCGCCAAGGCACCTCCACGTCCAGCATGGGCCCTACCTACTGTCAAGTCAGAGCCACGAAGGGAATTGACGTCACTGTCGCAATCGCTACTCTCAGGAGGACTTGTTAATATGGGCAACACCTGCTATCTAAATTCCGTTCTCCAGGCCCTTCGCAACACCGCAGGATGCACCGACACGCTCTATTTGATGATGCAACGGATCCTGGATTTGGCGGAGGAGAGAGGTCGAAATCTCAACTCGGGAGTTTACAGGTGGAGGATTTTTGCGCAGGTCGTCACGATTTTTCAGGAGCTGGATGACAGGGAGCGCCGGAGCGAGGCGGACCAAATTTACGAGAGGGCCTACTGTCCGAAACAGATCATCGAGACCCTTCGGTAAGCCTCGCAAGAACGGAGTTCCTATATTATCCCTCCAATGGACGTGTATCTGTTTTAACCACATTATTCTGTTTTTATTTCTTACGTACAATAGTGGTGGGAATTCGCAGTTCAACACTTCAGGACAGCAGGATGCACCCGAGTTTCTGCTCTACCTGATCAGCCATTTTGACGATATCCAAAAGTCAACTCAGAGGATGGCTACCAAAGCAGCTGATGTGCAGAAGGCCAACACCGAGACTGAAACCAAGATTGAGACCAAGATTGAGAACGAAGCCGCTCCTTTGACTGAATCCTCGTCAATGACCCCACCTCCATCGTCGACCTTATCTACGAACTCATCTTTGTTCTCATGTCCGACTACATCCACGGTAGCGACATCGTCATCCGCAGTTTGGGAGCCTGTGAACGACCTTTTCCAGATCAGCACGGAGCGCGTTCAAGTGTGTGCCAAATGCAACAAGGTGACGACCAAGAACGACCGCGACTTTGATCTGACAGTACAAATCGATACTGCGAACCCGAGATTGGTCCGCGATCTGGAATGGGGCGTCACGGACACGATGAAGCAGGAAGTCACGACGGAGGACAACAAGCGGTATTGCGAGCGGTGCAAGACCAACGAGCACGCCCACATATCGAATTTTTTTACGTGGTTGCCCAAGATTATGATTTTGCGGCTCCAGCGGTCCAACTTTATGCAGGGCGCCGTCAAGATCCCGAATGGCGTCGCGTGTTCGCAGCGGATGAATTTCAGGCAGTGGATGTCGAGTACCTACCAAGGTGACCATCCTGACTATGGTAAGTGCTGATTTCTTTATATGGTTTGCGCATGTGTTTTGGGTGTCCATAGATCCAACTAACCATTTGTCGGTGTATTGAACGTACTCTAGAACTATGCGCTATTATTGTACATCGTGGTCGGGAGATCTTTGCTGGACATTATTTTGCCTACATCAGAAAAGATGTTGAGATCGAGACAAACATTACTGAGCCCGACGGAGAGTCATGGACGGAAAAGAAGTCATACAGCTGGTAGGTGGCTATTGTCGTCGGCCTTGTCGTGGTGCGGACAAAATTATCTATTTGGGCTAGAACACTAACGCATTGCCAATTGACAATTTGGACTACTAGGCTCAAGTACAACGACTCGGCCGTGGACCCGGTATCGGATGAAGAGATGGAAAAGCTCTTCTTGGGAAATGTCAAGAAGCAGAAACCGACAACCTCCAGTAGCAGCGGCGGTAGTTCAACGGAGAGTAACAAGGCTCATCTCTCGGGAGAGGACAAGATGGACCTTTCGGCTCTGATGAGCATCCTCGACAAACATGTCGCCACTCCCTACGTGTACCTCTACCGTCGTCTCGACACCTAATTAATGTTGTTTACTTTCTTCTTTGCCTGTTCAAAAACTTTGTATCATATCACATTGTAACACTACATCTAAGCGAATAAGACCAACTCTTTATTCTCCTGTGCATATTGAAAGAATTGTTGCAACGGAGTCAAGTTGCTTGTATGTGGCAGGAAAAGACAGGGTTAATTTAATTGCTGGCAGCCAAGAGCTGCACAACCTCCAGCATCAGGCTGTAGCAGTCCGGGTGGTTCCTGTAGTCCTTGAAGGGGTCAGCATCCTTGGCGAACATGGTGGCCCGGGACTTGACCATAAAGGCAAGGGCGGGGGCCTTGATCCGCGGGTAGCGAGGAGCAACATTAAACAGGATCCGCGAAACATTGCCTGAATTCAAAGACAATTCTACCTTTTGCTGACAGAAGAACGCCAGGTCGGAAATTCCGTACAAGTCAGCCGCCAGCATCAGCTCCTCGTATATGGTTGCCTTTCCAGTGCCCTTTGGATTGTAAGTGACCCATTGCGCGACCTCTCGGTCTTGCTGCGAGGCGCCATTGGTCACAGTGCGGTCGGTGCTATCGGTGTTGTTGGGTTTGGTGCTACTGAAGATAAAGCGATCAGCGCTTGGGGTCAGGTTGATTTCGCCGGTGTAGATGTATTGGAGTAATGCCAGGAAGACGTCCAAGGACACTTGATCGACCACAAAAGTCAAAGTCCTGGGCCCCGCCCCTGGAGCTGTCTTGTCAGATTTTGTGGTATTAGTGGTTGCGGTCGCCTCAGTAATAGCGTCTGCCGGCTTCTCCTTCTCTGCGGTTGCCGATTCCTGCTTGTCGTTAGTCTCAGTCTTGACGGTGGCGGCAGTGACTCCACCCTCAACAGCTCCCAGCTCACATTCCAGCTCAGACAGATCTACAGTCTCAGAGAAATACAGGTCGCCAACAGAGCCGTCAGCCTGACTTCCAATATCCGTGAATGACGTAATACTGCCAGTTTCGTCCTCATGATTCGACAAAGTCCGCGTCATTTTGCCCACGTCTACATTCTCCTGCCGAGCTCCAGCAGGTGTAGTTGCTTTCACCGCGGCATCAATAACTGCTTTTTGTTGAGAGAAAGAGGAGGTCGCAGCGGCAGCATCGGAAGCAGCCTTTTGGACAGCATCGTCGATCATCTTGGCAAAGACCTTACTCTGGCTCAAAACAACGCGGTGAGCCCATAGACCCACACCGGCAGCGTCGCGGTCGTTAGGAAAGACAAAGCATATATCAACAGAGTGAGGGTCCTTGAGGAACTGAGGCAGGATGTAACCGCTTTTAGGTTGAGGGGGTAGAGGTGTGCGAGCAAGGTTCGGGGCAGTCGAGAGGACGATATGGAACTCGAACGCGTGTGTGGCTGTCGAGACCTCGTCCAAATCAATCGTTCCTGTAAAGACAGATTTTCATGCAAGGAAAACCATTGGTGTCGGAACATTAGTCTCTATGATGTAAGCCTTTGCAGCAAAAAAAAACAAAAGACGTGGGAACACAAACAAAATAAATCGAGATTGCAGTACCTTTGATGGCCTCTCCATCAAGAAGAGCATTCTCAGCAATCGGAAAAGTGAAAAGTCGATGAGGATGCTTCATGGGGATAAACGACATAGACTTATAATGTCGAATATCAAAATCCGTTTCTGAAGAGGTCGTCTCGTCCTGTTCGTTGTGCCACGAGAGCGCGACCTCAATCTGACCATCCTTGTGGGCGGACACCAAGCCGTCCTGCTGCTGCTGTTGCGAATATTCGACTTTGATGAACCAGTTGGAAGAGTCGTCAGTGCTGGCCTGGGCCGTGGTGTTGAGGTAGGTTGTGGGTTCGACGAACGAGTAGCGGCTCCTGACGGATAGGGTCAGCTCTTGGATTTTTGGTATCCCATAGACGGTGGTGTCGAATGTCGCGATTGGAGTGGGTACGGCTGAGGCTGATGCGATTGGGGATGCCGATGCTGTGGTTGCAGTGAATGAGAAGTTGACGGGTGCTCCGAAATAGGAGCTTGACGCCCCCGTGCATCGGGACTTCCGTGCTTTTTGGAGCGGGGAGCTCGAGGCTCCTCCGAATGACCCTGAGGGCGTGAAGAACATTGTCGGGAGTGTTTGTGCGATGTTTGTTGTTGTTTTTGGCGAATGTACGTCGCGTAGGTGAGTTGTGTGTTGTTTTGTTTGTGGAACGACACGAAGAAGAAAAAAAAGAGAATAGGAGAAACGCTTTAGCACCCATTTATATGCATTTGTTGGTCTCGGACTAGATATTTAGGTGGACATGTTCTACATCATGGCCTGCATGGTCTCCGCATCGCGCTGTGGCAGTTGGGGTGATCCCTAGGCCCTCAAACATATCCGTCCCATCTCCCAAATTTAGAGCAGTACGATTCCTCGTCACATACTCCATCAACGTTCCTTGATCTTAGGATACTCAGGCGCAAAGTTCCAAAAGAACCTCGCAGGTCGTGCTCTCGCTCAGGCCGGCAATAGTGCTGTCCTCGCAAAATCGAAGACGTGGTGATGTCTAGGCGCCTCCATCAATGCCGTATAGCTTGTCATCTGTATGCTTACTTCCGAGCTGAGTCCTCGTGGGTTCCAATGGATGGAAGGAGAACCGCGAGGCTATGCTTGATAGGGAGTAGAGTTGGTTGTGTTGCGTTGTTGGCGCTGAGGACGAAATCGGCGAGATCAACGGTCGGCTCGACTTTGTTGGTGCGAAGGTATCGGAGCAATGCACACATTGTCGCCAAGGAATACTTTCAGTGATGGACGTCGTCGTTTTGTTCGTAGTTGACGGTGCTGTTGTTGTTGATGACGATGATGTTGTTGCAGGTGCTGGGACGGGTCCGCGCGGTTGTTAAAGTGCTGCATCTGCTTGTTGCTGACGCTGGCGTGAAGGCTGTTGTCGTTGTTGTCCCACTGCTGTCAACTTTCGCCATTTCAGTCTGCAAGTTCTGGCTCGACAGATGTCCTTCATATCCCATGACTCCGACACAAAGTTCGGAAAGTTCACGAAGCATCAGCTCCTGCTGGGTTTGCCAACTAAATATACAGAACGGCATTGAAGAAGAAAAGAAAAAGGGGAGAGTACCCAAAATCATGTCACGGTCGGTCTCCCGCGGTAACGTAACTTGTCCACAACTTCAAACTTCGCCCAAGATTACAGTCCTTCTAGCACCATGGCGTCATGAGGAACAATCCCGTGGACCATTTATTAACAAGCTGCCATGAGTTGAAAGATCGCCACCATAACGCTATGGTACTGTGGGTAGGTCGTAAACCTAGCAGACACATCCTTGCTGGGCGCGAAGAGCACCTTTTTGTTCCAGATCACATACTGCATCGCTTGATACTTGATCATCAGGTACTGGGGCACAATGTCAAAGAGGATGTGGCCAATGTCGTCCTCGGTCATGAGGGACTCGGTGCGTTCCTGACAGGCTGTCGCTAGATCGCGGATCCCCTACTCGTGTGCCGCCAGTATCAGGCGTTCGTCCCTAAGTGTTGTTTGTGAGTCTTCCTTGACCTTGTCGTTGTTGTAGGAAGTGGTGTCCAGGCCATGGTTGTCTCAGTCGAGAAGATGTTTGGGGGTCTTTACTGCCGCCTGTGTGATGGTTCCTAAAAGTACAAAAAATAATAATGAAACGAGGTTAGAATATGACAGGTCTTTCCTCCCAGCCATGTGTATCATATCAAAACAAGAAAGAAAGGATGGATAACTTTGTTAGCCTTCCCACCAACCAAACGTAGAAGTAGTGATATCAACTACTACTGCCCTAGTAGCCTCCGCAACAGGAACCAAATGCATCGACTTGTACAACGAAAGGTCAATATCCACGGGCATCGAAAGATCAGCACGTTCCTGCGTTGTTGCCCCCATGTGTAACAGACTGTGACTTGGATGGTGCTGGTGACTCTGTCGTGGGAAAGTTCCATGACCAAACAGAAGAGCTGTCCTATGTTCTGTCGGTGGGGTAGATCATGGATTGGTCGGAGGTGATGGCAACGCCATGTAACATGCATAGCAGCCTTACACCCACTCGAAAGAAAGTCAAGGCTTGAGAGATTACTTTATCCAATGATAAAAAATGTGTCTGTATTACATTAGTTAAGTTACGGTTCAAGAAAAAGCGGAACACTACGAAAACGAAGGACGTTCATCCAGCCTGGACAGGACTGACTTCCACAGCAAAGGCATCCGATCCAACAAACGTCATCGCATCAACCGGCGACTCCTCCTCCTCCTCCTCGTCATCATCCTCCCCAGCACCTTCCTCACCATCAACTGCCAAATGAGCCATAGCCAACGCAGCAATCACATCCTGCGTCTGATGTTTTCCCAACGTCGCTTGATAATACTGCCATCCACCACCAGTCTCAAGGACCTTGATCTGGTCAGACGAAAGACCTAGGTAACAGGGGTCACAGAGTTTTTCAGAATGTCCGTGGCCGCTATCGGTGTTGCCCTTTATTCCGCGCCATCCTGTTCCGAAACCCCCGTACCCTCCTCCACCTGAGGTAGCAGTAGTAGAAGTGGTCTGGTCAACATTGAAGCTTTGGCTACGCTTGGTTGAGAGCAGAGCAGAGGCAGCGGCGGCGGCGTCTGCAGATCCGGTGGCGACAACACTGTCAGAGGCACTTTGAAGCAACCCTGGGCGAGCCAAGTCTGGAGACTCGGGTGATGCGAGGGGGAAATTGAGTGCAAGGCTGTCGACGACTTGACCATCATTTTCGAGTTGACCAGCTCCCCCCTCACGTGCCTTGGCTTCAGCCTCGCGCTCTGCCTCCAGTCCGAGGAGGAAGAGTTGGTCGATCTGTTTCTTAGTCAGGCAGTCCGAGCACACAACCTTGCGGCACTGGGAACAAACATTCTACAAGATGTCACAAAAAAAAAAAGTACGCGTGTGTTAGTTCCAGCTCTCAGCAAACAAGCAAAAAAAAAGAGAGAGCTATGAGAGAAAGGTGGACTTACCCTCCATTTGAACTTGAAGAGGTTGAATTCAGTCTTGCACAGTTCGCACGCTTTGACGTTATTCTGGTTCTCGTTGGGAGATCCAAGGCTAGCATCTGATTTTCGGTTACTTCCACGGGTGCTGTTGGGCGATCCTCCGTTCTGGCCTGAAGATGTGTCCTGATTTGAGGTGATGGGACCTGTTCTGCTCTTCATCTACGCGCGTCGAAAAAAAAATCAGAGCGTTGATCAAAGGGTTAGTTGTCGCGTTTGGTGATGGCATCACGACATAAAATATAAAAACGCAGAATCAAGAAATACTTACGCGACTGAGACCGGCTTCAACAATGCCACGGACCATGCCCGTGGCTCCAGAAGTAATCCCCGAGTCTTGGCTATAATCTTCAGGTCGGACCAGAACACCATCCAGACTCTGGTTGCTGGCTCTTCGGTCTGTTGTGACTTGATGCTGGTTGTTAGATTGGACCTGCTGCTGTTGTTGTTGTTGGCCAGGAGATTCAATAGGAGAAGTCTCGGCCGAATTGGAGTTGGCGGTGGGGGAGACGGGCATGCTCGCCTCCTCTGGGAACATGGTCTCGATGCAGTCGTCGCATGCGCGACCAACCTTCTCCGAGTGCGCTCCTTTAATCAAAATCGTCTATGAGAGAAAATATCATACAGTAAAACACATATTAGCTCTGCATTCTCAAATGATCCCACTCCATTCATCTTTGGTCAACGTATCATGAAAACTTACGCGAGAGGAGCAAGAGTGGCAGACGACCTTGCCACAGGCTCGGCAGTGGTGCTTGCGTCGGAAAATTGTTCCAAACTCCTCGGTACAAATCATGCATCTCGTCGCCGACTGATCAGGGACCCAGACGGGGGCATTGTAGTTCTCAATGACCCTCATAGGCTGCGTCCTGGGCGTAGGAGATCCTGCTCCTGATCCACCGTTGCCATTGGCACCAGATCCACCGCTACCGATAGCGCTCGCGAACCCGACACCAAAGGTAGCGCTCCAGGGACTGGATACCTCAGGCTCGGCAGAGGCCAACTGCTGCTGCTGGTGTCCCGCAAACGTATGAGCTCTCGAGTCAGACCCAAAACTAGTAGGCGACCATAGGCCCGTATCGCGTCTCAAAAGCCCAGCCCCAAAACTGGTCGCCGCAGCACTGATGCTCTGCATGGGGGTAATCGAGATCTTGAGCGTCCTCTTTGCAGAGAGGTACTCCTGAGTCGCGCGACGGATGGCAACCATCCAGGCCTCCTTCTCGCGTGGGGTATTGACATAGACCTGAGATGACTTTTCGGGGCTCATGATCTGGAACGCATTCTTGGTCGGATCCGGATCCTCTGCTCCAACAACAGTACAGTTTTCCAACCCGACTTTACGATGGAAGGTCAGTGTGTCGTCCAGAGGGTTGAGACTAGGACTGGTCCAGACAATACAATCTGAGAAGAGGATGATCATCCGCAGCTGGACATTGCGACGGCAGACCTTCCAGACATTACCGCGCTTCAACATCACGCGTCCGGGGATGATGAGGGGCTCGCTCATGCCGGTGATCTTGGACCGGAGTCCGATCATCTCACCAAACATCTCGTGCTGACGAATGGTCTCGTTGACAAAGTTTGCGGTTTGTTCCATTGACTCGAAGGCAGTTTGGAGCTTGCGGTGGTCAGGGTGTTCTTCGGGCGTGTGGCGGAGAAGACCTTCAAGTAGCATCCTGTAGCGAGGGATCCGCTGGACTGGTAGCATCAAGTATGACTGGAAATCCAGGCTCTTGCACTCGGGTCTTCTCGCTGTCGACTATTACAAGGCAAGTAAAGTGGAAACAGTCAGTTGACGGTTCATGGATATGTGACGAGGTGCGAAAACAATATGACAAGGTACAAAATGTTACCTTCAAGAACTCGGTAAAGCGGTCGTTGCGGTTCATGCAGTCGTTAATATGGGTCAGAGCTGACGTGTAGGTCTTGACATAATTGGAGTACATCTTCAAGAATGGCGCCTATATTATAAGGTAACTTGTATGATTAATGAATGTTCTACTTCAAACCAAAGATGACAACAACACCGGCATGCGCAAGGCAACTTACGATCTCGACAAAGATATCACCGACACACCAGTCAGCATCAAGGACAAGAAGTTGCTCTTGCTCGCCTGCCTGGCTACCGACGGTAACAAGGACCTGGTTCGGCTTGCCGTTCGCCTTTGACTCCCGAGATCCAGTAGCTCCTGCCTCGTCATTTTCATCTCCTCCATCTTCACCTCCATTCCTGCCTTCTGTCTCGTCCTCGTCACTCTCCCATCCAGTCGAAAAAGTGGTACCACAGATCCGTGTCTCGAGCTGGGTGAGCAGCAAAGTGTTAATCTGCAAGATCTCTGAAAAGTTGGAAAAGATCTCATTGACAGATTTCTTGGGCAGAAGGGGCGCTGCTGAGGCTGCAAGGGTCGAGTTGGATCCCATAGTCGAGGTCGGGTACTGGCCGGCTGCCAGAGAGAGGGTCGAAGAGCTCGCCGTTGGGTTGGTCGCTCCTGACCATCCCGAGTAACCGTTGTTGTTATTAGGATTAGGGTGTTTATTAGTGTTCTTGTTATGTTGTAGTGTTGTGTTGGCGGCCGAGTAGATGCTGGTGGTCGTATTCGCTCCCGAGTAAGGATATCCTGAGGTCGCGTAGGGCGCATTCAAGGGTTCGTAAAAGAGAGTCTGGAGGATTACGAGTCCGTCCACGTATGACCGTTCTGTCCGTAGAATCTCCAAAATGATCTTTTGTCGTTCCTGAGTCAGTGTCTTGCTGTTATGGATCATGGTCGACGAGAGGGACGATTTCGGGAATGACCCTTTGTTGGGATACGTGTTTGACGGCGATGATGAGCTCGAGGATGACGTTGTAGATGATCGCCGCAATGCCAGCGGAGACTTGTTCTTGATCGCCTTAGGCAATGGCGGGGGCATGTTGTAGATGCTGGGAGTTGGGGTAGGGCCTTGATGACTGTGGCCATGACTGGTTGCTGATGAACTGGAATCAGTCGAAGGGTCGATGGAGCTCAAGTTGTGGTTGCTCATGGGCATCGACAGATCCAGGTTGGATGCATTCGGGGTCATGGTGTAGAAGGTGCTGGTGGTCGAATCCTGTCTAGCATGCGCCGCATGGTGCGAATATGGGTAATGTTCCAGATTTGTCGTCGACGAAGCATTGGAGGCCGAGTAGTGAAAAATGCTTCTCTCATCGCCACCTCCACTACCAACAGTACCGTTGTCGAACCCAGGTCTATCGTCATGTCCATGTTGCGAGTTGTTCGACTCTTCTACATCAGGCACATCATACAAGCGCCAGCCAGCTTTGGGCAGGGGAGGCATGGACGCATGACGATTGGCTTTTTCAGTGTTGACCGGGGTCGCAGCAGGCTCGCTATTGACAGCAGGATCGACACCAGCAGGGAAACCTGACGCCGATGGGAGGGATGTCGAGAAACTATCTATTGCAGCGTCACTGTCTATGGCATCATCCAGGATGCAGTGAGGGGACGCAGCACGCATGACAATGTGTCGAGGGTAGTTGTTGCTGGCAGCGGTATGGGATGCGCCAAACGCCTGACGAGAGCCTTTGAACGCAGAAGATGTTGGTGATCCAACCTTGCCTGACTTGGATGTACCTGACCCATGAATCTTGACTGGAGAAGCAGCGGCAGCGGCAGCGGCAGCAGCAGACGCAGCAGATGTAACCTCCTTGGCCGTACCAGACTGCGACTGAAGGCTCAACCGAACACGTCGAGGAGATGCGGCACGTGGTAGTCCAGTTGGAGCTCCCGTGTTGGTGTTGGGGGCGGAGGCGTTGGTGATGAGCATCATTTTGCTGAGGCGGTCAATTTTGGTCAGGCGAGAGCGAGCACTCCCACTAAAGTTGCGTCGCTCCTTGTGATTCATCCCTGCATTGGGCGATATGGTAGGGGAAATGGCTGACGCAGAGTTGGGGGATGTCGATGACGAGGGGTCGGATCGCATGTTTTGAGGGCGCTGATTCAGAGTCATGACCGAGGTTGCCTCTGGCAGGGCTGTCGAGGGGGAGGCTCTGTTGGTGGGGAAGAGCCAAGACTGACGCAGGGAGGGGGAAGTGTTGGATCGCCCTCCTGCTGGACCCTGTTGACGAATTCGTTGTTGGATGTTGTATGGTTGGTGGATGTTATTGTTGTGGACTGGGGGAGGGTGTGAAGGTGATGTAGGAGTGGAAGCCCGACCTGGCGTGGGATCAGGCAGGGGAGTGTCATGAGGAGAGGGGATTGGGTTGTCCATGTCCGCCTAATTGTCTGTGCGCCTTTGTTTTTTCTTTCCCGTTAACTGGGCTTATGCTGAATGGCGATTGTGAAAGAGGGAGGGGGAGAGAGCGTGGCAAGGGGTGTCGCAGAGAGAGTTGAGATGACTCTTGTGGTTTGATGATTGTGTGTATGTGTTTGAAGGAGGTAGAAGGTGTGCCGTCAAGAAGGATGTTGAGTCGAGGTCAAATTCGAGATGTGTGCAATGGTGGCAAGAGAAAAGGGCGGGGAAAGATAGCGAGGAGGATCAGAGTGAGCGGGAATCCTGCAGGTAAGTGTATCCGACGCGCGGAGGGACGCGAGAGGCCAATAGGATTTCGTGTACTGATGGGATTACAATGTCTTGGTGCAACTTTGATATAACAACGTCCTCTACAGACGAAGAGTGATCGCCGATGAAAAAAAGTGTTGGAATGGAGAGATGGATGTGGAATCGGAAAAAGTTGGTAAATGGGGACCTGATGAACAAGTAAGCAGGTTGTAGTCAAAGGTAAAGGTGAAGAGGGGGACAAGGCAAGTGTGAAGTGTGTTCCGAGAGGGAAAGAGGGCGGCTGGATATGGCTCTGAGTGTTTAATTTGTGCTGCAAAGGTGTGGGTAGATCGACAAGGAAGGGGTATTTACAAGTCAAGCTGGAGACAGATTAACAGAAGCGATATGGGGGAGAAAAGTAAGAGAGAGGATACGAAAAGAAGAAAAAGTGGAGGGAAGGGAAGAGATGATATGAAAGCGAAAAGGAGAAAAGAAAGAGAACGAAAAGACGAAAAAGACAAAGAAAAGCGAAGAGAAAGAAGAGGAAAGGGAAGGGGGAACCAGCCTTAGCCTTGGGTCGTGGTGGCCGTCTTCTCTCTTCTTTTTTTGCGTCATGCTGAGCATCCACAGACTGTCAGTTGCTCACCCACCTTTTCGACTGCCCGCGGTCATCATACCTATCCTCCAACCCCCCCTCCTCTTCTCTCTCTCTCTCTCTCTCTCTCTCTTTCTCTCTCTCTTTCTCTCCGCGCCATTTTTTTTCTTGTTAACGCAAGTGGGGAGAAGCAGGGCTAAGGCGTGTGTGCCTGACATGACAGCGTGTGTGAGAGTGAGTGGATGACTGAACAACTGCGTCGGTCGGTCGTGCAATACACAAGAGGAGAGAAACTAACTGTTCTCAGGTACTCTTGCTCCTGTTGACGTGCCCTAGTGTGTATGTTATTTTGGTTGTGAGTGATCAGGCGGAGAACTGAAGAAAGGGGTAAAAAAAGTCTTGCTTACATTTGCACTTACAGCGCCATGCAAACGCGCTGTTTGAATGTAAGTAAGGGTGCCTGACAGGATGATTTCTTCGAGCAAACAACACCTTGTCTCTGTCCCTGTCCCTGTCTGTCTGTGTGCCTGAGCATGTTGTTGTTTGTGAGGAGAGAAAGAAAGGGAAAATTTAAAGGAGTTGGACACCCTAGGCAACATGACCTGCATGATCGCTGAATGGCCTTTGATCGAGTCGGATCATGTTGTCAACGAGGAGGAAAGGAAACATGACTCCTCTTCCAGAAGGAAAAAAAAACAAGGGGTATGACAACACATCCTCTGCTCGATTCCACTCGTTACTACCTCAATCTGACATGTCCATACAAAAAGAACCATGATCCGCTCCACTTCTCATAAAAAGACCCTCAATCTCCCATCCCTCTCTGCCGGATTCATCTTGTGTGTAAAAAGTGAACAAATGTGGCACTGGAAAATGGGGTCCACCAAAAGCGCGGATCTTTTAAAATTGAATTGCCATCCTACCCGCCTGCCTCCACTGTGTTGCCCCTAGCTTCTCTTTGAATAAGAATCACTCTCCTCTTTACCCCTTTTCTCTAGCCTTGGAGGGTCGACCGTTCCACCCTTGACCTATCCGCAAGTACTACCTTTAAATAAAAAGCGAAGCCATGACGACAGCAAGCAATCATCGACCTTCCACTTCGCCCTCTACCAAAAAAAACACTCCGCGTCGCGTGCCTGCTTTGCTGCTGCGACATGCTTCTATTTCTCAGCAAAAAAAAAGGAACGAAAGAGAAAAGCCCTAACAGAGCCAACCGACCACACTAGCGCAAACACACGCACAATGACCAAGTACAATAGCCAAGTAATGAAAGTGCTGGAGGGGTGGTTCGTGAATACCTGAGCTGTTCCTCCTCGTTCTCCTAGTTCACCATTGCACAATGTTCATTCTTGCGTTGCCCGCGCAAAAAAGAGGGGTTTAATTGCGAGTGACCGATGATGTGTTGTCAGTTTCTTCCGATCGTCCTCAAGTATTTTTGCTTACATTTCACGTTTGCCTATCATCACCACAACTTGCCATTGTTTTTTCTCTTCCTCTTGGCTGAAACGCCTTCGCCTTTTGTACCTTCTCCTTTGTCTGTTCCGAGGGCTGTCCAATCCATCAATTCATGCAAAGGTGGATCCTGCACAATGTTAGTCAGCGATGTCGATCTGCTGCCGTAAACACCCCCTCCATGTGCTGCTACGAAAAAAGGAGGTGGCGAGAAATGAACTATGTATTGTAGTGGTATTATGCAAAACCTCAAATATGCTGTGACAAGGCACTGAGGTCAACAACAGGAAAAAAGGATAAAAGCGGACGACTATTTATCCAACGTTCGATTGGGGGGACAAAGCCGATGCGCTTTTGAGTGATCTATCTTGTTGTTTTTTTTGTTCCTTCTTTTCTCCACGCGAACTTGGTGCTCAGATGGTTAGTGTTCTCCCTTGGCCCTTTGTTGTTAGGGCCATTACGACTTTGCCTGTCAATACGGAAAGAAAACTATTTGGCCAGGTCGTTTTGAAACTAACCTCTTTTCGCTTCTTGCCTTGCTTCCACCCTACAGCGGATGGGCTAGGCCGTTCGAGAACAAGGGTTGAAATTTTGTGCGTTGTTTGTTGACGTTTTTTTTTATTTACAGTGTCGTAGGGCGATGTGAGGAGGAGGATCGCCATATATAATGGAAGATCGGCAGGGTCACAGCGAAGGCCAAACACGACGAGCCCAAGAAGAAGACGCCTTCTTATTCTCCAGGATTGTTGAGTCGGCTTCCAGACCATCCTCTCTAGCTGCCCTCAAAGTGTGCGTAGAGTCCAAGGTCGGATCGTAAGCATGTGAATGGGAAGAGGAAAAGTAGTCTGTTCGTTCAGAGACTGGTTCAGAGCCGAGATTGTCTCCAGTCACAAAGTCAATACAGCTGAATCCAAAGTTGCAGAGCGCCTGAGACAATCCGCTTCCGGGGCTCCTAGGGGCCAGACAGGCACCTATGTCGGCTTCTTCTAGTGCCGGGTCGTTGTTGTTATAGTCTCTTGCAGTGGATTCCATACCAAAGTCGGAAAAGTCAATCTGGTTGCTTTGCTGTCGTTGTCCGTGAAAGTTGTTGTGGCTGTGGTGAGCATGAGTGTGATGAGGATGGGGTCCATGACGACGGTTGTTGCGTTGAAGTGTAGGCTGTTGTGCTGAATCGTCAGCGAGGGTCGAAAGGGCGTCAGAGGACTGTTGTGCGTGGAGGATGGCCTCCCAGCAGTGATCTTCGTCGTTGTGGTACATTGAGCAGAGGCCACGGGAGTATGTCGAGATCCAGGATCCGTCAGAGGTTCCTCCCGTAGTTGAGGAGTCTCCATCGAAGTGGTTGTTTAGTGCTGAACCCATGGGTGTAGTGTAGGTATGATTTGACTTGTCGCTGGGAATAAGGAGAGAATAAAGGGAAAAAGGAGTAAAAAGTGAGAAGGACCAGGTAGTTGTATTTGTTTGTTGAAAGGGGGGGGGGGGGGGGATTGAGTGTCTGTTATCTTTGCAGGAGTGGATGGTAAAAGGGCCAGTTGGGGAGGAATGGTGCGTGTGCGAAGGATGTAACGTATGAGAACAAGAACAACGGTCGCAGTTGGGGTAGAAGAGAACTAAGAACGAAAAATAACGCCTTTTCACTTGAAGATAATGCGCCGTTGCCATTGTGAACCATGAATGGGATGAGACAAGGCGATCGGACTGACCGAGACAGACCCAACCGCGACTGAAACTAATAGAAAACAACTTGATTGTAGGTTAACACCATATCCGATAGTAGGTCAGTTGGTGGCAAAACGGAAATGGATGTCTGTCTTCGGGATGGGACAGATACGCGTGGATGGGGCGGCATTTGGAGCAGTTGGCCCATGGCCTGAACCCCTTCTTGATAGGAGAGTCGACAAGCGATGTCCGTCTACTCTTAGACGTCGCTTGTCTCATGGGCCCAAGCGTACTGTTAGATTGTTAGGAGTCGACGCTCCCTCAGCGACTTTTACTCGCCTCCATCCTGTCCCTCTTTTTCCTATTTCTTCTTCATTCTCCCACTTTCTTTTTTCTTTCCTCCTCTTCATTATAACTCCAACTCACCTACACATCGGCATTCCTGCATCAAGACATCAACCAACTCGAACCCAACACAAAAACCAACCAAAAATAAACCCCTCATTCCAAGACAACAGAAATAACAAATGGTGCAACAAGCAGCAGAAACACGTCAGGAACCCGTTCAGGGAGTGCGGTCAGTCTACAAAAATGGTCTTCCCGCGTCCTCCTCGTCACCCTCGGATGTGGTTTTTATCGATTGCCATGAGGATAGTGCGACCGGAAAGGATGTTGTGCTTTGGGATGACGTCCTCTTGGTCTTCAAGGATGCTCTCTACGTCCGTAATGGGTCAAGAGCAATTACTTTCTTGAAAGGGTCTGACTTTCGAACGTATGTATCTTTTTTATTTGCATGATTAATTGATGTGCATAGCAAGAGGGGCGTTTTTTTTTGACTCGGACAGAACGAACGCCGGTACTGATGTAGGTGTTTCTTACATGCTTAATCATGATAGGCTGGAGCCTTTCCGCTTTGTTGCTGTGCCAGGCACCACTTTGGAGGTTGTTATCGAGGATCCAACATCCGCGTCCGAGGTCACCATTCCAACTCAAGCAACATCACAGACAACACCACAAGAGGAACCCATGTCGGTGTCAAGTCTTACAGCAGCTCTCCCCGACTACGGGCCTATGACAACCACATCCAACTCATCTGCTCTCCCCAGCTACGCACCTATGACGACCACATCCACCTCGGCAGCCCCTCCAGCGTACCAATTCGCCTCCAGCGACCGTGTCCTCAGTTCCAGCGTCGTCAACCCGTCGACCACCTCGCAGCCTCAATACACTGCCATCGAGATCTCTCAAATAACCACCGCAGCCCAATCTGGAGACGCTGAGGCACAGTACAGGCTGGGGGAGATCTACTACAGCGGAACCAGCGGTCTGTCGCAGGACTTCAAGCAGGCAATGGGTTGGTACCTGAAGGCAGCGGAGCAAGGGAGCGCCCAGGCCCAGAAAGCCATCGGGATCATCTACTATAGTGGTCAAGGGGTCGACAAGGACTATACAAAGGCGATCGAATGGCTGCTCAAGGCTGCGAAGCAAGGCTACTCAGTCGCCCAGAACGATGTCGGCAACCTCTACTACCACGGACATGGAGTCAAGCAGAGTTATTCCAAGGCAATAGAGTGGTATATGATGGCGGCCGACCAAGGGCACCTCCAGTCCATGCAGAATATCGGGTGTCTGTACGAGAGCGGTCATGGAGTCTCCAAGGACTACAAAGTCGCCATGGAGTGGTTCACCAAGGCCGCCAAGCATGGATACGCTGACGCTCAAAACAACATTGGCAACAAGTACTTTCACGGCCATGGCGTCAAGCAGGACTACGTCAAGGCGATGGAATGGTACCTCTTGGCGGCGGACCAAGGACAGGCGCAGGCGCAGAGCAACATTGGCTGTCTCTACGATGCTGGAAACGGTGTCCTCAAGGATAAAAACAAGGCAATGGAGTGGTACTTGAAGGCGAGCGACCAGAACCATGGGGGCGCTCAGAACAATATTGGCAATCTTTATTATCATGGATACGACGGCACCAATAACTATGAGGCGGCTATGGAGTGGTACATCAAGGGTGCCAGTCAAGGTTTCGCGGACGCCCAGAACAGTATCGGCAACATGTACTACCATGGCCGAGGAGTCTCTCAGGACTATGCCCAGGCGATTGAGTGGTACCTCAAGGCGGCCGACCAAAAGTTTGCTCAGTCGCAGAGCAACATCGGGTGCATGTACGAGGGCGGTCGAGGCGTTCCGAGGGACTATGCAAAAGCGATTGAGTGGTTCCACAAGGCGATCGACCAAGACCATGCCGGCGCTCAGAACAACCTTGGCAACCTTTACTTTTTCGGCTCTGGCGTCACCAAGAGCTACAACACGGCCATGGAATGGTACCTCAAGGGCGCCAGTCAAGGATACGCGGATGCGCAAAACAGTGTCGGCAACATGTTCTACCACGGGTTCGGTGTCTCCAAGAACAACGCGTCCGCCTTTGACTGGTACCTCAAGGCGGCCCACCAAGGCCAGGCGCAGGCACAACAGAACCTGGGGTTCCTCTACGAGAGCGGATATGGCGTTGTGAAGGATTACTCCAAGGCCATGGAGTGGTACTTGAAGTCTGCGAGCCAAGACCACAAAGAAGCTCAGAACAGTGTCGCCAAGATGTACCACAATGGACGCGGTGTACCCAAGGACCTTGCGGTGGCGATGGAATGGTACTCCCGGGCTTCTGACCAGGGACACGAGGCGGCCAAGAAGAGTTTTGAAGGCCTTCGTAAACAGGGTATCAGACCAAGCAAGGTACCTGCAACGACGTATGGGAGAAGCAAAAATGAGACGATTGCTAATAAACTCAAGTCGAGATTCTGGTAGTCTTGGCGTCTGCAGCCATGTGCGCGCCCTCTTCTCTACCTTTCTTTTCAACTCACTAATGTCTTGGAGACTTATATCAACTGCAAAGTCATGAATGTGAATGACCAAGGAAAGGAGTTCCAATGGTGGAATGCGGATTGACTATATCAATTTCAGATCGTGGACCTCCAAAGTGTTCCCCACCCCAGGAATAACCTTGATGCCAACCTCGATTTCCACCACATCCTCAAGGACAATGACCTCACTCTCGATGACGCCATCAAGGCACTCCAGAAGACGCATGCAGACATTCAAAAACTTCTATAGGTTGTACAAAGCAAACATTGCTCTTTATTGTATGTGCATGGAACAAGATGATATTTCAAGGTCAAGAGTATGAAACAAAATGTTCAGTTTTTATTTTTTGTATGTTCAAAGGGGGGAGGGTGAGGGTGCAATTATATGTAAACGGTTGCGGTTCACTTTTGAGGATGGGATCCAGCTGTCTTCTTGACATTTCCGTGGTGCAGCTTCTTGGCCTCGGTGGTATCGGAGCTCTGCTGCTGGCTGTGCAAGTTGGGGTCGGTCTTGAAGGTCGACTGAGTGGTGGGGCCGTGAGAGGGGAGATTCTTTCCGGGAGTTGACAACTGCTCGGAGTGCAGCGTCCCGGGAGGTGTACCCATACTGGCTGGTTGCTGCAAGTGCTTGTTCATATTGTGGTAGTAGTAGTAGTAGTGGTAGTAGTAGTGGTAGTAGTAGTAGTAGTAGTGGTGGTGGTGGTGGTGCAAGGAAAAACGAGGTGGGGAGGAATGGTATAGGGAAAAGATGTGGGGAGAGAGCTCTCGGCTTTAAGTAGCAAAATACCTCAAACGATTTTTTTTCATGCAAAAAACTCTTTCCTTCAATATGTTTCTTGTCATCTTTTTGACAGCTCTAAAACGATAATGCATGAACGGTGTGTGCGAAACAGGGCCTGTGCCCTACCTCAGAAATAAAGTGTTTCCGCCAACGCTTTGGGTCTGCGTTTCAGGGAAAAGGGCGTACGATTTCATCCCTTCGGTGACGCTAGAATTTTCCTGAGCAGTTCGCGTGCTGGTCTTAGATGTGGTGATGATGATGGTACTGACCCATCAATCAGGGGAGGAGGACGGACGATGACTAGGTGCTTGCCCTCTCCACTGTACCTGACTGATGTCATGTGACATCAACCAATTCAATCGGAGTATTGTATAAAATTATATCGTTATGCTACTTTCTGGTGCGGCTCTACTGGTAGTTGAGTTGGTGCATCAGAGACGCCCACGAAAACAGCAAGAACTAGAGACGTGCCCGCGACCAAGCATGGATTCCTTTCTTCCTTCGCCGAGAAGTAAGCAAGTGTGTATCATTGGAGCATTGTGTTTTTTTTCTTTTTATGTATGATGTATTCAAAATAAAAAACTTAGCAAAGCGACCTACAAACCATGACGTTGTAGTATCAATTGCTGGATATCTCTGTCCCTCCTATCCTTGCTCATCCATGCCGGATGTAACTGTCCATTAGACAAGTCCATCATAAAGAGACAAGGCCTGGACGATGGTAGGGTCCTTCATCGAGCCCTCCTTGAACTCCTCAAAGCTCAGCTGTCCGTTCTGATCCTTATCCATGAGCGAAAAGATCTTGGTGACACGCTTCTCGGGGGTATCCTCATCTGGGGGCAGCTTGACCATCGTTCCGACCATCTTGTAGATCGCATCCACAATCTTCAACATCTCGTCGTATGTGATCATGTTGTCGTTGTCGATATCATACAGTTGGAACGCCCCTATAACATATTCACAACGAAAAATAACAAACAATGTCAGTGGCGTTGTCTCGGATGTGTCGTGTCGCCATCCTGTAGCTGTTGTTGTTGTGCTTCATTCCTCTCCTTTCCTCTCTCCCCCTGAATTCTTCTCCGTGAAGGTGCTCTTACATTGCAGCTTGTCCTCCAAGTTGCCACGTGAGGTGACAGAGAGGGCGACGATGAACTCTTTGAACTCGATGCGACCGTTCTTATTCGAGTCAAAGACATTGAATACATAGTCCGCAAACTTGGACGGGTCACCAAAGGGGAAGAACTGCTTGTAGATCTTTTGGAACTCGGGCTTGTCCAACTCTCCGCTGGGGCAATCCTTGATGAAGCCCTTGTACCTATTGCCAATTGAAAAGAAAGAAAAAAAGAGAACATGTTAGGCATAAAGGAAATTACAAGAAAGATGGAAGAGACTAGGAGCAGGAGTAATGTGGCAGTGAGGTATGAGAAAGTTGGGACATGCTGGGAAGAAGGAAAAAAGTTTTTTCTCGTTCTTTCTTTCTGAGTGTGCCGGCTGATTGACTTGGGATTTCGTTTGAGCGTGTTTGGTGCCGTGTCGTACGTTACGTCCTGTTAACGCTCCACTGTTACTATCCTCGTTGCCTGTGCTGCAGTTCGTGTCCTGTGAAGCGTGGCGTGTTTCGTTGTGGTCATGATGTGGTTGCAGGGATGGTAACTGTGGGGCAGAAGTGCAAAAGGAAAAACCAAACAGTGGGCGGTGCGAATGATCCTCTGCTTAGGCAATCTTCTCTTTCCTCCTGTCGAACCTGCCAAGCCAAGGCAGCGAATACAAAAAAGTGAGACAGTGACATGCCCAGCCATGTTGCGTGTTGTGAAAAGGCAACCGCAAGCATGGTCAAACAAGGTGGAGCCCTTTTATCCCCCACTTGCTGCTTCTCTGGTATCGTCTCCTTGCGTTGTCGGGTCGATTGCCTGGATAGCAAGTTTTCTCAGTCTCTCTTATCCATATTTTCTTTCCATTCTCTCTTCTTTTCCTCTGACGCTCTCGTTTTCTGGAGCTACACGTGCGGTCATACCGACGCCCAAAGCGTTAAAAAAACCACTTGTTCGCCCACTTCCTTCTCCACCATGAACATCGAGACCACTTGAAAAGAGTCGTATTGTAGTCTGCCAACTGTGGGTTGTCGGGAGAGGTGGCGGTGAAGGAAGAAGGCGAGTTTGTAGTCTTCCTGAAAGGGAGTTACTTGGGGCGTAGGAGAAGAGTAGGGGTGAAGAAGTTGTGGAGGGACAAAGATGTCAAGTTAATCATTTTTTTACCATTGCTGGAGCTCCTTCTTCTCGACTATTTTTTTCGGGACAGCGTTAAGGAACGAGAGGGAGGAAGAATAATGTGAGAAACGACTTCATCAAGTGTGCAGAATCAACAAAGAAGACTCATGGCGCGCGCTTTGCCCTGTGGTATGAATGTGAGAGCAAAGGGTGACGCATAAAAAAAACAAAGACATGAAAAAGGTACGTTACAGTGGGTGCATTGCTGGAGTTCCTTGAGCTGGTCAGTGGACAGTTTGCTCTGCGACTTTCCCATGGTGCTTTGTGGGTGTGTTGTTGTTGATGTTGGTGGTGAAGTAAAAAAAAGAAGGAAGGGGATGTGTTATGACGGATTAACGAAAAAAGGAAGAGGAAAAGGAAGGAAAAAAGAAAGTAGAAGGAACAGAAAAGAAAAAGAAGGAAAGGAATTTCGATTCTTTGGATGGACTGGCTGGAAACATCGATGAGGTCGTCACTCCCCTCTCGACCAAAGTTGAACGCTTGTCATGTTGTGAGCACCCAACCCCTCACATCCGCGGAATTCTTTTCACGCGCCGTTAGTGTATTCTGTCGCAGCGATGGCATAGAGAGTTCTGACCCAAGTGTTTACTGCTTTCACAACTACTAACGTACATTATTCTATTCTGCTACTGTGCTTCTTATTCGGCAACCACCATCTACCAACCAGTCCCGTCACCCTATTCCCATCCACTCCACTCTGCATATTGTACGCATATAATAATAAATATCCGTTCAAGTTTATTTACATTGGTCAAACATGCTCCTCCAACCACCGCTCCATTAGGCCAGGGCACCCATAGGGTCATAGGCAGGAAGGACATGAACCTCCTGCTCTAAAACATCAAGGTATTTCTTGGGAGTAATCGCCTTCTCCAACACAACCTGGTACACAAACTCCGAGAACCAAGCATCACTCATAGTCAAGTATCCCTTATCACCGCCGACATCTCCCCAGCTGTTCTCGACGCGCCAACGGACAGGTTTGCCATGCTCGTCCAAGTGGACACCCGTAAAGACCATGGCGTGGGTCATCAGGGACTCGCCGTGGATCAATCGCTCGGCTTTAGTCATATTGAAGCTGACATTGAAGGCCAGGTCGTATTGGAATACCTTGGGGTCCAAGATACCCGCGTCCCGCTGCAAGTACTTGCCCACATCCGCGCCGAACCAGACCTATTTCATGGATTGAAGGAATTAATTGTATTGAATGTTAGCAATGCTTACAATGTCGCTTAGAGTCAACGCGCTTGGTTCAATTGAAGAATAAAAAGAAGCGAGAAAAACAAAGAAAGCAAGAGTAAGAGAATAGATTAGGGGAGACAAAGGGGATTTGAATACGTACGGGTTTGCCGGAGGAGAGCTTCTTGATGGCGAGAGCCTTGAGGTCGTCAATGGGAGCATTGACGTAACGGATGGGCTGTCCTCCAGAAATGTTTCCGAGGTACTGGACAGTGTAAAGCGCCATTGTCTTGTTACGAGGGTCGTTCACAATCGAGATCGTGTCCGCGACCTATTATCATTCAACAATGTTAATCACAAATAGGCATTAGTTGTTTGTTGGAAGATCAAACAGGCGGAGCACGAAACACAGTCGAAACAACAAACGAGCGTCAAAAAACTTACAGGGTATCCAACATGGTCACGGAAGTAAGACTGAGGAGTAACGTTCTGGAACTCAAAGTACTTCTTATCCTTATTCCTGAACGACCACGTAAATGGCTTCTTGGGTGGCTCCCCCAGCGTAATCGCCAGAATGTTATAAATCTCCTTCAGACATTTGTCCTTCTCGGCCCTCAACTCCTCGATTGACCTGCCCAGGGCAGCCATACGACGCAAGACGACAGCATGATCGCGCAATTTGGAAATGACCAGGTTGTTAAGCTTGCCCGAGGAGGAGGAAGAGAAGGATTCGGGGTAGAGGGCTTTGGGGACGACACCGTAACGCTCGACGAGGTTGACGAGCATGTCCCATTGTCCGCCGTCGTTGACGGGTTCTTTGAGGAGGTGTTGGACTACCCGGTCGTTCACGTCCCTGTCGCGCAGGTCGATCATGCACTCCAAGAACCCTATTGTTTTTTTGTTTCGATTGAGATTGGGAAACCCCAGGCGTTAGTCTTTCTTCGGGTAATCATGTTTTCGTTGCACAAGGTCACAAGGCGTCTCAATTATCAAGGCACTAAAAACCATCCAATCGCAACAACCACTCACAAAGCTGACAACCACCACTTACAGTTGGACTTTTCAAACTTATCCCAAAAGAACAAGTACCCCTGCGAGAGCTCAAACTCCTCCAGGTTATACTTCTTCATGACCTCAACACGGAAGACATTCAACGCCGCAAAGATCCAGCAGCGACCGGACGATTTCTGGTTGGTGACCATGGACTCGATAGGGATCTTGGTGTTGAAGGTATGGTTGTCGGCGATCATCACCTCGCGGTTAGTGATCAGGGTTGTGAAATCGAGAGAGTGCGCCGCGTTCTGGACCATTCTGTTCTTGGGGTCTGCGTTGAACGATTCACTATTTGGATTATTGGGATTATTGGAGATGGACAGGAGGTGTGAGTTGTGTGAGCTCAGAGTAAGGACGACCCTTGAGAAAACACCAAAATCGCGGACGTGTGAACAAAAGTACGAAGGGCAGAACATCCTTCTTAATACCTGAGGTGGTGAACGCGCTCCTGACGGAGAGCGGCCTTGGGATTGTTGATACCATGGGGCTCGGTCAGGATGGGTGAAGGGTTCGAGGAGTGGAGGTCAAGCTTCATGTCTTGGTCGTAGGCAGGGGGAGAATTGAAAGAAGAAGAGGAAGAGGTAGAAGAAGCCTTTTCGTTGTTGTTGTGACGGCGGGAGACGACGTGGTTGACGGGCTCAAAGTTCTTGGAGTGGACGCAGCCCATTAGGGGAGGTTGAGTTGAACGGGGTGGTGGAAAGGAAGGGATGTGGGATCACGAAGAAGGAGAAAAGAAAAAAGAAGAGAAGAAGGGAAGAAAGAAGAAACAAAGGATATATATACCGAAACGAACAAGGTCAGATCGAAGCCCACAGGAGACACGTTGTTTGGTGACCACAAGGGTCCTCTCTTTTGTTCCCATGGATATGATAAGAGTTTTCTTTAATGTCTGATAGTCTACCAATTAGTTGACGAACCATGAAGCGAGAGATACAAGGTAGAGGTCCTTGAAGGAAGCAGTCGACTGCATGTTTGCCCCTGTCCACTCATCCATCGACCTAACGAACGCCGTTTGTAGCCACTCACAGCCATGCAATCTTGTTTTCTAAGTGTCTTGTGATTCAACACAACCCATTTCTCCCGCAGCAGTATGACAAAGTGCAAAACCTTTCCCCTTTTGGTAGGCAAGGTTCACGTTCACAGTCCTTCATATGCCCTTGCAACTCTTATTAATATTTACTCACGGTCGGGTCTTATTGTCCTCACCTACTTCCTGTTATTCTGGACATCGTACCAGCATGAACCACGCGCAAAAGTTAACCGTTCTTTTTATTCACGTAAAAATACAAAAGAAAGAGATCTAGCGAAAATAAAACAACTGCCGGCGTAACGAACAAAAAAGAAAAGGGAACAAGAAAAAGTCAAGTGAAGTTGCGCCTGGGACTGGCCAGAGTTCTGCCCATGGATTCATTGAAGGGAAAGCAAACAAACACAAACAAAATGTTCACATCAAGCCCAAATAGAGCAATGAACGCGACAGACTGTGTGAAAAGAGAACATAAGAAGGCGGATAAAAAAAAAGGCACACACATATACAAGAAAAGTGAAAAAAAAGTAAAGAAAGAGAGGGGGGAGTTGTTGACGCGTTTATGCAGGTGCAGACATGTCTGCAAGCAGATACAATATGCGCAAGCAAAAGTTAAAAAAAAGAGGGAGGAAAGAAAGTCGCGAGTGCAGTCCTGTCTAGATCCAATCCTGTGCAGTCCAGATAGGTACAGTGCAACACCTAGGAGTAGAGGACACCGATCATCACCACATCATACCTAGACAATAGGTTATACAGTCCATCTAGGCTTGACCTTGGCCTTCGGCCTCGGAAGGAGATTCTTCGGGCTTGAACCGAGTCTGGAGCAGTTCGCGAATCTGCGGGTATATTTCGTCGGAGGTGTTTCCTGCGAGGCTGACGAGGATGTTTTTGTTCTTGTAGTAATCCAGCAAGGGCTCTGTCAGCTCATGGTGCTTTTGAAGACGAATCTTGAATGTTTCCTACAAAGTGACAATAGCAACAGCAACAGCAACAGCGACAGTAACAGCAAGAAGGGTAAATTTGGTTAGCGCAAGTAATCCTCAACCAGAGAGTTTGAAGGACAGCCCGACCATAAGGCAAAAGGCATAAATAAGTTAAAAAAAGAGAGCCGATCCCAACAGTCGTGTTGGGAACTGTTGGTCACTTCGGGTGAAATTGGAAGCGGAAAAATTGGCGTCCCTGGCAAATCCGAAAGCTGCAAGGTAGGCCTCTTCTCCTCCTGTCCCTGTCCCTCTTATTCTTCCTCACTCAGACAAGCTGAGACATGGAATCTCTGTACGACTCGCTTTGTATGTTGGGGTTGTTGATGTTGGTAGAGTATTTGGTCAGGATGCATGCAGCAAGATATATCCACCTTTAGTCGAATAACCCGATCTCCTTTATCCTTCTTGGCACAGTCTGCAACAACAGCAATAGAGTAAAGTATACTCATCCTGACACTTTGTGTTTCCTGAGACTGATAGAACCCTCTACTGCGCTCCTGCTCTCCTGTGCAAAAGAAAAATGTCCGCTGACCCTCTTCCCTTTGGGTGTGTTGCAGTTGTGGGTCGGGTTGTGTTATCGCCGAGTCACTATTTGTTGCCTGTCCTGTGCCCAAATATCACAAAGGGAGAATGAACCGGCCAACCAACCAACCGACCAACCAACCAGAGTGAGCCCGATGAAATCACCTCTTTCCATTCTGCTTCTTTCCCCAAAATTCCTTATTATCTTATTTTCCGTGCCCACGGACTTACCGGATTGTCATCGGGTCGGCGCTCAAGAGCCTCGCCTGTCACATCATCCAGACCGGCACGCTTGGGAGGATTGTATGTCATGTTGTACACCCTTCCCGAAGGGATATGCACCCAACGATCTATTATTTTGTATGAGTGATAGTGTGAAAGCATTAGCAAAGGTTTGATAATTCTTCCTGAACATCGGCGTCTTATTGTTGTTGATGCTAATCTTTTTGCACCTGCTCTTTCTCTTTTCTTTTCTTTTTCTTTTTCTTTTTCTGTTTGTTTTTGTTATCCTCCTTCTCCCGTTCCATTTCCTCCCCTTCAAAAAACTTACCCATGATACGCTGGAGAATAACTTCCTCGGGAACATTGAGATGAATGACAAGATTGAGCGGCTGGTTCAGACTATCAAGAGTATGATCAAGAGTCTCTGCCTGCGTCATCGTCCTGGGGAACCCATCCAAGAGCCATCCTTGCTCTGCTCCCAGCTTGTCCAACTCACTATCGATGAGCTTGACCATGACCTCGTCCGAGACAAAGGCGCCGTTCTTCATCTCCTTGGCGGCCCGTTTGCCAATCTCTGTTCCTTGGGCAATGTTTTTGCGAAGGAGATCTCCACTCGAGATGGTACTGACCTCAAAGTTGTTTTGGATCCTGCCCGACTGTGTTCCCTTTCCGGCGCCCTATTGTCATTCATTTGTCATTTGTCAGATAAAAGGTTATTAGCTTGTGAAGATGATGGAAGAAAATAATGTTGGGCATATGACGATGATGAAGCGCTCTCTTTTTTTCCTTTATAATTTTTGTTCAACCTTGTACAACAAAAGTATTTGTCCGGGAAGGAGATTATCGGATAGGGCAACAAGGAAAAAGGAGCCCTTCCTTCTCACTCTCATCCTACCTTCCCAACTTTTCATCCTTGTCTTGTTGGCCCGTGATTCTCCCCTTTTCCTGACACATATACGCTTTACTGCTACTATCTCGTCTTATTTATGTGTTTTGTCCGGTCAGATCTTGGATGAGGTGTAAATAATACTTACGGGACTTCCGATAAGCAAGAGACGGAGTGGTGGACAACCTTCGACCATGTGTGCCATGCGGAGGGAGGAGGACGAGCTGAAGAGGGAACGGGAGTATGCCTTAGAGAGAGGAGTGAGCTGGTTGCTGATCTTGATGGAGTTGGCGGTGGTGGTTGGCAAGGAAGAAAGAAGGCGTCTTGAGAGTGCGATAGGAGCAGCAACAGGGGACATGCTCGCTGTGAGAGCATGTGCGCGCCTGCTGCCTGAGGAGAGGAAGGTAACTGCTTGCCTGGACAGGGTCATGGAATAAAGGGTAAGAGAGTGTCGGTTGGTGTTGATGTGTGTAGGTGGAAGAAGAGAAATAGGAAAAGTAAAGAAAAGAAAGAAACGAAAAGGAGATTTGCGAATTGAACTTGGTGGATTCCGAAGGACGCGTGACTGCTTCCTGTTGACTCTTCCTCCTTTCTTTCTCACACTCTCTTCAGCGGAATGAGAGCCGTTGGTCACACATTCACCCCTGCCTTTGCTCTTCTTCCTTTACAGCTTCTCTTGTACTTCTTCTCCCTTGCAACCTTCAATTGCTTAAGAGGCAGTTTCTTGACGTCGTACTTAAGAGGCAGATCTTCCTCAGCGGATATATACCTCGTTTTTTTTGCGTTCGCCGTCGTCCCTCCTCTTTTTTTTTTTTTTTTCTTCTTTCCCTCTTTTCCCACACTATCCCTGCCCTCCACTTCCCCATCACTCTCTCCACTCATCCCACACTTCCATCTCACAGTTCAACCTGATCTCTCAAATCCACACAATGACCCCCCAGGACAACCTCAACCTTCACCTGGCCGAATCAAAAGCCAAGGACTTTCTCGACTCATCCTTCGCCGCCTACATGGACGACAACGACCCCCTCAAAGCACTCCGCGACGAGTTTGTCATCCCCACCCGCGGTGAGATTGCCCCAGGTATTTTTACTTTTTCTTTTTCTTGCTTGGTACTTTGGATACTTGCGAAAGTAACAAAATTATTTAACGTGACTGACTCCCGCGCCCTCTTTCTCTGTCCGCTGGTTACCATCCTGCTGGACTGACTGTCGCCTGTTTTTTTTTTACCATACATTTAGGCGCAGACCGTCCCAACGAGCCCTGCACCTACTTCTGCGGAAACTCGCTCGGCCTCCTCCCCAAGGCCGTAGCCCGCTACGTGACCGAAGAACTCCAAGTCTGGGGCGAGGGCGCCGTCAACTCGCACTTCAAGCACCGGTTCGGCCGCCCCTGGGTCCGCATTGAAGAAACCGTCCAAGAACAATCCGCACGCGTCGTCGGTGCCAAAAAGGATGAAGTCGCCATCATGAACACCCTCACCTCCAACCTCCATACCCTCCTGGCGGCCTTCTATACCCCTACCCAGGAGCGCCACAAGATCTTGATTGAATCCAAGGCCTTCCCCTCGGACCATTATGCGGTTGAATCGCAGATCCGTTGGCACCAGAGGGATCCTAAGGATTCGCTGATCTGTCAGGAGCCTCGTCAGGGGGAGAGTTTGTTGAGGACTGAGGATATCTTGGAGACGATTGAGAAGCATGGGCATGAGATTGCTGTTGTCTGCTTCTCTGGTATTCAGTTCTACACTGGACAGTACTTTGAGATGGAGAAAATCACCAAAGCTGCTCAAGCCAAGGTAACTACCACCTCTTTGCTTTCTCTATGTCTGTCGGTTTTGCAATCTGTACTCTTATGCAGGTGTATCATGGAATGAAATACTTGACATTAGAGAACAGAAGTATTCTTGTACATTGTAATAGGAGAAACAATCGCGTAAATATATCATCCTGATTCACATAACTAACAGATCTTTTATTAAAATGACCAAATGATAGGGATGCATCGTAGGCTGGGACTTGGCACACGCGGCAGGAAACGTCCCTGTGCAGCTGCACGACTGGAACGTCGATTTCGCCTGCTGGTGCTCCTACAAGTACCTCAACTCGGGCCCTGGAGGCATCGCTGGAATTTTTGTCCACGAACGCCACGCCACCGACTTTAACCGCAACCGTCTTGCCGGCTGGTGGGGACACGACAAGGCCACCCGCTTTGACATGGTCAATGGTAAGTTATCAGGCATTTATATTTTGTTTTCGACGCGTTTATTTAAAAAGGCTTGCTGACATCTTTGTACCTGTGTTCCGTCGCCCCCGTTACTTATTCTCAATTGTTTGTTTGTGTTTCTATCCATCCGAATAGAGTTCAAGCCGATTGCAGGAGCGGCAGGATTCCAGCACTCCAACCCCTCAGTCCTGACCACAAGCGCCCTCCTCGGCTCCCTTTCCGTATTCGAAAAAACCACAATGACCGACATGCGCAAGAAATCCTTCCTCCTCACCGGATATCTATACCACCTCCTCACAACCGAATTCTCGACCGACGTTCTCGAAATCATCACCCCCGCCGATCCAGAACAGCGAGGCGCCCAATTGAGTTTGGTCTTCAAGAGAGGGAAGATGATGGATATTTTCGAGGGGTTGGCCAAGAGGGCTATTGTTGGCGATGAACGTAAACCAGATGTTATTCGAGTTGCCCCTACGCCTTTGTATACCCGGTTTGAGGATGTGAGGCTCTTTATTGTTAACCTCAAGGAGCTCGTTGCCGAATTTTATTAGATTGTGAGATGCCCACGCGTACACGAAGAGTAGAAACACATACAAAAATTTGTACCACAATTAAATACAAATACGCCATGATAGCATTCGAAATGCGCCAGTTTGTCTGCCGTATTTTGCTCGATTTCGAAGTCGTATTTGAAAACTTGAAATGTAGACATGCTGCGAATATTAAAAAATGGTTGATAATTATTTAATTGTGGTACAAATAATATAGGTGTATAGTATCTACAAGACGATTTGAAGAAGAAAGGGAAAGAAGAGAACATAAAGAAGATTAAGAAGAACAGTAAGAAGATGAAGGAAAAGTACAAGAAGAAGACGAAGTAAAAGATTGATGTGCCAGACATCAGACTTCCAAGTAGTATCTATATGAAAGTAGTGTAGGGGAATCGTTATCTACATATCGCTTGCGGTGGTCTGCTCATCTCTTCCTTGCTCCTTCTTCTTCCCCTTGTCTCGGCCCATATCTTGGTGCGCGTAACTATGTAGAGGAGACTCATGGATCTCATACTCGGGGCTCGGCAGACCAAACGGTGGCATCACTGTTGACGGTCCAACTCCCACCACTGGCCGCGCAGCCATTGGAGCCGAAGAAGATGAAGAAGGTCCAATATCCTGTGCAACCACTCCTACATCCACCATCGACACATCGTCACCATTGTCACTCCGGCCCTTGCCCTTGTCTACTGCCCGTGAACTGGTCACGGCCACAGCGGGCACCGTCGGGCGTTGATCGTCGTTCCTGAAGGGCAGAGGCGAAGGTGGAGGAATGGTATAGTCCTCTTCATCCTCAGCGACGGACGGGAACACATAGGGCGGAGGCAACGACAACTCCATCGTCGTCATAGGAGTACTACTACTAGTGTACGACGAGTGGCGCCTCGAAACAATCGATTCACCTCCTGCTGCTCCTGCTGCTGCTTCGATATATGACAAAGGTGTGACCGCAAAGTCGGGCGAAGTTGAGTACATGCTAAAAGTCGTAGTACTAGTTGGGGACGACGCAAGACCACCAGCGCCACCGTCATAAGCACATCCCCAAGAGTACTGTTCCATGAACGTGGTCGGCGACGTGGGCGAGTTGGGTACTGAATACATGGACGCCTCCGAAGGAGAGTAAAGTAATGATGTGCGTCGATCCGCGCCCGAGTAGTAGAATCCTGGATTTGTTGCTATAGATGTTCGCATGGTCGAGATCCCGAGGGCGTCGACTTGGTCTGGTTGGAGGAGGTCTGTTGTCTCCTGTACGACCTCATGTCCGACCATCAGCAGCAGTGTACCTTCTCGATCCGCGTAGACGGGTAGATGCCTGTTGCCGCTGCCGGTATTGTTGCCATTGACCCCACTTTCTCCTCCGCCCACCTCACCATCGCCATCCTCATCGTCCTCATACTCCGTATCCTCATCATAATCGCTCAACTCCTCGCCATCCCCATTCCCTCCCTCATTTTGACCTTCCCCAGCACCACCACTAACTATCCCAAACAACGCCCTCCTCGCCCTCCTCCGCGTCCGACTCTGCGGATGCAACCTCATCAAATGCCTAAACAACGCATGCGTATGGACCGGCCCGCCCGCAGCGTTCAAAGTCGGGTGGATCGAGATCGGGAACGACAATTGCAAATCTCGCTCTTTGTTCGTCGACTGATCAAATCGGAAGACAACCCGCAACTTGTGAGAGACCGACAAGGTATGAGGCCAAGGTGTGGACATGGATTCCATGACGGTGTGCGGTTGAGGGATCTGAAGCCGGGCTGCTCCTCGCATATGAGTCCAGGTGTCGGTCGGGGTGGTGTCGCCTGCGCAGTCGTGTGTCACCGCTGTGCTAATGACTGTTGTGTGAATGTTGGGTGCCATTCTTGGTCCAAGGCTAATTGGTTTATGCAATCGAAGGGTTTTTTTCCCATAAGCATGAAAAAGTACCAGAGGAGCAATGGAGCACAAAAAAGGAAGGCAAATGGACTTGTTAATAATGGTCATAAATGATGACAGCGAAGCAGAGCAAAAGGGACGTTGAGATTGAATTGAGAGAAAGGTGGGGGTAACATGGGTATGTGGGCGGAGTCATTCGGTCTTTTTTTCATTCGCCGATCCCCTCGTCTTCTCTGGCTGTCCTCGTTATTTGCTTTCGACATTCGACATCATATACGGCTCGCATTGGTCGATCTGCGAGTAGGAGAGTGAGCAAGAGTGTACAACAAAGTTGTTGCTGACAATGAAAAAATAGAATGCATGGCAGTCGTGCCTCTGTGTCGCCATTCATCCGAGTCCAAACAAAAATAAAGTGCGATTGCAATGCATGGATATATGCCAAGTTGTGAATATGAAGAAGTGATGGGTGTGTGTGTATGTGCGTGTGTAAGACAGAAGAGAGATGAACATACATTTGTGTCTCCTCTTCAACAATAGAGTATTGGACCTCCTTGATCTTGAGCCGATCCTGAAGCGTCTTCCACCGAGCGTCAAACCCAAACTGCAAATCCTGGAGTCGTCGTATATCAAGTTGCTTGGGCACCTGCAGTCGAAATTCAATCTTGCCTCGCCTCTTTCCGTGATAAGAGTGATCCTCACTGTGGTTGCGCCAGTCAACCATATCCTGCCAGCACTGGATTCGGAAGGGGATTGAGATCGTCATCTGGTTGTTGACGAGGATATCCCGACGACTCATGACCAATGTAGCGCTGAGTGTGTACACGATGGTCGAATCTCCCGAGAACGACTTGAATGGACCCGAGGGTAAACAACGGGACGAATCGCCGGCGGCAGTGTTGCTGTTGTTGTTGTTGGTATCAGGGTTGTCCACATGAGATGGAAACTCTAAGTAGAAATCAATATCGTTGACCCCCTGTCGCAATTGATTTTGAAGATTGCTATTGGTGGTCGTTCCAGATCCATTATTATTGTTACTATTGCTGCCGTTGCTGCTGTTGCTGTTATCGCAGTTGTGAGGAGATGGACCGAGGCTGAGGAGGGTGGGTTGTTGGTTGTTGTTGTTGACGGTGTTGCTGTTGGTATTGTTGTCTGAAGGGAGTGTGGAGATGGTAATTCCGTCGAGTGGACCCAGATGTGTCATAGGACTGCTGTCGTCGTCGTTAGTGACATTATTAGGCACGCTGAATCCGTGACTAGGTTCCCCCGATCTCACTGGTTGTTGTGCACTGGCCGTCGTAGTAGTGCTCATCCTTGTCATCACTCCTCCTGCTGCTGCTGCTGCGGTGGCTGGTGTGGTCGTAGATGTAGATGGGAAAGCCTCGATTTCAGTCATGGAGTGGGGCGATACGGGGATATTACTCGGATGACTGTTCGATAACGAAGTCATCGACGAGAGCGATGACGCCCTTTGTTGTTGTCTCTGCTGCTGCTGTGTCTGCAACTCTCGACTTCCAGCCCCACCTCGACTTTCACTCCCAATCATACCCGCATTCAAACCGTGCCCCTCAAAGACAATCTCCTTGGAAGTCTTCAAGAAGACCTGTTTAGCCTTGATGGTCTTGGCCCCCTGGCGCATCCAAACACGTGAGGTCCCCGTGACAGTCAAGACCAGAGACTTGTAGACACACGGCCGCTTGACAATGACTCGAACTTTTCCTGCAAGCACTGCGGGGGAAGGGTGGTTGATGCAGATATCGACGGTTGGCGATTCGGGCAGGATGTCGAGTGCCGTCACCAGGTCGTTGAACAATCTTCCGACCATTTTTTTTTAATGTATCTCTTTTTTGAATAAGATCTTGATGGGTGGTGTGAGTCGGAGAAAACGGTTGGAGAGCGAGAGAGGGAGAAGGAGATAAGCCCAAAAGCGAGGGGGAGAAAAGAGTGACCGAGAAACCGAGAAAGGGAAGAAAAAAAGGCGTCGAGGGTAGACAGCGAGCGAGAGCGAGAGCGGACTCAGAAAATAAAATCGCGAGCTAAAAACGCAAGGGTTCGAAGGTGAGGAGGAAGTGAAGGAAGCAATGGGGAAGATGAAGTGGAAGTGAAGGAATGAATGAGTTGAAGAAGTAGCGATGAGAAAAGAGGAAATGAGGTAGGGTAGTATGAGTAAAGGGGTACCGTTGAATAAAGGATGGAAGGTAGAGGAATAACAAAGAACAAGGAACAAGCGAAAGAAGAAGGAAATGAAGAAAGAGGAAAGGAAACACCGAAGGGACCACAAGGAGTAAGGAGTGTGCTAAAATAAAGTGGCAAAGTCATTTCTATTTGGACAAATGGGAAAAGAGAAACATGCAGAACAGTGGGGAAAGACGACAAAGTAGACAATGCATCACTGCAACGGACCAAGACAAGAGCTCTCTCCTTTGCATACATCCTCTTTTGCACACATCCAATTGGACAAAGAAAGGGCTGGACCCCCTCCCTTTCCAATCGAGCAAACGAAGGGTCAGGCTACATGTCTGTAATTAGAACCCCTTTTCTCTTTTCCACACCCCTCACGCTTTGGTCGCTCAGGCATCTCTTCCACAGGGACAACTAGAAAGGCATTCTTCTTTCACGCAGGGAACATAGCAAGAGAAAGGCAGGTGGGCAAAGAACAACAACAGAACACAGTTCGACCATTTTCATGCTCCAGCAACGGAATGACGAGGTAACTCCAAGACGCTAAATGATGATAACAGACGTCGACATCCTTTGAAAATGAACACACGATGTAAACAAAGTGAGCACCTTCCTCCTTTCTCAGTGTTCTCACTTTTCCTTCTTCCCTCGCAGTTTCCTTTTCTTCCCGTTGGAACTTCGTACTATGTGCATTTTATTAGTGTGTGTCCAAATATAAGGGACCCTATCCTGTGGGGAACTCTGTCCTGTGCCATTTCCTCGGTAGCTTTTTCATCTCTTGGACGAGAAAAAAGATGGGCTGTTTATTTGTTTTGTCCTTACTGCTCCTATAGTGGTTTCTCCTTCCTCTGCATCAATGTTATTATTTCTCGCATTTTTCTCCTCACGAGAAACATACGAACTGTAAACAAAAGATGGGCATCAGTGGAAGAGTGTGGAATATACAAGAACACAAGAGAAGGAGAAGAAGACAATTGACAATGGCGCCCGGAAGAATGAAACCCACATGGACAGTCGGACAATGGAAACCACTCTCTATCTCCTACGCTGTTGTAAACATAAGCACTAAAGTCGACTTCGCATCCATCAGAGAATGACGATGACGAGAGAAGAGAGTTTGAACAGAAGAGGAGTGAATGAAAAAAAGGAAGAGGAAGGAAGTCATCTGGTTCGTCCTCTCATATCAATTGAAATAAAGTTTGTTCGTTTCAGCCTGCGTGATCAGTCATCAGTCGAGGCCCCGCTCCATCCTGACTGGACAATCCCATGCCCTTACGATTCCCATGAGCACAACAAGGACGGGGCACAAAAAGAAACAGCGCCAGGTAAGTAAGCGAGGTGTGTTTTTGTGTGCCTTGGAGCACAAGGAGGGAAAAGAGTTCATGTCTGCTGTCGGAACACAAAATCAAAAGGAAGGAAGAGGGAGAAGGTTGACAGAAGAGGAAAACATCTTCGCTTTCACAGCAGGTGTACCTGGCTGGGCGCAATCGGGTTTTGTAATAAGTGGGCGGGTTCAATTGCAACACAACATGCCACCTTGTAAAAGTTTTGCTGCTGGGAAAAAATTGGGACCACTCCGGATAAACGGAAAAAGTCCTTCGGCATCAATTGGCTATTATCCTCCTCTTCTCATTCCCACCAGAAACGCCCCAACTTTTCTGGTCACCGTTAGTCACTAGGCGCTAGGAAGTGTCATCGCCACGCCAAGACTATTGTTAAAATAGTATTAAATAGTTCGAAGCAACCCGACCTTAATCCCTCTACTATACCTCTCAGTCGCACCAACTTAGACTCACGTCTCGAATACATGTGATTGTGGGCTTGTTCATGCATGGGTTCCCAGTCCTATTGTTTCTGTTTCCTCGTTCCCTCTCTCTCCACATGTGCCTTTTTATTCTCTTTCTTATTGCTTCGCTTCAACCCAATCTCACTCGACATGCATCTGTTCAGTGTCAGGAGATGGAGAGGGAGAGAAGGATGGAAGCAAAGACACTCTTTTCTTTCAGCGCCCTTTTGCTCTCTCTCCTTATTTTTCTTTTCTTTCTTTCTTCTTTCCATTTCTTTCTCTCTTCTTTTTTTCACCCCTCTCAACGACACATCCATCCAACGAATCCCTGACAGCTATACCAAAATAGCACTCGATACCCACCCACTAACTCAAGACATCACAACAACAACACAACACGACAAACATACATAGCACAGAATGCCAAACATCAGCCTTTACTTTGTGCGGCACGGCCAACGCATCGACCAAGTCGACTCCTCCTGGGCAACAACCTCCCCTTGTCCACAAGACCCACCCCTCACCCAACTAGGAAAACGTCAGGCTCGACAAACTGGTACCATGATCCGGGATTTCGCCCATGAGAGTTCTTCTTCTTCGCTCTCCTCACCCGTCTCCGTGTTCGCATCCGTATCGGCTATGTGTATTGATGATAATGGGGTCAAGATGGCGAAGGTCTCTGCGTCCGGGATCCAGACAGAGAACGGCGGCGGTGGTGGGAACAAGGATGAGGACGAGAGTGTTCCGCAGCAACAGAGAGGTCAAGGAGGAAGTGGAGGAGGGCGCAGTGATAATGAGTCATCGGCTACAGCGGCTACAACGACCTTACAGGGAATGACGCCTCCAGAATCTCCAGACCTCTCCCGTGCACCACCATCAACAACAGGAACAACTCCCCCTCACAACCAAGACAACACATCAACGGCATCGTCAACACAGCAAGGACAGGGACAAGATGAAGAAAAGGCGACAAGGCGGGTCAGTGGTCCTTCGACCTTCTCTTCTTCTTCACATATGAACAGCAACAACAGCAGCAGCAGGAGTAAGAGGAGACCTCACCACTTTGCGATCGTCACAAGCCCGTTCTTGAGGTGCTCTCAGACTGCGATCGAAATGGCGATCGGGATGCGGAGTTTACCCGCCACCGTCAAGTCTTTGTCGGGAACAACAGGTGTCGCTGAAACAAAACCTCAACAGCAACAGCAACAGCAGGAGGATGGCGATGCGGTGACCATTGCCGTCGAGACTGGGCTATCAGGCAAGTTAACAAAAACAAAATAAGAAGCGTACAAAAAAAGGAAGGACGAGAGGAATGGAATGGAATGGAATGGAATGGAAATGAATGTTAGTCTCCCATGAGCGATTGAGAGGAATGGATGGGAATGAGTACATCTCGAAGTTGTTTTGTTTCGCCTTTGTGTTTGTGTTTGTGTTCATGTCAGTGTGTTTTGTTTCGGTGTGTTTGTGTTCGTGCCAGTGTGTGTTTTGTGTGCCCCTGAGAAGTCTCCACATACAATCGCATACAAAAGTCACCAAAAAAATAATAATCATGTGTTTGCTGTCCAGGTACAAAGAACCATACGCAGCCGAGTAATAAGCCCAACCTCCTAACCTCCCCTCTCCCTTTCTCTCCCCTCCCTCCCCCACAATAGAATGGCTGTCAATGGACTACGTATCAGGCCAACCCCCAGAATCCATAATCGTCCAACGGATCCAAGAATTTGCCATGTCCCGCCGCGACCACGAACAATACTACACCATCGACTGGAAGTACCAGGCAAAGGACAGGTCCCTACCCTCTTGGCCCGAGACACGGGAGGATATGCAATCGCGGCTTGAACGTGCCCTTGCTCATATCCTTGATACCTACACTGGTTCAGGGACGAGTAACAGCAAGTATAGCGGTCATGATCTGTCGATTGTGTTCGTCACCCACGCCTCGCCCGTCAATGGTAAGTTTTGAAAGAAGCGGGATACGATGGAAAAAAAATGAAAACTGTTCGTTGTTGTTTTGTCTGCTCAAACAAATTCCTAACTACGAGATGGGTTCCTCTCTTCGCTGTTGACATATGAATATGTAGCATTGCTGGAAGCATGTCTAGAGACGCCGATCCTAGTCCCAGTTCCCAACTGCTCCATCTCCCGCTGTCGCTGGACCTCCATCTCCTCCACCGACATCACCACCATTGGACAGGAACATAACACAAGTGTATTGGTCCAATCCACGAGGACTCACACCATTGCAGGACAGGACGGACGCTGGCTGCTGGATTATCAAACCCATACCCGACATCTTGACCGCGATCGTCGATGATTTTGTCACACCAGAACAAATAATCGTCTTTCTTGTTCATCTTTATTTGTCAACCATCTGTACCATAGCTGAAGAATAAAATGTCGATGTCGTTCATACGACAAAGATGCATAACATTGTGAATTGGGGGACAGGAAGCGGAAGGTTAAACCAATATGAAAAGAGAATGGAAAAAAGGGAGTAAGCCAGAAAAAAATATAGAACGCGAAAGAGAAACGTAGAAAAGCCCATCCGCAACAATTGCACAAAAAAAAAGAAAAGCCATCCAATAAAGTGGAACAAGATTGATATCGCAATATCCTCCAAACCAACCGCAACAGCCTCAGCTTAGATCAAGGTGCTGGCATTCTTGCGCTCACTCAACAACCTCATAAAGTCCATCATAATCTCATCATAGGCCGGGCAGAGATCATGGTATGGCCAGAGGATCGACCGTCGGCCGTTCAGAACCGTCACATCAACTCGCTCGATCAAGAAACTGACGTAGGCTGGGATGAGGGGTTTGTGGTGGTAGACCCATTCGAACAGCTCTCGGACCGCTCGATCGACATCCAGACGTGAGAGGAGGGCTACCTTGGACAAGTGCATTAGACCAGAGAGTTGGTAACGAGTCGCAACTTCGTAGACGTCGCGCCAGGGAAACTCTCCGACCATCGTCGTCGTCGTCGTTGTTGTTGTTGTTGTCGCCGCAGTTGCTGCTGCTGCTGCCGGTGCATTGCCATTGCCGTTACCGATGGCATTGTCAGTAGTGGTGGTGGTGCCAGGCATAAGTGTCGGAGCTACGGCTGAGGTGACGATAGGTGTCAAGGGAGAAGGCGGCGGACCCATAGGCAGATCCACAGTTGAGGCGCCCAAGGCAGAGGACGGTCCACTTATAGAAGATAACGTCGTGCCAGAGGCTGCCTCAGTTGCTGCTAGAGTCGCAGCTGCAGTGAGAGCCTCTAGTCCAGTCATGACAGTAGAGCCTGAGCCAGATTCAACGCCTGTAGCTGTGGTCATAGCAAGTGCAGTTGCTGACATGGTAACTGAACCGGCATCCTGGGTGGCAGTGGCAGAAGAGGCAGCTGCTTGCTGCGGTTGCGGCTGCGGTGCCTGATTGGCAAAGACACCGGTAACAGGGACGTGGCCTATGTACATGAAATGCAGCACTGCACGAAATACCACTGAACTCGTGTCGTTCACCTCGATCATGATCTTTGCTCGAGACCGATCCTGGCTCGCCTGACCTGAGCCATTTCCTCCTCCTCCAATACTGAATGGCCCACCACCACCATGAGGATACCGAGACGAGCCCTGTCTATCCGATGATCGCTGCTGCGGTTGAGGGCGCAGAGGCTGGGCATATCCTTCTTCGTCAACGACCGCCTCAGTCTCAACAGCCATCATTCTGGTTCCTTCATCCTCTGCATCTTGTCCTGCTGCTGCCATAGACGATTGCGACGACTGATTCTGTTGTTCGATCAGTGCTCGGAAGTAGGCATGACTCTCAAGGACAACGCTATGCGCGTAAAAGACTTCGCCAGACGGTCGAAGAGTGATGGAGACGTCCTTAGAGATGATGTCGTAGTACATCTCCTTGAGGTTTCGACGACAGTATGCAGAATTTTGTTGACGCGCAAGTGGCAGGGGGATGTCTGGTCGACTGTTGCGTGTTCGCGACAGTTGGTCTATCTCGAAGCTAGTCAGCGACAATGTAAACCCGTAACTGGCCTCGTTGAATGTGATCGATGCAGGATCCAAGTGAACTAGAGGTCGAATACCAAGAAAAGAAAAAAATGTCAATATATATTCGTTGGAACAAAAGATGGCTTATCTTTTCGCCAAATTCTCTGGAGAGATAAAAGCTCTTACTGGTGAGTCCACCTCGGTTCAGGAGAGCCTGGCCTTGGATCCGTCGACTCAACTCGACGCGTCGACTCGCATACCCAATCACTTGGACAGTCTGCAGTCTGCGGACCTTAGACCGGTGTTCAACCAACCGAGCTGTCGACGAGCTCGGACAGAACTGGATCCGAACCGAGGTCCGAACCCGCTGTTGCTGAATCGTCTCGACAAAGACCACATGCCAAGATGGGTTGACATTCAACACGGTCGTGCTCGGAACTCCTTCCGTGGGCGGGCGTGAGGATTTGGGAATGTCAACGTTCAGAGTCACCTCGATCGGAGGTGGACCTTGCTCCTCTTCTTCTAGGATGTAATCCATCTCGAGATCTCCACCTGCGCTCCCGTCATCACCCATACCGCCGCCGCTGTTTCGAGGGCCGTAGATCGAAATGGGTGCTTGGGCCGGGAGGACCGTCTCAACAGGACGTGGTTCATGTGGACATGTAGAGCCGTATCCAGAGCCGTCTCCATTTCCATCACCACCACTACCACTACCACCAACATCATAGGCAGGAGGCGGTGGGGGTGTCGGTCTCGCTGATGGTGGTGAAGTCAATGGTGCTCTGCCCGCTTGAAGGCGAGATATCGTGAGGAGAGGTGGAGGGATATCCCTCTGGCTCTGCTGCTGTTGTTGTTGCGAGTGATCATGTCGTCGCAGCGCAGGATCTGGATTCAAGTTGGGAAGAGCATTGACATCGATCGTGGCGCCTGACTGCCGATGATATTGATGATCTTGACTTCGGTGTGTCAGTTGCGGAGGTGGGTAAGGGCTCACACGCCCAAAGCTAACCGGGCTACCTCTTGGGCGCGAAGACAAAGACGACGATGACGACGAGACAGGGCTTGCATGACGGCCTGACGTGGAACTCGACAACCTCGGAGAAGACCTTTGGCGACCAGTCGTGGTGGTTGGATGCGCGGGGGCCAAGAAGGGTGTACTCGACATTCCGACGGGACCACGCTGGCTCTGCTGCAATGATGTCTGGTGCTGCGATGGTTGCACGTGCCACACATGCTGTGGCTGCTGCAGCTGTCGTTGCTGTTGCCAGTGTGTAATATTGGGCGCTTGATTCTGGAAGGGATGTGCTGCAGGAAGACGAGGCGTAGCTGGTGTAGAAGGTGACGTGCGGCGTTGTTGCTGTTCTTGCAAGAGACGTTGCTGGTACTGCCTATGGATCGCAAGTGCTTCAGCTTCCTGTTCTCGTGCCTCAGCCGACATGCCACCACCGCCGCCAAATCCAAACATCTCCTCAGCTGGACCTTGTGCCACACCCCCACCTCGAGGACCTGTTAGATACTGCTGCTGCTGGGCGGTAAAAGTACTGTTCCTGCTGCTGCTTGAAATGAGCTGCTCCGAGCGGGGACCAACAGAAGACGAGGAGGAAGAGGACATCGAAGACGGTCCGTAAGGGTGTTGCTGGGGTTGCTGTCGTGGAGCTAGAGGAATACCACTACCGCTTTGGTATTGCTGAGGGAAAGGAGGTGGTGGATGGAAGGCTGAGGTCAAGAGTTGGTTGTGGCCCTGATGATGGCCAAGACGTGAGTCGACGCGAAGGTGTTGTTGTTGAGATTGCGGGTGTTGGCGCTGCTGTTGTTGTAATCGTTGTCTCTGCTGTTCCTGTTGCTGTTGATGTCTCCGGATCAGCGTCTCTTCTTGGTTATTATCGTTGTCCATGGCGAGGACTAGGGAAAAAAAGGTGGAGGGACTATGAGAAGGATAGAGTACGTGAAGAGTTGATATTGAGTTGAAGCAGCAGCAAAATTAGAGAAGAAAGAGAGGAGGAAAAGAAGGGAATGGGCAAAAGGACAGAAAGGAGGAGGACGCAATGTCTTATTCCTCCTCTTCAGAGAAAGGACGGCGATGATTCGGGGCCTCGCTCTTTTGTCATCATTTTTTTCCTGGGTCGCGTGAATACCACTGACACTACCACTGCACAAATCCTGACACCATCACACTTTTGCGAAACAATCACTGAAACAAACATTGGGCGACTGGCGACTGATCAGCACATCCTGTGGTTATATTTTGATCAATGCTATGACGCGTCTTCTTCGCTTGTTACTGCTATTGGCTCTAACGCGACTGTTCCTGGTGTGCTCCCAATTTCTCCGTACTGTTGTTCCGTTGACTCGATCGTGGCACGGTGTACGAGGAATAACCGCCCGTCATGGTGGAGAATCTCGTTAAGGAACTCAATCGTCTAGCAATCCAAGTGTTAAAAGTCAGTGTGCGATCACAACAGAGCAAAAAAGGATAACATTGTGCGACACACAAAGAGCAAATCTTACTGTTGTACTTACATCGTCAAATCCAGCAAACGCGGTAGGTTGGGATAATCTCGAGTCCAGATTCACAAATGCACCGTTCGAGAGCCGGAGGATGCCAAACCAATGCTGCCCCTTCCAGAACGGAACCCAGCGTGGACTTGTCGGTACATGTACAATCAACCCCACCATTGAATCATCCTGCTGTATCAGGCTCTCAGCGATATCTAAAAGTGTCAAAGAACGAGGGAGACGCGATTGTTAGCATTTATGCAAAATCATAATGAATCAACAGAGAACAAATGGACCGTTCGCAATGCATGAATGTATTCCCCCCTCTGTACCTCGCCGTGCATCAAACCAGGCCAGTGTACAATGCTGTTTGTTCAGGGCTGCCTCAAGCACACTCACGTCATAATAACCCATGCCCCTAGGAAACGAAGAAATTAAATCAGGGTCGACAGTTAGTACCGTCCAGACACCCAAACGTTCCTCACGAGACACTCGAAATAAAATAGGGGAGGGAGAGAGGAGTCTTACATGGGGCTCTTATATGGGTTCTTCCAAATAGTCATTTGCAAACTCTCTTGAGCAATCTTGCGGAGGTCTTCTGCAATGACGTCCAGGTCTGCTATTGAATAGACAGGTCCTTGTAGCTATTAAGTATATCACGAAGAGTGGGTGAGGGTGAGTGGGTGGGTAAGCCGTAACGTGATGACACCAACTAGTTGTGTGTTGTTGGCGGGTAACGCTCCTCTCTCTTAAAAATTGGTCCAGAAAACTGTATTGTCGGGAAGACTGCCATAGGGTGGAAGGACGTACCAGGTTATTGAGTGTGTGCTATACGCAGAGGCAGCAAACAAGGAAGAAGGAGAGTGGGTTGAAATATGTTGGTTAGTCCATGGGTCGATCGTTTGTCATTGTCCGGTGTGAGGGAATGTCATGAACCTGGAGAGATGGCGGGTAGAGCAGACACACCTTTCCGCATTGGCCGTGGTTCTGACATTCATGGTAGAGTGATCGTGCGGAGTTGATCTGCGCCATGTGTTCTTGTTGTTGTTGTTGTTCTTGGATGCTGAGGTGAATGAAAGTGAAAAGGGTGTGAAGGAGAGAGGTGCTTAGGGCAGAAGGTGAAAACTAGAAGGGCTCGCCAATGGTTGACATATACCACACACACAGTCACGTTTCAATTTTCCAACGGGCGAATTAAGAACAAAAGTTGGCTTCAACAAGGAAGGCTCTGTTCGAATTACCAGCAACACGGCTTTGACCGATTCTTAGCAATGGATATCAAGATGAGGGCCGCCCGAGTAACAGCTTTATTTAAAGCGCCAAGTTTCTTCCATCCGCGGCTGTGTAGAATAGGATTGAAGGAAACGCAAATCGCAAGCAAAATGAAAAATAAAATGGTCCAGAGCCAACGAACAAGAAAAAAGAAAAACGAGCGCCACCAATCAGCACAAACCTTCTTCGTCTCGGCCGATGAATGATCTGATCCATAAGTTCAGCTTGATCGCCATGGCTCTCTTTCTCTCCTCATTCATTTTCAGAAGTAACCCTTCCTTTACTACTTTCTCCAAGTCAACTATCATTCGCTCTTCGCCAGAACAAAACAGCATGCGCAAGTCATAACCAGAAGCAATCACCACATTTACAAATCCCAAACCATAGTCAGTTTCCTCGTTCATAGTTACTTTTCTTTCTTAAGAGGAATGTCCTCTAGTATTCGTTCCTCATGCTCTCGTTGGTGCTCGTCTACTCGTCTCTTCCTCTGTTCCTTCTATCTGTTCCTTGTTCCAAACTCGCTGAAAGTGGTGGGGTGGGTTGGTCATGTTTGTGGGCGTTAGTTGGTTGGTGAAGAAGCCTTCTTCTGTGATGATTTGAGTGTTGATTGTGTGAGTTGGAGTGGAGGGACTTGACCCGCACGAAGGTCAAGGCGCGAGGGGATAGGTATACCAGGGTAGTAATATAGAAAGAAAATTATGTGTAGGGCATGTAAGGAGCAAAGGGTAGAAAAAGATAGAAGAAAGGAAAAAAAGGAGAAAAAGGAGAAAAAGGAGAAAAAGGAGAAAAAGGAGAAAAAGAAAGTGGAAGAGAGGGTATTTACCCTGTCCCTCCTGGTGGAAAAAACGCGTTTGTCTCATATGTTCGCGTTCGAGATTCCGCAGTCCAGCTTGTCTGCTTGTCTCAATCAAAAACGCGTGCTGTTTTCTATCCGTCGCGCTTAATGCCAGCCTACTTCTTCATCTCAACCCCGTGATATTCTGGAAGAAAACCGTCCCAAAAACTTTCATGCAGAGCAAACTCCAAAGAACCACCCATGGTACAAGATTGGACCCCCAGTTTTTGTGGGAAGTCAACAGCAATCTCTCACTTTACAAGAAAGAAAAAAGAAGTTGAGTTAGATAAAGCAAGTGCTTTGCTGGTCAGCACCTTGGATTTATTCCATAGGAAAGAACACGTAGTTTTTTTTAGAGAAGGAAGTGAGGATAGCGAAAGGAAACAATGGTGCGAGGTTAGCGTATGGACTTCAATTGGATGGCCTTTGTTTTCAAGGGCGTAAAGTATCGCCATTCTTCATGTGGGAAACGATAAAGAACTCCAAAAAATATGACGCGAAAGGCCACAAAAAAGAGAAGGAAGAAGTTAATTGTTGTTCCCACAGGCCTGGTTACACCTCTTGTCTAATCGTCGTTCGCTTGAGCGAATCGCATCCACATCATACCTTGACGAGCGCAGTGCACAAACACACATCCCCATCAATCCGGCCCCTTCCCTCCATAGTCTTATGAACAAAAGAAGAGTATCTAGGAGGAAGGCTTTTAATCGTTGCAAACAAAAGAAAATCTACCACCTGTACACAAGTAAAACAAAAACGCGTGTCGCGTCCTTCTTTGCTTTTCCTCTCTCCCTCCACCATTTATCCACGGTACTTCTTAAAAGTAACCGCGATCCCCTCCCCATTCTTCAACGCCGTCATACACTGATCATCAATTGCAGTCGCCTTCTTGCACTGTGCCTCCACCTTGGCCAACAGATCCTTGGGGATCACGACCACGCCATCCGCATCCGCAACCACATAGTCGCCCGCATGGATCGTCACGGCCGGGTGGTCCTTGTTGGGCTGCATCGTAATGGGGACGTTGATCCTTGATGCCCTTGTGTGGTCTCCTGCTCCCATGATCGACGTTGTCTTTGCGAAGACCTGGCATAATTAACCATAGAGAGAGTATATTAGAAATTTGTTTGATACCGACAAGGACCTTGATTCAAAGAAATGTCTTGAGAAGCAATAAATGCACCAAACCAAAATTAAAGATGACACCTACAGGGAAGCCAGCTTCACGCTGCTCGTTAAGATCCCGGATCCGACCATCGACAACAACCCCCAGGGCCCCACGGATCTGAGCACGAGCGGTCATGAGACCACCCCAAACGGCATTGGCCATATTCTCGGGCTGCGAGATACAGATCACTGAACCCTCGGGGATCGTGTCTGCAAAGTGCTCGCTCAGTTTTGGTGCACTTTTGTCTGTGATTGGGACCATCTATGAAGGGCCCATATCAGGAAGGAGTGCAAAGATGGTAGATTAAAGAACAATAGTTAGTTTCAGGAACCAAAGGAGAAAAAAGGGGGGTAAGAGGAATAAAGGAGGTAGCCGCAAGCATCATCCCTCATTCATATCATTTGTTACCTCAACGGTGTAAGCAGGACCAAAGACTGATGATAGTGATGGGACATACAAATCGAAAAAAAAGAAAGGGAGACGTGATCAATTAGAATGCAGTCCTCTCAGCCCAGTTACCAAAAAAGAAGCAAATACAACAAACACTCCCTTGGAGAAGAGAGCAAGAAGTGGGATGTTACCACGGGTGTTGCCGGCCTTGAACAGTGGGCTCCAGAGATGAATGTCAGGAACGTAACCGGCCGCCTCCAGGTTGGGGATGTTCTCGCTCTTCCTGAGCACCTGCAATGCATCGGCGACGTCGCAGCTCGAGAAGAATGGAAGTGGGGCGTTTGTGTTTGCCATTAGTGTTATTCTGTGTGATGAGGTGAGAAGTGAGGAAGGGAATGTAAAAGTGCAAAGAGTGTGGGAATTACAAAAAGTTAGTCATGATTGGCGCGCCTCTTAAGCTCCAATAAAGAATCGAGACTCAGTCACGCGTCAACCACCAATTAGCTCCGCATGTCTGCACCAAAGGTCAAAGTTTTCATATGATATTAATTAGGCGGGTTAAAATTGTTTTTTTTGGGGGTGTAGTAGTAGTTGTAAATGCAAGAACAGACAATGCATCAACAAAAAGTGGTATCAAAAGGAGTTCAAAGATCTAAAATCTACTTGAACGACCTTTTCTTCTTCTTCTTGGATTTCTCGCTCGCCTTGGGGCCTTCATCCTGACTGGTCGCATTTGTCAGGTCCTCAAAAGTCGACGAGCTCTTCGACAATGGGGTAGTCGGCTCCTCAATGTCAGCCTCGGTCTCAACCACAGTCTCCGCCTTGATCTGGGCAGCCTGTTCCTGCTCAATACGCTCTTGTTCGAGACGTTTCTTTTCCTGGCGAGCCTGTTCAACACGCTCTCGCACAATGCGTTCCTTCTCAGCCCGCTTTTTCTCCAAACGCTTCATTTCCTCCTCCTCCTCAGCCTTGATGCGTTCTTGTTCGAGACGTTCCTGTTCGACACACTCAGCTTCAAGACGCTCCTCCTCAGCCTTGATGCGTTCTTGTTCGAGACATTCCTGTTCGACACGCTCAGCTTCAAGACGCTCCTCCTCCTCAATGCGCTCGGCCTCGAATCGTTCAGCTTCAAGGCGCTTCTTCTCCAAACGGTCAGCCTCCAGACGTTCCTCCTCGAGACGCTCCTGTTCGATGCGCTCGGCGTCCAGGCGCTCTTTCTCGAGAAGTTCAGTCTCAAGACGCTCCTTTTCGAGACGTTTGGCCTTAAGACGCCTCTTCTCAAGACGGTCCTTCCTCTCAGCCTCCAAACGCTCATTTTCGACGCGCTCGCGCTCAGCCTCAGCTTCACGACGCTCCTTCCTCAACCGCCTCTTCTCAGCTTTCTCCTGTTCAGCACGCTCCTTCTCCAACTGCAGCTGTTCAAGACGCTCCTGCTCAAGTCGCTCATTCTCCAGGCGCTCCTTCTCGAGACGCTCCTGCTTGGCACGCATCTTCTCAGCCCTCTCCTGCTCGATACGTTCCTTCTCAGCAGCGGCGGCGGCAGCGGTGGAAGCATACTCTTTTTCGACACGCTCCTTCTCCAAACATTGCTGCTCAAGGCGCTCCTGCTCAAGGCGCTCCTGCTCAAGGCGCTCTTGCTCATGACGTTCCTTCTCCAGGCGTTCCTTCTCGAGACGCTCCTGCTCAGCACGCTCCTTCTCGAGGATCTTCTCCAGTTCAAGACGCTCCTTCTCGGCAGCCTCGGCAGCAGCGGCGGCGGTGGCACGTTCTTGTTCGGCACGTTCCTCTGCCAAACGCTGCTGCTCAACACGCTCTTGCTCAAGACGTTCCTTCTCAAGGCGCTCATTCTCAGCATATTCCTGATCAGCGCGCTCGCGCTCCATTCGCTCCTGATCAACCAATTGCTGCTGGTCAACAATCCCCTCCATCCGAGCCTCAGCCGCCAAGCGAGTCTCGTCCTCCACCTGTGGCTGCTTCTGTCCTTTACCGGAAAGGGCAGTAATGGTCTCGGCATGGATCTGCTGCTGCTCAATCAGGGTACTGAGCACATGAGTCGCTCTCCTTTGGGTATCCTCGTCCTGGTTGACCAACTGGATCGTCTTGATCAACCCAATCGTAGGCTTGATTCTCGAGAACACCTTAAAGCTCTGGTTCGACGCCGGGTCATCCATCACTGAAGTCATCAAGTTGTCAATCGCCCGGATGATGTGGCGTTGAACGTCCTCGGTGCCCGCGATCGTGACCCATTTAAGGATATCCTCCGCGTTCGAGTCAGCCGCCGCCGCCGAGGCAGAAGAGGTGTCACCTTCGTGGTCGTGATGTCCGGAAGAGAGGTCAGCCTCAGAAACAGAATCGTTGGGCGTCAGGTAGCCAGGGTCTCCCTTGTGCTGTTGTGCCGACTTGGCAGAATGTCCATCGTCGTTCATAAAGTCGATCGCGTCCTGGATACCGTACTGACCCTGCTGGTACGCCGACGAGTCCGACTCTTGATCATCCTCATGACGAGACCGCTCCAAAGTCAGAGCACCGATCCGGAGAAGTGTAGGGATTACGTTGCCCTTGGCTCGGCGAGGTGGGGGCGGCGGGGATGAATACCGATGGGGATGTGTTTGAGGGCTTGATGGATGCTCGAAAGATCCGCTGTTGTTGTCCGAATGCGAGTTGTACTCTGTCAACAGTGACAACTTGTTTTGGTCTACATTTCATGAACGGGGTTTCAAAGTTAGTCATCTTTCTACAATATGTCGAGACTGTACAATTTGGTTTACTTCGATGAGAGACGACTCTTACCATAGAGTGCGAGGTTAGCGATGAGGCGAGCAACATGTCTACACAAGAACGGCAACACACAAAGGCAATGGTCATCAGTATCTTGAGCAAGAACATGCAATGAAAATATTATCAACAATCAGCCATCAACGACAATATACCGTTCGATTTCATGCTGGTGAGGGAAGAGCCCAACAACGGCACAGCTCGTGTACAAGAGATCCATCTGGGACATCAAGATCTCCTGCGACTCGGTGTTAGTCGCCAAGTTGGCAAGCGCACAGCAGGCATGCGAGACTGCCTCCGACAATGTGTTTCCGTCATCAGTAATACCATCAACTCCTACAGCACCTCCAACAAGTGTAGCCGATCGAATGACTGTCAACAGCGCAGTCGCTCCTGAACCCTTGACAATATCTGGCTTGAACCGATCGTTCCTCAAAGAAAGATACGCCATCGTCTTGGACGCGTACTTGACCACATCTCCATTGTTCGAGTACAACAACTGAACCAGTCGGTCAATCCTCTCAGGGTCGTCCACAATAAACGCCTGGTTCGAGACATCTGACGCCATGACGGAAATACATCTAGCAGCCAGTCCCTGCATACTTTCCAATCGTGTGTGGAAACGGTCGTCCATCGAGACCAGAGTCGTTTCTTCCTGTCGCTGTTGCTCATCCTCGTCCTGAATACGTCCGCTCGATCCAGATTGATGATCCTCAACCACATCAATACCACCAACGTCAGTGTCGTCTGGTCTCGCGCCTGCAGCAAGGGATCGGATTGCGTTCTCCATGGCACGTGAGCGCACTCCCGCGGGGAAGTAGACACAGAGCAACATCAGCCCATCCATAGCGCCTTCCATGACCATCTGCTTTGCAAGGAGTTCTAGAGCACGCAATTTCAACAACGAGCGTACATGAGTCATACATTGAACAATCTAGAATTTCATACAAGGCAAGAAAACATATGAGCAAAAGACTTACTGTCAGGGACCATCTGGAAGACAATGTGGGTGATGTTCATAAGGACCACTGCCACGGTCTCGATGCGCCTGACGCTCTTTGTATGCAAAGAAGCCGTCGAAGCCATCCGGGTGAGCAACATGGGCGGGGAAGGTGGTCGGGGAGGCGAGGTCACGATATGTTGAGCATAGGCTGCGACAAGGTAGAATAACTTTGGCATAGCCCTCTTTGACACGATGACGCTCTGAATTGGTTCTAAAAAAAGAATTTTGCACAGCGAGTATGTTTTTTCGACAACGGGTCAATGACTTGTTCGTTTCCTTCACATTTTTTTTCGCATGATAAACTGAACAAGGGAACCCAGGGAGAAAAAAAAACTTACGGTGTTCAGCCAGAGCAGCCAAGGCAGAGGTCGCCAGGGAGTGCAGCTCGTACCCATGAACCATGCTGCAGAGATAGATCATGGCATCCAATCCTCCATGGTCGAGCACACTGTCAAGGGCTTTCTCTAAATCAATTTTCAGGGGTATGACACAATTAGTCACGTGGAACCGACCCATCAAAACATAGGGTGAGGATGAGGCATGACACTTTGTAATAGTTTTCCACCCTACCATCGTTGGCCGCAATGAGCTCATAGATACCACGCGCACCATGAATCTATATGTGAAATGCGAAAATAATTCGGTATGGTAGCATATGACCAAAGGGATATGTCATTACAAAAAGATTAGCATATTAACTCGCAAAAGGTTCATAGAACAAAAAAAACCATCCAATTAACATCAAGAGTTGGCGCACCTGAGTGGAAGGTCCCAAATCATCCGAAAGGCAGTAGGCCACAAGGTAGGCAACCTCGAAGCAATCGTTGCAAACTCTCACAGCCTTGGTGTATCCCAGCTGAGGCAGAGCGATGCTTCGAGAACAGCAGTCGTAGCACAGGACATGGCCACTATTAGAAAGGATGTATCGGTATAATTATAGGAATTTGCGGTTAGGCCATTGTGTCTGTGCAGGAAATACATAAACAAACTTAGCAAGGGTTCGATATGACTAATGACGAATCTCTTTACCATTGACGACAATGATGCTATTAAAGGTCGATAAAATCAAAAGCGAGAGCGAGAAATGAAGAGATAAAAAAGAAAACGTTGGTTAGAGAGGACACTCTCAGTAACAGAGCGATGCAAGGGCGAATATGTCAAGAGTAGAGTCAGGCACAAGGGTGAGTGTAGATGAAGAATGAGGGCAAGGGTCAGGTCTGTGCCAACGAGTGCCCAAATTTGGCAAGCAATGGGCTGGGCTACAAAAAAACGCAATTCGCCCAAGTTCATTGCCAATGCCGCGGACAAAACAAGATGGAGAGGAAAGAGAGCAAGTGCTTCTTTGTACAAGCACTGTACACAGCAGCTCACTACTGTGTTGTTATCTCTTTTCCCTCAGTATTCTAAGTCCGATTCCGTCCGAAAGTGAGGTTCTAGAACCATCATTCTCTCTCCTTAGCTTCATCTCCCCTTCATGTCTTTCTAAACACACGCTTCATATGACACTTCATCCCAATGGAAAACACAATCAGAGGCGACGCAGCACGCGCGCTTTGTTACATAATAAATGTGTGAAAGCGAAAAAGGAGAAGAAAAAAAAGAAAAAGGCACTCCAGTCACTCCAATTGAGAATCATGCTATCTAGCCCCTCGGCCTTCTCAATCTTGCTCATCACAAACGAGATAAACGAGCCGCAGTTTAGACCAAAACAATTGAAAGTAAAAGCCCCCAGGTCCACGGGGAGAGAGAGTGCGTGACAAAGATGATCTTCTTTGTTGGCATTTATACTTGCGTTTGTGTTGTGAAGGTGTGGTGTGAATGATAGAGAGACAGAACGAAAAGAGCGATGAAAGTGAAAGATGCAGGAACAGATTCAAAGGGGGTTGTCACCGATGGTCGGAGAAGGAGAGACGGATAAAACTCAAACGAACATGTCAATGTACCAAAATAACGCGTTCGAGAAAAAGGACTGAAGAGGTACTCATTCGCTCAGGGGTGTGAATAGTGGGCGCTCCTCGTATCCTTCAACCCCATCAATATGCATCTGCTTCTTCCCCTTCCCTTCTTTTTTTTCTCATTGTTACCTTGCGTCGGACAGCATTGAATCCCTTCGCGCAGATGCGACAAGCTGCGGCGTCTTGGTCCGGAACCCAGTAAGGACGGGCAAGGAGAAGCGTCTGTTCGGTAGGTTCATCGCCTCCGCTGAAATGGATAACGCCTCCGCCAAGCACAGGGCTCGTGCCTCCTCCAACACCTCCTCCAAGCGTGCTCAAGCGTCCGCTCATGACTGACCCAGCAGTGGATCGTGCACCCGTCATGCTACTGCGGCGAGAGTCTCCATTGTTGCTGCCAGCATAGTTGTAGTTGTTGTGATTATTGTTATGATTGCTGTAGTTGATCTGCAATCCTGATTGGGTCAAAGAGTTGTTGCCGAGCTGTTGTTGCTGCAACTGCTGCAACTGATGTTGTTGCTGTTGTTGATGCAGCTGTTGAGCAAACAAGCGCGCCTCTGCAAGAGCAGTCATCTGAGATGAACTCTGACGCTGCTGGTTGTTCTGCTGTTCCTGCTGCTGCTGCTGACTGTTCTGCTCCTCCTGTTGGTTGTGGTGCAGGGTTGGGCTGGAGAGGCCTACATTCTTGCCGACGAATGATGAAGCCAATGACGACGAAGAAGTGGAGGACGAATTCAGCAATCGAATCTGGTGCGAAGCGGCAGTGCCAGCGGCGACGGAAGGGACATTCTCGCCACTATCTTTGTTGACATTATTGTTACTGTAGCTGATATCGGTAGCATGGCTCCTGTTACTGCTGCTGCTGCTGCTGTTGCTGCCTCGGGAGATTAGAGGAGGAGGAACACGAGGACGGGCTGCTGATGAAGATGCTGGGGCGGGGGGTGGTGATGATACGAATCGATCGACGTGTGAAATAGCGGGGCTGTTGAACGGACTGGAGACAATGGCCTCTTGGCTCTGTTGGTGCTGGTTCTTGGTGGTGGTCGTCTTGGCTTGCTTGTCGTTCGGCTGCTGCTGAGGACGGGATGCGGGCATGGGACAATTTCGCGGGTTGAGGGTTTAAAAAGAAGGAGGGACACAGTATTCCCTGGAGAAAGGAACAAGGAGGTGTGCTTTTGACCGGAGGGACCGAACGGTTTCTTGGTCGAGTAACCGGGGTGGTGGTGTGGGAACTGACGGTGGATGAGTGTGGTGAAAGAGGCCAAAAGAAAGGAAGGAGCTCGGGTCGCCGGGGTGTGAGGTTGTGGGTGTGTGGTTTAGTAGGGATGGCTGTGTACTACTCGTTGTGGTAGTATGAAGTAAGAAAGGAAGTGTGATTGAGTGTAATAATAGGATAATAAAAAAAAACGTTTGGTGAATGGAATGTGAGTTTGAGTTGGGGTTGTAGTTGGTTTGATGAAAAGAGAAAAGAAAAAGAAAAAGAAAAAGAAAAAGAAAGAAAAAGGGGGATAAGAGTAATGGGGGAGATGGGAGTCAAGGAGGGAACGTGATGGTGATTGAAGAATTGCTGGGTGGGTGACTGACTGAGTGAGTTTGGGTGTGTTTGCTTGCTGGCTGGTGGTTGGCTGGGGTTGGTTGGTTGACAGTGAGTGACGGACAGAGAAAGAGAGAAATGATTCTTCATTGCTTTGCTTTTCTGTGGTCACACAGACATGAACCCAATGTGACTGTTCGGTCATTTTACTTCATCAAATAGGATTTGCATGCTGGACCACCATGGACACCACATTCCAACGCAATTATCCACTCTCTCTCTCTCCTTCTCACTCCCTCTATCTTTCTCTCTCTCGCTCACTCTGTGTCCGGGTGGGATCATCATTGTCATTAACATCAACAAACAAAAACAAAGAAGAGATACGAACATTCAACATCCCATCAAAGCAAATTGAACACGCGGATTTTCATTTTCGTGCCTGGCTGTTTCCTCCGATGGTACGATTGTTGCTTGTGGTTGTTCATGTGTGTGTGTGTATGTATGCTACTCCCCAACAATGCAACCAATATCGGGAGAAGGGATACAGCAATGCTAAATCTGCTCTGGGACAAGCGAACAGAGTGCAAGTGTGCGAGAAAATCACGGATTGGTTAAAATAGAAACACCATTTGAATTGAACATAAATAAAGAGAGCACCATGCCATCTTCTCAAAGAAACACACCATCCCGTGGTTGCTTATTTCTTTCTTAGTTCGGACGTAATCAAGCAAGGAAACATACGTACAAGATGAAGACAGCGGCAAATTGACAAGTTTTCATTCCGATTAAAAAGCGATAAAAGCGAAAAGAAAATAAAGGGGAAAGAAGAAAAGAATGAAATGGGAAAAGATTGACACACGAGCATGCAAGGGAAATAACTATTATAACTCCTGGCGTGTAGGCTTGCGGAGTCGCGTGCTACGGATCAATGGCACTTCTGACGACGATGGCTCTACAGAGGCCGACTTTGCTGATCTTCTGCTTGTTGTAGTAGTAGTAGTTGTTGTTGTTGAAGACTTCTTCCTACCGCCTCCACGAGTGTTCTTCTTGGCCTCTTGTTCCTCATCCTCCTCCCCCTCTTCTTCTTCCTCCTCCTCAGTAGTGTCATCAAAGCCTCGGCGCGTCAAAGGCTTGTAGCTCGACTCGTCATCGTCCTCCTCAATCTCGTCGTCGTGTTTCTTCTTGGAGGCTGCAGTCGAAGATGAACGGAGAGACTTGCGAGGCGGGACGGCAGTAGTAGTTGCGTTGGATTGGAAGGATTTGGCCATTTGGACAACAGTCTCCTCAGCGCGCTTTCCTAGCAATAGTGTGCACATGACCAACATGGTCATCGCCTTGGCATCCGGAGTCTCGAGCATGCCTCCGTGAGCAACAAAACCCCCCTCCTTGTCAACATCATCGCTACCGCCGTTGTGCAAAAGACTGTAAAACTGAGGAGAAGTCGAAGCAGCGTAGAAGAAGGCACTTAGCAACGCAGCCTTCATGTCGTAGGTCGCAGCACTGGCCCAGGATGGTGTCGAGAGGGTCCACTTGTGAGTCTTGAGCTTCAAAAGGTCGCCCCACATTCCACCACCCGAACCAGAAATCATTCCCAAAAATAGCATGGCGAACCAGGGTTCTGTGGCACCGGGGTAGTGGCTGTCGGCAGCAAAACGCATTCTGGATCCATCGACTCCAAGCTTAGCGATTGAAAGTGCTCTAAGAGAACCATCGGCGACAATGAGGACAGAGTCCAGGACAGCTGGTGGGACCATATCCTTGAGGATGTCATACAAGTAGGTGTACTGGATCAAGAGGAACGACAGCGTGTAGGTAGGGACGACGACGTTGGAGCCAAGCCATGATGGGGGCATGCCCAGTAACATGCCTATACACATATACAAAAATATGTCTGGATGAGTTATTTTCTCGAGTTATGAGCACTCTCCTCTCACAAGCAGTGCGCAGAGAGAAAGCGTGGTAAAAATTGTTGGACACAAGGATCCAAGGAACAAAGGAACAAAAGAATGAGGGAACATGACACGTACTTGCGGAGAAACCACCTCCGAGAGACATGGCAAGGACAGACAGGAGTGCCTGGCCCCAGGGCAGACGAGTAGGTTGAGGGTCCTTGCCGTCCCTGAGTGACTGAGCAGCTGCTTGTTCGATAGCCTGGCGGTAGGCCATGGAGACGCGGATCCCGTGCAAGGCGGAGAAGATGCTGAGAGGGAGGATAGCGTGATGGAATGTCAGAGTAGGCAGCTCGACGAGAGTGGACGCCCATTGGGCACCAAAGATTGCCATTATGTTTCTTTTTATTATTAATGAAGTGAGAAAATGAAGAAAAAAGAAAGATGAGGAAAGAAGGATGGGGAAAGTGATGAGTGGAGGAGGGAGCGCGTGCACTTATTACTTTGTCGAATAGGGGTGGACAAGTCAAGTGAAGGGGAGCAAGGAATGGGCCAAAGGGGGCGCCCATTCGAGACACCCTTAAGACCAAGACTATTGTGATGTCTCGCATGCAAGTGCCATGTGCAAAATGAGCATGGTAGTTAGACATGGATATCAAAGAGAGACTGGTAGATCGAATGCCGTGCCTTCAACGGAACACAGACGAGGAACCAGACGACCTGGACGACATGGAAGAACAACATCTGCGCCCAGATCACATTCAACACAAACAGACTCATCGTCACCACCCGCCAGTACGTCGCCACCATCGGAAACGGACTCGCATGCAATCGTCTATCATAAACTGCCTGCGTTAACCACACCGTCACCATCGTCGCCACCACCAATATCGCCATCCGAAACCCCTTCTGCAGCAAGAAATCACGCCAGTCAACCGACCCCGCACTCACCGAACTCGTCAGTAAAGGTAGAGCCGGTGAGTGAACAGGATTTGGGCGTGCTCGTGGCTGGGCAGATGCTGTTTGTGCACTCACTGGCAACTTTGCTGTCGGCTGGGGGATCACCTGGAGAGTCGACTCTAGGTAGACAGCAATTCTCCAGGGCTCCAGTCTCTGTCCTTGTTCGTCACTCAGGAACCTCACCGGACGGCCCTCTCGTTCAAATCTGGCGGCTGTTGGAAAGACATCCTGGACGTCCCGTAGAAGGATGTATTGTTTGCCTATCGAGGCTACTGTCTCGACCTCGATCTCCTCGATTCGTCCGCCAAGCTGGAACCTTTGGTACTGAATCATCATTATCCTTTGTGTTGTTGTTTTCTGGTGGCCGATGGCGTTGGTGGTGGTAAGTTGTAGTGGCAATGAGCAAGTCCCGTCGGTGCTGTTCATGAAGAAGAGAAGGAAAGGAAGAAGATAAAAAAGAGAGATGGTGAAGATATCATTCTCATTTTTTGATAAAATGCGCCGCCACTTGGGGTGAACATTTTTCGAACACGTTGCAAAATTGCAACGTGGCCAATGCTGCAGTAGAACTAAAGGAAAAAGGGAGATTATTATTATTGTTGTTGATACCAACAACCACGATTGTGCCCTATTGTTGCTGCCAAATAAACGTGTTAGAATGAGCAATTGCCCTGTGGTCTTTTTTCTTCCTTTTTTTTTTTTTTGTTCGATGCATGAATTAGGGGGGCTTCCTCTGTCTGCATCCTTTTTTTGAGTGCGACAATGCGCCAATCAAGAGGAGAAAAGAAAGGAAGTTGACAGACAGCAGGTCAAAAAAGGCAAAGAACTCGGTTGATCCAGCTTGACACTTTCGCCTTGAACAGGTACTAGTCCTACCAGTGGTATATATAACCTATACAGTCGATGAATGATGCCTTTTTCTTCTTCTTTTTCAGTCGTTGTCCACGTCCTTGGCTTGCGTTTTGCCCGCTTTCATTCTTATGTCCCCTTTCCCTCCCCTGCTGCCATGCTCCCTCGTTTCTCGCTCCCCCCTCTCAACGGAACAAGTGCTCATGCCATATGAACACAGTCTCACTCTCGAATCAATGCGCCTTTATCACACATCCTTCTCCCCTGGAATGTGCATCCAAGGAATGAGAGAGACGCTTGTCCCGACTGAGGGGATCTTCACTTTTGCAAACGAACAAGGCTCCCTTTTCTTATGTTCTACCCATTATCTAGTGAGAAAAGCCAATTGGCAAGATTAACAATTGAGGTGTTGTTTCTCGTAATTCCCACAGCAAAAGGGATGAAGCAGAAAGTACTCAAACAACAAACATGCATTATTTGTGCCTTTTCCCACCCCTCTTCACCCTAACTACCCACCCCTTCGTCTTCATTCATTCGTTCATCTTTTTCTTTGCCCCTCTCTTAGTCTCGTCTTCTCACTTTTTTTTCTATATCGTCTTTGTTCTTTCCACCTCTTCTCGAGCGGGTCATTTCCCCTAACTTAGATCGTTGAATCACGCATTTTTTTTGCATACAATCGAGGGGAGAAATCGTCGCGCCCGATTTCTCATCTCACTTCTTTTTTTCTTTCTTTCATCTACTTCCTTCTTTTCTCCCTTTGCTTTAATCCCATCCATCTTTTCACCTCACAATCCTTCCTATCTCTTCCCCTCGTCTCCCATTCAAAAATAATAAAAAGATGACTATCACTTTGAAACTGTTTGAGCTGGTGGACGGCAAGACCCGCAAGATCTCGTTCTCCCCTGCGGTGTGGAGGGCCAAGTTCGCACTCAACTACAAAAAGGTCACCTACGAGTCTGTTCATGTCACCTTCCTCGAGATCCCGACCGTCATCACCGGAGCATGGTACAGTCGACAGCAGACATTACTTCTCGACTGTCGATATCATCAACTGGATTGAACTTGTAATTGACCACATCTGTTTATTTATCCTACCGTCCTGTTCATCGACCTGGACCCCACAGCCCGAACGTGCCAGCTCCAACAGTGCCAACCCTCCAACTCGAGAACGGCCAAGGCTTACCAGACAGCTTCGCGATCGCAGAATACCTCGAAGAAAAGTACCCAGACCGACCCTCACTCTTTGGAGCCACCCAGTCGGAAAAGAATCTCCAGCGATTCTTTGAATCCTATGTCCAATCCAAGGTCCACCCGTCAATCCAACGCATGGTCTTTCAGGACATGTACCACATGCAGGACGAGGAGAATGCCCATTACTTCCGGACGTCCCGCGAGAAGAGCTCTGGTCGACCTCATGTCGAGATTGCGGGAGAAAGGAATGAGAACCTGAGGGAGCTGAAGGAGAATTTGGGGTTGATTCATACGGCGCTCAAGCGATCTGGTGGGTGGATCCTGGGATCTCATCGTAAGTCTTTCTTTTTGTCTTTTTTTTTCGCTATCGTTCATTCCGAGGAGATGGTTTTTTTGTGTGTGAATTCTTTGATTTTGGGGTTTGCTTTGTTCTTTCGTGTTTTTGCTTGTTGTGGAATAGACGGCGTGGTGGCCCCTTGTTACTCCAGTACCCTTTGTTTTTTCTTTCGTCTCCTTTTCTGTGTCCCTTCTCTTTGTTTGCTCTTTGTGATTTGTTTGGACCGTGGTACCTATTTTCTTCCATTCATGCATCCAATATTTTTCACCCCCTGTCTATGCGAAACTCTCACCCGCTAACCGTCCCCCCACCCTCCTTTCTCGCATTCTTCCCACAATGATGGACGGCTCATTCCTGTTGCCTCTACCCTTCGTTCTCCTCCTTAATTTGCTCCCGCTAGCTGGATGGGCGGACTTTGTGCTGGCGTCAAGCTTTGTCTGGTTCAGCTCGTGTTCTCCAAGGGACTTTAAGGAGGGCGTGTTAGAGGCCTTCCCGGATCAGGTCATTCCTGACTACTGGGCCAGAATCCAGGAATACGTCTACTAGATGGTTGTCCAGGAAAGGGATGATGAACGAGGAGAAGGAAGGGGAACGAGGAAAAGGAATAAGGAACGATAACAAACAACCATGCCCGTAGCTACCATATGAAAAACGGTATATAACAAAATAACATACTAAAAGTCCTTACTCCCAGGTGGAATAATATTGCTTATTGGCGTGGATTAATAGGCAGCCAACTGTGTCATTCATGGGATATCGCCCTATATCATTCATGAAAGTAGTTCGAAATTTATGTCATTCATGAATGCCGCCTTCTCTCATTCGTAGATACCGTTTAGTATCCATGGATGCCACACTCTGTCATTCATGGATACCGTTTAGTATTCATGAATACCGTTTAGTATTTATGTTTTTTTCATGGAGACCGCCCTCTGTCATTCATGGATACCACACTCTGTCATTCATGAATGCCACCCTTTGTTATACTCGTAGATTCCCTTACACCCAGTTCTTTTCCTCACCTTTACCGCGAAGAGGATATGTGGGTCATTTTATTATCTTTGCGCCACCAATCAGACCAACCAGGAAGGCTATCGATATTGCGAAAGGATTACACATGGTTGTGAAAATTCCTTAGGCGATAAAGTCAGATACTCTTATCACGCAATACATGATTGGCGGGAAGTGGCTGTTGGGCAAAGTCGCCTCTCCTTTCTGATCAGAAATAGGCCTGTGCTCATCACTTTGTGATATTATTTTCTCTACTAAACAATGTTACAAAAGTCTCCAGCGCCTTTTTTTTGCACATGGTTACCCTATGGATGATAACATCATTGACACGCTCAATAGGCGCCAAGTCGTATCTATGAAAAAGACGTACCTCGGGGGAATAAGTCAGGACGTTAATATGTCCGACGTAGTGAAAGGATACCTTTTGGAGGAATGGCCTGATTTGGGCGGCAATTTCGTCAAGAGTGCAGGGGGCACATTTGCATGTGAAGAGCGAAGTCCCAAGGCAGGGAGACATTGGTTTAGGATTAGTAGACGAACAAAAGAGGGGTTGTTTCCAGTTTATACACAGCAGGGTTAGGGAGTACAAGGAGCAAAAAATGACGTCGGGTTACCATTTCACCACGAGGGAAGAAGGACTGGATTTGGTTGAGTATATTTTTATTATATTTTATTTTTCTTGCCGTTTTTGTAAGACGAGGGTTCTCCTCGGTACATTCCTGGGGAGCATTGCCCCTGACTAAGGGAATGACAACGAGGATTGTGCTCATTGGCTTGGCTTGCTGAGAACGAAATAGACCATACACATCGTCATACCGAACAAACTCTCCTTTTGGTGGTGTAAATTGGCTGGACCCTGGAAATATGACACCTCTCATTGGAGGTATCGGATATCCAGATTGGCTTTTTGTAAAAACTGAGTCCGGGAGATAATTGCATAATTGCATAATTGCATAATTGACTTCATGCAGACATGCCGAACACGTCCAAAAAGATGAGTGAGAGGTGATATGGGGGGTTGAACAAATGCGAGTCAATGGATGGATGTAAGAGCATGGAAGAAGGAAATTATGCTTGGCTTTTACTTGGCCATCTCTTGGCCATCTCTTCGCCGTGACTTGACCTTGCCAAGGCCTTGCCTATGCCTTTTGTCTTTGCCCGCTTGCATATGTTTTGTTCAATTGATCATCAGAAGATCTTTCCCCTGCAAAATGCGCTTTACCCTTTTTTGCCTCCTGTCAAGATGGATCATGATGTTTGCTCGACAACCTTTATTTTATTTTATTTTATTTATTTTTGTAGAAAGCCACCACAAGGATCAGGAACATTGAACGCTATGAATAGGTGAGATGGACAATGCATGTCCAGGCTATGCTGCTGTAAATAAGAGTCGGTTACGAGTGACCTGTTGCGTTTTTGCTGGAGGGTTGTTTTTTGTGCACCCTCACTTTCGCCTGCTCTCATACTCTTCGATCGCCTTTCTTTCTCTCCTTCTCTCCGTCTCTTCTTGGCTCGGCGGCGAATTTATCCTGTCGCCCGAATACGCTCGAATGTAGCAAAAAGATATCCTACAACAACGTGTGTGTCTGAATGGGCACGCCAGTTGTAGACGATGTTGTTTATCGAAGCAAGAACGGAGGAGGGAATGGTGTAATCCAGGGGTTTCGAGTTGATCGGTAAGAGTGATGACCTTTTTGTTGTTTGCTGTTGAACATAGAAGCGAGAAGCATGGATGTCATTGTTGAATTCATCCGCATTAGAGACCATGATAGTCCATGGGTTTGAGGGAGAGGGGGGGTGCTGTATCCAGTTTGTCCGTTTTGCCTTGTTCCCCCTTTTTTTTCCTTCTTTTTTATGGTGTGATTCACAGGTTCCATGCCCTATCCATTCTATCCAGTCTACAACTGTTCACATACCCGATGCGATCACTGGGCGGGTATAAAAGGGGCGGCTAAACGTGGGTCGAAACCCCTTCAACTCATCATAATTCTTATTGCATCCATCCTTTTTAATCCGTTTCTTCTTCAATTTTTAACCACCATCTATCTCTCTATTCCTAACCACACCCTAATCTTCTACTGCACCATTTACAGTACCTTGCATTGCATCATCACACTCCCCTTTTGCCCTGTTTATTCTCTCCCCCCCCTTTTATGTTCTCACAAGCATAAGTGTCTGTTTATTGTCCACAACCATCACTCTCTCCTCCTGACCACCTTTCGTCTTCGTTTGCTCAAAACAACGCATCCCTATCCCTGGCATACTACCCCCCTCCCCCCATCGCCAATTGGCCACCATATGACCCCGCTCTCTCAACCCCTTTGAGGCCGCCCTTTTCACGTCTCGTCTGATCTGATCCACGCATCCATCCATACGCGCAAATACACTCACATACCATCTGGTCAACTTCTCACTCCATCCAACCGATAAAAGACCAACTGGATAACCCCCTCCCTCTTTCTCTCTTCTCTCGTTCGTATCTGCACCTTTTCCTTGTTACTTTCCACTTTCTTTTTTCCTTATTCCTTCTTTCATCACCCATCACTATCCTACTTGTCAGCTCAACTTCATCCCCACATCAACGGATCGACGTCGTTTTCCATCGTTTTCTTTTCTTCGTTCATTGCCCGTCGTCTTTCCCTCTCCCCTTTTTCTCCTCTTTGGAATCCAATCTATCGGACAATTCCCCCTCTATCACAAGGTAAGGTTCTCTTCTACGTCTGTCCCTCTCTCTCTTTCTCCCGCCATTCCAAATTTCGCCCAATTCCGAGCCCGCTCCAACACATTTTCGTTGTCCCTCACCTGCTTCCATGTTCTTTTTCCTTTTTCTTTCACACTCACGCTCTTTTTCTCTCTTATTTTCTTGCTCCTATTGCCATTTATTAACTTTACACTCCCTATCAATCTCCTTGCCAACATCTTAGGAAACAAAAGGCCAATCTATTACTGCCATCACTCCCTAATTCTTATACATAACGACCATGGCCACCACCACCGCTGCACCGGTTTTCCATCTCCATCAATCTCCTTCTTCGGGGATCAATTGGCTACCTTCATCTCAAGCCAACGACGCCGAATCTAAGCTCTGCGATAGTGGAAGCTACAGAGATCCTTTGGTCCATCCATCTCAATCTTCAGTCCAGATGCCCCAATCGTACAATGCGCCAGAGTCAAGGATATCGAACCAGCACGCGATCTCCCATACCGGCAACATCACCACTACATCTTCCTCCTCCTCCTCGTCCTTGCCGTCTTCTTCGTCATCCGCTACAACCACAACAGTCGCCTGCTCGTCAACTTCAACAACGAGCACCTTCACAACAATCACCAGTCACAAAGAGATGCCATTCTACGGCCTCCCACCCGAGATCCTCCAACACATCGCCAGCTTCCTCCCCTTCCACGGCCTCGTCCGTCTCTACACATCTCTCCCCAAACTCCACCGCCCCATCTTTCAACTCCTCCTCGACCACTCCCTAGCCCTCATGATGCTCACCCTTGAAATCCGGCAACTGTCGGATGAGCAACCGCCGATAAGGGACTCGTTTTTTGTGTCGATGAATAATAACCCGAATGGGGTAGGAGCTGCGAGGAAGTTGCAGACTCATTGGAGGGTGACGGATTTTGATCTGGAAAGGATGAGGGTTGAGTTCCAGTTGGAGGAGAAGTTGGGGTTGGAGATGGTGGAGCGGAGGAGGTGGGAGGTTGAGTACCAGATCCAGCAGCAGTTGTTACAGCAGGGTAGGAAGAAGGAGCAATTGGACAGCACCCGGCTTGGGCTGCAGAGGCAGGGACAGGGAGAAGAGGAGGATATTGAGAACTTGATCTGGAGGACGCGGACGGGAGGGATCAGCAACAGTAGTAGTACCAGTAGCCTGATAGGCATTCTGGGAACAGGAGCAGGAGGAGCAGAATCACAGCAGAGGTATAATGCGGAGGTCTCGGACAGTAATTTCTTTCATTGCAATGGGTCCAGTCATACGCCGACCTTGGGATCTGCAACGGTCTCGTTCAAGGCGCAGAGGAACATGCCCGCCCCCTGGATCTCGCAGCATTTCGATTTCGCGGATCACTCGACTCTTACATCTTCACTAGCTTCGGTGTCGGCATCGGTATCGGCATCGGCATCGGCATCTTCATCAACGTCTTCGGCACCAGCGGAGACGCCAGCCGTGATCAGAGCCCGCGAGCGTGTAGCAGCCCACCAACAGAACCGCCTTCTACTCCGCGCACTGGCAAAGATGAGAAGCTGTGAAGAGTCGAGCAAGTTACAGTTTCTGCCCGTCACTGTCGAGTTGGAGACTGAGGAGTTGGGCCAGAAGAAGGTTGAGGCCGAGTTGGTAGATGGTACCACTGCTGGTGTACGGCGACGAACCTCTTCGGGGTACGGGAAGGTCTCTGAAGTGAGTGCAAGTCTGGAGCAAGGAGCCAAGTTGGGACGAAGACATTCGTGGCAGGCTTTGAGACCGCCTACCGACCGAGCGTACGGTACTGGCTCTGGAATTGGCGTGTCGTCGGCTCAGCACCCTCACCAGCATCATCATTACTCGGCATTGGAGCCGTTGTTGACTTTTGGGAATGATTTGAGTTCGAGTGGATGGACAAAGGCACTTAAACGGATTCTGAAACGGTCGTCATGGAACGGGAATAGCAGCGCTCGGTCGCGGGCGCACACAGCACCTCCTGTCAGCACTACACCTGTGTCTTCCACCGGATGCAGTGTTTGTGATGCTCAACATTATCAGTATTACAACCACTACAATCAACAACAGCAGCAGCAACAGCCTCAACGTCGGTCCATGGACTCCTTACGAACAGTTGATTGGTCGTCGGTCTTTCACAGCGTCGCGTCGTCCATGAACCGGTCCTCCTCCTCCACTTCCTCTCACTCCACCACTACCAGTGCCACTTCTGGTGGAGCATGTCAATGTCAGAACAGGAAGTCAGTCCTCCTCACCACATCCAAACAACAGGACCCTTCCGCCGCTGCTCCCGTCGCCGCCTCCACCCCCGCCACAAAAGCAACGATCTCAACAGCCCTCATCACCAAACGACGATCCTTCTCAAACATGGTCGCAGGCTATCGCAAGGGCAAGACCTCAACCTCTGATAGCCCAACAGTGGCATCTTCCACGGTCGACAAGGGCAAAGGGAAAGGCAAGAGCAAGTCGACTGTTTCAGGACCCACACCCTCCCCTTCATCGTCAGAGCAGGAACAGGAACGGAAAGCTGAGGAAAGGCACCAAAAGCTGTTTGAGTTCTCGTACGGCGTACGACACAACTACCTACATAGTCATCGTCTCGAAGGCGAGCGTGTCATTCGTCCCATGCGGTTTGCTTGTTCTTTGGACTTTTTCATCCAGGATTAGAGTTTTTTTTTTTTTTTTTTTCCTAGTTACACACAAACACACTGTTGTTTCCCTTCCTCTCTCTCTCCCCCTCCCTCACCTTTTTTTCCCCTTCTAATTAATTAAAGCACGCAACCCCCCCGTTCTTGATTCTCAACAGAACTGAATATGGTTTATTTTCCTAATACAGTTGAAGAGCAGTATGGTAATAATCATCTTGCTGCTGTCTACCACAACTGAACATCAACATCCGGTCACACATTTTTCCAGAACACCTTCCACCTCGTCAAAAAAACACGCCAGAACAGTATTGAGATAGACGCGAAACCTTAAAAAAATGGCATATTAGGGCGTTTTTCCTTTCTTTCTGCTCCAAATGGTGGGGAAAGAAAGGGGGAATGATGAGGGACGAAAAAACGGGAGTGTGCGAATGGGAGAGAATCAAAGAGCACGGAAAGTGAAGGGAAGGGGAAGGGTGTGGTGCCATGGAAAGTAGGAAAAAAATGGTTCAATGATAGTGATACAAATGGGCGATTCAATTTTGCATTGTAAAAGTCAACCTTCTTTCATTATCCTTGCGTTCGAAAGATGGATGAGATGAAAGAAGGAAAGAAGGAGTTGAGATGAAGCTGGATTGGTATGAATGGCGCCATGGTGAATAAGAAGCAAGAAAAGCACAAGGTGATAGAAAAGTGATTGAGGGACGGAAGGAGTGGCATTGCGACGAGAAAAGGGGGAAACGGATGAGGGAGATGTCAAGGAGGAGAGAGGGAATGAATGAAAAAGAGTCGATCAACATGTGAAGAAGGAAAGGGAAGAAGAAGAGGAGGAGGGGTTAAGGGAGAAAAGGGAAGAAAAGCACAAAGGCAAGAAGGTTAAAAGCCAAAGCAAACGCGGTGACCGTTGAGAACATTATCTTTCGATGAACAAAGTAACGCCACCAATCAATAGAAACCTTCGTCGTACCAGTCGTTTGGATCAAACCCCCCCTGTGAGGAAGGTGAAAGAGAACACTCAGAGTGCATCACCAAACCCATGGACAGCTGTGCTCTAGTTTACCTGATTGATCTCGTCGACCTCAATGTGCTCCATGCTGATGCCACGCGTTTCTTTTTTAATCATTTGAAAGTCTATTTTACTGCCTGAATGCCACGGTAATGTTTAATCCTCACTCTTTCAAACCTTGCATCTTTTTCTCCTCATTCTCTTTTCACCTCCAACAAACAATCAAAATTCGATTTTCAATCAAAAAGACTATGTTCAACACCGACAAGTACTTACCAAAAGGAGGAACACGGGCATAAGGCTGCTCAACTGGCAACCGATGGCAATGGTGAGTTGAAAGAGTAATGTTCACTTGTATTTTTGTTCAGATAAAGCAATGGACCTGGATGTTCGAGGGGAAGAGAAGTCAGAAGTCTAATGAAAAAATAACAAACGAGAAAAGGTCTAGCCGACCCGCCGTTGGCCTAAGGGCTTGTTCTATCCTGGTGACAAGTATGAAAGCAATGACGAAAACGGACTAGGGCGTCGATATCCATCTATACAACCAGTCAATCCACCAAAAACGAGTCGACTATCACGCAACTCATTGAAGCGCGTAATCCTCATGTGCTAGATCCTCGTTTCTTTATTTTTTCCTATAAAAATCTGCCATCCCCCTTTTTGTATGTTCACAGTGTCATGGAAAGTCAAAATTCGCTTCGATATTAATATTACTTTTTAATACAGGTAGCAAGGTAGTATTCATACAATCAAGTACCCGGCAAAGAAATAGTAAAAGTTACAAGTCTGCTCACCTGCGATGCTATGGAAAACGAGCCAGCTGAAGCCGTTGTCAGGCAAGAACATAGACACTTTTTGGCAAAAGAATGGAGAGAAGATGTACAAATCGAACATCGATATCCTCCTGTAAGTTCGTAACTAAGGGATTCCAACTCTTTAATACCTGGGAAGCTAAAGGAATTGGCAAAGGACATGAATGTAACCCGAAAGAGAGATGACCTTGTTGAAAATTCTTGACAGCTATTCAATGAGCATCGTATCCCTCAACAAAAAATAAAAACGGAACAAACACGAATGCTGAAAGATCATATTCTCATGAATACAAAAAAAAGGTAATGCATTCGCAGACGTCCCATGTAACAAGGTGTACGCACGCGTGTCAGAGATGTGAAAAGTAGGACCTGCAAAAGGCAAATGCTATCGTTAATGAAGAAAAAAACATGACTCTCATGACATCTACCACTGCCTATGGCAAAACATTGTTGTTGTACCCTGTCTCTGAGCCAAATGTTATTATTTTTATGGTCGATTTGAAACCTCATTAATTTGTTGCGTACATGCCGCCTTTTATTTCTTGTCTGTACACTGGACGCCAGCTTCGTCGCGCCAGCACATCCAGAAGAACTAAAATGAATCAATGTAAGCTGCTGTCCTACAAGAGCTTGAACAGCCCGGTGATGAAAAGGCACCACCTTGGTACAAAACAACTGGTCAGCGTAATCTCATGTCACCAAAGAAAAATAAATACGTGAACAAAAACCAAACCGCTATCATCGTTGCCGAAGCGATTTGTGACTTTAATCAGCATGGTGGCAAATGTCACCAAGATGTGTCCGAATATCGAAGACGTCTCCTATACGTGTCTACGAAATCCATCTTTTGCCCTGCGTTATTCTTCATAACTCATCTAACTTCATTCACCACATAACTATCTTCATTCCAACCCGTTGTCATGATTCCCCTATTCACCATTCTTTCGGACGCCACTATGGCACCATTGGAGTCGAATGACGTATTGCTGGTGAAGAATGAAGACACATCGTAGAACCCCTTTTATGGCCGGGCAAGCACAATAGCCACTTTCGCGACGGCCGTGCCGTGGGCGTCACCTGCCCAAAATGATACGCGTCTCCCTTAGTTTCTGTCGCCCGAGGATCCTGCCACCCCATTGGATTGTTCAATTCATGTCAAGGGCCAAGAGGACAAGGTCCGAATACAAAAGATTGCTTTCCACAAGGTCCTGGCAAACGACCCAGAAGAAGTTGGGCATCGTGGTGGACGTGTTTTTCGAGTTGTCCGGAGCTATCAGATCCTCTCGCATTGATGAAGGTGCATTGTTTGAGTGAGGCAATGGAGTGGTTACCATTTATAAAGGTACAATTCAATCAAAGAACGACATGCTCGTGGCTGCCCTGGATCGCTATGAAAGAACAAGCATAGAAGAAAGGGCGAAAGCAATCAACACAAAGACTAATCGTTCTCAATCTTCAGGAGTTAGTGGAGCAAAGGAGAAAGTTTGTATCCACAGAGAACACCATACACGACATTCATTTGAGAATAGACCTTCAGAACAAAAGGGGCTCAGCTCTTATGACGAGAATGACAAATCGCGCGTCACCAAGGACCCCAATGAAGAAAAAGAGTTGTGTTTCTTGAAGGAGGCGAGTCCCTTTGGTGGCAAAATGAGATGAAAAGACGTAGCTAATACGTGGTACGACATCGTTGCGTACAAAAAAAAATACATAGCAAAGTCATACAGACTAAATACCTGCTGCTGAATGAAAAAGACCTAAAAAAAAGACGAGAACGGTCTGCTTCAATAAGTGGTATTTGTTGCGAAAAAAGACCATGGTCAATGTCCGTTTGCTAACAATGCAAAACCCTGCAGCAAAGTTATGACAACTGTGTCGTCCGTGTCAAAGAAAAGAAAAGGTAGTGGCAGTCTCCTCCGCATCGTATCGGCATTGGACCTTGGTACTCCAAAAGTTACCTCTACGCCCGCTCCCGCCCGAGTCATAGCGCAGGTTGAGTCAAGAGACAAGGCACAGACATAGTTCCCTCGCATTTCGAACAAAAATACCACACGGACTTGTACCATCGACTCACCGTCACTCTTTTTTTCTGTTTGCTTTTTGCATACAAACATTGATGCCGCCGCTAGTTTGAGACGCAGTAAGAGGATAATTGAGGTACGTATGGGAGGATACGTTCCTGTTTCCTGTCAATCCACCATCGTCCAGGATCCAAGACATAACTAAGAGAGGGAGAAAAATAATAGAAAAGAAAAAGTGGCCAGATGTCCGCCTTGCCCTATAGAACTGATTAAACAGACAGGTCATGGTTGAGATGCGAAACATTTGAGCAAATAAAGTTTTTTTTATGCATGGGTGTGTGTTTTGACAAGCTGGGCTGAGATTGCGCCCTTTTTTTTTGACTGTCTTTCGACTCCGCCTGGTGAACGAGGAGGAAGAGAGGACCCGATCGTGTTTATGGGTAGACAAACTGTAGACCTGCTCCTTCCTCTTTCTCACCCTTGGTAGCTGCTAAATGTGGGAACCACGCTGAAAGACCGATTGTTCAAGGGAGTCTGACCGTTTTGGCGGGCTGTTCGATTCATGTTTATTCCTATCATGTTGTCGTTGTGGTTGACCTTGAAAAAGACGAAGAGGGGGGGGAAGAGATACAGGAAAGTAGCCTGGGATCTCGGGTCGTTGACTGTTCAAAGACCGAGGCTTGTTTGTCATGTCTTAACTAGATAGGTTTACTATGTCTTGGTGGCGTATTTTTTATTTCGTCATTTTTCGAGCGGCATTGTCTCCTTTGTCTCTCTTTTTTGTATGACAGGGGCGACATGGAGGGTAAACAAAATGCCTTTCGCCTTTACGTTACTCTTCTGCGTGCTGGCATATGCCGTTCTGCTGCATGGATTTGCTTTACTTGGATTATACCTGCCCGAAGGTTTGGATTCAACACAAAAGAGAGAGAGAGACAGACCTCGCCATTGACACTTTTTTTTTCTTTCGTTGCAGCTGTCCAGCTGTCTTTCTGTTTTTGGGTGTCAATATGGCTGTTTGCAACATGCGTGGTGTCTTGAAACGAATCAAACTTTGCTTCTCGATGCCGTTCACTTGAAAGATGAAATAGAGGAAATGAATGCAACCTGACAAAAGGCCAGACTCTCTCACAATTATGAAAGATCGAAAAAGAAACAAAAAAGCCGCAGATCCATGTTGTTTTGCATGGGCAAGAAAAAGGAGGGGTATTGGGTGGGGTGCATGCGTGGGAGAGTAAGCAAGCGACATTCATTTTTTCTTGTACTGTACTGTACAGTGTGCTTCGCTTCCCCACTGTTCCACAGTCCAGTCCGCAATGCAGCAAAACAGAGTAAAGAGACCCCACTTACTCCAACCCGCACCCAACAAGTTTTTGATTTATTTTTGGCCGTGCCCAATGCCCCTCCATGATACCAAAGCGAAAAAATGTTCTATTTGATTTCGCGCTTCTTTCGTTCCTTCCTTTCCTTCCCTTCCCTTCCTTCTTATCCCTTGTCGGTCCCTCGATCCTCCGATCCCACAAAAAAGCCACAGCCAACAGGAAGAGAGCAATGAAAAAAAAAGTGGGTGGGACGATCTTCCAAAGGTCGGTCCTTTTTTTTTTTTTTCTTTCCCCGATTGTACCAAGAGCGTGACCAATCATTTTGCAAAGAGCAACCGCCAAAAAGTTAAAGAATAAAGGAACTCAACTTAATGATGATGGTGATCCCTCGGTGCGGACATGGTTGTTGTTGTTTAGCTCGGTCCGGAAACACTATTGTTCATAGGCACGGGCAGGCTTACTAAGGTAGAAGGAAAAGGAAGGAAGACTCTTCTTCTTCAGTCGAACTTCAATAAGAGCACTCATTCATTGAGATCACGGATTTGCTGATCATGTGCTTATTATTTCCTTCTTACTTCCGAACCTTGTCCCTCCGTTTTCAACAAGAACGAGAGGAGTCAGTCCAGTTAAGAGAGAAGAAAGGAAAAACATGGGCAAAGGACATGGGGCCTTTGATGATGATGGGTCTCTCTCTCCATTGTTGATTGTTGCATTTTTTTTCTTTTGTCCGTCGGTTTTGGATGCAAGAGGAGAGCAGGATGGTACCCTCGTCCAAATACCCCTCCTTTTTTTCTTTCGATTCATTCATTCATTCGTCCCTTGCCTGTGACAAGAAGAGCAGAAAAGACAGTAATAACAATGCTGTAATAAGTCAATGTGGGCCAGAATGGGCAAAGAAATGCCGATTTTCTTTTTCACTTTTGGGTGACAAATGCAAACAAAGTGAGACCATTGGGACATTGGTGCAATTGAACAAGACACAGAGAGGGGAAGGGCGTCAACAGTGACAAAAAGATAGATAGGTAGATACACAACGCTCTTTCTCTCACACAAATCGATTCTTTATGAATGGCGCGATGTTGAGAACAGTACTTATATATACTCTCTAATCTTTCAGATGGATATGTTCCTCATTGTTGTCGTTGTTGTTTATCTTTTCTTTTTCATGTCTTTCTGTCAACACTCGGACCGCAAGAATTCAAAATGCCGATCGATCCAGGCACCACCGACGACAACAAAAATTGAACACTGTTCATTTTAAATTGTGATGGGGGGAGTGTGGGCCGTGTAGTGAGAACCTTCGGAAAATGGAGAAATGGAGCAGGGTGAAAGGACGTGAAATGAAGGTCGCAACGATGATGGTGTAATAGCGATCGGATGGACAGGTTCCTTACCCATGTTTATTGAACCAGGAATCGGGGATCGCGAATGGCTGACTGCCTGACTTCCTACACTTTTTTTGTTTTTGTTTTTGTTTGGATGGAACTTTTTGGTGTTGTCTTTGAAGTGACAGTGAGGCGAGCGACCATTGACACAGACACACTTGAACTTGAAGCCCCGTCATGACAGCCAAGTGGTGGTGGTTCAGGCTAGCGGTGAAAGAAAAAAAAATATGGCATTTCTTTTTTCTTTTGTCATTTACGGGGATTAGTCGAAGGAGGGCATGTCTATTTGAACAAACAATTGAAGCGATGGCCCTTTTGTTGTGTGTCGAATGAAAGGAAGAAACGAAAGAAAAGAGAGCATTGTTCGAAAGAAAGAAAAAAAAAAAAAAAAAAAAAAAAGAGGGTGACGAGAAAGCTGTTGACGAGAAAACTGTTGACGAGAAAAATACATGGTTGGCCGAACGGACTGCAGTGTCTCGGGCAGTTTGGATTGAATGCATTATGTATAAGAATATGAAGGAGAGATGAAGGTGACTGATAGTCATATCATATCCAACAACGACAACGACAGCAATCAGATTCGATTACAACAATTACCGCAGAGAAAGAAGGAGAGGGGTAAAAGAAACAGAGAAAGAGAAGAAGGACCTAGCTGGATCTGGTGTGATCTAGCTGGACTGAGTGAGTGGGAGAAGGAAACGATGGTGAGTGGTGTGAGTGGTGGATGAGTGAGTGGGGGGAGGGAAATACTTTACGATAATTATTGATTGAGCGAGAGATTGCAATAACATGACTGATGCTGCGTAGCTCTACCAAAATAGGCTCCTGTGTGTTGCAGCCTGCAAGGCTAAGGGCAAAGGCAAGAAAAGCCTCTATCGCTTTGTTACTTTACACCCAATTGAATAGAATCAGACCCGCACCACTCAAAGCTTCTTTTTTCTTATCCTTTCTCTTCACGCCACCACTCCCTCATCTTTTCTCTTCTTCCTTCTCTTTCTTTACCCTTTACCACTCTTCACCCTTTTTGTTCATCCACCATACCATACCCTTCTCATCCCTTCTCCTTTACCCACACTCAACTCAGCCCAACTCCAACACTTCTTTTTATTCACACCTCTCACTCATCCTTCACTTCTCTTCGCACGCACTGAGCAACAACAACAACCAACTCTCTGCCACACAAACAACAACAACAACAACGACAACAACGACAACAACAACCCAACAACAGCAACAACGACAAACAACAAAACAACCAAGAACAACCTTAACGACAACAACCAACAACCAGCAAAAAAGAAAAAACGGCCGTAATAACAAAAAAACAAAAAAACCCACCATCGAGCGAGCATCAACAGTTCTTTTATACACAATTGGTGAACTGCATGCAGCAAACAAGGTGAACAAAACAACAATGCTCTTTTTACTTGTTACTCTGTACAATCTTCGATGTAGTTCAATAATCGATCTTTCCTTACCCAATTAATCAACTGGCGTAAAAAAAAAAAAAAAAAGAACAAGAACTTGTTTGTTAATCTTTTCTGTCTCTTCTTTTTCGTGTGAAATGGTTTTTTACTTCTAGCCCCGACTGTCTGACCTAGTTTTTTTTTGATTTCACACCTCGTCACATTTCTCCACCCTACCAATTCCTCTTTTGTTTGCCAACCATGCCAACGGCACCTGCGACTCCGACCCTGCCCCAAGTGTCCTTCGTCAACCTATACTCGGAGGACCCATGGAAGAAGCGACAGCGTGTCCGCATCCAGCAGGCCTGCTCAGAATGCCGCCGCCAAAAGATCAAGTGCGACGGACAAAAGCCTTGCAAGTCATGCAAAAAGAGCGACCGCAGCTGCATCTACAATGCATCCGCCGGCAGTAAGGACGACCACGACCACCACAGCACGGCCCACGACGAACATTCACCCGCTACAACAACCGCTGCCGCAACAACAGCCTCAACAACAAACAACTCCCCAACAGCACAAAAGTCAACACCCGAAGCGACCTCGACTCCAGATTCTAACTCGTCCTCCGCAGAAAACTCCCAAGTCTCCACCCCCTCTCACCCGCACTCGCCTCACCCTTACTCAAAGTCGCATCAGCCTCACCACCAGCCTCACATCGTCCATAGAGTCCATCATCACGCCCACCATGTCCACCAGAACAAGGATTCGCACTCGCTCTTTATCAAGCAGGAGCCTTCTGACGTCGTCAAGCCTTCGCCTCTCCGGAGGGACTCCAAACACCACAAGAACAACGACCACCACCACGACAACGATAATAAGACCAAGATTCAAGTCAAGGATATTGGCAAGTACGGTATCCCTTTGGACGAGTGGCAAAAACAGGACGATTCGACCCTCCATGCCTCTCGTAAGACTGGTAAGTTTTTTCTTCACTCTCTCTTGGAGCGGCTTTTTCTAGTCTTTTTTTCATGAAGGATCAAAAGTTAGGTTTTGTACTTTGCAACATTTTCTCTTATCTATGGCTTTCTTTATGAAGAAAGCTGGTTTGTACCTTTTCAACATCTTTTTGGTCTTTGTGAAGAAACAAGGATGCAAGTTTATCTTGTACCTTTCGATAAACCCTGGTATCCCTGTATCTCTTCCTACTTCATTAAGGAACAAGGGCAGGATAGCCCAGGCAAAGAGGAATATCTCGGGTGAATCAATGACATCGTCGGGTCGACTCACTGACCCCTTTGTTTACCCTCTTCCCTGCCCCTCTCGGTCCACATGGCCACTCTTCTGTCTATTATCATATCTAGGTTCGCAGAATGCTAGTCCTCATCCGAACCAGCAATCACAACAGGCGCCTCCTCTTCAGCGAGAACCAATGCAGGCGCAATCTCTGCCTCCTCCTTTGTTCTCTGGCTTTCTCCAGGCGCCTGGAGCTCAAGAAATGTTGCAGCAGCATCAGCAAATACAGCAGCAGCAACAACTTCAGGAGCATAATCGCCAAATGCAGTTCCAGCAGCAGTTGCAGCAGCAGTTACAACAACAACAGCAACAACAACAACAGCAGCACTTGCAGCAGCAACAGCAGCAGCAGCAACAGCAGCAACAGCAGCAAAATCAGAACCAGAGCCTCATCCCCAGCCAAAGCCACAGTCTCAGCCAAACGCCAATGTTGGTCCAATCTCCGCCCATCAACTCGATCCAGGATATCAACACCTGCATCGATGACCTGGAGAGCAAACATACCCACAACACCCTAGTCTACATCATGGAGTCTCTCAAGCTGACGGACACCACTAATCAGACCTCAAGAAAGGCCTACGACCTCGTAGTCGAGAAAAAGGTTGAGAACCGTACCACCGTCCCAACCGAGATGAGTCTCCCCTCGGACTTGTCCCTGCCAACACGATCGACCGACCTCCCTAGCATCGAAATCCGGGATCATCTTGTCGACACCTACTTCACATACCGATACCCGATCTGGCCCATTGTCCACAAGGGCATCTTTCTCACGCAGCTGCACGATCCCAACAGCACCCCTTCGCTCCTTCTCCTGAACGCCCTCTTTGCGTACGCCTCTCGATATTCGGCCTGGTTGGTCCTTCGATCGGATCCGGAGAAACCAGAGACTGCCGGTCAGCTCTTTTTGGAGCGTGCTCAGGCTATGTTGCCCGCCTTCCTGATGGCTCCCCGACTCTCGACGGTCCAAGCCCTGCTCTTCTTGGCCCAATTGGAGGACAACTCGACTCAGCGCCACACTTACCACAGTATGGCTGTCCGTATGGCTCAGCTCCTTGATCTCCACAAGAGTTGCTCACACTTGGGCTTGCCTGATGATGAGAAAGAGACCCGTCGCTGTATCTGGTGGACCTGTTACATGAACGACCGCCTTCTCGCCCTCTCAACCCGCAAGCCCTCCATCATCCACGATGGAGACTGCAGCATCGACCTGCCTTTCCAGGAGCACATCTATGACGGACCAGGAAACAACTCGGTGTCTCTGTCGCATTATTACTCTCCACCACAGCTCTTCCACCAGCTGTTGTTGTTGAGCAAGATTGTTGGCGGAGTCCTCAAGCACTTTACAAGAGTCGCCAACAAGCGATATCGCAGCCCCGATGCTCACGAAGTTGCCTTGACCGCCTTGGACGAATCCTTGTTCACCTGGTTGGCCTCCTTGCCCGACCATCTGCAGTACACACCGGCCTCGGAAGCCTCGACCATCAAGACTCTTCCTTCACCCTACGTCGCCGCTCTGCATCTGTACTTTTACTCGATCCTGCATACTCTCCACAACCCCTATATGGACTCTTCCAACCCTCGCGCAACGAGCGATATGCCAAAATCCTCGCCTGCTTTGGAGCGTTGCACCCTCGCCGCCTCAATGATCACAGGACTTTCTCGCTCGCTTTGTTTCCAACCACAGTACGGTCTCAACTTTGGCACGCAATGCTACTCGATCTTGCATGCTGCCATTATGCATCTCACCAACACCGCCAACACGACATCCTACCAGAGTCTAAAGTCCAAGTCCCAGTTCATTTCGACTCTGAGCGTCATCAAGGCCTACTCTCAGCACTATGCGTTCGAGGGTGTCAAGAAGAGTTCCGACGTCATGGACAACATCTACAACTGGCAGGTCGCCAGGCACCAGGACGAGCAGAGCCAGAACAATACCCCGAGCCAGAGTCAGAGCCCACCGATGGGTACTTCTGCTGCGTCGCCCATCTCTGTCTCTTCTCCAAACATGCACCCTGTCATGCGCGAGGTCAGGCATCCGGACCACCACCACATCTTGCACCACTTGCATCACCCATACCTCCGCTCCGATTCGTCGCCATCAAGTCCCAAGCTCGCGCCTAACTCAGGAGCTAGCGCCAACTTTCCTTCGCTGTGTATCCCCTCGTCGCCCGCTCAGACGCATGAGAGTGTCTTGACCTCTAGGGCGCGTTCTCCTCATCCTTGGCAGCTCACCCACAACAACAGCGTTGCCACGAGTATCGCCAACACACCCACCAACATTGGAAGTCCATTGCTCAAGCAGGACTCGGACAAGACGGTTCCTGCACCGACATCTGGACCCAACTCGACAGCCCAGGGTGTGGTTAATTGCTCATCGGAACCAACGCCCGAGTCAAAGGCGCTACTTTCTGACATCTATAGCTCAAACCCCACCATCACGTTCGACAATGGCCGTACTTCTCCTTTGGATTCGACGTCTTTGGGCGCTATCCTTGGCTTTGAGCTTCCTCACAGTGCGAACGAGGAGGAGGATAATGCCTATTGGAACGCACAGGCCAACTCTTTGGGAGGCATGGATGGATGGAACCAGCAGTTGATGTCAGCTCAGGAGCACGTGTCGTACAAGAGCACCATTGGAGGACCTGCCGAGTACTTGGGAGGCAACAACAGCTTGGGCAATTTGGCACCCAACTACTTTGACACCTTGGCAGCCGAGTCTGGGGTTGACTTTTCTGGATTCGGAGTTGGCGCTACAGGAAGCAATTTTGGATCGACTTCATTTGGAGGAGTACCTATGACTTCTATGGGCGTTACCAACAACCTTGCCTTCCAGACCATCCAACAGCGAACTCAACAACAACAGCAGCAACAACAACAACAGCAGCAACAGCAGCATCAACAGCAACATCAACAGCAAAGATCCACGTCATCAGACCAGCAACCTCAGCAACCCCAGCCACAAAAGACGTTGCACTTCATCCCCACTTCACTACCAGAGTCTCAACATATGTATATCAAGCAGGAACCGTTCCAGTTCTCGCCTGACCTTGTGAATCAAGTCTACCAGAAGACGTTATCAGTGATGGAGACTGGCCAAGGACCGAACGACAATACGCCACAGCAACAGCGTCAGCAGCAGCAGAGTGTATCGAGTAGCTTGAGCGCGAGTGCCAGTCCGTTGTCGGAGATGACTCTTCCAGTACCGAACCTCAAGTCGGAGCAACAGGAGATGCAGCAGCAACAGTTGTTCCAGCGACAAATGTCGGAAAGCCTTCAAGGAGTGGATAGTCCGGACACGACGGATGGACTCTCGATGGGACCCCTGGATCTTTCGTCGGACACGTCAAGTTACTTCAACTCTCCCCTCGAAGGCCTCGCAGTGGACGATACAATAATGATGGAGGACATTTCCGAGGAGACATGGTAATTATTCTTTTTTTTCTTATTTCATTTTCGTAGTGTAGACTTTCTTTTCATACTTGTATTATCGCAGCATCTCCCTTCACTCCTTGTACATTTCCTTGTTCGTTTCTGTTCGTTTCCTATTCAATTGATTGCGTTGTTAGATTTGAATTTTATGTTTTTGACCATCCCTTTTCTTTCCTTTCCTTCTACTTCAATCCTTTTCATAATACCTTTCAGGCATAGCTTTCTACCATAAAGAACGCATTCTTCTTTTTCTCACCATCGAAAACTAGCTGGAGCTGTCTCTTGGAGGTTGGAAGCGATCATTTGTAACTTCAATTCGTGATGTGGTTTATGTGCTGTCTTTTTTCATTGCATGATATGGGGGGGTGATAAAAAGCAACCCTCGCACAGTTTTTTATTTTTGATGGTCTAAAACAATAAGAGGGAGGAGTGGGTCATAAAGAAAACGAAGGAAGAAATGAAATGATATGTGTTTACTTCTGGTCCTTGAAGAGGTTGGTAAAGATGTTCTTGACGTTGGCATAGACAGCATCGGGGGCGTCAACACAAGAAACGGTGTGGACCTTGCCGTCCTTTTTGTAGTGCTCGATGACGGGGTAAGAAGTCTCGGTGAAGACGCGGAAGCGCTTCTTGATGGACTCGATGTTGTCGTCGGCGCGGCCGCTCGTCTCGCCGCGCTTCATCAGACGCCTCAACATGACTTCTTCGGGGCATTCAAAGTACAATGTGAACTTGCTTGGGACGACCTATTGGTAATTTTTTTTTTGTGAATGAGGGAGGAATTAGGTGTGGGTCTGTGGTTAGCATATGATTGACACGTTTTTTTTTCTCGTTGCATTGGACAATAAAAAAAAATGAGCATTGGATATTAGACAGAAGGAGCATATACATGCAAGGCGGGGAGGTGGAAAGGGGGAAACCAATGAACGAAATAATTAAAAGCATCTCGCAGAAACATAACCAAAGAAACATGTATTTACCTGCTCCTCAAACTTCAAGGCCTGGTCCATCTTGCGGGGGAAACCGTCGATCAAGAAACGCTTCTGGCCCGAGGCGAGCATGGCGTTCTCGAGGAGAGCAATGGTGACCTCCATGGGGACGATCTTGCCCTCACGGATGTAGGTCTTGATCAGCTCGCCGTACTGCGATCCGGGGCGCTGCTGCTCCTCGCGGAGGAGGTCGCCGGCTAATTTGTTCGTGGTGGAACAGAAGGAAAGAGAGAGAATTGGTTAGTGAATTAATATCCATTGCTGTCGGTATTGGTTTGATAGTGTCGCCAATCAGAACGCGTCCCCTTTGTGTGTGTCTTTAACGAGTGGCCGATCAGATTATTCATTGCATGTCCCAACGGAGGAAAAAAATTCAGGAACAAGAAAGGTCCAAGTTTCAGCCAGCAGGTCATGCATGGGCTGTGTGAAGAACGCCTGCCTTCCACTCGTGTCGTCAAAACATGTCATGTCGAAAAGATGTTTCTATCATTTTCAATCCTTTTCGCCCTTTCTTACTCTCCCTCATGCCATTTCCAAAAAGGACTTACCAGACAAGTGAACGAATCCGAAATCACGGACCAAGTTGGCACACTGAGTTCCCTTTCCAGCACCGGGACCACCTATTATTATCCAAAACATAACAGCGGGAAGAATAAATGTCAGTAAATTGTCGGGATGAAAAAAGAAAGAAAAAAGAATTACATGTCTGTAGTGCGCATCGCCCTAGCGCTTCTGCTGACGTCAACAGGGTTTTCAATGCTGGTCATATTTTCTCATAAAATATCATCCACATCGGATCATGAGATAACAAGCAAAGTAAGCACAACAATATGAAGTTGAAAAAAAAAAAAAGAAAAGTTACCGAGGACGAAGATGACAGTGGTGTCCTTGAGGGCGGCTTTGTTCTCGGCAGCAATGATCTCAGGTGTCTTGACAACGGGCTTGGGGGCGGCCTGTTCCTTCTTGGCAGCAACAGTGACGGGAGCCTCCTTCTTGGCAGCGACAGGCTTAGCTATTAAAAATGGTTGAATATCGAGTACAATCCAGGGGTCAATCGATCTGTTGAATGAAGAATAAACGTGGTTCTTTTGTCGAACGTCCTGGAAGTAGGATCTATTATTTGTGTCTTGGGTTCAATGCCTCTTCCATGCAAAATGATCTCGTCCTTGAAGTAGAGGAGTAGGGGAAGAGACTGTCGTCTCCCCTGTCCTATTTCTTTCCTTGCACTTTTGTTCCTGAACTTCGATCCCGTATATTGTTCTCGCACACCTTATCCTGTCCAGGGTTTTATCAGCTCTCTAAAAGATGAAGAAAAACACTTTTTACAAAACAGGCATTCATTTCAGAACTCAACAAAAACACTCAAGTCTTACCATCGACGGGGCTGAAGAGGTAGTATCCAGAGGTGGCGGCAAGGATAGTCAACCCAGTCATGGTCAACCAGCTCGAGCCACCCGCCTTCTTGACGGGTGCTGATGAAGTCTCATTGGCGGCGGCGGCTCTGATGGCACTGTTGGAAAAGAGGCGACGACCGGCGACGGCGGTGGTGGTGGATGTAAAGGCTGCGCGGCGGGCGGCGGATGATGATGAGGCGCGGATTGTTGAAAGCATGGTAATTGTTGATTGATTTGGTTGTTGTAAAAAAGTTGATGAAGAAAATGAAGAAAAGTAAGAAAAAGTATGAAGAATAATCGATCACGAAAATATAGGGTCGAGGCTTTTCTTCCTTTCTGCGAAGGGTCAGGGCGGGTTGTCATTTAGAGAAAACAGATCAAAGTCAGCATTCAATTAGAGAAAGTAGAGATAATTGTAAATTTTCATGTGCTAACAAACTGAACACGAGAAAAGCTCTATGTCTTGGTTCTATTGCTACGGCCTCCTCCAAACACGCGAGAAAAGAGCGTGGAACTCGCAACAGCAGCGGGTCCAGATACAATTGGTGCCGGTGTCAATACTTCTCTTTCTACTACTGTGGCTGCGGGAAGTGGCTCAATCGCTGCACACGATTGTTTCTTCTTCAACATGGTCCACGCGACCGACTGCTCCTTCTCCTTCAACACAATCATTCCGTCGTCCTCCTTCCTTGTGATCAACACCTCGCTTGCTCCTGGCGATAGCCTGCCATCGGTTTCGTTGGTGCTCTTGTCTTTGGACTTGGAAGATCGTGATTTGCTCTTGCGCCTGGAGGGCAGCAAGCCCTTGAAGAGCGATGAAGGACCCCACGACGTCGTCGTTGGTGTTGTTGGAGTCGAGGGAATCGAGCTGTTGTTGTCTGCATCATCACACTCCTTTGTAACGGCACCATCAGCAACTGCCTCTTTGTCGACCTGACCGGGGGTTTCGATGCCGGCAGAAGTGATGATCTCTTTTGATGACAACAACGCCTCCGTTGACTTTCCTTGACCAATACTATTGCCACCAGTTATGGTTGTCGTAGTTGTCGTCGGACTAGGTGTCGAGACCGAGACCAGCGTCGTTGAAGAAGCATTGATTTCGATATGAACCCGAGAGATCAGCGCTAGAGGCGCCGCCATAGGAGGACTGGTGCCGAGACAGGGGTGATTACCGTTAGGCTGACAGAGTGGCGCGTGATGAGAGGTATCCTTGGCCTGTATCAATGCAGTCGCCGCAGATGTGAGGCCATTGCCGGTCTCGATGGAGAGCCCCTTTTTGTTCGCTGGTGGTGGCGAAGAAGAAGACGGGAAGGAAGGAGAGGGGATCATAGGGGCCGAGTCGTCGTTGTGGACGAGAAGCGAAGCTGTAGTTGTGGGCGAGAATGGACGGAAGGCCGATTGTGCCTCTAGTTCCGCGAGGTCTGTTTCGTCCACGACAATGAGATGCTGTTCCTCGAAATCCATTGTAAACACCTGGGTCGGGAAATGTCCACTATCGCGGAAGGAGCTGTATGGAACCACGGTGGGGAGTTGTAGTACTTGCTGGTCTATTCCACATCCGCTGTTGAGAATCGTACTACTGGGTGTTATCTCCATCGATCCCTGTTGTCGATGTTGTTGTGGTGGTCCGTCTTTTTCGTCAGCACTGATGTTACTGGTACTGGTACTGGCGGAGGTGAGTGAGGAGCAGGAGAGACTTGTCACAGACACATTCGACCCTTCGGATTGCGACTCTAGCGACATGCTCGACTCGGACAGGGCAGGACTCGGAAGAGAGACTGGACTGGGTGGACGATCGCCGGAAATAATAACGCATCCGTCGCCATTGACGATGCTCATAGCGTTCGTGTCGCAGGCGTCTTCATCGTCATCATCACCATCGTCGTCGTCGTGATCGTCGTTGCTCTCCTGGGCAAGAATGCAGGTCGAGTTGTTGCCAAGTGACATGGAAAGCGACTCTCCGCTACCGTTGCTGCCTGACAGCGGTTGTTGTTGGTTATGGTGGTGGTAGATTCCAGAACCCTGAAAGTCGCCAGACCTAGGCCTGTCCACTCGTCCACGCTCAAGACCTCCCTCATCCTCGTCATCGTCCTCATCCTCATCCTCGTCATCGTCGTACTCCTCATAGTCCTCGTCGGTATACTCGTCGCTGTTGTACTGCTCATCATCGTTCATTCCAGAAAAGATGCTCCGGACCTGTCTTGGAATGACTCTATCCTCCTCCTCGTCGTCTTCCTCTTCATCATCGCCAGCAGAGTCGCGATTGCTAGCCTCAGCAGCAGCCGTCTCCCCTTCATCCCACCCCTTGAGCAGCCAATTGAAAGGTGGTTCATCCTGAGCGGCATACATGTCCAATAACGAGCTTGATCTTTCTAACCCCTCAACCCCTCTTTCTCCTTCCTCCTTCTCCCTCGCCTCAACATCATCATCATAGTCGTCGTCAAGTCTATGCCGTTCCTTCCAGTCGCCTTCCAGCCCCTTTAGTGGCTCCTGTTGTTGTTGTTGTTGTTGTTGTGGTTGATATCGTGGTCCATGCTGTTGCAGTGGTTGCACCTGGTATGAGCGTTGCTGTTGCTGTCCAGGAAGAGACGACCGCCCAGAAAGCAAAGAATCCATAAACTTGATCTTCAAATGGGCCTGATGGACTTCCTGTTTCATCCTCCCGATTGTATCCTCGCGCTGGGCCAAAATCTGCTTCAACGCCTGGACGGTCTGTCGGCAATGATGAATATCCCTCGTCAAGGAATTGTTCTGGTTCAGAAGGAACGAGTTCTCTACCTCGAGACGGTTGACGGTGTGAACTTGAAGACGGCCAAGTGGGGAGCTTGTACCGGATCGGTCTGAGGGTGTGTTGGCTCGGAAATGGATCGATCGGGGGATGGAGAGTCGCGAAGGGCTCTTTGGGTTCAGCTCTGGCGGGGTTGCAGTTATGGATGGAGCAGTTGTGGTGGTTTGTTGAGTATGGGAGGTGTCTATGCCATTGCTGTGTCGGATATACTGCTGCTGTTGCGGCTGAAGTCGTAATGGTGGCGGTGGTGGAGTGGAGAGATCATCGCGGCCCTGGTGGATATCATCACCATCATACACATCCTCTACCGCCGGGCTGGGCGAGGCAGGAGCCGACGAACACTCTGAGTGTGACGAACTGGTTACAGTTGCTGGTGGTGGTGTTATTGTTGTAGTAGTTGCTTGGACCCCTTCTTCTTCTGGAGGGTCACCTCCGTGACTGTGCTCCAAAGCACGGTGATGGTGAGCATGGTCCAATGTATTGCCCGTTTGCCTGCTCCCCGCTACCGCCGCCTCCTCAACCTCATCCCTCCTCTCCTTGTCCTTCCCTTCCTCCTCGTCCTCACTGTAGAAGTGTTGCATGCGCAGGTGGTAAGGGTGGTGTTGGTGAAGATGAAATCGACGGTCTACCTCCCGTCCTCCCTGCTGCTCTTCCTCTTCTTCCTCCTCCTCTTCCTCGTCGTCGTCCTGCAATTCACTATCATGGCCATGGTCGTCAAACCCAGTACTGGTACTACTATTATCGCACTCATAGTCGTATATATCCTCAAACGTTTCAGTCTTGGCCGAAGAATACATCAATGCCGACCGTGTGCTCTGAAGCATCTCCGCCGCAGCCGACCCCTGCCTCATATCGTCGTTGTTGTTGATTCCCTTTGTTGTTGTTGATGATGTTATTGTTGTCTCTAATTCTTTCATGGCTGTCGCTACCGGGTGAAACGAGTTGTCGTTGTCGTTGTCGTCGTTGTTGTCTGTAGGAGTAGTTGCCGATGCTGTTGCTGGGTCGTCATGATAATGGGTTGGAGGCATCGTCGCTGTCGTAGAGTTGAGTTGAGTTGAGCTGGGGATAGGTTTATACAAGGTGCTCCGTAATATGTGAGTCTAGTGGTATCACAGGGGGAAAAGGGGAAGACGTGTTTCAATTACGCTGTCAGAAGGTAGTTCCGAAGGAAAGGAAAGGGATGGAACTTGGGTTAAAGAAACGAATGAAAGAAAAAAGGGTACGTGTCTCCAAAGCTCTTCGTTTTTATCCTTACCAAATGGGAGTTGAAAAAAAGGGTTTTGTGGTTGTACGACGCAACCAAATGAGTGTGGATTTTGACCAAAGAAAGTGGAGAGAGAGAGAAGGGAGAAAGAAAATGAAAAAATGAATGTGGATATGCAAGGAATGGTGTTTTTGCGCAAGGGTCGGTCAATGAAGGGCAGCACAGAAGAAGAAGGAAATTATAAACTATTGACAAGGAGAAGCAGGGGTGAAAGATGGGTGAGAGATGAAGGAAAACGACGACGGCCCTGTGTGTAGTTGGGTGGTGGTGGGAGTAAGGGACAGTGGAGAGTGGAGGAATAGGTTGAAGGTGAGAAAAGAGAGGATAAAGAACAAAACGAGAAAGGATGCAAGAAAGCTTCAGCCAAGTCCAAAAGATAAATCACGTAAGACAGCAAGTCTACAATGCTGCTTGTTCGGGGGAATAAAAAAGTTTGATGAGTTCGAGTCAGGGGAGGCGAGGTTTTTTGGTGTAGGTTTGTGTGTTTTGGGCGGGAAAAAAAGTGGAAGGATGTTCACCGCGGGAATATTGCAACTCGCTGGCTTACATCAAACACAAGACGGGAAAAAAAATGAGGTTTTGAACACAGCAGGCGAAGAAAAAAAAAGCAATGAAAAGCAAAATGCAGGAACAGAAAGGAACGAAAGGAACGAAAACGAAGGTGAACAGAACAAAAGGCAACAAGAAAAGAACGAGGAGAGGAGAGGAGAGGATAGGGATGATGACCAAGTGAATAATGGGACACTATAAAACAAGAGTGGATCCAAAGGGAGGAGAAGGGCAGTTCAGGTTGGAACGGAGGAAAGGAAGAAAGGCAGGGCAGGGATGGGAAGGGATGGGAGGACGAAAGGGGGAGAGGCGAAAATGATATAAACGAGGAACGGGGAAGAAGAGAAAGAGAACGAGAGAGAGAAGAAAAGAAGAAGCAGGCTTGTGGTTGAGCGGATGAGAAAAGAAAAGAAAAGAAGAGAAGAGGGGGATGGGGGAAATGACGACGGATGGTGGAAATTGGGTGGTTGAAATGCGTGTTTGTTATATTGCCTTTGGCAAGGAAGGGGTGTTGGCTGTTCATGTTCAATCGAACTGTGGATCCATCCAATCCAAAGAAGTGAGACAACGACAGGAACAGACAGAGAGGGACGATGCACGAACCCTCCGATGTTCCCTCCGATGCTCATGAACCATCGAAGGTGTATTTTAGAGAGCGATGATGGATCATCGTACGACGACCTCAACACAACAGAGAAAGGGGTGAGCTGGCAGGTGAACTGTACGACACTCACTCATTTCACCCATACTTACACAAACATTCAAGAGTGTGTGTGAGTTTGAGAGAAAAGGGGCCATATTAGCAAAGAGCATTGCAACAAAGACGAAAACGAGGGCGAGAAATTGAATGAAAATGAATGAAAAGTGAGCCCTCGCTTTGTTGTTGTCCCCGTTGCTCTCTGCCTTACCCTTTCGTAAAAACCATCCGAGTATTAAACCCTCCATGATTCATGTTGACCCTGCTCTCTTCTTCTTTTTATGTCATTTACAATGACAACACAAACCTGTCTATGCTCACGCCCCCTTTTCTATCTTGAATGTCAAACACAACAACAACAACACTTCTTGTGTCTATATCATTCTTTACTACCACATCAATAAATCGACGATGAGCACTTGAAGAGTTTGAGAATCGCTAAAGTCCTGCCGAACTAGATTTTTATTATTGCATTTCGTCCGCGTGGTGTCATGCAAATAAGCCAGCCCAGTATATTACGATGAAGTGGGTGAAGAAGGGGCACGAGTAGAAGAGGAGGAGGAAGCGGAAGCCTTCCTTTTCCAGGTTCGCCTGTTAATCTCGACAAGGGACAGGCTTGCATGTGCCTCAAACACTTTATCAGCCAGCCCTGAAAGCTCCTTCTCGGTCTCGTTCGGTGCAATCCACGGCAGACTCAACTCGAGTCTCTCCAATGCTGTTGCTCCTTGACCACTGTTTGTTCTAACACCTTGTTCCTTGGGCACAAGGGCGTCCTCCAATTCCTACGCAGAGTTCGTCAAAGTCAAGAAATGGGTATCGTCAGGGCCTTGCTCCGAGGTGAGGATTTGCCACTAAAAAAAATAGGACCCATCCCTTCCCTATGCATCGATCGATCAAGGGCATGAACCCGAAACTGCTTTCCCGTTTCGCCCTTTTCTCTTTTTCCTCTCTAACCTCTAGCATCCTCGCTGTCTATGCTGTCTATCCCTCTCTTTCGCACACCTTAGACACTTTCGTTAATCCTCCATGTCGACAATTCTCTCCCCCCTTTTCTCCTGCCTCCTGTTCCCATCCTCGCACTTCTCCTCCTACTTGTACAAGCATGGGACGGTACATGTACTCCTCTTTCTACTACTCCTGCGTTACTTCCCTCTACTACTCCTCCTTGTCTTCCTCATCCTCTTCCTCCCCTTTTTTCATAATGCGCCTTGTTCTGTTCATAATTGTCTAACCCCGTTCTTACCTGGTTGGAACATTTGTAGAGACGGAGGCTCACGACGGCTAGTGTCTGGCTCCACTCGCAAAGGGCCTCCTTGACCACTTGGACACTCACCCAATGCTCAATCAGCATCAATGTACTCAATCGTGGTAGTCGTGGTTGTCGTCGTCGTTGATGTTGTACACGTCCATTCTCCTCTTCGTCCACCTGCTGCCGCCGGATCGAACAAGAGACCTGCCCCCTTGTTGTTCTCGTCGTCGTGTCCGAAATTAGCCCCGAGATAATTCGGTCTCCTGTCGACATGGTTTCGTCTCTAAAACGTCTCAACCTCTCCCGATTCATACAACCAACACACAGCCCCGCCTGCTGCTCCGACAAAGTGGATGTGGTTGTTGTGGTGGTGGTTGTGGTGGCAGTTCCAGGAGGTTGAGTATGGGTATCCTGAGCGTCGGCGACATGGGTCCTTGTCCTTGTCCTCCAGCACGACCTTCGATCCACTACAAGGGTCTCCAAGTCAGGACCACAGAGCTCCAAAAGTCCCTCAATGGTCACCTGAGACGCATAGTACGAATCCAAGAGCTCAATTTCCTTCAAACCACGGTGTTGCTGTTGGGCAAGACCGTCGTCCTCCTTGTTCGAACGGTGAAGGTGGTCAAAGGTGGGTCGGAATCCTGCCAAGCTGTTGTCAGACAACCAGGTCATGTTCTGTAAACGGAGTCGTGTAAGTCGTGGGCAGAGCTCGGACACCATAAGCATCGCCAGGTCCATCCGCGTCTCGGGGTCGACTCCTACAGGAGGGATGCCAGCTCCTTGCTGCTGCTGTTGTTGTAATGGTTGCTGGTGGTCTGGTGTTGGCTGGATCGAACCCGTTGTAGACGCGGCCGTTCCATTGTTGGTAGCAGCTGGTGTAATAGTCGCGCTTGCAATAGAAAGATCCTCAACTGATTCCTCCAGCCTGTCGTCCTGACGTGTCTCGTGCGCCTTACCATTGCTGCTGTTGCTGTTGATGTCAGCAAAAGAGGCGCACTGTCGACAGGCCTGTCCCGGTTCACAAGTAGACATCGAAGGGTTCTCTGCCAACTCCTTCTCGAACGCCTCTTGAGCAATCTCTTGTGCATTCCAATCTCCAGGAGCATCGAGAGGGAACTGTGCGAGATCTCCACCGGCAGGGCGGATCACGGTATGTTGACGGAACTCGAGGGTCCTGAGGTGAGATCCACACGCGCGCACCAACTCTGTCAGAGCTGTCATTCCTGCTCCCTGGCAACGATCCAGTGCAAGCCTGTGGATTTGACTCCTCTGTGAGTGTTGCTGCTGCTGTCGCTGGGATGAGGAGTTGGTATCGCTGGTATCGTCACCGCTGTTGTTGCTATTATCGTTCCCCGAGAGCAATCGGGCGATGGTCATGAAGTCATCCAATCGAGTTGGAGACCGGGAGATGACCAACTCCTGTAAGGATGACAGGTGATTCCTGACGAGGTCTGAAAGGGACACGCCAGGGATGAGTCGGTAGTGAAGATGACGTAGCTTCATTCCAGGGACCTCTCGCAAGACGTCATGCATTATCTCTGAGAACGCAGCTGTCGACTCGAGCATCATGACGACGGGTCCTGGAGGTGGAAGGGTCTTCTTCTTGCGTCTCAACAGCACAGCCTTGGAGGGGGACGGAGACGACGAAGATGATCGTCTGGGTGGTGATGGTGTAGCTACTGAAGACGATTGCTCTTCGATTGTTGTTGGGGTTGGTGCTGCCATTGTTGGTGAGAACGTTGATGACTGTTCAATCGAAGTTGGCGACAATGGCGACTGAGGTGGCGAGCTGTAAGGAGCAACCGTCGAAAGCGATGGCGATCCTATCATCGTCACAGGGGCAGTAGCCAAAGCAGGCACAGTCCAGAGCAAAGCCTGAAGATCCCAAAACTGTACCAGATCCTGTTTCGTTGGTGCCACTGTCCCCACGATCCGACAAGGTCTCTTGATCAACGATCGATAATCGATCCCCAGGCATTTTCGTCCATCCAAATGAATGTTTGTCTCCCAAAAGGGAGTCTGTCCATTGCGGAGTCGATCTTGAAGCCCCAGGGTGATACTGAAGCTGGGGAGACTCTTCAGGGTCAAGACGGGCTGTTCGTAGATCAATTCGAGGGCAAGGCGGGCCCAGGGCTTGCAGAGTGTGAGGATGGGGCAGAGACTTGAGGGCTGATCGTGGTAGTCGAGGAAGGACAGTATGAGGAGGACGATCTCGGGTGCTAGTCTGCTGGCGGAGACGAGGTTCTTGTCCTTGTCCTTGCGAGGTATGTTGGTAGTAGCAGCAGGGTCGGCAGCCCTTGGGAGGACCTTGAGGTCTGCAGTTGTCTCACTCGTGGGCATAGCTCTCTGTCCTGCTGTCGCTGTTGTTGTTTGCGGTTAGCTTGGGTTGGGTACAGAAGGAAGGGTATGTTGTTGGAAGAGAGAGAATAGGGGTGTCGGGGTTGGTCGGGAGTAGGGGTGTGAGTAAGGAAGAAAGAAGAACAAGAGGAGAGAAGGAAAAGAAAGAAGAAAAAGGAGGGGGAGGAAGAAAGGAAGAAGTGGAATTGCACCCATGGCTCCTTCCATGAGTAATGAGTAACAAAATCAGTGACCCACTCCATGACAAAAAAGGTTTACCAGTCAGCGAGTCATCGATCAATTCCTAGTTTACGATTGGTCCACTCGGAACATACCAATTGTACCTCGTGAAAGTCATTTTTGGTGGCGCACTTTGGCCTTGCCTGTGTGGTTTTTTAATTGTCAGATGGGTACTTGAAAATTACGCGGTGACGGCTACAAACATTAGACCCATGACAACCACAACCAGAACTTAGCGAAAGTATAGCGGTATCTTTTGCTCAGCACCACATACTCCTTTCAAAGCGCAATGTCCCCATGAGTCACAGAAGAGTAGGCATTGACATCCTTGGTGCGGCGTGGACATCCACATATGCGGCGTCTTGAAGAACACGAAGAGTCAGCAAGAAAAAACGAACACATATAAGAAACAAGAACCTATATAGTTCTTCAGGTCCTCCCTACCTTCTTCCTTCCACACATACCCTTTCCCCACAACAACCTTCCATGACGATGACAGCCACTATAATCACTCCAACCCTACCAATCCGTTGTCTAGGCTCCTTCCAAATCTCCCCCACTATCTACCTAACCCCCATCTACATTTCAGACGCCCCAGAACAACACCGCATCCTCAACCTTAACGACAGCTTCTTCAAGGGACTCTACTCAGACTCCATGACCTTCCCCTTCCCTAAAGAAGAAGCCCTCCGATTCTCGATGTACCAGGAGCAAAAACGAGTCCAGCAAGGCGTCTGTCAGACCTGGGCAATTCGTAGTACAGTCGATGGGCCCATGATTGGGCTTTTCTCTTTGGATCCTCAGGACCATCGGGAGATGGGGCCTTGTTATCGAGGCAAAGAACTCGTCTTGAACGCAGCCGTAGCAACAACTCCAACGATGAAAGGCAATGATGATGAGGCACCATTGAATTGTGGTGGGATCGGGTATTGGTTGTCGCCCGAGCATACCGGCGAGGGAATCATGACAGATGTCCTCAAGTTTGCACTCACTCGATTGGCACGACAGGAGTTTGGATATGACCGTGTCCATGGAGAATGTTGGACTGACAACATTGGAAGCTCCCAAGTGATGGAGCGCGCTGGAATGCAACAAGTCATAGGTCTGTCCATCTTTGTACCAAAGTTCAACGCCACCAAGGACGTTGCCCACTTCATTCATGAATCCCAGTCCACTTGTAATAAATAAGAACCATTCGCCCAAAACATTGAATCATGCAAAAGAAAGTAAAGTTACCACCAAAAGAATGAAGCAAAAAAGATATGTGTGAGTACTAAAAATACAACAAAGCTTTGGCGCGCGAAATTCAATTTATTAAAAAAATTCATTCTCGCAGTCCTCGCAACGTTCAAGGGTGGGTGTGTGGATGTCCTGAGTAAGAGGCAACAACGTGTCGATGGTGCACTTAAAGATCGCGCTTCAAGGTGCCCATGAACTGCTGGCGCTCCTCGCGGGTCTGGAAGCGACCGTGACCGAACTTGGAAGAAGTATCGATGAACTTGAGCTGGACGTTCTCGAGGGCAGAGCGACGAGAGTGGACAAGGAGAGACTTGCGGAGGGTGACGACACGCTTCTTGGTACCAGCGCAGCATCCCTTGATCATGACGAAGTCCTCGTTGACGATACCGTAGTGGGGGAAACCACCCAAGGGGGTGATGGCCTTCTCGGTCAAATCGTACTCGGTCTTGGCGTTGGACTTGTCCTCGCCCTTTCCGATGCGGTAGATCTTCTTGTTGACCTCAGTACGGTGATGGTAACCGTTCTGACCAGCACGGGGAACCGAGTACATGACTCGGGAAGGATGCCAAGCTCCAATACAGGCGACCTTGCGGAGACCCTTGTGAGTCTTGCGAGGAAGCTTCTTGGTACCCCAACGATGGGTGACACCCTCGAAACCGTGACCCTTGGTGACGGCGATGACATCGATCATCTCGTCCTGCTCCAAGACAGAGTTGATATCAACGGTCTTCTCAAAGTGCTCGTAGGCGAAGTTGACCTTGTCGGCGACGGAACCACCGTTCAACTGGATCTCCATGACGTGAGCCTTCTTCTGGCCAATCTTGACCTTGCGGACCTGAGTGTGGACAATGACACGGACGACAGCGCAGTACTTCTTGATGCGCTCGAGCTCGCGGAGGACGGGCTTGGCACCGTTGGCGTGCTGCTTGGCGTACTTGGTGAAGGCCTTTTTCTTAGAGCGGTACCAGTTCTTGTAGAAGCGACGCTTGAGCTCCTCGGACAAGTGCTCGGCCCAGACGGTGGTCAACGAGCGGAGACCGCGGGGAGTCTCGACGTAACCGACAACACCGACGACAACCATGGGGGGAGTCTCGATGATGGTGACGGCCTCGACGATCTCCTTCTTGTGCATCTTGGAACCGGGACGGTCCAAGTCACGGACGACGTGGGTCATACCGGCCTTGTAACCCATGAAGGCGGTCAAGTGGACGGGCTTGGAGGCATCATCCTTGGGGAAGGACTTGGCCTTACCCTGGTGGCGGGAAGCACGCTTGCGGGGCAAGAATCCCAAGGATCCGTGACGTGGCCTTTCGAATTTACGGTGAGCTGTTTGGTGCATAGAGATAGACGAGGCAATGGTCAGCATCCTTGTTCAAAGAGTAGTTGTAAGGTGGAGTTGTCCTTGAAGGCTGGCTGGCCCAAGCGCATAGACCACTCTCTTGCATATGGCTTATTCTCCTGTAAACTCTTTCACTGCTGTCCTGAAAGTAACGATCGCTGATGCCAGTTGTCGCCAGTGGTGGTGGTGGCGAATGGCTGCTGTTGCTTGCTCACTCTTAACAGCTCTGTTTCGGTTGAAGAAAAGTGTGCCGGTCATGACCAAGTCCCTCCCCTTCGGTGAAATCCTTCTTGTTCATGGCAAGCCTGTCGAGATGGAGGCTCCAGGAAGAGCGATAGTCGATTGTCCAGGTGACGATTGGCGTTGCCTGTCGTATTGATTGCAGTTGTTGTTCTTGTATGGGTAGTGGTTGTTGTTGAAGGGTGGATGGATCGATAGACACGATCAAGTAGAAGGATGGATGACTGGATGTGTCGATGGATGGATTGGATGAATCGCTCTGGTGTGTATGTCAGATCCAAAACTTAACGTACACATGGTGATTTGATCGTGCGGGAAAAGGAGGGACAAACAGTGCAGAGAGACTCGTCTCAATTTATAGTGCTCCCTCCTTCGCTCTTCAAACGGCAAATTTTTTTTTCTTGTCAATTGCCAGCCACCCGCCAAACAAAGCGCGCTTTGAAATGTTTAGAGTTAGAATGGCGCCCATTAAGGGTTACTCTTGCTGGATTGGAGGGCACACGCACACACACACACACACACACACACACACACACACACACACACACCATGACAAACACAATCAGTACTTCGCCTCCAGCTGGGCACCCCCTCAGGCACTGTACCTCACTGTCATCAATTGATCAACAACGACAACAGAACAGGGACGATGGCTTACAAGAAGTGGCTGTTTTAATCGGTGTCATAGATATAGTGCGCGATATCCTTTACGGCATCAAACTTGGCCACAAAGACAGGCACACCAACCGCAGGACGCATCCCTGCCCGCTCCATCACCCTCCGACTGCCCACGTTATCCGTCCAGGCCTCCCCATGAACTCGATCGAATCCAAACTCCTGTCTCGCCATCCTGGTCAGTGCAAATTTGATTACCTCCGTCATGACACCCTTGCCGGCCTGCTCAGGAGACAACCAGTACCCTATTCCGCCACAGCTCAAAACACCCTCTTCCTCCTCCTCCTTTCCATCGTCAATCTCATGGACCGGCTCTGCTTTGGCAATAGGCTCCTTGCCACAATAACACGGACCCATATCACCATGATCAAACGGATTCAGCGCAAACAACCCAATCATAGGCCCTTCCACCTCAGTCCTAATCGCCCACGCGTGACAGATCCCCTTCTCTTCCCGGATTCTCAAATGTCTCGCCGTGAAATAACGAGCTGCTTCTTCAGAGAAGGGGAAGCGCATCTTGTCCGAGTGGAGTCCGTTGTGAATGCTGTTGTCGATATTGAGGATCCGATAGACTTCTGCGGTATCGGAGAGTGCAACGGGACTTAACCAGAAAGAGGAAGAGACTTGGTATGGTCCTGTGCATCGGATTGAGGGTTCTTGCGACTGTTGTTCTGAACAGGTCGGCATCGTCACTGTCGTTGTTGTTGGGGTTGTTGATGTAGGTATAGGCTCGTCGCAGTCTACGGTCGACATAGTTGTATTATTTTGTGCTCTTTGTCGAGGCTTGAAGGAAGAACACTGTGTGGTTGTGAGGGAAGAAAAAAAAAACTACAACAGAGGAGCGTTCCTTTTTTATATCTGCCCTTCAAGTGTACGCTTTGTTTTGTCACACGATAACAAAGAGACGCCGCACATTCCTTCCTCCTTTCTCGCAAATAACAGCGAGGTTAACTTTTTCTGCGTGGAGGGGTTGTTCTTCATTCTTGACTCATGGGAAGTCAGCATTGACACACCTCACGTTGACGATGATGATATAGGATGACAATGCAAACCGTTTCTGTATATTTTTTTTGTGTTCGTAACTGTCTATGCTTGTTCAACAAGGGTAAAGATACTATGGTAGATGGTAGGTAGATAACGGGAGGGAAGGGGGGGTGACGACTCGATAATATTAAAGATATAGAAGGTATCTTAGTTTTGGAAGGTGAGGGAGGCTTTGTTTCTTTCTTAGAAGGCAGAAAGAGCGGCGGCGATGACGGCCAAGGAGACGGTCATGACGACCTTGGTGCCGATAGAGGAGGCAGCGCTGCTCTTGTTGTCGCTAGGCTTGCCAGTACTGGTTCCGTTACCGCCGGTGGTGCCGTTGTTAACTGAAGCCTTGGAGTTCTGGTAGGGGAGCTTGTCACCCAAGCAGTCGTCAATGGCCTGGATCTTGAGCTTGGCCGAAGCAGCGACGGGGAGGAGGCGCTTGGCGAAGTCGACGGTGACCTGGTAGAGGTCGTGCTCGAGGGTGATGATTCCCTTGGCGCCGGGGTTGGCGCCGTAGGCGGTCATGGAAGCGGTGAAGGCGGTGACAGCAGCGGCCAAGTTGGCCTCGGTGGGGGTGGCGTTCAAGCTGAAGTCCTTGGAGTCGAAGACATCGCTCGTCCTATAGTTTTTTGTCAGTTGGAGAAAGAAAGGGGGTGGGGTTTGGTTAAAAGGTCAATTATCTGGTCATAAAATAGGCGTTAAATAGACCCGATGCAAGGGACACAGACGACAAAGATGCATGCCTGAAACACACGGTCCTGCTCCACCACTCCCGTCTCTCTCTTTTCTTTGATGCATATTGTTGTTATTATATTACGGCTCTCACACTAAAACCATTTCGCTTTCCTTCTTTTCTGTTTTTACCAGGGAACGACAACGAATAGAAAACTTACCAGTCAACAATGATGTAGCCAAGCTTCTTGACGATGGCACGGACACGGTTGTCAATATCACCATATGGGGGACGGACATACTTCATCTGCATGCCTGTGATGTCAAAGACGGCCTTCTCGGTCCACTTCAACTCGGCAACGATCTGCTCGTTGGTGAGGGTGGTGAGGGGGTGGTGAGACCAGGTGTGGGAGGCAAGGTGATGGCCCTCGTCAAACTCCTGCTTCAGGATGGTGGGGTTCTGGACAACGTTGGTGCCCATGACGAAGAAAGTGGCCTTGACCTTGTTCTCCTTGAGGGTAGTCAACAACTGAGGAGTGAAGGTAGTAGGACCTAGAACACCATGTTTTCCAATGTACACGTACGAGTAGTAATTATAGAGAGAGAAAGGGAAGGGGGAACAAATGAGCAAAGAAGAGACCGATAGAAATGGTTAATTTATGAGCACATTTGGGCTTGCTTTTTTGCCGACATGGCCTCATAGGTACAGTACACAAGAGGACCTTTGTATTAAGCAACATATCTCTTCTTTTTTTTTTTTTTTTTTACTTGTTCTCGGTTTGTCTCTTTCTTTGTTGTTTGCATTTCATGAGAGCATTTCTTTAAACTATCCCACAAATTGCATCCAACAAAGTTCCAAACACAAACCAACAGAAGAACCACACATACACACACCAAGAGGGACAGAGAAAAGACGAAGAGGAAAGAGAAGAAAGGAACGGCGTGCCATTGATAATGACGACCGAGAGGAGAGTAATGAAGAAAATGGCCCAAGTGTGGAAATAATGTGCCTGTATGTGTGTTGATATGTTCTGTGTGTCTGTATGCTTCTCTCCCAATTGGTTTGTACGAAAGTGTTCAGGGAACTCGATCACCCATTTCCTTTCAGTGTCATATATATATATCAATTTGCATGCTTTTTTCATTTCTTACCATCGTCGAAAGTAAGACCCCAGACACCGGGGGTGGGGCAGGTGACAATATCGTCACCACGGCAGCTCTGGCAAGATCTCCAGCACTGGTCGGCAGGGATGGTGGCAATAGCAGGGCAGGCGGGAGGGTTGCCGGTGTGGATGGGGAAGACGGGCACATCAGCCAAGTTGATGGCCTTGAGCCACTCCTGGACCTGAGGGGTGTTGGTTGGGGGGACGGCGTTAAGAGGAGGGAACTCTGCGGCGTTGAAGGCGGCCGATGCGGTGGCGGCGGCCATCAGGGTGATGGTGATGGTTGAAAGAATGGTCTTCATGGTTAATGCTTTTGTTTGTGTAAGTGGAAGTCGTTTTGTTTGGTTTGTCGTACAACTGAAGGAGGAGAAGGGTATGTTGTTGGCGGTGGAAGAGGGGTATGAGTGTCCTTGTTTTAACTTGAAGGATGAGAGGAGGAAGGAACGAAAGAAGGAAAGAAGGAGAGGATGAAGGAAAGAGGAAGAAGAGTCGAGGTCGTGAAGAGTGAATGAAGAGAAAGAAGAAAGGAAAAAAGAGGGTCGGACAAATACCGAGGATTTTAAATAGTCAGGAGGAGAGCAGAGCAGAGACAGGGGTCGGGGTCAGGGTGGGGGGACAAAGGGCCTCGGACCAAGCACGAAAGAAATAAAAGAAATAAATGTAAAATATTAAAATAGTACCGGGGATACACAGACTAACTTGACACAGCATCGTTGACTGACTTGAGTGGCTGACTGCATCGTTGTACCTCCTTCTCAAAGACGAGGGAGACAATTGAAATGGCACTCATACGGACATCATCATATTATCAAGAAAAACGCCCTTTAATCGACTAAGAATAGCCAGGCGCACCCGTTGTGTCCTTAGAACAAAGACACTAGAAGGCGAAGAAAGAACAATAATAAACGAACGTACAAACAGTCATACATCCATTCTTTGTGCGCCTGTGCCTTTTTTGGTGGCTTTGGCTGTGTCGCAATTGTCCTCCAAATCCGGCGTGCGGTAAAGTGAAAAAAGGCGTCTGTATCCCTAATTAACGCCAAGGCATCGCCTTGCAAGGACACCGCCATATTCTTTTTGAAAAAAAGAAAACAGTGGCAGAGTTGCCAAAAGACAAGGAGAGGGAATAACGTCGACGGGTCGCTTATAGCAAGGAAAAAAACCTGTGTAGATGATGGTTTCTATTATTGACGTACATGTGTGCTTTCTTGCATTCACAGCTGCCATGTCCTGCCCCCCTTCTCACCCTCTCGCCCTTACTCCCATTATGTCTCCGGCAAAAACACAACACTGCCTCTCCTATTTTTTTTTGTGTGTTCTTCTAGATCTTCCTCCCCGTCTCACCCGCTCCCCGTTGTTGCACTACGACAGACATATACAGTTCCTTCGGGGGCGAAGGACACGACTCTCTCTCGTTCTCTCTCTTTCATGAGATATAACCATGATAGTTGTTGGAAGTCGATCATTTGGCAAGTTTTTTTTACTTCTGTGGCAAAATTCACAATTGCTCTCATCATCTCTTCCGTCCACCCGCGCCCCCAAGAGCAACAAACATTTAATTCAAGGTGCACAACAACAACAGCAACAACAACAACACAACAACCTAAAAAGCGTTTCAGGGCCAGCGGCTTTCCTCAATACCCGGTAACAAAACTTGAGTACCTGATAACGCTAAAAGAACGATTCAAAAATAGATTTTTTCTGGTTCTCGTTGAAAGGGCTGGTCTCAGAGGCGAGGTAGGAGACGACGCCCATTGATAAGGACCAGGGGGGTGACAAATGCCAGTTGTCAGTACCCACATTGTTCATATATGTTAATGTAGTCAACTATAGTAATTCCCTAGGTTGTGCTCGTGTGATGGATTGTCTATTTTCTTGTTGTTGTTTGTGAAGGGTTTAGAGTGAGTGGGTGTGCGGGTCAAGTAAACATCAGCGCAAAAATCAATGCTCTCTTATCCACACAAACGAGAAACGAAGGAAAACGCTCATCAAAATCATCAAAAATTAAAATGAAGTCTCAGGTACTGATGAGTTAGTGATCTGTAAGATCAAAGACAACTGCTTCCGTCCCTAGTTCTGACAACTGATGGTACCTGAATGGTTTTGGGTGGTCTGTGCCATGCTTTGCCAATTATCATATACCATACCTTCACCGTATCGCTCATGCCCATACTCATCTCCTCTCTTCTTCTTTTCCGTCTCTTTCTGTCTTTCTCGTTCTCCTTCATTTCCATGGTACCACAGGCCATTGTACTCAACAAAATCCTATTTTTGCCATTGGGCGATCTCGTTTACGTCGACAACAATTCCCGTCCTATAAATGATCAAACGTATTTTATGGCACATACCCAGCAGCCCACATTGACCAATACCTTTTCTTTCTCCCCCTTCGCTTGGGCTATGCTTGCTAAAAAAACCACCCTTTGAACAGCGAGAATCTAGAAGTGTCCAGCCTCTGATCAAGCTAAGAACTCGCACATCCAAATGCACATTGCGCCCCCCGTCAACTTAGGAGATCCTACATCAAAAACATGAATGACAAGCTACGAAAGGAGATGAAACATCCGCGAGCCAGTAGAGAAAAGAAAATGCGTCGTTTGCAACCATAAAAAAAAACCATGTTGCGGTGCAGCCTTTTATTCTTCAAGATATTGTTCTCTCTAATGAATAGGAATCTACTGCCATCTCCCTCTTCCTTCTTCCTCACACATACACTTCTAACACCCTCTCCTCCCATTCTCCCACACTCACTCTCTCCATCCCTCCTTCCCATCCCCCCCCTCCTCTCTTTCTATATGGTAGGTAGAGTCGGTTTTGTTTCCGCTTGCGGTGATGAAACATGTTGTATTAAGGCTGTCCTATGAGTCGTTGAAGGGTGTTGTTCTCGGCATCGATTGTTGATAGCTTGTTTTGATGATGGTGATGATGGCATGGTGACGGCGAAGAGTGTTGGCCCTAGTCCTGGTTCCTGGTGCTGGCCTGTTTGTTTCTTGCGCATGGGTTCCTTGGGCGGTTTGTTCTTCTGTCTTGAGAGATAAAAGAAAAAAAATGAGTCGCAGCTCATGATATGACAAAACAGTTAGTCATCCACACCACAAGAAGCACAGCATGGGAATGGGAGACGGAACAATACGAGAAGGAAAAGAAAAGAGAAAATGAAAAGAAAAATGAATAGGTGATGACAGTCAAGGATAACACCCCCTCGGAGGAGAAAAAGAGAGCGCCACCAATCAGTAAAAGTCTCACCTGGCAATCGATCATCCACTCTTGCTCTCCTTCTCACCTCTCCAAGTCTACAATCATTCGCTCTTCACCAATATATGCATGCATAAAAACATGCCTAACCCTCGTGGTGTGGTCGTGGAGATTTTCCAACAGCCTCCTATTCATACCATGAGAACGACCTGTTATCGAACTGAACGTTGTCCTATAACCATATAAATGGTCAGTTGTAGTTCCCTGACAAACCTGGTTACCATTTCGACGATCCTCCCTTCCCAGAACCAATTCAAAGCAATAAAAAAAAAGCGCGTGAAATACTAATACATTGTACGAGTCTTTCTACTACATTAGTTGGGAAAAAATAATGATCAAAAAGAAGGACATGGGTTCTATCGATAATACTGATCAAGGGCACGTTGCCGCAATGCCATCCGAATACTCAGTACACAACTCAACACACAAGCACCAAGTGAGGCAATCAATGCCCAGCGGTAACAATGACGTCCATAACAGGCCTGGGGCCCTTCATCGGCTACAGGTCGCTCGGCATCCATGATCAGTCCAAACAGCAGGTTGAACAGCATTCCTCCAATCGCCGAACCCCATGACAGCCATCCCCTATTGAAACATTATTAATTTTGTCCAAGAATAAACATGTGGGAGGTCAGTCGTTCACTCATTATCAAAAAAAATACATGCCATGCATGAATGCAACCAATCACGATCAGTTCACAAGAATAACCAAACAAATACTAAAAAAAAAAAAGCATACCAGTTCTGGCCACAGGTCTCTTCACCCCAAAGTTCCGCAACAACGGTTCCGGCAACGCCAAAGAACCCTCCATAGGCCAATCCCGTCAAGATCGACGTCAGGTATAACCAATGGAGGTTCGCAAACAGTCCTGCGACTTGAGCCAGACCCATACAGATCGCCGCAATCGGAACTGCATAGACCCGGTGGGCGCCATGCGTGACAATCGCCAAATCCGATCCGAGTCCAGACATAATTCGACCTGCGTAACTCGATAGACTGATCAGGACGACATGTGTTGCGCGGATCGACGCCACGGGGGTCTTGCCGTCCTCACCACTTCCATCGCCTCTAAATGCTGCGCCCAAGAGTGGTATTCCTGGTCCTAATCCTTGTTCGGCTCCTGCGACGGCATCCACCATGGCAGAGATCGAATTGATGATCATAAGTCCAGTTCCTGCAAGACAGACCATGATCACAAAGAATGCCTGTGCATCGCCATCCATAAAGAACTCCATGCCACTGATCGACCGGACATACCGCCTTCCATCCCTAGGCTTGAGCGGCGGATCACTCACGGCTGGCACCGTCGTCGTTGCCGCCTGTGTACCAAGCGTATAATCGCTCTGTCGGCTCGCAAGGGTGTCCGTTGTCGTGTTCTCTCTCAACAATGGTGTCTGTTCCGATAATGGTGCCTGTCCCTGTCCCTGTACTGGTGCAGTTGTCGTATTACTCTCGGGATCAGTCGTTATGGTAGGCGGTGCCAAGATGTTCATCCCGAAGACTGAAAGACCATTAATGACACCTCCTGCAACTCCGAGGAACAACAAGAATCCGACCGTGTCCAGTTCCTCCGCCCCCTCCTGTGGATTCTTTGGGCTCGTTGGTTTGTTGTTGCTGCTGATGTTGTTGATAAAGTCGCCAACATTCATCATGAAGAACGCCTGCGCAATAAATGTCAATACTGCCGCCGACAATCCAAAAAAGCTGACAGGGATGCCTATTTGCAACACATATCCAAAAGGTCATGTTAGTCACTTCTTGTTCTGCTACTGCAGGAAAGAGGGTGGGCGGAATTGGAGGGAAGAAAGGAGGTGGACCAACTCTAAACAATACCATGGGGCTTCATGGGTTTGGACGAAAATAACAGCAAGGACTAAGGAGGGGGGTTGAAGGATGCACGCATTTAAGTCACGCATACACATACATGACTCATTCACTCGCTCACTCACCTAATGCAGCCCCCCGGGCATTTCGAAAGTTCTTTGCTAAACTCGTAAACGCCGCCATGTACGAAGCACTTGACCCCATCCCCGCCATAAACAAGAACCCACCCATCCACAGAAAATGCGTCGGCGCCTCCCCCCTCGCAACATTCTCCAGCCCAGTCGCATACCCGGCCGACAACAACCCATACCCCATCAACAGCAGTACTCCTGCAATGAACGAAGTAGGACGAGCTCCTAACCGATCAGCCATCAATCCTGAGAGGGGGCCGACGCCATAGAGTCCGATATCTCCAATGACGGCGATGGTACTGGTTTGGGTTTGGGAGTAGCCTAACCGGCCGGTGAAGGAGGGGGCGTAGAGGGCAAAGACGTAGAGGGATCCGGAGGCCAGCATGTTGAGGCAGCCGCACAAGAATGAAAGGACGAGGAGGAAGCGCCTTGCTGAGGAGCCATTATTGGCGGGGGTTGTATTATGATTCGGCATGACGAATTATCTTGACAGTCGTCGAGTGAGTGTGGATGGTTGAGAGAGAGTGAGAGAGAGTGGAGAGGGAAGAGGGGTTGGTTGTGCAACCAACGGGCTTGGGTATTAAAGTATGTGTCGAGGGTGGAATTACAAATGAGAAGCGTATGGGTGTGGAAAGTGTCAAAGAAAAAAGGAGAGTGGAAAGAAGAAAAGGAGAGGGAATGAACAAAGAAAAACGAATGGAAAGAAAAAAAGAGAATGCCTTCCTCATTTGTCCTCCATTCACCATGACTGACCGCCAGCCCAACAAAAAAGAAGCTCAGCTGGTGTCCAAAGAGAGAAAGGAATAAGGCAAGGGATAAAAAAGAAGCCAGCCCATGAGTCTAGTCGACTCCCTCTCCCATCCAATCACATCGAACTCTCTCAAATGCATACTCTCCCTTCATGAAAAAAAAGAACGCCGTGCTGGCTGTTTGCTCAGGGACAAGGAAGGGGTAATTAAACACCGCCATGAAAAGAAGAAATGACTGAGCCGCAGAGCTGGGCTCATTCATTTCCTTCAAATGTCGCATACTAGTCAAACATGTGTATTAGAATCGTATATGTTTTTACAAAAAATGCTGGTGTAATTGTCATGAAGGTACGTGAAGACTAAGGCAAAATAAAAAAATACAAAAGAATAAAAGTAACGTGAAAGAAAACAAAAGAAATGGATCGAAGCGCGATCGATCATGGGGGTGCAGGGGACGATGCTGCGCTGTTGTGGTTGCTGCTGCTGGTAATGGCCAGCGCGGAGACGCCGTTCCTCTTCTTCATCACTTCGGATGAACCCTGAAACAGATACTTCAGGTCCTCGAGACGACGCTTCAAAACCTCCTGTTTCGACAGTTTTTCTGCAAACGTCATCTCCGAAAGCTCAGCCTTGCGCTTTTGTAGCTCCAAGATATTCTCTTCGATCGATTCCTAACATTTCATCATCAAGAGCAGAAAAAGTATTAGAATATATGCGAGACGACAATGTTCCCTTCTGACAGTGATCGACAAAACACGAAAACATTCAACGACGCATAGTCCATGTTTCCTTACCTTAATGATAAATCGAACGACGTCGACTGGTTTGGTCTGTCCAAGACGATGGATACGATCAATTGCCTGACTCTCCACCGAAGGGTTCCTGTCCAATGAATAATTTCAACAAGTAAAGGAAGGAAAGGGGAGTGCAAAGAATGGTGAGAAAAAACAACGCACTTCCTGTTTTGTGCTACACAAAATCAACCTGCATGAATTGCATTAACCACACTTGATTTCAACTTACCAGTGAGGGTCCATCAGATAGACACGCTGGGCGGAGGTCAGGTTCAATCCCACGCCTCCCGCCTTTAGTGAAATGAGAATAACACTGCAGTTGGCCTTCTCCTTGAACCTGATCATAGCGGCTGTGCGATCATTTCGCTGCATGGTTCCGTCCAATCTAGTAAACACGATCTTGTTCTCCCTCAAGCCATCCTATAAAAACACCAGAACAGAACAAGGAAGCAAAGTCAATATCCACTCGGTGCGGTAATCGATCGACCGGGTCGAGCGCAAAAGGCGAGACAAAATAACAAAAAAAGAGGTGGTTACCTCGATCAAGTCCAACATGCTAGTCCACTGCGAGAAAACTACACTCTTGATCATTGGCTGGCCCGTCCTGCGTGAAATTTCGCCAGCTTGAACCAAATCCTCCATGAGTGCCTTGACTTTGGTACTGTGGATAAACATTCCATTCTCGTCCGTTCGCGAGTGGATATGGCCTCCTCCAATAGTCTCCACCTTGTCATCTGCGTCGTCCTGGATTTGAATCAGATCAATGGGCCTCAACAAAGTGGCGCACTGGGGACAGCAGAAATCCGACTTGAGTCCCGACGCGACACTGACGTTAGCGTTCCCCTTTTGAATGAGCATGTACGAGATCGGGTTCAGCTTCTTGACACACTCTGGACAGAAAACGTGCTCGCACCGGGTGACGATAGGCGTGATGGTCGAAGGGTGGAAACAACTGTTGCACTGGTCGTTGCCAGAATCCTGAAGCAACGAATAGATCACCGCCGCCTTGGCCAGGTTGAACTCTCCCGACATGTCGAGGTCGTCGTTCATGTTCTTGACCAGTGCATAGTGGGCGCAGATTTGTCGAAGTTTCAAGATTGCCTGCAAGATATGGGCATAGTTCTTCATGACCTTGTTCTCCTGCACAATCATGCTCACAGTCTGCTTCGCGCTCGACTCCATTCGCTGGTACATCTGTCGTTCGTTCAAGCTGAGATCCAGAGTCCGCATATGATCTGTACGTGGAGGGAGGTCGAGCAACGGCTTGCCATCCACCATCTGTGTCTTGGTACGTCGGAGCGTAATGACCTTCATGAGCGTCTGTAGCCTCTGGACACCGATAGGGTTGGCCGCCTTGATTGGTTTGGAGATGTAGTGAGCCCAATGCGCCTTCTCCTGGAACGGCTGCATGCCCAAGAACTTGACCAGCGCAAACAGATCATCCAGCTATAAGATATGTTAAGTCAATTATTAGTACATCGAATATACAAAAGGGTGGTGGGCGTCGGCAATACACCATCCAATGAAAGACTCACCTTGTTTTGAATAGGAGTTCCGGTCAAGCACCAGCGACGTTCGGCAACAAGTGCACAAGCAGCCTTGCTCTGTACAGTGTTGACCTCCTTGATGATATGAGCCTCATCCAGGACCACTCGGAACCAGTCAATATGCTGCAGCACACTCGGGGTCTTTGACGCGCTCGTCTCGTTATCCTTGCCCTTGCACTCCTTGGAGTACTCGGTGCCCAACAAGTTGTAGGTCGTAATGACAACATCGTGCTTGGCCAAGTAAGCCGGGTCCGACACGCGCTGACCTCCATGATAGACATACACCTGAAGCGCATCCTTCTTGACGTGGACCTCAAATTGTTCCTCCCAATTCTGAACCGTCGACAGGGGACATATGATAAGGGTGGCGTGTGATTTCGTCCGCAGGTTGGTCAGCCGCTTCCTGTGCAGTGGCTTCTTGGGCGCCACTGTCAACATGGGTCGGATGGTAGGAGAAGGTGGGGTGTCGTATTCCGTCACGAGGTCTCCAGAGCTGAGAAAGTCCGGTGCTGCAGACTGTGGTACTGGGTTCGATTGTATTGATGGTTCAGGCAAATGCATCTTGCGGTCCAGAGTCGCCATAATGAGAGAAATAACGGTGATCGTCTTGCCCAGTCCCATCTAATCGCCATATAAAAAATAATACGTATTAGCATAAGTCTTTCAGAGTAGTCCAGTTACATCCCACAAGCATCGGTGAAGCAAGGAACATACATCATCGGCCAAAATTCCTCCGAGCATGCTGGTGGGTTTGAGAGTCGTCTCCTGACTGGTGACAACATTCAGATATGTTGGATGACGATGAAGTTGCTGTCGGACACGCCACAAGGATGTCAGCTTGTTCTTCTCGTTGTCGGAGTAGTCTTCCTGCTTCTCGCGCTCCAGCAAAAAGTAGAGAGCCTGCTTCTGGTGGCGATACATTTTTGTCGCCATCGTCGATGCAGGTTCCACCTCTGGAAGATCAGTTGCACTCCGAAGGCCCTTGAAGACTCCGTCGATTTGGTTCTTGATCTCCTCGGCAGAGCGAACGCTAGATCCACTGTAGCCTGCATAGCTCGTGTAACCTGTGTATCCCAATCCAGCTCCGGCGTTGTAATAAGATGAAGGTGCACTGACTCCTCGGAACTTGTCGTAGAGGGATAGCTGCTCTCCTGGAACTGGTGCGAGTGGGTTGGAGTAGGAGGTCCTGTGATCGTACGCAAAGGGATCGTCCAGCTTGACCTTGCCGTAGAGCGCCTTTGCTACTGTCATCTGGAACCTGGGCTTGCCATAGAGAACAATGTTGATCGGTGCGCTCACGTTCTATAAAGTGCAGAGCCAAGAAAAAAAAGATGGCGGATATAGGGGCAATTAGTTGATAATGAGCAATGATTGGTCATCACCAGTCACCGAATGTTCGATGCCCTCTCTTGCGCAGTCCTTACGTTATGTTTCCTCTGTCTAGGTACGCTCGCCTCCCACCAAATCATGTTCGCATCAACCAAGGGGACAAGCGTCTCTGCCAGCTCCGAGACAATGTAGCCATACTATCAAAACGCAAACAAAAAGGAACCATGTAGGCTCATGTTAATATTTGGAAGGTATAAAAAAGCATACTAATAATTGCGTATGAATGGTGAAATTCTTGACGAGCAACCTACCAGTCCGCCTTCATGCTCGACCGCCAAACTAGCCTTGTTGGCTGTCGTTGCTCGTTTGATGATCACCCTGTCAGACTTTCCTTCGATATACTCCAAATGCCGAGGGTACAGTGTGACTACCAGTGACTGGATCATACCGAAGCAGAGGTTCCTGTTGGCAATAGCCGTTGTTTTCGACTCGTCAATGACGACATCGTCGTCATCCGAAATCATCGTAGCCTCCTCTTCCGTGAGGTCAATCACGGCGCCTCCGACATTTTCTTTGGACGCTGTTGGTGAGGGTGTTGAAGAGGCAATGGAGGAACAGACAGAGTAGGGCTGCTTGGGGCCAATTTCCGTTTTGATGACAGGGGTATTCTGTAGCCTCAACTGCTGTTGCTGCTGTTGCTGCTGATGTAGTTGAATAAGTTGCTGGGGTGTAAGTCGAGAAATGGCTGTTGACTGCTGCTGCTGTTGCAGCTGCTGTTTATGTCGTTGCTGTTGCTGAAGGTATTGGAGGGTACTTTGGATATGTACTGCATTGGTATCGTCTCCTGCTTTGCTAAAGTTGAACTGGGTTAGGTCGCTCTGGTTCAGGAAGGGTTTGCTCTCCTTTGCAGGGGCAGTCGTGCTGGTGGTGGCAGGCAGATCCCTCCGTCCCAAGATTCCAGAGTTGATGAGATTAGCGACAGCCTCGAGTTTTGTCCGCTTGGCATCATGACCCTCCTGCCGTTGCTGCTGCGTCTCGTCGTGATCCTTTGGGTGCTTGGTAGTAGTGGTGGCGTTGGTGGCGTTGGTGGTAACGGCAACGGTGGCTCTGTTGTGCTGATTTTGTTGCGTTGTGCTTAATTCCTTCTGGCCAAGGCCTTGAGGATGCCTCGGAGAGAACGTTGGCAATGTAGGGCCTTGACGACCATTGCTGCTGCGACGAGGTTGGCGGTCAGATGTCTGGCTGCTGTCATCGTCCTGGTCGCTTTCGTCTGAGTCATCGTCATCGTCCTCGCTTTTAGAGTCGTCGTCGTCCGGGGACAGGTCCGTGTCGCCAATCTGTTGAAAGAATCTGGAGGCGAAGCTCAGGGGATCTGTCACCTGGGGAGAGCCGTTTGTTGGATGGAGGCCTCCTCGGTGCTGTTGGCCGTTTCCAGACATCTGGGGAATTGAAGTGGCGAGTAAGTAAAAAAGGGGAAGGTTGCAAGGGAAAGAGAGGGGAATCGTTGAATGAAGAGACAAAAGAGAGAGTGGAGAGGTGGGGGGAATGTCGACTCTGGGAGGTAGTTTGAACAGTTGAATGTCTAACAGGAGAAGAAGCAACTCCTGAGGGTGTTAAGGCATGGACGGAGAAGCGGGATTACAACTGCGAAGATCTATTAGTGATTAACAAGAAAGAAGGAACAAGAAAGTCTAGATCAGCTTTGTCGGTTTATAGTGCTGATTCATAAGCACAATGCAGAAAAACATACCACCGTTTGTAGTTTGTACAAACTGGCACTCGTGCTCGCTCTATGTAGTACTCGGTAACAAAAAAGGGGGAGGACGGCGAAGGCGTTTCGAATGCTCCTTCTTCTATTCTTCTATTAGAACGTACAAGGTACTCTGGTGGGTAACAAAAGATAATGATAACGGTCAACTGTCCATCAAAACGAAAAGAAAAAAAAAGAAGCGCAGGGACCTTGCCGCTTGGTCAGCACGCCACCATATCGCTTGTCACGTGTATCCAACAAGAGATAACGCCACCTCTTTCTCACCTCCCACACTTGCATGCAAGCCTCCCACTCGAAGTCGAACAGGAAAGCTTCTTTTCAATGGTATCATTCTTTATGGAAACTCCTGAGTATCATAAATGTAATGCGCAATATCCTTGAAAGCATCAAACTTGGGCACAAAGACAGGCACACCAACCGCAGGACGCATCCCTGCCCGCTCCATCACCCTCCGACTGCCCACATTGTCCGTCCAGGCCTCCCCATGGACTCGATCATATCCAAACTCCTGTTTCGCCATCTTGGTCAGCGCAAAATCAACCACCTCCGTCATGACCCCCTTTCCTCCATGCTCAGGGGATAACCAGTACCCAAGCCCACCGCAACTCAATACGTCCTCCTCCTCACTCCCATCGTGGATCGTCTCTGCTTTCTTGGCCTTGGCAATAGGTTCCTTGCTTCGGAGACAAGGGTAAATATCCTCATGATCGAACGGATCCAACGCCAACAACCCAATCATAGGCCCATCCACCTCCGTTCGAATCGCCCACACATAACAGATCCCTTCCTCGACCCGCTTCTCCTCTATCCGCTTGACAAATCCAATAGATTCTTCCATCAGGAACGGGAAAGTTACACCGGCTGAGCAGAGTCCCTTGTAGAAGCTGTCGTTGAGGTTGAAGATCCGGTTCTGTTCTGTAGCATCCGAAACGACAATAGGAGTCAGCCAAATTGAGGGTGATACTTGAAATGGGCCCATACCTCTGATTCGGATTGGTTGCTCGTTTAGTTGGTTGCTGGCAGTTGTTTCTGATGTTGCCGACATTCTTGACGCGGGATGGTTGTTGCTGTTGTTGTTGTTCCTGAACGAGAGGTGGAGGAAATCAAGATTTCAAATTGTTCTCCTTTTCAAGCAAAGAATCGTTCCCTCGAAGAGACGCCGCATTCCACATTTTTTTATCTTTACATATCAAAAGCCAGTCATCGTGAGAGAAAACAGCGTCAACTAAACCTCCGTGATCCACACCAGTAACGTCGTCTTCTTGACATCACGTGCTGTACTGTACTACAACTGCCAAGAAGGAAGTGCCATCATACAGGAGGGGGGTTTATTTTCAATCGCGATCGCTAGGTTGCTTGCTATTGCTATCAACGATGATGGCGGCTACTTCTGCTCCATGGACGATGATACTGAATCCTTGCCTGCGACAGCAGCAGTAGGAACAGCGCCAGAGCTCAGAACTTCATCCACCTCCTCATCTTCATCCTCGCGCACCTCTCCTTCCTCCATCTCTGTATCGTCATCCTGCGCTGGTGCAACAGCGGCAGAAGCTGGCTTGGCAACTGCAGAGACATCCAATGATCCAGAAGTTGGAGGTCTGACGGGTGAATCGGGTCGAGCGTTGTCGTTCTTGTTGTTCTGTTGTGCAGCACTGCGGTCCTTCTCATCCATTGCATGCTGTCCAAACGATGGCTGCTGCTGCTGCTGTGGTTGGTCGTTCGTCGATGTGGGCTGCTCAACAGAGGCCAATGCCTCATCATCCTCCTTGCGCGCACTCGAGGCACCTTCACCCTCAGCATTTGTGGATGGCCGCTCCTGCTGATTATGCACTGCCAGCGAATCCATGCTCCGAACGCGAGTGGCACTGATAGGTCCTCCCCGATCATCTCCATCATTTGGACCGCGGTGTTGTGGCTCAGATCGCTCCTCAGGTCGTCCTTGACCCTGTCCTTGCTGCTGTGTGAAAGAGCCCGATTGAGGCGTAGGACTCTGCTCGCGTCCGTTGTCGCGCTGACTGTACGATCCAGGCGCAGATGACCGCTCCTTGGTGTCCTGTGTCACAGGTGGACGTGTGTTTCCAACAGATGCTGAGTCGGGCTCCTCCATATCATAGTCATCGTCTTCAGCGCGTGCACGGTGGCGAGAATTGCCGTTGGCGTCACCTCCACCATATCCCTTCTCACTGAGAGACACCAGTGAAGCCGCAATGTCATCCTGATCTTGCTGCTCCGTAGGTCGAATATCCGCCATCCGACTGCCATGTGGAGCTGGTCCTTGAGACTCGTGCTCCTTACCACTGCCTCGGCGGTTCTGATCTTGTCCCTCATAAGCCACGCCCTGTTCTCTGGTGTCTCGTTTCTGGTAATCGGGGTGGCTACCAGGGACAGGAGAGTTGTTGCTAGAACGTTGCTGTTGTATGTGTTGAGAGTTTCGGTCCTTTGGTGGTCCATAGCCTGGAGCATTTGGTGGGAAACTTGGTGGGATTCCCTGGCTGCGACCGGCATTGGCATGCTGCTGTTGCTGCATCATCTCCCGAGATCGATCATCCGATGGGTGGCGGCCATGCTGCGCCCAGCGCTCTTCAGGGTGCTGAGGTCCTTGTTGAGGGTAGCTTGTCCCCGGAGGTGGGATGGGTCGACGGTCATCCTTTGGGGGTGTTGGAGCATGGGCATGAGGATCTGAGGGATGGCGACGTTGATGGTGAGGTGCATGCTGGCCCTCCTCCATGTTGTTTGGTCGCATGTACTCCCCAGAGCGTTGACGTTGGTGTTGGTAAACTTGAAGGTGATCTTGTCTCATTCTCGCATCCTCTTCCTGTCGCTCGTATCCTTGAGGAGGACCTGCTTGTACCATTCCGCGTGGAGGAGGAGGTCCATAGATGTGCTGAGGTGGGTAATTAGGATCATGACCATGCCCACTACCGGGAGGTGCCATGGCAGGCGATCCATGTCTTCCATAGCGTGCATCAGGTGCAGGTGATCGAGGTGGACCCTGAGGTGGGCGAACATGAACCGGCGCGGAAGGAGTTGCCGCATGGGGCGGACGATCTCCAGACATCATCTGAGGCATAGCGCCAACAGGAGTTGGAGGACGTGCTGCGTTGATGCCAGGAATATGAGGCTGCTTTTCGTCGCCCATGTGTCCTGAAGAACCTGCTCCAGGGCCTGGAAGTGGCAAGTCCCGTCCCTGATGCTCATTCATCTAACAATAAAGGACAAATACAACAATATCAGATTTTTTGTTTGCGGATCAAGTCCGTTTCAAAGGGGCTGGCTGATCAGCCTTGTGAGATAATAAGTCGAGATTCATACCAGAGGAGCAGGGGGTCCAGGTTGCTGGCGTCCACTGTATCCCTGCATTCCTGTAGGAGGACCCTGAGGTGCCATGGTAGATCTCTAGAAAATGTACGCAACTGATGTTAGGTGCAACAATCCGGTATTTGGAAGCGCAGCTCATATATGAGGCACGTCGAGTGATGCTTACTTGAGAAAAGGCATGCTGCCCATTGGGTCCTTCTGTGTTGTGTGGGTATCCGTTAGGGTTCATCTCTCCTGGGTATGGAGGGGGAGGACCGCCTGGCTCTGGCCCGCCATGGCGAAGATAAGCAAGTCGCTGTTTGATATGTGGATTCTCGGGATCCAAATCCGAGGCGCGCTGGTAAGCATCAATCGCGTCACTGACCTGGTTGTTGCAAGCCTCATAGAGAGCGCCAAGATCGAACCAAACCTCGCTGATGTTGGGGTTAATCCTGATCGCCTTGCTGTACGCATCCAACGCATCTCGGTACTGGTTGATCTGGAAGTAGAGAAGACCGATCGAACACCAGAAGGTCGGGTTCTTGCTGTCGCGGTAAACAGCTTGCTGGTACGCCTCATATGCCTTGTTGAATTTTTGCTGGGCCATGTAGCATCGTCCCATCAGGTACCAAGACTGGGCATCTGAGCCATCAGCCTCGATCGAGCGGGTCAAAAAGCCGATAGCCTGGTCCTGATTCACGAATGCAGCGTTTTGCTGATGATAAAGCCATCCGAGCTGCTGCAAGACCTTGGCGTGGTTGGCATTTTCGGCCAACACGCGCTCGTATGCATCCTTTGCTGCTGTGTACTATCGAAATATAAATATGGAAACAATACTACGGTCAGTCAAGGTTTCGGTTTTATTTGTGGCAAAAAATTAGCAAGGGAACGCGATCCGGCAGCGAAAATACATACCTCCTTTAGTTGCTCGTGGACATGACCAATCTGGAACCAAATGTCAACTTCTGTGAGAGGGCGAGGCGGCGCATGTAGGATGTATCGGAAACACTTAAGTAATACCAGTCGGACCATGTAAATAATTAGCTACGTGTTTGATGTAGCATAAGCACCGGGTCTTATGGCTAGCATTGACAGGCACAGAGTATGTAGTGGTGGCTTACCTCCAAACTCTGGGCGTACTTTTGCTGTCCTTTGTAAATGATTCCAAGACGGAAATAAATCTCGTTTGCCTTTTCGTACTTGGGGTCCATACGCATGACGGCTGAAAAGGCCTCCTCTGCGTGTTCGGACGAACCGTAGCGGTCGTACAGAATACCAATGCCGTACCAGAGTTTCGCATCCTACAAAGGATATAAAGAAGGCGTCGTCCAGTGTAAATGTTGTATCATGTCGATGTCAGTATTGGGCCGTCCATTATAATAATGATTGATGGTAATTGATCGTTTGTTGATATTGGGGGGTACTTGATAATTGTAGTCACCCGATGCTGATGCCATCCTGCTGTTGTCATCGTTATTGCTTTCCGGCACATGATCAATCAAACGAAAAGGCTGCGGTCTATCCAGTCTTCATGCCTGTCCATTTTCACAACCTCTCTTGTCTCCATGGTCCTTGTTCATGGTCGAATTATTCTTCTTCTCTCTTTACATAAATATGCCTTGTCCAGAATGTTCCTTTGTCCATTGATCGCTCTCCTGTATTGCACAATTGCTGATGTTGGTAACAAAAGAGGACGCACCTTGGGGTTGGGGAGGTGGTGGAGGGCACTCTGGTAAGCAGTGTAAGCCTGTGGGAGTTCATCCATCATCAGATAACAATGCCCAAGCGAGCCCCAGATTTCTCCACTAGCATTGTCGATTGCCAAGATCCTCTTAAAGTTCTCGGCTGCCTATTAAAAAAATGGAATGCATGAGAATGAGTCAGGAGACCGTTTTAAATATCCTCCGCATTGTCGTTATGGATGAAACAGGGTCCAACGCTTCCCCCTCCCTCGTATCCTTTTTTTGACAGGTCGGCTCGTGCTAAAACTGAACACGAGTTCAAAATACTATTGGTTGTTGTAAAACGAGTGAACTGTTACCTTGGCAAAGTTTTCGCGAGACCGGTAGAGCTCAGCAATGAGGTTGAGAGCGTTGATGGACTGGTAGTTGTGACTGAGGGCAGATTCGTAAGAGTTCATGGCTCGATCAAACTCGCCCATCGATTCTGCAAGTGACCCGATTTGGAGCCAGACCTGCTCGTCAATCGCGTCGAGTCGTTGCGCAGGGGAGGCGACGATGGGTGCTTGACCGTCACCGGGCACTGTTGTTTGAAGGCCGACTGGTCCTGTTCCTGAGGGTGCGCTGGTTTTGCTGTTGGGGTTGTTTCCAGTAGGTGGCGGGCCTTGGGCCACGATGGCGGAGGGACCTGGACCTGGACCTGCGTTCATGAGAGGTCTTTGTTGTTTTGATCAAAGAAAAAGAAGGGGAGGGAGGGGAATGTCAAGTTTTGTAAAAGGAAGAGTGGAGTTCGAAAAACAGCCAAGCGAAAGGTCGGCTGTCAGGATAAGGGTTGTTTAAGTTTGATTGGAGAAAGAAAAGAAGAGAAAGGGCAATGGTGAATGGAGAGAGACGGGGGGAGGGGAGAAGTGGTGGCGTTGCGAGATCAGAGAGGAGGAAAAAGGGGAACGAAGAAAGAGAAGAAGGAAGCATCGATGTGCACGAAATGAGCTGGTAAAAATAAAGAAAAATTTCCCATGGCCAGGCACAAACTGCTCTCACTCTCAGCTCTCAAGTGGAGTCATCTACCTATCATTCCGTCGATACAGCGTCAGAGATGTATCTTTTCTCTCATATATCTTGCTCCTTCGAATGCTCACCCATTGATCTTTACTCTACAGTCGCATGGCAAATCCAGGCAATCTCACCTTAAACAACAAACGTCAACAGTCCCAGGTACTTGGCAACAACATAGTCCTTAGATCAAACAAACGACGCACAGGCCACGGGGTAATGGAAGACATTGATTGGCCGTCGGACAAATAATGAGGTCATATCCAATTTATTCATTGTGTGAAATCAGAAGGGGAGAGGACATTCAGTGATCCGGCACAATTCACTGCCGCAAGAGCTCAAAGAGCTTGAGTGCAGAGGATCCAGCCTCAGCAACAGTCTCATCTCTCTCATCATCATCCTCGTCGCTTCCAAGTCGGGACTCGAGCAGCTTGATCGCCTCGGCCATCGCCATACCTGCGAGAATAGCCTTCATCTCGCCATGTGACACCTTCTTGCCCTGACGGATCTTGCGCGCCTGGTACTCCTTCATCGCCTCGTAAGCAGCTATTTTTTTTGTCCATTCATATATAGAGAAATTATTAGTGAGCAGATTCAACTACGGAGTGACAGACAGATATCGAACAGACAGATATCGAACAGACAGAAGAAGGTCCTTACCAGCTTGGGCTATGGCTTGGTGCTTCTTGAGTTTAGCCTTTTGGTCTTGCTTCCGCGATGCGGGGGTCTCGGCAGCGGCAGTAGTCAGGAGGGAAGACTCGGACGAGTGCGACCTGTGCTTCCACCACTTCCGCCTTGATCCATTGCTAGTGCCTGTCTCTGGCAGATAGATAACAGGGAGGGCTCCGTTCTGCTCTCCCATACTCCGTCTCTTCTCGTCCTTGTGCGAAGGCAGGCTGATCTTCTCCCAGTCGTCCTCAATACCGTTGTCCAACGAGCTCACGGACCTGTTGTCGTGACAGCCCCACCAGGCTCCAAACAGTCTATGACCCTCGCGCTCATCTTCGTCGTTGCTCTCCTGGCTCTGGTGGTATATGGCCGCATGAGCAGCTTTCATCTCCTTGGGATCAACCCTGGGCGAAATACTGACTTGCTTTTCCCGATGACGATGCGTCCAGCGTGAAGGAAGAAGGTATCGGATCGAATGGTGGTGGTGCTCGTGTTCGTTGTTGTCGTCTGAACTCTCCTGGTCGACAGAGGTAGTAGAAATAGAGGAAGTGAGAGCACCCGAGCCAGCGGTGTGTCTGTTGTCTTCCTCAAACTTTTCCTTGCAGCGAGCAGACATCCTCTTGAAATAGTTGGACTTTTCTTGGCGGTCGTGATCGTCGTCGTGCACTCCGAGCTGTTTGAGGGCTGCATCGGCAGGGGCTGAGATTGAGACTGCCTCTTCATCATGGATGTCGTCATTGTCTGAGTTGGAAGGGTGAAGGGATGTGATTTTGAGGACAATCTTGTCCCAGAAGGTGGGATCTGGTTCCTGGTCGTGAGGCAGAGAGAGGTCGACTGTCTTTACCAGCCACCTTTCGTCCTTGGGGGGAACTAAATATAAAAAACGATTGGAGAGACATGTTAGGTTCTTTGTCCCTGAAATGTTTTATCGGTTGGCGAAGGCCTTATTTTGAGGAAGTGATTGAATGTTACCTGGTGGAGGCAAAGGCTCGCGCAGGTGAAGAGCCTCCTCGAGGGAGTGCCAGGCCTGGTGTATAATGTTTTCCTCCTTCGTACATGAAATAGTAGGGGCAGTGGTAGTGGCCATATTAGAGTCGTATTTGAGTATCGCGGGCATGTCTCTACTGTAATGGGTATATATGAGTGCGTGGGGTTTGGTTTGGTTGGAATGAGAATGAGAACGTGGGATGAGTTGTTGAAAGTTGAGAGTTAATGAAAAAAGGAATGAAAGAGAAATGGATGAGCAATCTTAACAAAGGGAACTCAAAAGTATTTGTACCCCGGAGTTCGACCTGACCTGACTGCGCTTGCTGGCAGACTGAAAACTGGAATAAGGGCTGAGCAGTCGACAACAATAGCATGCCATGAGGCGCAGACTAACAAAACGGCGAAGAGGGGAAGGCCACTAAAGAATCATCTGTCCTTTCCCCCACATCACACACATATCGTCATCGCAAGCGGCTTGCGCTTCTTCCATTTTTTCCACTTGCCATGGACACGAGCGGTCGCTCTTTCTCCTTTTTCGCTTTCCTTTTCTTCTCTGCATTCATTGCTTTTACCTTTCTCGCCCAGCCGTGGCTATTAATAACAAAAAGTGAAGATGCACGCACGTGGACTTTTTTTTTTCTTTTCATTCCAACAAACGTCGTCATACATCCATCCACGCTGGCCAGGAACAAAGTAACAAGGGCATGCATACACCACACACGCAGTGGAACTAGTACCTATAATGCGCGACAGGTGAAAAATAATACTCCTCCCTACAGTACAGCAGTCCTAGATGGTACCAAGAACCCGCTCTCTAAGAATTAGGTCAAAGGTTGTCTCGGACAAAGTTTACAGCGTTCATCATACTCTCCTAATAAGAAAGACCTGGGTAGAGGACTCCCTTTTTTTCCCTTGGTTCCTGAGGAGTAGCTGGCTCGCTAAATGATTGTTCCTGGTTCTCAAAGCCCTATTTCTTTATTCATGTCAATGCTTGAAATGCGAGACATGGTTTGAAATGTAACTAAGCATACTTGAAACCCATTCCTCCCATGTGTCAGTGACTGTTTGAGTGCATCGTCACTCCTCTTGTGCAGGTCGAGGAACGCGCAAGCAGGATGAAAGAGCTTGCGCGGAATGGCTGAGGCGTACAGCGCAACGATGAAAACGAACAGCGGAACGATGAAAGCGAATAGCGGAACAGAAATAGAATTTTGCTGCTCGGAAGAGGGGTTGGTACTGCTCGAAAAAAAAAATTACCTCCCCTTAACCTCTTTGGGAACATGACATTCCTATTCACTTGCCTTTCACGCTTTCTCAGTACTGGATACAAAGAGCGGGTTCCATCCGCGGTTGGATAGAAGTGGGATACAATTATGCTCCAATTACACCCTATTATTGACACAACTATTAGCATGGAAGCCACTAGCATTGACAGAGAGGGTGAGGGGGGAATGCAGTGATGAAGGCGGTGCCGTTTGCGTCCTTGTGGTAGCGGCTGAACCCCTTCCGGAACCCACTTTCCACCTATTTTGTGTGATTTTATACAAAATAGCAAAAGACCACCTTCATCTCGTCAAAAAAAAACACATGTAGCAGAAAACATTGAGAGATGGACGCGAAATCATAGAAAACAGGGTATTTTTCGACGTTTATCTACAAACATTTAAGAAAGGCGGGAGGAAAACACGACGAAGACAGTGTGTGGAAATTCGGGAGAAGCAAAGAGAACGGATCTTGTGAAGCGCTTTGCGAAACAAAGTGAGCATAGACCACCAACCGCCATGAGCCAAACGGGACTAGCGTATAGCTCTTCGTTTCGCGAAGCGCTTCGCAAGAGTTTGTAGAAACGCTTCATTTCGCGAAATGTCTCGCGAACCGCTTCACAAGTTCGCTGTGTGGTTGTTTTTTTATCCGAACCCCTTGAAGTTACTGGCCCCATCGTCAATCGTCAGAAACTGCTCCTTTCCTTTGCGCTTCATGATGCCTCCATAGCTTCAATCCTTTTACTTTCTTCCTCTTGCAGGCAGAGCTTGTTTAAAATAACGTATCAACCCACCCTCGTGTCATTGGGGTTGTGGAGTGCTACGGTGCATCAGCTTAGGACTTTACAGGATAGGGAGCCGTTTGAGAAGATCTTGCTGACCCTGAGGCAGTTGGGTGTTGTGTTGAGGTTGGAGGAGTTCAAGTCACATGGACATGCAGTGGGTGCTGAGACACTTGTTGGGCTGGGGATCTTGCCTTGCTTGCTGAAACCTTTTTCCGAGGCCGGGATGTCTATGGCACGCCAATTGCCTTCTACAAACTCGCTGAGGTGCCTAACGTTGGAGAAGATGGACATGGACCACAGCACCTTCTCAGACATACTCCGATACTCGCCTCACCTTACGGACCTCATTCTCGCAAAAGTCGCCTTCACCTCGTCCCTATCGCCTTCCACAGAGACACCACAATTCACAGGCACAAGCATCCGCACCCTAACTTCAACAATTCATCAAATCCTCCATCTCGGCCACCTGGACTTCCCTCGGCCACCTGGACTTCCCTCGGCCACCTGGACTTCCCTCGGCCACCTAGACTTCACACCCTCACCACTCCTGGCGCACCTCCCAGCCCTTTCGGCCCTCACAACCTGAAAGATCTCCCTCATCGACTTTCAGGTAACGGATATAAAACCAACCCTCGCCCAGTCACTCCACCAAGCCGTCAACACACATACCCCTCTGCTCACAAATCTAGAATTCCGCTGGAGAACCACGGCCATGATCAACAGTCTTCTCACCAGCGCATTCTCGGACGTCAAGATCAAGAGGATCGGTGTTCACTCACGATCAAAGCAGGGATAAGTGTTGTATTGACGGGATGATGCCTGGGATCTTGAGGCATGCGCGCTCACCCGTGGCGGTACCCTTGTCAGCATTGCAACCTCAAGCTCGCCATCATCCATACCCCGACAACACCACCATCACCTAAGCTGGATCCTGCGGACACGACGTTGTCCAAGGTTGATGCGATTATGTCATCACCTGAAGGTCCTATCGATTCCTGATTGCACCGCAAGAATCGAGTCCTTTGAGTAGGCTGAAGAGTAGGCGTGTCAGGATCTAGAAGCTCTCTATTTGAAGGTTCAAGGACTGGATGAGGTGAATGCCTGCTTGACTAGGATTATTAGGAATAGGTAGAATGTGATCGTGTTATCAAGAGATTGATCGGTCTTTGTCACTTGAAGTCGGTCTATCTCGGCACCAAAAGAGGTGCACCTGGCGACGACTCGACAGGAATACCACCTTTCCCTCCATGTTGCCCTCTTTCACCTTTGAAACTTTAACCTAATACATTTGAAAGCTGTTTGTTAAGAGCAACTTTGGGCCATGCGGAGCAAAATAATGTGCAATGATGTGTATGCAGAAACGTATATAGCCGTGTTTTTATTACTGTATCGGTAATAGAAGACGTGGAAAAAAGAAAACTGAAAGGAAGAGGATATTCTTAACCCCCCTTCTATATGGCTCTGCCACTAACAGCGCCATACACAGCAGCAGAAACACCCTTATCCGATTATTGCATGTCTGATCCTGTTCCTGGCTTTTTATTCCTCAACAACGTATTATCTGCTACGAAGGTATCCGCATCGGAATCCTGATCATGAAGGTCTCAACCGAAAGACACGACGGCGGGGACGGTGGGGACGGTGAGGGCGGTGACGACGGTGGGGACGGTGGGGACGATAGCGACGGTAGCGACGGTAGGGGTAGGCTCAGCTCATAGTGATGACAAGGATAGAGACATAGAAAAGGTAGTTTAGCAGAGTTAAATCATACAAAAAACGTGCACAATAGCAAGACATTCCTTCTCCCTGCTGTTGACCCAATTTCTGAAGTGGACTTTGGGATAGTTAGACACGCCACCCCGTATTGGCCAGACCTACACCTCAGATCTTTAACCGCCGGCCCAACTATCTTAGACAACCCACAAAAGCGACCATTCTTATCCCAGAATATAAACGCCTGATACCCAGAACTCCTTTGCTCACTGGATGTTCGCCAGCCGGATAAGCGAGAGAACAAAAAGAGATACACCACAGGCGGTAAATGGTGCAAGGGGGGGGGAGAGACAAAAAAGTAACCAAGAACCGGGCTCATTTTACCACAGAGCGTCAACCAAGCCAGTGGGCAAGGCTGATCGCGGACACACGTTGATCCTTGGCAAAGCAAACCTCCCGCTAGCATATCCATCCAAGGAACGAGGGAATATTGAGGAAGCTCACCAGCGACGCAACTGCTCCCTTTTAACTCATTATTAACAATCGTCGGGACAATCTAGCGATTGTGAGACGAAGGCTGGCTCAAGTCTACTCTACAACTGGACGTGCTTTCGACGAGCCGCCTGCCGGGTTATACCTTAATCCCATTTGCCTATCCCCTATACTCCATACGCCCTTCCAGCCATCAGACGAAAATATAATGGAAAAAAAACAGCCACTCTTTCGCAGGCGCCCACCTCAAAGGAAAATGGACAGCACCAGGATAATAACCCCAGAGGGAAAAAGAAAAAAAGTCCAACAGGTGTAAATGAAAATCATGTTAACTTGCCTATTCTCTTGTTAGTTCGCAGGAACAAACAGCCAGTCGCTGTCCAGGATAAGAGGCTCTAGTTCGAGTGTAGCCCTGTTTCCTTGGGCCCTGACCGCTCACGAGCACGACGAGAAGGAGAGAGAGCGGGAAACGAACAGCAGACAAACGGAGCTGGAAACGGTCTAGAGTGTGTCGAATAAGATGCGCAAGGAGTGTTGGTGAAGGAGGTTGGTGAAGAAGATTGGTGAAGAAGGTTGACGCGACAGTGGGTTGTGTTTGGCTGTGAAAGTGGGATGGCATGGTTGGGGAAGGGAAAGAGGCAGAGGGAGAGCAGAAGGAGAAGGGAAGAAGGCAGTGCGAACACAAACGCTTACCCCCACAGAAAAAGACGAGGAAGGAACAAAAAGAAAGCAAGGCGTCTGCTCCAGCACAGAAACACGAAGAAGGAAAGAAGAAACTAGGACAAAACAATGCACGGACACCCAACAACGAGGAACAACGAGGAAAGGAAAGTAGAACGGGAAAGAAAGCGTGGGAGAGGAGATACAGCGAGAAACAC